TCGTCAATGGGTGAATGTTCGTCAATGGGTGAATGTTCGTCAATGGGTGAATGTTCGTCAATGGGTGAATGTTCGTCAATGGGTGAATGTTCGTCGAACGCACACAGCCTGGGCAGCGCGAGAGACACGTGAACGCACAAGGACTTGATTCACAGGATGTCAGACACGACCTCTTTCCAACTCCTTCCTCCTCCAGATCTCCCTCGTCTCCTCTCCATCTCTCAGACAATTCCACAAGTCAGACGATTAGTGACGCACCTACCTTGGAGATCGTACGTGTTGAATCCATTCCACGCCCACTTCCCAACCTCTGGTACCTCCTGACGAACCCCCTCAAACCATTCCAGTACAAAATGGAAGGACCCTTTGCAGGCCCCATCTACAGTCCGCTCTCCCGTTTCTGGAAGAAGTCACTCGTGGTGGATCAGGCCGGAAAGGTACATCTAGGAGGACGCAGTGACGAGCTCCAAGTTTCACACCTCAGATTTGACGACGGCGATATGGAACAGTTATGTTTGCTGGATAAAACCTACAAAGTTTCAAGAGCTGATCGACGTAGGCTTTAGGACAAATTGGCAACTTCGCACTATCCGCAGGCTCACTCTATGTGGTTACAAGCTCCGATGCAGCAGTGAAAATGTCAGGTTTCTGGCTGGACAAGGATAAGTTTGTGACATGCGCTCATCTTGTAGGCATGGTCACTGGCACTGATGTTCCGAGCACATGGGAGTTGCTGCGGAAATTGAACCTACGGCGAGCTTGGGTCTCTACTGCAATGAATTCGGTCGATCAGGACTACAACGGTGAGTAATGGAAGCATCCGTTCCTAATACAGAGTACTGACCAGTTTCAGGTCTCGAATCATGGCCTGTCTACCTTCTCGATGTGAACTCGTCCGCAAATATCGCAGTGTTCGCACTGAAGCCGCGCACGGTTCGGACCAAAGGTTTTCCTCCGCATTCTGTCGATTTGAGTCAGCTTGCTTCGATATACAACTATGATGGTCCCGAGCCTGCCTATGCTATGAGCCAGGAGGGCCTCGTCTTGCAAAAGTCGCTCTTCGCTGTGTATTATCCGTCCGCGGCGGCCACAGTGAAGGAAGCCGGTCTAGCTCCAGAGAGCCAAAAGAGAGCAGAGGCTGCCCATGTCGAGGATGCTTGGCGATGGATGGCTCAAGAAAGTAGTCAAGATGACAGCCGACCACCACCTCTGGTAAGACTTTTCAGATGTGAAACGACTGGAAATACAGACTCTGACCCAAGGTTTAGGACTATGCAGACACATTTAGGGCAAACGTTCGAAGTGTCGCTTTTGGAAAGATCAAGACTCTAGATCGCATCCCCTGTACACCGCACAATATTTCCGAACTCGCCCACGCCCGAGAGTGCAGCATTGTGGGGTCTCGGGGCTGCTCTGGGGGAATGGTATGCGAATATTCATTCGTCCATGGGGCTCCTAAGGCGTTCCAGGTCAAAGTGATCGGACTGTAAGTTACATCCCCGGCTTAAGGCCCCCTAGCCAAACCACGACGAAAATAAGCTGACTGGGCGAAAAGTTACTGGCGAAAGCCGCGGGCGAGGCGACAACAATATCCTGGTCTTCACCCCCAAAGGGTTGGAGGGACTCCGAAACACATATTAGGTGGAATATCCCAAATATGCACCAGCAGGGGCGGATTGCTCGCTTGTAGGTCTGCCACTGCTCCGGCAGGGTTGTTTGAGTGACTTCAGCGCAGTGCTGGCGGCACAGTGTATTGTGTGAGATTATGACCAAGGCTTTTGAGACGAGTTCAGGATGGAAGCGATAATATTAGCCCGTCGATTGATTCCATAGCCACTCGGATGAGAATGAGAAAATGTTCAGTGTACTCACGAAGAGGCGACATCTTTTCAAGCTGCTGTACCTTATGGATACTCCGTATGTCAAGTGTAGTGTGTATTCTAAGTACAACCCTAACCCTAGGACCAGGATTAGACCAATTGTTTGAAAGACGCCTCCTAGAAGCCATGTGCAATTTCCATACTCCGTACGTCAAGTGTAATGTGTATTCTACCTTAGGTACATGTATCTATACTCCGTACGTCAAGTGTGATGTGTTTTCTACCTTGTAAAATAAAGGTTGAAATGTTCCATGTTCTCTATCAACGGGTCGCAGGGGGAGCGCATGCTATATAGTATAGTATGCCTAACCCAGCCTTCTGGTTAAAGCACAAGGCTGGGAATGCCTACGGAGTATAGTTTGACATACCTTAGGTACATGTATCCATCAGGTACCTTACATGGCGAGAAGCCCTAGGCAACTCAACCCAACCCGTCGTATCTCTATTATACCTTACCTAGGTAGGCCGTCAACCCAGCCCGTCGTATCTCCATTACGCCTTAGATAGGCCATCAACCCTAGATGACGTTCTCTTCGCGAGTAGAAACGCCCCGTGACCGACTCGGATCGAGCGTGGCGGGGTGTGGGAACCAACCCTATCACTCTGTCATGAATAAGTACACACACACACACACACACACACACACACACACACACACACACATATATATATATACTATAACTAGATTGCCTGTCGTATTTTCGTAGCTATATAAGTATAGATGTAGGTATATGTATATGTATAGGTATAGGTATAGGTAGCATCGACTATGGTGGTAGGTACTCTGTAGAGATGGCATAAACAGGCCGAGCCGAGGGTGTAGATCTTTCGTTTATGTCGGTGACCGTAAAACTCAACCTCAAACTCATAGACAGATGTATCGACGCTCCAAACGCTGCTCTCACTCTCACCTCTCATCATGTCCAATAGGTAGTTGGCTGGCTGGCTGTACAATAGATAGCTGTCTAATTGACAAACATGCGGAATATGTTTGACCGTCTCGTCGTTCACCATCTAGATCTCAGGCGCTTCCCAGGATTCCCGGTCAAGTTTCATGATGGCGGATTGTTTATGCGGAAACGAAACCTCGCCTTGCTTGTAGAAGCCGCAGTCGGTCAAATAGCCGATGAACCTGAGCAAGACGGACAGACATTAGTGCGACCACTTCTCAACTTGGCCCGTCAGCGCGACCTTTACTTACTTGGTATTGTCCACCCTCGGCTCCAACATGACAGTTTCGGTTCGATAGTCGGCGAGAAAGCAGTAGTGCACCAGGGCCGACAGCCAGGCCTTGACTCGATGCGGACCTCGGAACTCAGGTTCGCCCACCAGGACGTGTAGCCCTCTCGTGTAGTTGCCGACATCTCCTCCAAGTAGCCGGCCTAGTTTGTCCTCTTTGACCCAATATATTTCGAAATAGCCGAACGGCTTCCCGTCCCAGCAGCCGTAGACCGGGAAGGAATTTCGACTGTTCAGCCCGTCCTCCAAAAATTTCAACTGTGTTGATGCCGGGCCTGCAACTCCCCAGGCAATGTTCACTCGAGGATCGTTCATCCACTTATGGAGCAGGTCCAAATCCGATGGTCGCTCTGCAAAACTGGCCAGCGTGGGCAACGTTGCTACCGAGACGCCTCCTGCATGACTTGGCATCATTGCCGGCATGGAGCCTCCCAGGGGGCTGAAATGGGGATGTGGGCACGGTTTGGGGGACAGCGTGGGTACTCGAAAGGAGAGCCACTGCCCAAGACTGGGGATGTAACGACTGTAGAACGTCTCACCCTGGCGGGGTGGCTTTGGTCGGATCGGATGCCGTATATGGTTGGTGAAGGTATACTGGGTCGGAGGAGGAGGATAGTACGTGGGTAAATGGCTCCCCGAGTTGAACGGCCCTCCCGGCGACGAAATCCCTGCCGAGAAACCATCCATCATGGCACTGGGGACAGATACCACATGGTCTGCAGGATGAGGGGGGCCCCGCTCGCCCTTGGGCCTCTCGGGCGAGGCAGGGCGAGAAGGACGGGGCGATGCCGACGGGAAGGGCGAATGTTGCTGAGGCGCCATTGTGTACAGGAACACTCGGGGATCAATCTGCCAGAAAGACCTCCTGCTGACAAACATTCCAGTCCAACCGGTAGGCATGCGAACGTTGGTATCTGTGCCCACGTACGAATCCTCACTGGTGATGAGACCCATGCGCTCGAGCTTCTGGATGGTGTTCTTGCCTTTGAAAATGCCTTCTCTTTTGATTCTGATCCGCCACTCCAGCTTGGGTCTGCCGGCCTCTGGCGTCAATGCACAGGCGTCGGTCAAGGTACGGGGGTTGGGAGGTTCCTTATGGAAGTACCAGCATAACGTCGCCCAGAGCATCATGGCAATATGCCTTGTGGGAGAGGCGGTGTTTTTGAAGTCCGCGCTCGCCGGCATGGAGATGGAAGAAATGAAGAGCGAATCGCGCTGGATGGTTGGTTTTGTGAATCGGTGTACCACGGTATGTTTTTGGCCGGCCTCCCCCTGATTCTGCGGTGGCTGAGTCAACGAGCCTCTGCTATTCCTGGCCTCCTGACCCTGCGGTTGTGGCACCAAAGAGATTCTGGTCACCCGGGCATCCTGATCCTGCGGTTGCTGCTGAACCAACGACACTTTGCTCTTCCGGCCCTCGGGCTCATCTTCCACTTCGTCCTCAGTCTGGATGATAACGGTCCATCCTGGCGGCATTGGAGAGTTGTGTAGGTCGAGATTGGTGGATTTGAAGGTGAAGCCGCCAAAGACGGGCGTGACAGTGTAGATCTGCCCATTGGGCAGGTAAGCCATTTGAACCATGACTGAATGTGGGATTCTCAGAGCATCGCAGTGGGAGGAGGAGTGGTGGTGGAGGTAGAGTCTCGGGGTGGAATTAGATCGGCTTCTCGTCCTGTGGTCGGCTCATGTCTTTATGACAGGACAAAAGAATGATCAGCCACAAGAGCAGGACGTTGGGAGGTTTGAGGAGGGCAAATTCGATGTCTGGCGACCTCGACGCGGGGGGCTTTGATTAACGGAGGATAAGAATGGTACCGTAATGTTAGTCAGTAATTCTCTACAGTATGTCCACGACAGTCAACAGTCCGCCTATGGCTCCTTCACCTGCGTTAGACAATGCTTCCGGGTGCAAATTGTGACATTGCACAAAGTATCTGGTGTTTGCTGGTGTGTACTCTGTATGTGTAGGACTAGATTTCAGCTCAGACCACTGTAGCTGACCGGGCCCAACACTATGACGCTGTCCCCCGCTCGACCTTTCGGCGAAGCTTAAGGAGCATAAGGGCTTAGGGGCACCTTAGCATGTAGTACAGATACAGATAAGGTAGAAAAGCATTGGTGCTAATTATAACGGAGTATGTACTATCCGTACAGTATTATTTATTACTATTAGCTGTGAGGCCCAAGCCCTTAGCCCGGCCCTATCATAACATGCCGAGGTGCTGGTCGTCAACGCAAATACAAAGCTGCGATTTGCCGCATAGAACGATTTACGGAGTACGGAGTACGGCGAACGCAGTCCCCCTCCCTCAGCGCCACGTTGCAACACCACCACCATCACCACCACCATCGCCTTCTTCACAGCGGTAATGCGCCTCTAGGGCCTGTCCCAACAGCAATCATTCGACATGAAGACCCGCCAGTCCCAACCGACCGTGGCATCGCAGCCTCGCCAGTAGTAATTAGGTACCTGTGTAATGTAAGAAGCACAGCAAAACTAAAAGTCCACTACGGTCGTCCCGACATTTGTCTCCCTGGCAATCCGGATCAAATCACCCGCGACGACCAGATCCATCAGCCCCATGCCAACACTCTTGTAGATGACATTGCCCCTGGACAGCCAGTCCACCAGCCCCTGTTCGCCGGGCCCTCCCAGCTCGAGTTCCTTCGTAGCGGCCTTTTTGATCATCATCAGCTCGCCAATCTCGACGAGGTGTTCTGGTTTCAGTTTTGCCTTGATGACTTCCCCGGCCTCCTTGAGACAAGACTCGAGGTTGTCGACGATGATGACTCCTCCTTGTTTGGCATGCTTGTGGTGATGACGGTGACCGTAGTGAGGCTCGACCGCCCTCTTGAACACATCCGGATGGATCTCGCACATGTGAGGCGCGTACGAGCCGATGCACGAGATATATCTCCCCTTCCTCTCGCCTTCACGGGAGGTCAAGAATTCGGCCGGAAACAGCGGCTCGACCGACGGTGTGCAACAGAAGATGACATCGGCTTTCCGCACTTCCTCCTTGAGCAGCCGTCCGTATTCGCCGAACTCGGGGCTCATGGCCGAGAACTTGATTTCCCGCCGCCATTCTTCATGAGACTCCTCGGATATCTGGAACGCTTTCATCAACTTGATGCACCTGGCAAAGGTGCGGTTGATGATGTTGACATGCCGAATCTGGTCGCCTTTGAGCAGTAATGCCAATCTGATATGCCAATATGCCTGCCTGCCGGCGCCGAAGATCGTGATGGTGTGCACGTGTTGTCGTCTCTTCAGCATGATGGTCGCCGCTAATGCCGTCCTGAACGCCGTAAGCTCTTCTGCGTTGATGATACCCACCGGGTTTCCCGTGGCGTCGAGTATTGTGACAGATCCCCTGGGTGTAGTGTTCTGCGAACTAGCCTGAGACACTGGGGGTTCAAACGAGGCGCCGTCAATGGATTCCCTGCTGCCCACCGACGTGGTAGACGCCGGAGTCAAGGTCATGTTGCCGAACTCGGAAATGGGAGATTTCAAGCCTGACGTTCCGGACGTGCTTGACGGTGTGGCCGCGTGGATGCTTGAGGCGGCTGATGACACGGACGACTGCTTACTATGTGCCGGCACATCGGGCTGCTCCACCGACACAATCTTCATGCCAACCGTGGTCCCGGTAGAAGCGGGCATGAACAGCGTGGTTACGCCGTTCTTCTTGATGGCCGTCCGCGTCGGCTGAAAGGACGAACAGCATGGCGAATTCGTGTCTCCGGTAGAGTATGAATGGAGGGCTTCAGCGAGGTTTTGTTGCAGTCCTTCCGCATCCTCTTTGGTGAGTGCGAGGAGTATTCGGCGCACCTCGGCGTCGGTCAGGACGGTGAGAGGCATGGCTCAAGGTCTGGAGGATGGAGGGCGAGGCTCGTCTAGGTGTAGAATAAATTGTGCGAGGGGTATCCTCACTCGATTCTTCTTCCCCGGATCCCGAGGACAATGGAGCACTGTTGTGTGGTGGTCAAGATGTGTCAAGTATCCTCACCCGTAGGACCGTCCTGCGGCTTGCCTGCACTTATGTTTCAGCTTCCATGGGCCACCCAGAGTTGGTGCACACGCAGTTCAGTGGTCCTCCAGCTCGACGGGAAGAATATACCTAGGTACGTAACTTGTCGCCCAGATTGTTGAGTGGCAATGCTCAGTCATCCACCGTGTTGATCCATATCTCCAATTGGTTCCTCACGCCACCCAAATGCTTGGAGTCTTGGACGGGACGCTGACTGCATCGGACATTACGCTGGCATCACTACTTGCCATGCAATCCGTCGCTCTGGCGCCCTCGGCCCGCACGTCTCGGCACGCGGCTTGAAGAAGATAAGAAAATGAGATGGTACGAGTCACTGATTTGGGGAGATCTGCCACAGCGAGATTCTGAAAGACATGTGTGCAAAAGGGTATCTAGCATGGCCACCTTCGGGCACTAATATACACGGCCCATCCCCATCCCCATCCAACCGAATTGCTCCAGCTGAGCCTGCATGTTCCAAAAGAGGGGATCAAGTGAGAAAGATGGAAAGAAATGGCGACCGTTGAAACATCACTTAAGTTCACCCCACATATCTTCATCGCTCATGACCATGTCGTCCTCGCTCAGCACCTTCAACCCATCCTTTTTCCGGTTCTTCTTCATCTCCTTCTTCGTGACCAGTGTTCGTGGCGTGATAGGTGTCATGGGGGTAAACGGCATGTAAGGGCTGTACGGGGTCTGGGGAACGCCCGTCTTTGGATGCACGCCTAACACACTCTCACGGCGATCCACAAATGTGGTTTTGGTCGCCGGTGCACTCTTCAGAGTCTCGTTGTAAAACTGCCGGAAGGGCAGACTATTGGAGCTGTGGGAAGCTGCTGCGCTGCGTACCGACGCTGCCGCTGGAGGATTCTTCCCTATGTCCTGCGTCGAATCCCAGGCTGGTTGTTGGCCAGGCGTAGGTGGAGGAGGCCCTGGATTGTAGATACGGGGCGATACGGTGCCTGCCACAGAGTATACTGAGGCGTCCGTGAGCGTGGCCGAGCCTAGTGGCTGCGAAATAGGTTGCCCACGGACCGAGATGGCAGATGGTCGCCTTTTGCCCTTATCAGCCGAGTCTGATCGGCCGGGAAGAATGGAGAGGCCAGAAATTCTAGTCTTCCGACTGCTGCTCCGAGAATCCGTGCTGGGCGACGCGAACTCCTCAGCTGGTGTGGGTGCCAAAGGGTGGAAGAGTGGACTTGCTAAGGGCTGAACAGCGTAGATTTGAGCCTGTGATGATGGTTTTTGCAAGTCCTGAAATTCCAGAGGATACTTGGGGGATCGTGGTGAGGCAAGACCATAATGAGCTGGATAGTAAGGAGACCTCGGTGTAGGAGGATAATTGGGCGACCGGGGCGTGGGAGGTGCATTGTCCTGAGAGCGGAACTGCGGTGACCTAGGGGAGAGCTGGCCACTGCTCCTGGCTTTCTCGGATTTCTCCTCATCATGTGCCATGACTGCAGCATACAGCTTGGCCATCTCATCCATGTTGCGAGCCTTGTCTGCCTCCAGGATTCTCTCATCGACAGTCGAGGCGCTCATGTTGGACGGGTTCCGGGTGTGGGATTTTCCCCCGGTGGCCCATGACCTAAGGCTGGCCATCTTGCCTGGACTCTTCAAGGGCGGTTCGGTGCTCATCTTGGCCTGGTTGCCAAGTGGAGCAGGTTTGATGATTTCCATACTCAAGCTTCGGTCCGATGTCTGCGTCTTGCGACGAAGTTTCTGGCCCACGAAAACAAGGAGGAGGAAAGTGAGTAGGAGCCAAGCGACGTAGGCCGCAACAATGCCGACCACCTCGTACTTGAGTTGAGATTTGTCTCTCAGAGCACCGGCGGAGAGGGGAGGGCCTTCGTCAGGGGGAGGAGCGGGGCCGGTTAGGATATCGATGTCCCAGATGCTGTGAGGTCGAGCTGCTACAGGCAAGCCGAGCAAGACAAAGGTGAATGTGAAGGAGACCAGAGTCGAACAGGAAGCGCAACACCTCATCTTTGTAGGCAGATCAACTCCTCAGTATAGGCCCAGCATGCGGTGCCTGAAACTGCTTACCCCCTGGGCGGAGAGGACATGAAGCAGCTTGTTGCACGCAAAGGGCGCTCCGGCGGTAGATGTAGCTGGCCATGATTGCTGAACGAGGACGGGCGAGAACGTGATGGCGGTGATTGGTACAGACACAGACGTGAAAGAGGAGGAGCCCGACTGCATGAAGCAGCCAGGTAGGTGCCAGGGAGACGAATCAAGAGGGAAAGCAGGGAAAGCAGATGTTGTCTGACCTTCGGGTCGCTGGCTGGTTGGGACGGCGTCTCTGTCGGTCCCTGGACTTGCAAGACTCCCGGGGCTGGAGCTAACCGCAGTCGGTCAAGGGCATGGGCGAGCTCCCCGCCGACTGCGCCGACTGCATCAACCGCAGCCTGCGCCCGCCATTCATGGCTCTGTCTTAAGCGCCCGGAATGTCAGCGTCACCCAGGGATCACCAGGATCACACTCTTCACCATCGACCCGCAACCACGCTAGTGGCCCAATACAATCCATCGACAAGTGTGCCGTCACGTCTCTGTCCTCCGCGGTCTCCCTATTAGCGTTTTTACCGAAGCGAGTTCTGGACGGGCCGTCTCTGCCTTGACTCGACCCGAGCAATGGTTATCACCACCAGAAGAGACCATACGCCTCAAGGGCAGCAGTGATGGCTTGTTGATTCACCGAGATGGCTAGCTCTTACTGCCTCGATAGACGCCCTCCTTAGCCCAGCACCCTTCCCCTATGTACCTATCTGTACAAGCACCATTCTGCGACTGTGACAGAAAAGAATGAGCCATAGCGAGCGTGTGATGCATCGTCCTGTTCGCAGCAGTCTGGGGGCATACTTCTAAGCGATGGAGTTCTGGGTAACTTCTGTTGCGCTCTTCCTTCTTCATCACAGCACTCTGTACTCCGTATCCGTACATGATCATCCATCCTCAAGCTGCCACTTCTGACGAATCTCTTTGATCCACTCAGACACAGGTACCGGCTTTCCCGCTTGACGTACTTGGTGAGGACCCCTTTCTTCGGCTTCATGTTCGTCCCATAAAGGAACGTGAAGAAAGTCATGAGTGGGGCTACATGCCTTGATTTCGAGCGCGTCTTTGCGGAGCAGCTCGTAACAAGGTGCGGCAAACATAACGTCTAGACAGTCCATGCAGACGTATATGCCATCGGCATACGTCCATCCATGCTCACAGCCTCCACCGTCGCAATAGTAATCAAGTGGGCCTTCAAGCTTTCGGAACGTCTTCGCTCGAGCAGGAGGAGCAGTTTGGTCTGGCTTCTGCGGTCCGTCTGAAGCCAAGGTATCGGCTGTGTCGTTGTCGAAGGTGATGCTAGCATCTTCCTTCCCGACGCCCGGTATCTTGGTTGTTGTAGCATCATTGACCTCTTCGAATCCATCCACATCATCCTGCTGACTGAAGTCGTTCGGTCCGATCAGTGACCACGCCGCAAGCGCTGCGTCCTTGTCGCCGTAATACATGAGAGCGCTGGCCAGTCGCAGATATCCCTGCCAGTCATTGTTTGGATCCTCATCGGATAGCAGGTCTATTCCCACTTTGATGTGGCCTCGAAGACAATCTCTCGCCTCCGTCTTCATCCCAGCTTTACTGTAGTAGCGACCGACAAGAAGCCTGGTATCGAGGGTGCTCTCGAACGCGTCAGTCTCCGAAGTCATTTCTCCAGACAGTTGTAAGAGTTTCTTGATCGTCTCGGCGGTCGACTGCGAGTCCTGGGATCCTTGGCGCAGTTGCTCAAAGTACACAGTGGAGAGTGACTTCGCGGCTGCGAAACGGGAAGGAGTGAAGCCGATATCATCCGCATCAGCCAAAGAAGCTTCCCATAGATCCATGGCTTCTTCTCGATCTTCGTGGCTTTGCGGGTAGTTGTACAGAAGGTCTGCCAGCTTGCAGGTCAACATGACTCGATATTGCGCCTTTGCATGTGTGTTCCTGGGTAAATATCCCGGATCCAGGGCTTCTTCGATCGCACTTCGATATGCCGTTTGCACGAAACGAAGACTGCCAGTCTTCATCCCAGCGAGCACAATCCCATTATGTAGATCCAGGTCATCTATGTTGTGCAATATCACGCTCAAGCGGCTGATGCTGTGTGTAGGGTCCTGTTCTTTCTGAAGCTGTTGCAATGTTTCGATGATGTTGGCGAATTTTTGTTGTCGCCTCAGCGCGATCATCCTCTCCAGTACCGCTGTGTAATCATCAGGATTGGTTACCAAATGTTGATTGTACATCGCCATTGCCTTGTCATACTCGCCAGTTTGGACGTAGGCCCATGCAAGACAGAGGCGAATTCTTGTAATGTGCTCCGCAGGTGAGGGTTCTTTGGCCTCACCTGCCTCGACCCTCCGAAGGATGTCCTCATATACCTCTGCTGCTTTCGGCCACTCTTCAAAGTCGAAATACGTGGAGGCCAGTCCATAGTCGGAAAACCAGTGATCTTCTCGCAGCTTACCTGCAGCCTCATAAGCTTGGATGGCTTCCTGGTAGTGGTCGAATTGTCGATACGCCCGGGCAACCGACCGAGTCCATTCAAAGCCAGGCTTGTCAATGCGCAGGCGCTCTGATGCCCATTTGGATATTTCGTTTATCTGTTTGACTGTTATGGGCTTGGTGGCCATGTTCACCTGCAGTGTAGATTTTGATGGGGACCTGCGTCGACGAAGCTGTGCGATGTCAGCCTTCCTGCAACCCCAGTCAAACCTCGCAACATGAGCACCATGGTCCCTCACGGGCTGACAGCATGGCCTTCCACATTGCAGCTGGCAGCCGCCTGACCAGAACATGCCACTTGCAAATGGATGAACATACCTTGCGGAGAAATGCATGCAGCATGCGGACGAGATTTACCGGGTTGCCTCTGAACACTGATGGGCTGCAGAAGAGACAATCCGCGAGATAGGTGGAGACGTGTTCCAAAAGGTCGGCATCTGGGAAGGAGTTCGATGCCAGAGTCTTGACCCAGTCTCGCCCTGCTTGAGAGCACTTTCCAATCGTCGCAGGGTCTCTCAGCCAACCCAAGACTACATCAACGTTACCATCCTCATAGAACCATTCGGCGGCAGAAGAGTATATTTGGTGGCTGTTCCACCATTTCGCGATGATATTCTGATCGCTGAACATGTCGACAAGGTACTGCCCTACTTGTGCTTTGTCGCTGGGGCTCGTCGTAGTCAGATCAATTTCTTGTAAATGAGCCACAAAGAATCGACGTGCGTAATGGTGCAAGGGCCGCACTGCGACTTCCTCATAGCGAGGGATAGTATGAAGGCAATCAAGAAATACCTGTAGGTGAGAATTGTCTAGGTCGACATGAACGAGTGCAGTATTCGAAGACAATTTCCGCTGGAAGAATTCCTCAAAGCCGAATTTTGCATACAAATCCTCGTCGCAAAGGCGCTCCAAGAAGCGCCGCATGATTTTGATCTCGGATGGATGGATTTTGCCTCTCTGGGTGCCCTCCTCCTCTTGCTTAGTCTGAACCAGACTGCGGAAGTATTCTTTAATGGAGTTGGACACCAATGTTACCGAAGCCTTGTTCGGCTCAAGGTCGTCGGGCTTTTCGACGAAGAAGAAAGCTGAATATTGATCGCGCAGCTGGTCGTACAGCGGTCTCAAAGAGGCCTCTTTGTTCTTCAGAAATAGGACAGCTTCGAGCTCTTCCACCGTCAGGGTCCTTTTGGCGGACATGACCCAGGTAAGAAGAACATTGAGATCATGGATATCTCGTGCCTGAAAGGTTTGATTGCAGCGCCTAACTTCGCGAGCTATCGTATCTGATCTTTGAGACTTGTTGGCAAGGACGTCACGGATCTCGGCCGGCCAGCGTTTTGAGCCTATCTCCTTCAAAAGCAGCTCGACATTGATGAAATCGCCCTGGGCCCCTTCAGAGAGACTCAAGAAGACCTCTTTTCGAAGATTCTGGACCTGCTCCGATTTCCCTTGCAAGACGTCTATTCGATACAGTCTGTCGGCAATGAAGCATACTAGGTCCGGTCCATTACTGACGGCAATATCGATGTTCACTGCCCTGAGTTGGACGGGGTTTGTAAGGGGTTTCAGAAGTGGTGGTCGCCCCGAGAGCAGTATTCTGAGATGGCTTTGTTGATCTGGGGTGTGTTGTGCCTGCATCACCTTCAAGAGATCGAGAAGAGTCTTCACACTCTGTTCTCCCATCTGGTCAATGCCATCCAGTATGACATAGAAGGTCTCGTGACTACGCAAGCATGGTCCGAACAGCCGTGAGAAGAGTTCTTCTGGGCTGTCAGGCTCAATCCAATTCTCACAAAGGGCAGCGAGATCTTTGCGATAAACCGGTTCCTGGGCTAATTGTAGCGCTAAAGTCTTGAGTGCCCTCACGATGGGTTGCACACCCTGATCCCTGATGGGGGTTCTTCCTGAACTTTGCTGCTCCACATAGTAATACGCTGTCGTCGGTCGTGACGGGTCTGATGTAGAGCGGGTGTAGCGTTTTTCCAGACCATGAACAATGGTCGTCACGAGAAAGGATTTGCCGTATCCTTCATTTGCCGAAAGGAGAAACACCTTGTCCCAGGGGGAAGATCGATCACTCCATTCGATGAACTGTCTGTTCTCATAGATCCAGCGTCCACTGCCTGGAACAGTTTCAGATAAAAGGCGGCGATGTAATTTGACTTGTTCATCAACCTCCTCCTGTACACCAAGTTTGGCCTTGATTTTCTCGACTTGCTTTCGTTCTAGGCTGTCAGACTCCTTCTTTCGTGCGTCGTCCATCATCTTGTCCACGGATGCTTTTACTCCAGATATAGCAACCTGGGCGTCACCAAACCCTTCTTTGACAATTTGATAAGTCAGCGTGGCTTTCATCTGAGCCTCTCGTTCAACGAGAGTCCTCAGACTAGCTATTGCACCACCAACACCGTCATCTTCGTTGAAGGCAAAAACTTTGAGGAATTTCCCCAACTTGTTTCCATGGATGACGTGCACTGAAAGCTCGCAGATAGACACAAACGACAGGAGGATTTCATGGATGATTTTTCGAAGAGGCCTGTCCACTTGTTTCATCTTTATGTAGACGGCAAATCTTTCTAGAATGTCAGAGACATCCTTGAAGAGCTGCGTTAGGCTGGCAAAAATGTTCCTGTAATTCTGGCCAGCAGCAATGAGGTACGATACAGCGTTGAAGCAGAGCGTACTAGGGCCATACACCTGTATCGATCGAATGTCAGGATTTTAACGACGAAAGAATGTTCTTCAGGCAGCCCCAGGCTCTCCTTACCATGCTGGCGGCCGACGATGCAATCTCGCCCAAGTTCTGGATAAGAACAAGGGTCCTCCCAAGTACATCTTTGAGTACTTTGTATTGTGCCTTTTTCTCTTCATCCGCATGGCGCTTCAACTTAAGTTGCGCAACCACATCATCGGGAGTTAGAGCTCGGCCCTGAAGGAGATTGATGTCGACATGTGCCGTAGTTGCAAACGATCGGCAGGCCTGCTCCCACGCTTCTTGAAGGTCGTATTCGTTATCTTCTGTTGACATTGTATACACGTACGCAGGTACCGGCGGGCCCCTAACAAGCAAGTAGGACAGAGTTAAAGTCCTTACTTGAGGATTGATACGGAGTGGTGTAGTTGAAGATTCGAGCTCCGGTTAGGCTGAAATATCAGAATAGATGACAAAGTTTAGGTGGTAGGCTGCCTGAGGGGGTAGTCTGCATGACAAGTGTTGTCCACTTGGAGAGCTCCAGGCTTAGCGAGCCATTGACAATTGACGAGGCTCCGGGGCTGTAGAGACATGCAACTATTAGTTGGCATTCAAAGACTGACCACCGCAGACCCCTGTTCATTTGATGTTTAAGCTGCCAGGTCAGCAATCTTTCAGCTCTGGTGGCTCCATATGATCATCAGCCAGTAGCCAAATGACGAAGGATTGGCCGCACGACTTTGGTTGCATATTCATGCACAGCTTGGACATCCAAGGGTGGTCGAAACTAAAGTCCTATCCCACGGATGTTGCTGGTCAGGCGCTGGCTCTCGATACGACAGGTCGCCACATCTCGTCCCTTCCAGGCAATCGAACAATAGTGTCCTCCTGAGCCGTACCTGCATCGATGCCTAAAGCCCGGTTTAGACTTTTATGGAAGCTTATTGACTTTTCCCCTGATACCTGAGAGGCGGCAATAAGGCTCACTGCGTGTTCGTCTCAGAAGGCTCAAGCACCCGTAAAGCGGCTCAAACAGAGTCCCCTATAGAGTAGCAAAGTTCATTTCAGGTGTGGTTGCGACCCAAAGTGTCTCTTTTCGCATGTACTTTTATCTCCAGCTGCTGCCTGTACCAGTCGCCCAGCCCAAACCGGCAAAGCCAGTGCCTCTGCCGATAGAGCTCCCGGAGTCGCGAGCATTCACAGCCCTTCGTTTGACTTTGGCGCCTTCGGTGGTTTTCACACCGTCAACAATTTTTTCCAGGTTTGTTTCGACCACGACGCCGCCCACGACCATCTCGCTCAGGACGGCATGGAGAGTCTCAAACCCAAAGATCAAATCCAGTTCACAGACATTTTCGAAAAGTCGGTCGAGGGCTTCGACGAAGACTTGGATGAAATCGAGCAGCGCCAACGGTGACTCTGTGGAGGTCGAGATCAAAATGAAGTACAAGGTTGCGTAATGCCGGTAAGTGATTTGAGTCGGGGCATCTGGAGAAGCGCTGCTGCCTGCAGGAGCGAGCAACGGAGGAAGAGGGAGGAAATTGCAGGCAGAGGCCGGACGAGCAGACACGAGAGTGAATATCTGTGAGAGCAATGACTGCTGTGTCGCTGTATCCTGCGGCGAAGAGTCAGACTGGAGCAGCAATGGAAGAAGCATACTGTACCAGTTGAGAATAGAACTTGGTTAATCTGGGCTGGCCATTGTTATTGAAAACAAGGACAGCGTTGAGCATCGCGACGGGCCGGGTGAGGGAGGCCGCAAAGAGGTCAAAGTATAGGTACTGTACAATCGACGATGGAGGGACTGAAAGAGGAGGTTGCGTGCCTCTGTTTGTAGGGGTCCTTAGAGTGACGACACAGGTACATGCTCTGCCACCTGCCCTCACAGCTGTGCTGCAAGTGCCTGGCCTTAATTAAAGCTAAGATGATAGGCGGGCCTGAGCCCCGATTGGCGACTTCAAGATGAGCCTTGAGCCTCGTTGTGGGGGCAAACAAAATCTATTCTGGCTGCGTTCTAGGCTATGTACACTGTTGCTGGACTACCCCGTACACTCCTACAAAACCGTCGATTCAGTTCAGTCTATATTTCCTACCTGCACCTAGCCTGCGCCCCTCACCTCAAGAATTAGATGCAAGGCTCTACGTGCTCCTCATGCCTACTCCTCTCTCGGTCCCGATTCCATCGGCTCCTGATCGAGCTGCAGAATGGCCGGCGCAGAGTTCACAGCAGACGTTCACGTCAGAAAGCCCAACCGCACCCAAACGCTGCCGAATCCTGGTACTGGCAAACCACCCCTCCCACTCGGACGAACCTAGCTGCGGCCGACCATTTCTTCAAACACAACAGTCCCACAAGGATCTGGACCGGCGAAGGCTGGCGGGACCGACAGAATGATTCCCAGGAACTGCCCGAAATCATATTCCTCGGGCGCTCGAACGTCGGCAAGTCCTCTATCATCAATGCCCTCACCTCATGCGATATCAATCGTGTCAGCTCGGTGCCGGGAGCGACCAAGGCAATGGCTGCGTGGACATTGGCAGCGAAAACTCCCGAGGGCGGAGCCATAAAAGGGTGGGATGGAGACGTCAATCCCAAACTCACACTGGTCGATATGCCAGGATACGGACATGGAAGTCAGACGGAATGGGGCAATTCGATTGTCGAATATCTATCCAAGCGAAGGAATATTAGGAGGGCATTCGTGCTCATCGATGTGCTTCATGGAATTTGGGAGCGAGATCTTGACATCCTGAAAATCCTAGGCTCCTCTGCGATCCCCTATCAGATTGTCGCCACGAAATGCGACAGGTTCGCACACTTAGAAGACATAGAGGGAGAGACCCGCTCGGCCTTCACGAAGATCCGGTCCGAAGCATACTTGGATGTGGATGACAGCCTTGGGCTGGGCGAGATTATCGCCACGGGATTTCTTGATGGCATTACAACCAAGAATTCGACGAGGATTTGGAGGGGAGCCGCCTTTGGAATTCCGAATCTACAGTGGGCGGTGCTGCGCGCCGCCGGTCTTGAAACGTATGCCATGCAAAAGGCAGAATCCCACGGTGTGTTGAAGAAATTTCCGGCGGAAGACCGAGTCCTCTCATCTCAGGAAGACTCCATTTCCGAGGATGGTGGGCAGGAAAGCTCTCAGAACGAGAGTTCAAAAATGTTTAGTATACCATCGACATCATCGGGCCCTGAAACCAGCGTGAGCGTCGAAGACTTCTTGCGCGATATTCTGAACTCTCCTCTGCGGCAAGCTTCCACCCGGCAACCACCTAAGCCGGCATCAAAGCGAGCCAAAATCTTCTTTTCCCTCACAGAAGATCAATACATGCCTTCACACAGCTGGAAACCTTCCAGCCGCAGTTCCCTTCTGGACGACTGGCTAGAAGATGCCGAAAGCCCTTCAGACATGGGATCATCCTACACCGGTAACAAGCGTCAAGACTACAGTGCAGGCAAGTTCAATGAGACATCGGCGACCAAGTCAGATGCGGCCCGTCGTCGCTCCTCTACCGGCAGCTCGGCACCGATGTGGTCTCATGAGCGTTCAGACTCCAGGACCTCACCCGATCCCCGTGGCACAGCGTCGAGCCGTGATCAACCAGCCCCAAGCCGCAAAGGAGTTGCGCACACAGTGGATGCTTTGGGAGCAATGTCGCGTCCGAGCTCTAACACAGACGCAAACGCAAACGCACACCACTCTCAACCTCCTATCAGCGGCGGTAAAGGAGTCTTGCGCGGCATGGACGCCCTGGAGGCAATGTCCGGCTTCGACTCTCGACGGTCTTCAAATCCGAAGTCTCGCCCTCTGCAGGCCAGCAAAGGCCATGGCAACGGCAAAGGCAATGGCAAAGGCCAATGGTCGACTCGAGGCACCAACCCATCGAGTCCGTCGGCCTATCGAGACCGACACCCGGACTCCACGCGCAAGGAGCAGTCTCGACCTGCTGCGCCCGGCAAAGGAAAAGGCGTGACTCGTGGCATGGATGCTTTGGAGGCCATGCTTGGAGGCGACTCGGCGCACGGGAGAAAGACGGGGAGCCAGCGTCGAAAGTGAACGCCAAATTTCCTCACCTCAATCTTAAACTCGAATTCGATTCTTTGTCTTTTTCTCTTCTCTCTTCGCCTTTCACTTTCAAAAGTACACACACCAACGCCTAATGACTCATCACATATACATATAATGTACCAATGCGGAAAACTGTACGGATTACCGTGTTGTGCATACCAGCTACAAGCGGACACAACCAAGAATGAACAAAGTATGTTTTGGATTTTGGATTTTGTAGTCTGTGATCTGTATTCTACATAATATCGTGATATGTCGCCATCAATCCCACCGACCCAAGGAAAGCGGGAAATCTCCCGTCCTTCTTTAGGCACAGGGACAACATTACATCCATACTTGCCGCAACCTTCGCTCGAGTACAGAGGAGAATGATCTTCGAACAAAAGACCCCCGAGTGCACGGAACAGAGAGCCATCTCCGACAAACCCGAAAGGCAGAGATGAACAAACCAAAGAACAGCGCCCTCAAACAGTGCCAAATGCCAAAAATGCCGGAAAGCCCGAGTCCCGCTGCGGCGTGCTCTTTGCAATGATTCTCTGCAACCAATGCACGCTGCATCTTTTCCAATGAGAAACCAAACGCTGCAAGTATTTTCCCAACCCTTCAAGCGGAAACGACGAGGCTGGCGAACAGTTATATCACGGCCACCATTCCATCCTTTTGTAGCTCGCGATCACTTCTTGGACACGCTCTACCGTGAGACCCTCTTCACGCTCGTAGCGGAATCCCACTGTTCTCTCAAAGAGGCTTCCGTCCAAGCTTAAATCCGTGTCCTTGAGCAACTCTTTCTCCAGAAACGGACTGAGTGGACCCGGTTTAGTGATGCCCTTTTGTTCAAGCATGTCGGCCCACGGTTGAAGGATATCTTCATTGAGGTCGTCAACGACATGCTCAAGATTCATTCTTGCAAACTGCGAGATCAAGGAGCCTTGAAACCCCGTCTTGATACCAAAGACTTTGGACACAGTGTCTGCTAAGATACCCTGACTTGTCTGTCCGTGGTCGACAATATTGAAGATGGGAACATTTCCACTTGGGGCGTCTTCTCCTTTGGAACCCAGGGTTGGCCTCCGGCTCGTGGTGGGAGAGGAAGAGGGTATGGTCGAGTTGGTGGATCTCCATTGCGCCGCTGCCCATAGCGCTCGTGCCAGATCCTCCACGTGGACCGTATTGATCCGTAAGTCCTCCGTCCACAACCACTTCAGTTCCTTCTGCTGCTCTTGGTAGACCCGTGCCAGACACAGCGCTTTGCCAATGAATTTCGAGTCATACTCTCCATAGACGTACGCTAGACGCAGTATGACGAGATTTAATCCTGGTATCCGAGACAGGTCTTGCTCGGCCTCCAGCTTGACTTTGGCGAGTTTCATCCAGGGCTTCAATTTGTCTTGTTCGGTGCGGGGTGTGCGATTGGGAGCATAGACCATGCCCGTGCTGGCCTCGACAAAGGCTTTCACTCCACGTTTTGCCGCTTCTTTCCCCAGAGTGACACTGACTTGCCAAGACCGCAGCCTGTATATCTCGGGCGCCTGTGACCAAGCAGTTTCCCCGGCAAGATTGAAGACGTAGTCCCAGGTTGCGTCGGGCCCGTCAGGGTGGTCGAAGATACGGGATACGGAGGACTCTCGCGATGCATCGGCTTGCATGAATATCTCGGGAGAACATGCTTCAGTGAATTCCGGGGCAAGGTGTGCGAGTTGAGGCAGGACTTTATCGACTATGCGAACGGATGATGCAAGATTCTGCGAATGTATGTACTTTGCGAGGAAACGGCCAGTGTATCCTGGGACGACGGTCAGTGAATCCGGCGGGTATACATCTGGACTTCAAGTTTGACACACCAAGACCTCCGACTATCAGGACCGAAGGTTTGTGAGTGCCATTGGCAACGCCCGCTTGATCGCTAACAGCCATGAGGGGTTCGTCTAGCCGAGGTGATGCGACAGATAGAGTAGGGAGCAGGGGAAAGATGCAGTGGCAGGAAGAGAGCGCATCTACAAGAACAGCGAGCCCTTGGTGCCAGATGGCCTGGCTTCTGCGAAAGCACAAGGAGCGAGGGGACACCTCGAGTTCTTGTTGGGGTGGTGACAGAGGAGGGGAAGAAGGAATGGTGTGAGTGCTGCAGGTGGGCGGAGGGGAGGGAGATAGGAGAGCACCCCTGTTGAGATCTCGCGGATTGGCCGGCGGGACAGGGACTCGTGCAGGACACCAGTGCGATAGGACCTATGTAGTATGTACGGAGTACCTTTAGGTATGCACGAGTCCTCCGTTAGGTATTCACAAGGTGAAACCAGGATACAGCTCACTGAGCCTGAGGCTTATTAGGCCTGCCGGGCCAGTGGCTCCTGCGCCGTATCCGTACTTCCTACTTGAGAGCATGAGATTACAGGTTGAACTTGAAGCTGGCAAGTGGCACGGCCCGCATGGCAGGAGCCAGCAGCCAGCAGCCAGCAGCCACTGTGATGGCGTAATCAGTACTCCGTACGGAGGTCGGAGCATGCCAGCCAGAGCTAGAGCTCGGACGCTGCTCAGTTCCTTACTCCTTTATTAGAGGAGTGAGCACTGAGCGCAGTGAATTGAAATGCCTAATCTTAGCCAGAGAACCAAGTATAACCACATCCATCCTCCGGCCAGAAGAGAACAAGGCCTGTCAAATCTCAAACTCAGGTAGCCGAGGTCCAGGTCAACACCGGGGCCACTGAGGTGACTGGTGATTGCAGTAGCACTGCCTGCGGGTGGGTTCGTGGCCCTTGTCGTCCTGCTCTCTCCTGTGCCCTCAGGGATTCGTTGTGGTCTACGCCGTACACATATATGCAGGTCCCCGTCCAGGGGAGTGCATGAGCACGCATTAGTGCTGGGGATGGCCACAAACAGGTGTTGAGGCGCATACAAGCCTGTCGTCGAAGATGCCTAGCTACCAACCTTAGGTACTACAGGGTTCAGTGCCTGCTTACAAAGGGGAGCACCTATCTACGGATCCAATATATCTCATGAGGATGGAGTTCTGCACCCTAACCATACAAGACACCTGCAGAACAAGGCAGAAAAGGGAATACTGTAATGTAGTATTAGTATTTATACAATTGAAGATACCTGTCTACCCCATACAACGCATGCTTGGCCGTGACTAGGGATCAGCATCCCCTCCGCCGCCATCTGAATCCCTGCCACACACTGCTTGCATACCCGTCACACACTGACACCAGCATGGGTCCGGGGTCTGGACCTGTCCGGTACGAGTATCCCCACCGTCTCAAGGCTGAAAGAAACCCCTGCTCCAGTGCGTGGATCGTTCTTGTGCAGAATCACCCCTGCCGAATGCTGCTCATCATCTCCATAGTGTACATGTACAATGCGCACTGCATGACAAACGCCTGGACCTGTCGCTCAAAACGGTGCAGAAAGAAGAGAACGTCTCAACGATGCTTATGCTGCTGCACCGGGGATAAAGACAAAGTCGATGCTGCTGCACAATGCCACCCTTGAATTACTCCTGACCTTCTCTGTAGGGTCCTTGATTCCACATGCTGCTGAAGAACACTTTGGGGTCTCGATGCGCTGAATTCCTCTCGTTACCCGCCACCAAGAACGCTCGCAAATTGGTATTAAGGCCAAGGTAGCCCGGTGCATCGTCGAAACGCTGAACCCTTGAAGCAACCAACCAACGTCACGCCTCTGTACTGCCTTTATTTTGCCGCTGCCGGCCGTGGCTGCTGCTTGACGTTCGTCGAGAGCCAGCTCTACACAGGGTGGTCAGTGCCGGAATCAACCGAACAGGATTGATGTCAACTTACTAAACCTTCGAGCAATCCCTCCCCCGTGGTGGCGCAGCTGGGCACAACATACCAAGTCCGGTCCTTTAATTGTGACAATCTCAGTTTTTCGGTCACTTCTGTAGGGGTCATGGAGCCGGGAATATCTTGTTTGTTGGCAAACACCAGCAACAGCGCTTCTTTCATCTCTCGGTCCAGAATGATCCGGTGCAGCTCTTGTCGGGCTTCATCTATCCGTGCTCGGTCGTTGGAGTCGATGACGAAAATGAGGCCTTGGGTACCAGAGAAATAGTGGCGCCAAAGGGGTCGAATCTTGTCTTGCCCTCCTACATCCCAGACATTGAACTTGACATTCTTATATGTGACGGTCTCCACGTTGAACCCGACCGTGGGGATGGTGGTAACATCCTGGTTGAGTTTCAGCTTGTAAAGGATGGCTAGACCGCGTCAGTTATATGACCTCTGCTGCGACACGCATACGCCGGCACCCGCGACATGCATTGGGCTCGCGTCACTTACTTGTCTTCCCTGCGGCGTCGAGTCCCAGCATCAGTAGTCGCATTTCCCTCGAGCCGAAGATCTTCCCCAGCATCTTAGATATTTGGTTACCCATCTTCCTAGTTTGCTCGAGCCTCGGTCGAGTCGCTCGCAGTAGACAAGATCCGTTCCGTTCGGGGTATCAAGGAATGGTGTGGCCGCAAGTCGTGGATCAACACGGAGAATCGCTTCGGTCCGACTTGAAGGAGGCAGGCCGCTGGAGGAACCAGAGAAACGGTAGACCGACCTCGCGGATAACTTGGACGTGAGAATGTCTAGGTAGCGATGGAGCGACGATGCACACTGTGGATATTGGGCTTCGTGAGAGCCCCAAACTGCCGGGCACAAAAGGCAATCGGGAGTTCAGGAGGGAATCTGGTCGATCGGGATGGTACGAAATTATTACTATCGCGGCTTGACCCTGCAGTGCGGGCGCAGTCAGGACTCAGCAGAATCGACAACCGCGTCCGCCCGTCCTGCAATCAATCAAGTTACGCAGGAAAGGGGCTTCAGTCACGAGTTTGAAGCTAACACCATACAGGACTAGGTCACCGTTGCGGTGCACGTGCACATCCGCCCTCTCCATTTGCGCCCTGCCCCGTTCCGTGATCGACCCGTGAAACGCATGGCCTGCCGTGCCTGAATATCGCATGTAGTGCCTCAAGACCGTGGTCAGACGAATGGAATATCCGTAGACTCCTCCGGTGCCATCAGCAGCCCATCCACAAACTCCCATCCTGCATGCTGCATGATGGTCCACTTCTCCGCCACCTTCTTCGTCACGAGGTCGCCCGTCGCTATGGCATCCTCCTTTGAGTCATGGCCAGCCTCGCCGCCGGTTTGGATCCCTCTTGATAGGTGCTTTTGACTCAGCATTTTGAGTCCGTATCTAATGGGCAAGCCACGTGGATGGGGGTACAGGAGCGCAGTGTCGATGACGAACGGGTGGATGATTCGGCACACATTCAGATCGTTTTCAATGGCATGACCGATCAAAGGCGTGTTTGGGCTGAGGCAGTCGAAGAGCAGCTGTCTCGCCACTGCCGGTGATTCCACTCTGCGTAATTTGAGAGCCTGACCGGACTCGACTTGTGCAGCAGGCTCACTCTGGTCAGGTATTGTAGCATCGTATGGCAGCGCGTTGGCGAAAGCGTGCTGCGTCACACCCGAAAATCTTGTGTTCAAGTCGAGGATCTCCCCAAAGGGTCGCACCAAAATATCAAGTACAAGTTTCCCTTCGGGCCAAGACACAGCAGTGACCCGGATAACCTCCATTCCAAGGGTGGTATATCCCATCTCGCAATCGAACGAAATTGGCTGGCGTCCGCGTATGTCGGGCTTATCCGGTGTATGCTCAAACTGCAGGATAGCTGCGAGTCTCTTGGGGTCCTTGACACTGAAGACATGTGTTTCGGCCTCGGAGCAGCCTTCACTGCCTTGTAGTTTGTTGCAGCACGGGTAAATGGCCTCGGACTGGCCCAAGATCCTGTCAGTTCTCAGCGAAGTCGAGCGATTGGGTCTGGCCCAGTGGTATTGACACTTCCCCTTGCTTGTGAGACGCCCGCCCTCGTCCCGGCCTGGGAATACCTGGAATCGTGTACCACATCGATCACAGCTCTCAAACCCTGCCCCGGCCGCCAACCCTGCTTTGGATGACGCAATCTCGCTGGCAGTGGGCTTGCTTGTCACGTACCCGAATTGTTCAAGGCCTTCTAGCGGAGTTCGTAGGTGTCTGAGAACAGCTACTTGCTCGCTTCTAGACGACAACTCTGATGGTAGTGATGTTGGAGCATCTCTGTCCGACTTCTGCCCGGGTTGGACTCGTGAGGACATTCCAGTCCAGTCTGCCACGGCCTTGACCCATTCATCCTTTGTCATCTTTTTAATGCGCAATACCGTCTGAGACACTGCATTCTTGTAAATGTTCTCCCCCAGCTTGGTGGCCGCCTCCTCCTCGTCGAGAGCAAATGTAATCGACTCCTGCTTGTCGAGCACTAGAGGCTTCCATTTATCCCCGGCTGCCGCAAGCTTTTCATTCTGAGCGCACACCTGCTCGTGCAATCTCTGCAGTGCCGCCAACCTCGTCTTCCACACAGCTGGAGCTTTTGCCACATTTCGGGGTGTTAAAGACTCGGCTTTGACGACCTTTCTTATGGCTGATCCCACCGGACGCTTATTTTCCCTAGTTGGTGGCGGTGACACTGTCTTTGTGATTGAAGTTGGTATTGCCTTGTCTGTCGATCCTGACTTGGATATGCCATTTGGGAATGGAGCCTGGTTAGTTTTGTTCGCCGACAAGTGGAGGACTTTTGACTTGGCGGCCGCCAGCGGAGGCGGAAGCTGAGGCCTTGGTGCAGTAGGATTCGGCTGCACTGTATCATCTTCCTTTTCTACCTGTGGAGATGCGAGCCTCCTTCTCTTGGGAGGGGGGGCAATGATGTCTCCTGCACTGAATGGATCATATTCCTGAGCTGCTTTGGTAGCTGTATGTGCGTCCGGGAATGGCGGTGATGGGTCATGGAAAAAGAAGCAACTTGGAAGAGTACAGTCGTGTTGCCGAGGACACGGGACTCCCTTGAACAGACCTAAGGCGGAGAACATGGCGGCAGCACGAAGTTGAGTAAAAGCTTTTAAAGAGTCGGCGGTGGCCTGAGCCTGGCCGCTTGTTATTCCACCTTTCGCGGTGACTGCAGATGGCTGTTGCCTGTTGGCGTTGTGCACAGCTGTATTAGGTAGTTGTACACTCGACAAGTGAGTGAATCTGCCAGAAGACGTAGTGGGGCCAGCTCTCGGGCTCCGAATATGTTACAGGCAAGGCTTGGGAGGCTCGAGATTGGCTGAATCTATGGGCAACCGTTCATCGATCGATCAGATTGAATTAGGTCGGCCAACCACGGGGCGACTTTTCATGGAGTAACTTAAAACTCCAAGCCTTGTAGGAAAATGATAAGGGTTCGGGCTCGTGTCCAGTGTCCACCAGCCCAACGCAGGCCAGGCCTTATCGCCTGTCAACGAATGGCCCAGATAGCAAGCCTGACAAGAACCAAGGCATGCAGTATCAGTGGTTGAAGTCGTGCCGGGGAGGGAAGAGCGAACCTGTTTGATCCTGGCGTACCCTACTGAGATCGGCCCGTCAGAACGTATATGAACTGCAAGGCGCCGCCGTTTGCGTGAGAAGTCTGTGTAACTGTAACACCGTCCGCCAGGCACTCAACCCTTTCGCCCTCTGGACTTTTGAGGCTCGGCGACATACATCCACCGAGTAATTAGCCAGCCCGCAACTGGTCGCACATGCGGTACTTCCCCCGCCTTTACGATCTGGGACAAGCAGGACAACAACCAAAGCCCTAGAAACAGTGGTGGGCGGATTCAGCGTTGTTGGCGGTACAAGAGACAACAAACGAGTGACAAGAGATAAGAGGCCAGAGACGAGAGACACTGAACGAGGCCACAAGGAACCGAACAACCGCAGGCAAACCGTGCCTGCGGTAATTTGTTCACTGCCAGTCTGCCACCCCCTGAGGAACCCGGGTGTTTTCGCTGCAGCCTAGCCGCGAATAGTAGGGCCAAGGGGCTCTAAGGCCTAGAGGATCATATCTGACTGAGGCCTCGGGCCCTTTAGCGCCACCCCCCAGCCAGCACCCGACGAAAGGCAGCCAGTGCGTGGCGTGGCTGTGGCAGCTTGTCGTCATCCAACTGCAGGGCTAAGGGCTAAGGGCATATCTACCTACCAGAATGGCTGCACTTCCATTCGACCTGCGCAGCATAGACAGACAGGCACTTTTCTACAACCCGGACATGGCTGAAGGCACCCGGAAATCAGGAAGTGCGACTCCAAGCAAGGCTTCTCATCTCGTCGCATTGGTCCACGGGTGCGTGTCACACAGTTCCTCATCTCTGGACGCGAACACTAACACTCTCACAGACTTTGGGGTAACGCGGTACGGTATGAGACACTTGCTGCAGTCGAGCCCGCTAATTGTTTTCTCTAGTCTCATCTCAACTATCTTGTAAAAGCCCTCCGCGAGAAATACGGCGAGGAAGAGCTCATTGTCCATGCCTGCCGCAACAACGGCTCGTCCTTGACCTACGATGGCATCGAAGTTGGTGGCGAGCGCATCGCCAAGGAGATCGAAGACATTCTACAAGAGCTAGGGCGCGATGGGTACAATATCACGAAATTCTCCATCGTTGGGTATTCTCTGGGAGGCCTCGTTGCCCGCTACGCCGTCGGGTTGCTTGACTCGAAAGGATATTTCGACAAGATGAGCCCAACCAACTTCACCACCTTTGCCACTCCGCATTTGGGCGTGAGGACGCCATTGACGGGCTATCAGAATCATCTGTGGAATGTGTTAGGGGCCCGGACACTCTCGGCATCTGGGCGGCAATTGTTCATGATTGACAAATTCAGGAACACCGACCGACCGATTCTGAGTGTGCTGGCCGACCCTAACAGCATCTTCATCCACGCCCTCGCACGTTTCCAACACCGATCCCTGTACACCAATATCGTCAACGATAGGTCGGCGGTGTTCTATACCACTGGAATTTCGAGGACAGATCCTTTCACCGATCTCAGCAGGATCGACATCCATTATCTCAAGGGTTACGAACCTGTGATATTAGATGCTGACCATCCGGTTGACCTAATCCCTAACCACGAGCTGCCCTCGTTCTATCAGCGGGTCCGTCACAGTAGCCAAACCTTTCTGCACCGAACACCAATCTTTCTCGCGCTGATTCTTTTGATACCTGTCGCGACTCTGGCGTTCTTGGCCAACTCCTGCGTCCAGACCTTTCGGAGCCGTCGTCGAATCCAACTTCACGAAACCGATAAACATGGAGTGGGCTTTGGAATGTATCGCATACCTTACATGGTCCGCGAGATGCGGGTTGGTCTGGAAGACGCGTTTGAGAATGTGAATTCGGCACAAGAACAAGAATACCTTCCTGAAGGCTCCGAGGAAATTGCGACTGGTGTTGCCTCATCCTCGGTCTCGACGCTTGCCAACGCGTCCTCCGAGTCTTTGTCCTCTGAAAAGACAGATATCGACGTGACTAACAAGGACAAGTCAATAGCCGAGAGGTCCCCCGACTTTTCAACGCTGGCGCTGACCTCGATGCAATTCGCAATGATCAAGGCTCTCGACGACGTGGGATTTCGCAAGCATCCTGTATATATCCACAAGAGCAGTCACAGTCATGCTGCAATAATTGTACGTGCTCCTCGACCTGCGTTTGAGGAAGGGAAGATAGTGGTGCAACACTGGCTAGACAACGAATTCCACATCTGAACACGGATCGGCATGTCAACTTGAGATTGAGCTCTGTATCTGACCTGGCGTTCTGGGTCTTTTTAGGCCGCGCGGCGTTGTGTTTGTTCAGCGTTCAGCTCGTCTTTACCGAAGGTGCTGGCCCAACCAATGACCCGCGTTTCCGGGTTGGTCTGGGGAAGTTGTTCCTCGGTTTGTCCTGTATAGTACGAGTACGGCACGATTGTGATTAGAAATGAAGATGATTGGCACCTGAGCCTGCTTATCCAGAAGGGCAGCCTGCGCGGCATGCGTTCACACCGCCAACCTAGGGACGAGGGTCCCGTGTCCCTTGTCCAATGTGCAGTGTGCAGCGTGCCGTGTGAATGCCAGGGCGTGTTGCTGACAGTGCCTGTACTGGCTGGCCGCTGCATGGGCTTTATCTATGAGGACACGACGGCAAGAGCCTGAGCGTATTATTATCACATGTGATAGGGAGCACCGGTACTTCGAGTCCTGAGTCCCCCGAAACATTCCCTAGTGGACAAAGGATCATCTTCAGGACTTGAGGCCGACTGCGAGTGTTCCTGACTAGGCCAGCTGCTGATTCGGTGGGCAAGGCGATGACTGCAGTGGCGTTCGGTTAACACGAATGGAGAGCGGCGATGGATCCCAGACCAGCTCCATCGACCTCCACCAAGACCCTTGAAAACCTCTGGCAAGGCGCCACAGGGTCTGACAGCGAGCAGAGGGCAGCCCGACAGCAGACCAGATGCAGACCAGTGGCAGACCAATGGCAGGCCAATCATGAGCAACAATCAGACGGCTGGTCAATCTTCCGCCGGCTCTTCGCAGGCTGTGCACCGATGGCCAGGCAGGTGATTGCCGACTCTCTGTCCGCGACGTCGCCGTTTCCTGTCGCGGACGGGCCGGCCTCTGAAGAGTCTGGAGGTACGAGTACGAGTACGATTGTTGCACCGTGCAGTGGCCAGGACCGAGGGACGATCGCTCCAAATTGGAAGGGCACTGACTCTGTGCAGAGGTTTCTGCAGAGTCTGACTGCCGGTGCCCTGATACGGAGTGCTCACCAGTTTTTCTCTCCCGCGGGCGATAACAAGCAGTCCTCATTCGCCCACCAGGCTGAACGCCCCCATCATGTCGACGTCATCTCGCCTGTATCAAATCTTCCTGTGGATATCAACTCCGGCGCTGTGACCCATCTCTCAAACGACGGGCTTTACCTCAATTTTCGTGATACCCACTGTTTTGGTTGCAGTGTTCATGTACCAGTCCACTTATTATCCACGTGTGTCCGTCGGGGCGTTCTTGTCTCTCCAGAAGAATCGGACGCCCTGGGCCAGAGGCTGGTATATAACCCAAAGACCCTTTCCGGAGCAAACCCCTCCACCCCGTAGAGTATCTGTATCCATCATCTACTAGCATTACAGGTCTTGTTCTGGACTCCCGACATCTGAATTTGTGCTTCACTGTTATACCACTTTTTGCCGACATGACAGCGCGAGAAACAGACACCAGCGCCGTCGATATGGCAACCCAGCCGGCCCAGGATGCCGAGAACAATCTGCTGTCCCCCGTTCCTGGCGGGAAAAGGTCCAGGAGAGAAACACGGAGACTGTCTAGCCAGAGTGTTACTCGGGCAGATCTCTTCGCAGGCCCGACAGTCGTTGCACCACCTGAACACATAGGCTCGAAGACCAATGCCCACTCAACCGCCCAGGCCATGGAGATGGCCAAACACCACTTGGCCGAAGGTTCCGAGGTCAGCACTCCAGACGAGTCCGGGCCGTCGACGCCGGATGATTCGGGCCTCAAGACGACCGACAAGTATGCCTTCGCTTTCGATATCGATGGTGTGCTTATCCGCGGAGGCGAAGTCATCCCCGAGGCTATCGAGGCCATGAAGGCTCTGAACGGCCAGAACGAATATGGCATCAAGGTGTAAGTCCCTGAAATCTCCTGGGTGTTGTTCGGCGGCCTAGTGCTGACGACGATTCATAGGCCCTATATCTTCGTGACCAATGGAGGCGGTAAGACCGAAGAAGAGCGATGTATTCAACTATCGCAACAGCTTCAGATGGAGGTGTCCCCTGGACAGTTCATTTGTGGTCATACCCCCATGAGGGAGCTGGCGCAGAAGTATCACACCGTCCTCGTCGTCGGCGGCGAAGGCGATAAGTGTCGCAAAGTCGCCGAGGGCTACGGATTCAAAGATGTCATCACTCCCGGAGACATCATCAAGGACAACAAAGACACCACTCCCTTTAGAACGTTGACCGAAGAGGAGCTGAGGCACTCGAAGAAACGCAACTACGGCGAGGTCAATATCGAGGCTGTCTTTGTCTTTGCCGACAGCCGAGATTGGGCGGGAGACTCTCAAATCATCCTCGACTTGTGCATGAGTAAGAACGGTCGGCTCGGCACCCGTTCAGAAACCTTCGATGAAGGTCCTCCCGTCTTCTTCTCTCACAACGATATCCTCTGGGCCACATCCCACAGCTACTCGCGAATCGGCATGGGCGCCCTTCGGGCTTCCCTAGAAGCCATGTTCAAAGCCATCACGGGCAAGGAACTCAAGACGGTTGCTTTTGGAAAGCCCCAAGTAGGAACCTTCGAGTTTGCAACTCGGCTACTTCAGCAATGGCGGAAGGACACCCACGGCATTAACCGACCTCCGGAGACGGTCTACTTCGTGGGCGATACCCCAGAGTCGGACATCCGGGGCACGAATGAGTTTGACGAAAGTGGCAAATCTGACGCCCAATGGTTCTCCATCTTGGTCAGAACTGGTGTCTTCCGCGAGGGCACACGCCCTGCCTACATGCCTAGGATGACCGTGGACGATGTCCTGGAGGCGGTTAAGTTTGGCATGAAGCGGGAGTTTGAGAAGGCAATGAAGAATCTAACAATTGGCGGCGGCGCACCTCAGCTCGCCAATGCCATCGCCGAGGACGACTTCGAGCACGAGGCAAACGAACAGCAACATCAATAGCATGTATGACGACGATTTCACGACACGAATGCATCATTGGACACGGTGTTTCCTAGGATCGGGACGGATTCCCCAAGCCAGATTTGACGACGGTTCTGGAGCCACCATTGGAATGGCGTTCCACAGCTAGCATGACAACTCCATGGAGTTTGCATTGCATGAGCAATAGGGTTACGAAAGGCGTCGATCGGGTCGTTTGGGTATGGCGATATTTTTTGCCCGAGCCGTCTGCGCCCATGGGCAAATGAGGCTGTCAGTTGCCATACCTGGGTAGAGTCGGGGGCCAATATTGAGGGTCCGTTCATAGAGTATACGGAGTAGTGACAGCTCATCTACCTAAGTATCGAATCATACATCTCATCCAGGATTGTGCCCTCGAGCGATTCCCTTGTCGACCTTTTTGTCTTTACTCATCTCATCGCTTGACAACCGGCGACATGTTCGATTGTTGACGGGAGAGGCTTCGAGGATGCTTCTAGAGACTGTGGTTGGCAGAAGCACGTCCCGAAAAGTCAACGGGGCCGGCCGCAGCGCCGACTATGTGGTGTAACCAGGGTTGCAGTGCCAGGGATGGCTCTCTGCATGTACCGCAGGCAGCCTTTTTTCTTTTTTTTCAGCGGTGGGATATATATAGGGGAGGGGTCGAAATTGCGCCGATGCGAAACGCAGATCGCGGAGGAGTGGCACGTCTGAGACATCTTTGCCTGAATCGAAGCCTGGTGCCTGGGCTGCCTCAGCCACGTCTTACTGCGTATAGGACACATAGGGCACATAGGGCGCAGGCGTTGAGGAACAGGTCCTCCGACCGTCAAGTACGGAGTACTGTGATGGTGACCAGTATTCTTTTGTTCGGGGCCCGACGCCCGAAGACGCCCTGCTGTTTAGCTGTTTAGTCGCGTCTCATACAGCGGACCTGGAAGATGGGAACAACAATAGCAATGATTTAGCTTCTGTGGTGACTCTCGTACCAGACTTCGTAGCTGCACCACCGAGACGATCATAAACAGTACCAGGCGGACTACGGAGTACCTCGATCGGTCACAGGACTCAGGCTGTGCAGTCGCTGGGCCTAAGACGTGTGTGGTCGTCTTCTTCTAGTTCGCATCTCCGTGCCTGCAAGGATGGCGAGGGCTGATTAAATCAACATGGGTATTTGCAGCCATCCCCCGACAAACTGACAAACTGCGTCTACCGTCCTTCGTCCAACCCTCCCTTCAACCCATCCTCTGGCGCCCCCTGACAAGACAGCCGCTCCAAATCCAGGCTGGCGTCCCTCTCGAACTTCCACCTGCCTTGCTCCAACTTTCCAACGCCCTTCGATGCTGGGTCAGAGGCCAGAATCCCAGCCTCAGTCAGATTCAGTTGTCCTGAGCGTTGCCGCCTGTCATCCTGTCGTGATCGGCGCCCTCCTCCTACCTACCTGTCTTTAAGCTGATTCTCGAGCCCTCGACTTTGAACTGCTCCCTGTTCAAGCATCAGAATCATTGCAGTTGATGCGTTCTAGCGCCTTGTGTCCTCGATTTCCTCCAAATATTTCTCTATAGAGTGCGACCGCGAATCTTTCCCGACCGAACCTTTTGCGCCTGCAGGCTACGACGCTGTCTGACCCAAGAAGTGCATCTTCCACAACAAAGCGCACCTCATCCTCACCAGAAGTCAGTCCCTCGGCCCCATTGTTTGGGTGAAGGGCGCACCGCGTCTATAGCCGTATGATGGCAACAGGAGGCGCAGGTACACCGACCTCACCCGAGCCTGTCAGCCAGCCTCTTCCTCGCAATACACCGGCCCCCAATACACCTGCACCCGCACCCACACCCACACCAGTGACTTCGGCATCCCCTCCGTCGAAAAGAGAGTTGGCCTCATGGTGGAGAAAGTTTCGGAAAACAACTGAGAAAAACGACGACAAAGGTAAGAAATGCGCGTGGCCTTCTGCTCAGCCGTCTACAGTGTGGGAAACCGCTCACCACTTACGGCCTACCTTGATTGATGTTACGGGACTTATCACTAACTGGATTGCAGCCGATGTTGTACCTGGGATATTTGGCGTACCTCTCGCCGACAGCATCCGATATGCGAACGTTGCCATTTCATTGCAAAATGAGAATGGCGAAAGCTTCATCTACGGATATGTGCCTATCGTGGTTGCAAAGTGTGGCGTGTTTCTGAAAGAGAAAGGTATAAATTATCCCAACACCTATCGTACTGCATCCGTAGCACCTAACTAACACACCTTCAGCTACCGATGTGGAGGGAATCTTCCGACTGAGCGGCTCTGCGAAAAGAATCAAGGATCTACAAACCGTGTTCAACTCGCCGGATAGATATGGAAAAGGCTTGGATTGGACTGGCTACACAGTACATGATGCGGCCAACATACTGCGCCGGTACCTCAATCAGCTGCCAGAGCCTATCATTCCCCTCGAATTTTACGAACGATTCCGCGAGCCTCTTCGCGCAAGTCACGCTGTCTTTGGCCCCGATGGCGAGACCCAGCCTCGGGATTTGACTTTGGATGAGCACACTGCAGCTGTGAGGACTTACCAGAAACTCATCACTCAGCTGCCGCCTCTAAACCGTCAGTTGCTCCTGTACATCCTCGACCTATTAGCAGTCTTCGCGTCTAAATCAGACCTCAACCGGATGCCTGCGGCCAACCTGGCCGCCATCTTCCAGCCTGGCATCATTTCCCACCCTTCGCACGACATGTCCCCAATGGAATACAGACTGAGTCAAGACGTGCTGGTCTTCTTAATCGAAAACCAGGACAATTTCTTGATTGGGATGTCTGGCACGGCCGTAGATGAAAAGACACAAAAGGATGTCGAGAGCGGCCCGCCGTCACTGCGCTCCCCCAAGGTCCTTGGACGCTCAGCGTCAAATGCAAGTGCTGGCGCCGAGAGCCTACGGAAATATGGAGTACGCCGCAATGTTTCTGTGTCTTCTCGAGGTTCCCGGGACAGGGGCAGTCCTGGGATTTCCAGCCCAGCTACTCCCTCTGTTGGCTCGTTCGTTGGAGCCACAACGGGCGGAAGTGTAGCTCGAAGCAATACAGTTCCGTCGAAACGATCTCCGGCCATCAACTCCGGCCGATTTCAGAGGATGAATGATACCTCTGGTTCGACCTCGCCGGTTGTCAGCTCTTCGGCGGCAGCCCCAGGGACTCCAACGGCGAATCGAGAGGGGACAGAGTCGAAGTCGTCGCGATCTGAGTCTATCGTTCGGGATGAAGTCAGCAATAACAGAGGGTTGGCTCCTGAAGCTGATGGCAAGAGAGTGATGACCTCTGCTCAATATCTCCCGGCGCCAAATCAGCGATCTCAACAACAGACCCAGCCTCTTCCCTTTGAATCGTCGCCGGGTCCTCCGGCCGGCTCAGGGTCAGCTCAGGCTGCAGGTCCGGCTCCCGGGCCCACTCGTGAGCGAAGGATATCGAATTTGCTTCACAAGTCGCCTATCTTTGGTCCATCGGATTCACAGGGAAGGCAGCCCAGGAAACTCCAGAAGAAGCAGAGAATTCCTGGAAGCTCCAACGAGAGCGCTCAGAGCTCTCTGAACTCGCTACATGGTGAAGAGCCGGGCATTTCTCACCCTCCTTTTGTGTCTCCCGACATCAACAGTGCAGGCAGATTGGATCCGCTAGCTGCGCCTCAAGGCCCTGCCTTGACGAACACTGGGGCCACTCCCGTCGATGAGGCGCCGGGCTTATATCAATACACGGCGGCGGTCAGCCGAAACGATGTTCAAAACCACTCGACTGGTTTGAGACCTCCCACAAGTCCTCCTGGATCCACCCATTCACGCTCTTCCTTTACCGATCACTCAGAAGCCGATCTTGTCGATGAAACGCTCCCACAACTTGAGCAAGAGAGGCGACGTCGTAGGTGGAGGTTTTCATCGTCGGCGAAAAAAGCGGAGAATTCACCGTTGGCCCCGCCTCCTCCAATTGGGCAGAATCCGGGTGCCCGAGGGAGCAACAGCTCTCTTGGTAGCTCGAGCCGACCCAGAAAGAGCTTTACTGGCGAGTCTCGGGACCCTTCTGTGACAAGCGGCCAGCACCCACTTGCAGGACAGTCGAGTCAAGAATCAGGTGAAGTCCTGAGGGACCAAAGCATGGACACGGAGAAGAAGGGTCTGTTTGGGAAATGGAAGGCCAAAATGGCGCAAACCAGAGAGGAAAGGCAGGCCGAGAAAGAACGGGCAAGGAGCCCTCCAGCCCCGGGGAGTGAACAAGGAGCATCGCGAAGCAGTTTGACCGCCTTTGCGCAGGACAATCTACCTCAAAGGGGCCGATCGTTTGATAAGCCCGTGGAAGAAGCGCTGTCAAGTGTTGCTGAGAGGCCAGCGGACGAGGCGGGCAGGCAAGCAGGACCGGAGTCAGGACCGCCGGAGAGAGCCGGGGCATAATTGACTTGGGATGTTTCTTGGAAATGACTGGTTTGGAATAGTCTTTGTCAATGTCGTTAGCATGGTGTCGAGGCACATTGGACAGCGGTCGGGCATATGGAGAGTCAAAGGCAACAAAGACTAAGTTACATGGTACGCGAGTCATCATTGCGCAGTTTGGGATATCCATACTCGTACAGGTATTTGCAAGCCAAGCGAAACCCTGGGGCCTTCAGAAAGAGGCGGGATGGGACGATCGGACCGAGCGAGATAAGTGTACAAGGCGGTACAAGATGCATATCCCTTATGGGTATTATCAAAGGATGAGTATAAGATGCTCTACGGAGTACGCAATAATGAAGTACGCAATAATGATTCCCTCGAAGTTTTTCATATCTCACATTCTTAGGCACCGTCCTGCTCCGATCACGTGAGAAGGCTGAAGAAGGCTGACCCAAATAGGCTTGGTGCCATGTTCGAGGTGTGCGGCTCCACCAAAATTTCGCTCTCACAATCGTCTTTTTCTGGTGTGCGGATAGCAAGTCATAAGAATTCCACCACGACAGCTTCAGCCAACCTCTTCTTCTTCCACACGCTTGCTTTTGACTCACTCATTAAGCCTCCTGCTGGATTGCCAGATCACCACCAAATCCTCACATTCTGAAAAGTCGAGACTCTCGGAGGCCTCCCTGAACACGCTCCGACGCAGTTCGGCATAATTCTTCTTGCGCATTCCCATCCATAGGCACGAAGAACGTTGGGAAGCAATGGCGAAGGAAAAATCCACCACGGACGTCAAACTGTCCAAAGAAGAGCGTAAGGCCGCGCGCAAGGCCGAGAAGCAAGCCCGGAAATCGGAGACTGCGGGCGTGACGAAAGTCAAGTCGGACAAGAAGGAGAAGAAAGAAAGCCGCAAAGCACTGGCGGAGAAGGCGCTGAACGAGCTCGAAGGCGAGAGCTCGCGAAAGGCCAAAAAGGAGAAGAAGGTGCAAAAGGAGGAAGAGAGCGATGACGACGATGAGGAAGATGGCGAAGGCGTGTCCGTCGAGAAGAGTGAGGATGGCGATGAAGTCATGAAAGAGAATGATGAGAGCGCGGATGAGAAGAAAGAGAAGAAGCAGGAGAAAGCAGCCCGACCGATCGGGGCGCTGGTGCCGTTTGCGAACCCCCTGGCTGACGAGAAGGTCGCGAAGAAGGTGTTCAAAGGCGTTAAGAAAGGTATGTTACATCCTCAACCCTGGTGATATCACCGCCCTCTCACGTTTTGTCTTCCTGGACTCCTACGCTTGTACTTGACTCTTCTACGAAAGAAGTTGTGTCGTACTTTTACTCTGTTCTACGAAAGAAGCTGTGTCTACTGGTGCTATGGACTGCCCCAGCCTCCTCTCCTCTACCCCCTCTGGTTCCTCTTCTCTACCCCCTCTAGTTCCTCTCCTTTACCCGCTCTGGCTCTGGTTCAATGAGAGATGCTGACTCGCTTTGGTAGCTGCCGCACAACGCACGCTCAAACGCGGCGTCAAAGAAGTTGTCAAAGCGCTACGCAAGTCGCCGACATCGAGTTCCGATTCATCGCTTCCAATCGGCCTCGTCATCCTCGCCGCCGACATTTCTCCCATGGATGTCATCAGCCACATCCCCGTGCTTTGTGAGGACCACAGCATCCCATACGTCTACGTGACCAGCCGTGCGGAGCTGGGCACCGCCAGCCAGACCAAACGGCCCACCAGTGTGGTCATGGTCAGTCGTGATGTGGGCAAGAAGGCCAAGGACTCCAAGGCGAAAGCCACGGATGCCGACGCCGACGGTGAGAACTGGGAAGAGACATACAAGAGCCTGGTCAAGACCGTGGAGCGGGAGGGCCGCCATGTCAAGATCTAAGTACTGGCGTGGCCTGACCTTCTCGCGCGTGCATGTGCATGGACCCAGGGGCCAGAGGACTAGGGAGCCAGGGGGCCAGAGCTGGACAGGATGTCTCGAGACGCCAGAGCGGCAATGGCGATGGCGTTGGCGTTGGGTTCGAACTTGTGGAGTTAAGCTGCTCATCTAGCTCGGTGGTGGATATTCATTCATTCTTCTGCTCGATAGCCAACTTGCTATTAATTCTTCTGCTCGACACGGACAACTTGTTCGCCCAGCGCCTGAGTGGCCAGCACGCCAGCCTTTCCCAAGCTCCCGCAAATCCAAATCATTGATGACCAGCACCTCGAAACGGCTACGACGGCCTCAGGCCCCAAACTTATCGTCCAACTTAGCGGGCTGGGAGGTCGGGGTTCAGGGTTCAGGGTTCAGGGTTCACACTGGCAGCAGAATACAGGGCATAGGGCCACGGTTCAGGGTTCACACTGCAGCAGAATACAGGGCATAGGGCCACGGAATCCGAACCATCCCGCGCTATTTCTAATTTGGTTCGATACTGCTCTGCGCCAGAGGATAAGTCGTTGCATGGCATGGCATGGATGATGGATGCATGAATTGAAGCATTGCTTACTTGATTGCTCTGGGTCTGCAGCCCTGGACTTACATTGCTTGCTTGATTGCTTTGGGTCCGCAGCTCTGCTGGCTGGACTTACAGTGCGCTCAGGGTAGGGTGCGTCTCTGAATCGCCTGCCTGCTCTTTCTGCTTCTGCTTCTGCTTCTGCTTCTGCTACGTACGGGAGGACATGGGTTCGGTCGGCAGTGGCAGTGTACAGAAAAGGCGTCGGGAGTTCCAAGGCCTCTCTCTGTGTGTGTCTTGACTCTTTATAGCTCTGTGTGTCTCTTTTTAGGCCTGAGCTAAGATCATGAGACAGCTTTGTATCTGAGAGTTTGTATTATGCAGAACTTGAAATCCAACCAGGAAAAGGAGACCGAGAATCCATCATATCTCATCATATCATATCCTGTCTTTCCATCATATCTCATCATATCTCATATCATGTCTTTCCATCATATCATATCTCATCATATCCTTATCATGTCTTTCCACCGGATCTAAGCTGGGTTTGTAGGGCGGATCTCATCATATCCTGTCTTTCCACCGCATCTAAGCTGGCTTCATAGGGCGGACGTGTTCGTTCACCACCGTGCCACTCGACTTGCATAGAGAACCATATCCACTTGTCTTCGTCTTCGTCTTCGACTGCGTGCGGACCCGAATGTGGGTTAAGAGATGGCAAGATAGAGACACGGGCTTGTTTGACATTGACACTGAAGCTGGCACTAGAAGCAGCCATGTCTTCAAAAAGAACCGATTGAATGAATAGGATGCTGGGCCGTCAGACGTGATAATGTCCCCCTGTGACCTGACGGCGTTGGCGACTTTGCAAAAGCCGTGGGGGATTATCGACAATTGAGTCATCGGCTAGCTAGACAGTAAAGTCATTCTGAATCTCGCATAGCTGATCCATCTTGCGGTGCGTGATCGGCCAACACTTGTCCCATCGGGTCTGAGGCTTCTCGGTGATAGGAGGAGGACGAGGAGGAGGCTGTGGCATCAGCTTGGGACTGTCGTAAGAGTCGACATTGTCTTGAGACAGCCTGGCGGTAAAGATCTCATACAAGACCTGGAAGAATTCAAAGCTCGACGGAAAATGCCAAACGGGATGGCCGTAGCCCAGGTCATTGACATCATCCATGTCACTGCCTAAGGTATCTTCCGGCACAACAATCAGTACTAGTTGACTCGCTGAAGTCGTATAATCTGAGGTGAAGATTGTCTCTGACCAAGTTTGTTGCTGAGATATCCGCGATAGGATGTGGCTGTAGTGGTGGACCGATAGTGTGCTGTACAATCTGATCGTCTTGGCTACTCCTTGTGTCCATTCTAGTGGGTGAGCGATATCGATAGATGGTACAGCACTCGCACCTGCGGCATAAGCCAGATCAGAAAGGCATCTCTTCTGGCTCAGAATGAAGTTGAAGTAATCACTCTCAGACTGACATCGCTCAGGAGTCTTGAATAAAAGGGTCCACGGCCACTCACTCATGTCTGCCACTACTGCCTGAATCTAGCCTCTCCTTTCCAATGGATTGTTTGACTAGCATATTCAGTGCCCTAGACACTTCCGATCGACTTGTCGCTTGCATGGTTCTTGAGAAGCCATCTTAAGGAAGGTGAAAAGTGTCGATATCAATCAATCCGAGACCTCGGGAATCACGGACTGTCCAGGGCACCAAGTTCAACAATATCCGCTTCCGGGGTTTGTCGACCAAATAGATCAAGAGATCGCCGGTTTCATGGCATCTTTGTTGTCGTCTCTAGGTGATGAAGACGGGCCCCTTAGCCCAGGCCGACGGAATTCAGAGCCGCCGAGAGCTCATGACAGGTCCGAAATGCAGCTTTGGTCCAGCATTTGTCAATTATCCCACCGAGACACACGCCCTGTGTGCTAGGGAGATGTTCTCTTCGTGGCCAAGCCGCGGCAGCCGGGCCTGGAGGTTGATCCTTGAAGAGATCGAAGTCGCAACGCTCACCGGTGACCACCTCGTACATGACAGCACCGAGCTGGCCCATGTCGGTGTAAATGGAGAAGCCGTGATCGTCGGCCGTCAGGATATCGCAATCAGGAGCCAAGAGTGAAGATTCGCTAAAGTCGGAGAACCTGATGGATGTGTCTGCGGCCAGTAGAAAGTTCCGAGTCTTGATGTCGGCCACCACCACGCGCCGGTCGTGGATGGCGGCAAGATGACGGGCCATGTCGCGGAACCACGAGAGCTTCAGCGCCTCCGGAGGGGCATGTCTTTGTCTTTGGAGATAGTCGTGTAGATTTCCATTTTCCATAAACACCATCTGGATCCCGGGTCCTGGATGATCGAGACACTCCACCACTCCGTCGCAGTTCTTCAACCGCCGGTATACACTTTTTTCGTGTCGGATGGTCTCGTCGTCTTCGTAGGAACCATCGATGCAAGAGTCGAGGGCGAACTTGATGGCGGTACCTTCGCACTGGACAATCATGCCAGAGCCTCCCATCCCAACGATGGGAACCTGACGGCCGTTAAAATCCAATGTCATCGGAACCAAGTAACGAAAGTGAGGGTGTTATCTGGTGGTAAAATGGAATGTACGGAGTACTGTATGTGTATTTGAATGAGAGCGAGAGCGAGATTGACCATCAGCTGCAGAGGTGGTGGTGGGAACAAGGGTACTAAACACTAATCGCAACTGTCCTCAGACCAACTGTTCTACCCCTGTCTGGGGAGTGCATCGTTGCACTTCATGTCCACGGTGACTACCTCCCCTGAAACAGACAAGTGTGCAGCACTGGCATACATAATGCACTCTTCTCTCAGCGCCTCTTGTTCTCATTGACCCTAATTAGTGTGGCCGCGAGGCTGACTCCTGTATTCCGACCTATTCCTTGGGGAATGCTTTGAAACGACCGGGACATTTGACCGGGTCCATACCCGCGCTCATCGTGCTGGTATACAGATACAGGAAGGTAGAATCTTGCCGTCTCATCATCAAAAATCCTTTCAGTCATCCGGTCATTAGTGAGAAAGTTGGCGAGGGAGCAGGGAAACACCGAGCTGCATACCCGTCTGGCTTGTGTATTGGATGGGGGCTGCATTCCAGTGACCAGGGCCTTAGGACCATCCCTCCACACGAAGACGTGCCCATTCTGCCCAAACATGTCTGCTTTTTTCACCCCTGGGTGGATTTCATACATATTGCTTGCTGGTAGGCTGGAAGCTTTTGTCTCAACCGAGTCATTTGAATTCATGCGTCTCGTCTCATTTCATCGTATAATCATTCATGTCGTTGGCTTGAGTCATTATCGTCTCAACCAGTATCAATTTTGTTCTGAATCCTTTCGAGAAGGAGACAGGAGACCGTCTATCGTGTGGCCTCATGCTGGAATTTCGCGCAGTCTGCACACGGTGTACTACACCGGTTCTTTGTGACTTAGGCTTTCAGAAGTCGACCTGCGCGGCGACAACTGTAGCTGTGGGAACCGTTCTGTGAGACGCCTGAAGACTGACATACTGCCTGTGTTTCCGGGACTGACGCTCCGCGTGCGGTTCCTCGTGTCGACAGGCACAGCCAGCCCAGTTACGGGGGTCGAAACAGGCGCTGCATCTGAGACGATTATAGGCGGGCTCGTGTTTGGTGAAGCCGGAGAGGAATCAGATTCCGACTGACCTAGATCTTGCAGCGTCGTCCTGTTCGACTCTTCTGTCCGCCACCGCACTGGTCCGTTCTGTACATCCTCTTCTGCGTCAGCCCCTCGTCCCCTTGTTGGACTGTAGAGCGGTTCTTCGAATTTGATAGTGCTGGACCGTGGATGTTCGCGGGCTGCCTCGCTCATCTCTTCAGAGTAAGTGGGAAGCTTCGCCAACGGTTCTTCATGAGTGGCAGCTTGTGGAGGGCGTCTCACCGTTCCAGGGAGGTGGCTACTGATCGTCTGGGACATGCGTCGGGTCGTAGCTTGGAGAAACCCCTGCGATCCCCTGAGGGAGGTGTCCACACTCAAATCGTGAGACAGACGTGCCTCGAGACTGGCGTATGTGGCCGTCTTCTGGATGATGGGCCTCTTTTCCGTTGTCTGGGGGAGCCTACGCTCCAATATCTTTTCCTTTAATTTTTCGGATTTCCTGGGCGCTGCGCACGATGCGAGTCTAGTGAAGAATAGACCCAAGGCTGTCGTGACCATCTTAATTCCGTCCCGATTGTTGACGACCAAGATGAGGAAATATGTGGGTACACAAATTCCAACCGTTGTGACCGCAAATGGGAGAAAGCCGTCTTCGGGAGGCATGTTCGTCATCCCTGTTTTGCGACGCATTAGCAAACACTATTCAATTTCTCCATGGCAGTTCCCGACTTACCATAAATGGAGGTGACAAAGGTAAGAGGGAGGAAAAACAGAGTGACCAGCGTCAGAATGCGAATATTGTAACCTTGATCGACAGTGATCTTGGCCATGCTGACGGCCTCCCGACTCTCGAGGACGGATGTACCGCTGAACAGCCACTCCCGAAGGCCTCTAATCTCTTTCTGCTGCTGCTGAAACGTCCTCAACACTTCCTCAAGCTGGCCTACCTCTTTTTCGAACTGCCTGCGGGTATGGTACAACTTCTTCCTCCAATTGCTGTAGCGTGACGACTGATCCTTGGTGCCCGGAAAGAGGGTTCGGTGCTCGCCGGACCAGAATTCGTCTGTGAACGTTTCCTTGTATGCAGCGATCATGGCTTTGATCTCATTGCTCAAAAGACCAAGTGTCTGGGACGCCCAAAAGTACCGCCGTGAGTAGGTGTACTGGTCGTTTTCGAACAGGAGTTCGTCTCGCAAAGCACTGTCGAAAATCGACCGATTTGGCGGTGTGGCCAGAAGTTGGATGCCTGCATGGACTTCCTTGAACCGCTTCACCGCGTCTCGATATTCAGACAGTAAAGTGGCCAGGAAGGCATCCGGGCCATTGACGTAGTGATGGTTGTGCTCGTGGACATCAACACTGGACTTCCAGTCCGGAAAACACTGAACCGACAACACATGCCAGGGAGCGAACGGATCGTAGATATGTCCAACGATGGATTTCCTTTTGCGAGAGTTTCGCCGGAGGGTATGGCTCGGCTTGCCTGCCAGAGAAAGTGCCACTACCGACGAGCATGTTGATAGCGGCACATGGCCTTCTTGTGGCTCCAAGTTGTCATCGTGGTTCTGCCAGGGGAGCGGAGACCTCCCCTCTCCCACAATAGTGTGGTACTTGAAAACAAAGACTATGGATCTCTGACGACGATGATCTCTCTCAAGGTAGCCCTTGGTGATGGCTCTGGTTTGAGTGTAATCGTCGATGAGCATTCGGTAGATCGAATCCATGTCGAAATGCTCCTGCATAGTAAGGTGCAAGGCGGCGAACAGGATCGAAGGTGGCTCCCTAATCACGATGATGCGGCCGACGGCTTGCTTCCTGTTTTTATCGCAGTTGGTGTTCTTCAACGCTTCCCAAGTGGCCAGCGGTCCTTCATCCGAGTCACCTCTGCTGAACCGCAAAGGGGCACCATCAGTGCCAACATGATAAATGTCTGCGTGCTGATGATTGGCATCTGTCTGATGATGCCTGTCCCTCAGGAAAATCCCGTTGGATAGCAGCCCAATGTTTCGGAGAAGATCTTGTAGCAGATATTTGCTGTAGATATCCCATTGGTGGGTTTTGAGGTGTTCAATTAGATCATCCTCGGTGAATTCTCTCGAGGGAAGAGTGTCTTGCGCGAAGAAGGACTCGTCGTCATCGCTGTCAGAACTCCCGTCCCCGGTCAAGATGGAACCCTTCGGCAGAGTGTTGTTGAGGTGATGCTCTTGCTCGAGCAGGTAGGTGCTTGGGGCCGTTCGATGACTTAATAAACTGGGAGGGATCCTGGGGGAGGGCCATTGACCAGAAGCTGAGGAATGCAATGCATCAGGCGAAGAGAGCAGAGGACGAGCTGGGGAGGTTGGTACAGAACCACGCCTAGTGGTAGGCTGGGGACGTAGGGCCTGGCTCAGGGTCTCGTGGATCTTGTCGAAGGTTGTAAGATATGCGTTCCGATCGGCCTGGAGTTGGTCAATCAACCTGAGAATCGTCTCATTGTCAAGGGCCATCTGCGGATCAACTGGGACAGGGAAGTAGCCATCGACACAGCGTGGCGACGGGGGATTTGAGGGAAACGGAGGGTCGTCGGGCGTCATCTTATAGTAGGCGACACAGGCAAAGCGAGGCTGGACAAGCCCGTACCATGATGCAGCCGAGAAGCCGGACGAGACCCGAAGTGGGATTCAACTCCCAGTTGGACTCATTCAAGTGCGTGCCGATGGGGCTGAAACGGACCATGACAACCATGCTGCTGCGGGTGAAGGGCTTAGGGGCCTGGGATCCGGTCAGTCTGCCATCTGGTGGATCAGTCGGCATTAGAGGCAGGCTACTGTAAGGGTGGCATCATGGCATCATGGCCGGCCAGGCATCGACCGTATGTAGACTGTACGAATACAGGGCCACCGCAGAGATGATCCGGCGCGTGACTGCAGGTGGGATTGTGTGAAGATCAAGCGACTGGGGGAGAAGGGTTGGATGAAGCACCACTGGCAGCTAATGCCATCATTTCCAGAAGGGCGCAGGTGCGGAGCATGAGGTGCGGAGCAAAGAAGGGCTGAGGTCCGAGGAGGTGGGCAGCGCCGCCTTGCACAGGCAACCTAAGGCTTAGAGGCTACCTAAGCCTGGGAAGCTAAGGGCCAAGGAGGCTCAAGACTTAAGGCTTAGGAGACCTTAAGGGGGCGTTCCGTAGCCTCTTGGCCTCCTCCAGTAAGCCTCCTAAGCCCTGAGAGCCACCACTCAGCACCCGCCACGCACCGCTCCCCTGCGACAACACCGAAACTGCCGCCGCTGCGGTCATGATATGTACCTACATACGTACTCCGTACTGTACGTACCTACTACTAATTAGACTACTAATTAGCATGCTTTCTGTGGCCTTTTTCCGGCGGATCCTCGCATACAATGTACTCCTGGTGCTCCGTATGTATCTAGTGACTAATTGGCGCAGTGGAGAGTTTAGGGAGGCCCGTAGCGTCCTTGCAAAAGTCGTGGGTGACTTTTGCAAGGTCGCCAACGCCGTCAGGTCACAGGCGGACATTGCGGCTATCCGGAGCTTCGAGGAAGTTTGCTTAACAATAAACGGTCATATGCTATACTAGCCGCAAGTGGCTGTCTCTGGGCAGGAAGAGGGTATCAATGCTCCATGCTTTGGCATCCTGTCCCTGGCTCCGTTTCAGGGTCCGATCACCCTTTGTGCATCTATTCAACTCAGGCAGCGCGCCGGCTGACTTCTCTATCACGTTGTCGACCATGTAGCCCAAAATGCAGGTTCAGTCTATTTCTTCTGTGGGTGAAGACTAATATTAGCTATCACCTCTTCCCCGGCACCGTCGCCGTGTCCAAAGACGTCTTCGTCATCAGTCGGCTCATCATGGTATTCCAACTGCTCGGGAGGAGCCTCGTCGAAATAGTCCAGCGCGTCATCGTCTCGGGCCAACGTGCTCGCTGCCACTTGTGCTTCGGGGTCATCGCTGAATTCGCTGGGGATGTGGCCAGTCCTTCGCGTGGAATCTCTGATATTGGCCGCTTCTTCGGCTTCGAGCTCCCTAGCTCGAGCCATGGTCTGCCGGTAGATGTATAGGCCGACTCCGATTCCTATCACGGCACCTATCCCAATACTGCTGTAGTTGACAGCTCGGTCCGCAAGAGTCATCTTCTCCCGGGTTCGTGCAATCACCGCCAATCGACTGCCAATGAAGGCGTGGATGAGCAGTTTGGGCGTGACTAGTGTTGTAGCCAAAGCATACATAGCAGGATGGACCGTGGGAAACGTTGCCATGGCTCCATTCGACAAGGAATATGGGAGAGGGCAGAGTCGGATCATGCATAACAGCTTCAACCCATCGTGCTTCAGGATCAGGGTGAACGCGGCGAATCGTTTGTCGTCGGCCACCATCCGCTCCACCCATTTCCGCAGGACTGTCCTGGACACGATGAAAGAACAGAACGAACCCGCCACTGTTGCTGTTGCCAGTATGAACCATCCTTCCCAGACCCCATACACGAACCCGGCGGTGGTGCCGCAGGTCGAATAACCAATGATGGGTGGAAAAGCAGTGAAAAAAGTCACCGCCCATAGAATCGTCCACCCACCCGGGGTGTGTTTCCAGCGCTCGGCAACAGGCTCCAGCCAGCCGAAGATGCGTTCATTGAACACAAGGAATAAGATGAGTAGAGCATGGAAGACGACAAGTCCAACACATGCCAGAACTCGCTGCAGGGGTGTCATTCTATGCCAAACGGCCTGTACGCGACGTCGGATCTTCTCCGCATTGTTGATTAATTCATCTCGCCACGCGGTTGTTCGGCTCGGCACAAACGGTGAACTTCTTCCTGTTGACAGCGAGTTTCGGGGAGGTCTCCAAGGGCTTAGAAGAGAGGCGTGGGGCGAATCATCGTCAGAGTCTGGCAGTGCAACCTGGCTCGGGGGCATCTTGTCGCCAGAGGAGCTGCGAGAGGGAGGTTGGGGCACGATGGTATGGGAGGAGTTGAAGGTACGGAGGGCGGAGGGCGCGGACTCTAAGGGAATAGACGGTCGGACATTGTGAAAGCCGGGTAGAGATCGGTGCGGACAGGCGAGTGACAATCTAACAATCTGACACTGTTGAACGAGTATAGACGGGGAGGAGGGAGCATGGCCAAATGTGAAGAGGAAACAGTAGGCAGCATTGCACGGAGTTAGCGTACAATGGCCGGCGGGCGACCGGCGGGCGAACAGCGAAGAGCTGGGCGTTGTCTTTCCGCCGTTGCCGCCCGCACAGATACTTCGTGGTAGGACCTATGTACTACGAGGTGCAGGTACTAAGGTACTAAGGTACCTTGAGGTACCAACCTCTGTAATAATATATTTTCGGGCCAAAGTGGTCTAAAGCCGCGTTTCATTTCGTGGACTGTGGGGGGCTCGGAGACATGTTCAGCCGAAGCCAGACGCCTGTGCTGCCTATTTTTCTACGTCATACAGACTTCCGCCCAGCGTTGAATAGCGTGGTCGTGGTTGAGCGTCTCACACGGCACAGCTTACAAGAAGCTGAGCGACCTGTAAAGGAGACTGGACAGTTGTGTGCAATGAGGCAGGTGGTGATACTTTGCTGGGATAGTCTGTAGCATGCCAGTGATGGCACAAACGTATGTATCTACTCTGTAGGTTTGCTGAGTGAGGAATGGTGAGTTGCTATATCCGGCCTCCGTCCTCCGTCCTCGTCCTCTGTACCGTACCTCCCCAACTTGGTTAGGACTCCACAGCACTGCGGTTTGCCTGCGAGCCTCCCGCGCCGCCCCCGGACAGGACAGCCACAGCACCGCAGCACCGCTCCCTCATTCCCACTCCGTCCCCCCTTAGCTCGCGCTGCAGCATCCTGGTCGGCGCATATGCGCTGTTCAGTGAGTGATTGATCTAACATCTTGCTGGTACTCGCCTTTGATCACCTGCATATCTCTTGTCGTTCTGTGCCAGACTAACATAGGCGAGGCCTGGCCTGACTTCAGCAAGCTAGTTCCATCTATATCTCTACATCTGGCCGCGTCCCCTCCCATCGAACGCGCAGTTCAATACTCCGTCGGCTGTATGCTGGCGGGCGCGACCCCAGTGCTCGTACTCACGGACACCCCATCTGGCCGGCTACTCGATTCTTTCCGTCTGACTCCTGATTCTGCGGAAGCATGATACAACGGACGGCCCACGGCTCACACGACACCTTCACGATTCCGTTCGTTCCCTAGCGATTCGATGTTGATGTCGAGTCACCGCCCAACTAGCCACACCTTGATCTCATTTCTCTCTCACTGCACCTAGACTCCGACAACGGCCGAGATGGTCTCTGACCAGCACTACGACCTTTGTCGTTCTATATTAGAAGACTCGACAATAGAAGAAGAAGATAAAACAGAACGCTTGGAGGAGTTACTCGGCAAGGAAGCCGGGTTGAGCGGACATGCCCTGGAGAATGCTGTTTTGGATGCCTTATGGAAACATCGAAATGCGCAACGCGGAGAGGTATCAGAGACGCCCTTGAGACACCATGTCATTCGGAGGTCGTCTCCTGCTCCCTGGCAGATCAATAGGGCTCCTACACCTTTGGGATCTCCTCCTCCCCTCTCGTCCAGTCCCGCTCTCTCGGTTGGTTTCCCGGCTTCGCGCCCCAGTTTCTCCCGCCAGAAGTCCAGTGCACAGTCGCCCTTCGGTTCGCCTCGACCTTCACCACGTCTCGCGTTAGCCCAACCTATACCGCATAGTCCCAGCTTGAATGCTTATGAATTCTCCGACTCTAGCCCGGCACCAGATATCTACGGTGATTATGGCCACGAAAATGTCGATTGGCTGTTAGCAGATGAAACGGCGAGTAATGCCTCATCCACAGCTACGGCACACCTGAGTGCTGCGGCGCCTGAATGGGTCCCCCAACCAGATATGAGTCCTTACGATATTCTGCGATCAGTGCTGGGTGACCGCAAGACAGATGACGAGATTGAGGACGCCCTCAACAAGCATTCGTATGACTTGGGTGCCACCATTGCTGCATTATTGGGAACAGATACGGCCGACGCGCAATACACAGGGGTGCCGAGCAATGAGGCCAAAGTTCTGGTAGGCAAGTCTATGTCAGTGAATCAGGCCCGGCCTTCCACTCCGAGTGCCGGAAAGAGTTCGATTGTCTGCAAATACTGGTTAGCCTCTGGATCTTGTCTTCGCGCAGACTGCCGATTCGCTCACGACACCAGCGGCTATCTTTGCAAGTAAGGCGGCATTACCCCCGGACCCTTTCAACTCTACTGACAATCGTTCCAGGTACTGGATGAACGGTAACTGTTTAGCAGGCGACGCTTGTCAATTTTCTCATGACCCAGCCCTCCTTGTCAATCATCTCTCGGTTGGCGAGGCTAGTCCTACTCCACACTTCCCACTTCAAGACCAGAACGATCAATTCCCTAGCCTTTCCAACCAGAATGTCCGAAGCGCCCTCCAGGCTGGGCTAGCAGCTGGAAATACTTTTGTACCAACCAGCCAGAAAAGCCGAAGCAGCTTGGGCAATCTTGCCCCCGGCTCTCGGCCTCATTCCAGGCCCAACTCACGGCATCAGAACCGTCCGGAAACACCTTCTTCTCTAGCCATGGACGACCCAGAAGCATTTCCAAGTCTAGGGTCGCTGAGCGTGAAGCGAGGAGCGAAGCAATATAGTCAACGGTCTAGGCACGGACCTGGAAGTATGGAGAGAGAGACACCGTCTTCGCTTGCGGACGTGGTGCGTATGTCGCCGTCTCCAAATCCTGCACAGGCACGGAAAACAGACCCTACCCGAAAGATCCGAACGTACGGAGGATCTGAGGGTGCGACCGCACGTAAAATACCGGAGCCACAGCACATTCCATGGCTGGAGACCGGTGCTCGGGCCAACCAGCAATACATGAAATACCGACAGGAAGCCATCAAACACGGAAGTATACGCAACAAATTTTTGCAGAGGTAAGTCCAACCCGGCATGGTCCGACCTTCAGATCGTATCTAAGTTGACGTGCAAAGTGCGGCCCAAGCCTGGAATCGCAATGATGCCCGCGCAGCGAAGGCACTGTCACTTCGCGGACAAGCCGAAAACGACGCAATGAGAAAGGCCCACCGAGAAGCAGCCAAGGCGTTGTATGACGAGCGCAACCCACATCTCTCGGCACCAGTCGATGAAGACGAAGAGATGTACATCGATCTGCATGGTCTTCACCCGGAGGAGGCCATTGAGTACCTCGAAAATATCCTCTCCACTCAGGCCAAACGTGGAAGGAGGATCATATACGCCATCACTGGAACAGGACATCATAGCAAGAACGGCAAGGACAAAGTGGGCAAGGGCGTGCGCAACTGGTTGAACGAATGGGGCTACACTTTCCGCGAGTTCAGTGTCCCTGGCGAGCGAGGCGGATACATTGGCGGGGTGTTGGGTGTTGATATCACGAGTCGCAGCCGGCAGCCCATCTCCGCGGGAGGCGGCTCGAAAGGAGAGGACGAGGTTTCTCCCACACCAGCTGTTGCTACGTCGGTGGGCAGCAAGATCCAAGTTCTCAAACGTGAGGAGGTGCCCGCGTGAGATGCTGGTCAATAAATAGCTTCTGTGCCTCGAGTCCGAATATCAGATGCACGAATCGCAGGAAACAATGAGGATATCTTCTGTGGTACATGTGAACAATATCGTCGTTAGATGTGAAGCCTGCCAGCACGTAGTGAAAGCTAGCCAGCCCACATATGGCGTCCGAGTCGTCTTTTTGAGGGACTGATCCATAGATGTGTTTCGAAATGGCGAGTTCGACTCCTATACCATGACTAACGCCACTGTACACCGAACATCTTGCCGACTTTTCCTTTGACTCCATGTTCTGCATCTTTGTTCTCCAGATAGACCGTCTCGTGACCCTTGACGGTCAAACTGAGCAGCTGGTACTCCAACCTGTCCTCATCCCTAGGTTTGGTCATGTGGACGGTGACGACGCCACGGCCGTCAGGGCCCTCGACGTTGAAATGCATGCGGAAATGCGTGGTGCCGAACTTGTCCACTTCGGAGCCGTGGGCCAGGGGCCGGGCGCGCGCCCATTTACTCGAGGTGGGCTCGCCGTACGCCTTGATCTGGGATGCGGGGCCCAGCAGTTCGCGGCATTCCGGGGACGATTTGATGCGCTTGACGGCGGCGTTGAACTGGATGGTGGCGCTGTCGGGGGCGAAGAGCTCGGTATAGAGGAGGTAGGATATTGTGATCTGTTATTGCAGGAGCCGTGTTAGCCAGTCGTCTGGTGGAGCTTGGGCTTGGGATTGTGCTTGTGGTTGTGCATGCGCATCTTGACCCAAGAGGAGAGGAGAGGACAGGAGAGGAGAGGAGAGGATGAGACTTCATATGAAGCATGAAGCATGAAAACGCAGCGCAGGGAGATGGGGAATTGCCAATTGTCTCTCATTCTCTTCTGCTTCTGCTTTCTGCTTTGTGGCTTACAGTCCCAACCAGGCCCAGCGAAACCAGCAGGAAGTTGAACGTCTGCTGTGTCCCGCGCGCCGCCTTTTCCCCAGTGCTCAATTCAGACCAGTTGTACCGCCCGTCGTCGCTCGTCACGGTGACGGCTCGTCTGCTGGGGCCTGAGGTGGTGCCGGTGCCGGTGCTGGCATAACGCTGACAAGGCCGACGGGCTATGGAGCGGCTATCACTGCCTCGAGGCTTGTTGGGAACATATGTGGTCAAGTTGCGCCTCGTTGGTGGGGAAGCAGAGCTTCGTGTGGTCTGGAAGTACGGTGCAGGAGGGCGTGTGGTCGACTGTATGCGAATGCTAGTACGGCAGGCTTGCTGGAAAGCGTGGGCGTGAGCGTGGGCGTGCGCTTTGCCGGCCATGACTGGCTTCGGTAAGGTAGTAAGTAGTAGTTCGTAGTATGTACAGAGTATCCGGACTCCGACTCTTCCATAGGAATGCAGTAGTAGTAGTGTATACGGAGTACGGAGATGTTAAGTGGAAGTGACAGACTTATCCGAATTTGTGATGGCTGGTTAGGTACCTAGTAGCTGTATTTCTTACAGCATCCCCTAACCCTAACCCTAACCCTAACCCTAGTAGGTAGCATACCGAGAACAAGACCAATTTATCTACTTTATACTCTGTACAACGCTGCGGCGCATTGCCGCCAACTCTGCCGCCAACTCTGCCGCCAACTCTGCCGCCAACTCTGCATGGTACGCGTCGATCTGAGCCTGTCTGTAATCTGTTGGCTGTTCAGATACAACCCTCATTAGCCATTCCCGAAAGGTCGTGTCACCCCATCGAAGTATCTCGCACAAAGCATGCACAAGCTTCACGATATCTGCACCAGAATGGGTGAAGTAGGTTGCCACAGGTCCTTGGATGACCTAGTACAGTCAGCGCTGAGTTCTAGATTTGAACTGAATAGACACCCTTGACTTACTGTTTCCGCAGAAGAACATCTCTGCGCAATGTAGAGTGCCCACCTGTCACCCACCACAGTCCAGCATGGAATCACAGGCACCTCCACCTCCGGATCGTGAAGCATCGAACTTTCTCCCATCTTTGTCTTTCCAGCCGCTGCCATTTGTGCCAGAAGAGACAACTTCGTCAATCCGGCTAGCGTCCACACGCCAAGTTGCGGTAATGGATCTTGCCCTGCATATAACTTTTTGATTTCCAAATTGCAGAAGAGGGCTCGGTTGCGAAGCATGGGCACTTTTGATTGACTGATGGTTTGCAGTCCGTAACGTACGTTGTTGATCATGTTTTTATCTTCATCGGAGGGTTGCAGACATATGCCATAGTCAATTTTCTTTGAGACACGCTTGCCATTGACGACAGGAAGAAGTGCTGGCTGATCCACCTCGATGGTTTTGCTACCAACATCAGTATGGCCACGCGCACTGAGGGATAACTCACAGATTTGCCAACATCAACTTGTTTCCCAGGCCCGACCAGCTGAGGGCCAATCTCATGATCTCAATGACAACATCGTCACTCCAACACTCCTCCGGCCTCTCCTCAGTCGCACATACTTTTGTCGAGTTTGCAATGTACTGGACCTTCGTCCAGAAGTCCTGGATCTCAGAGAGCGAATGGCCATGACTCTCTTGCCACTCGACAGGCGACAGATGTTGGCAAGAAGCTGGTCTTTCTGGATACTTCTGTAGCTCCTTGGGTAGGGTTACTGTGGCCTTCTTTACACGCCTAGCAAGCTCGGCTGCCTGTTCCAGCATGAAGGTGTCTTCGGCATCCCTGAACTTGATTTCAGGGTACATGCTATACAAGTCTCCGTTCTTTTTAGTTGGGCTCCGATTTCGACTGGAGATGATACCAGGACTGAACTTCGACGTCAAGCGAGTGGGGGAATCGACCGAAGGATATTCAAGGCTTGGTGTAGAGTCATCTGCGAGTTCTTTGACGTTAGTCGATCAGGAGGCTGGCAAATTACGACAACTCACTCTGCACGAAAGGAGATCTGCCCATTCCAACAGCACGGCGCTTGGTAGGCGACGGAGTTCGACCCATGGCGATTGCAGGCTCTGATGCTGCCCTGCGTTTCTTCGACGGTTCTCCTCCTTGCGTCTCCGTCTCCGCCAACACGATTTCCGACTGCGAACTATCGACAAGCACCAAAGGTTCTTCTTGGACTGACGATATACTGCAATCGTCAAGCCATTGGGAGACTCTTTCCAATATATGATCGCCACATTCAACAGACATGACGACGTTTGTGTCTTCCTCTTCTTCAGGCATGGTGGAGGCAAACATTTGCATGGGAGAATGCAGGACTACAAAGAAAAAAAGGAATTGCTAGCCAAACTTGAAGGGAGAGCACTCAAAACAAGGTTCGGCGTGCTCATTTGGTACATATAGATACATTCATGTACGCTATACCTCTTGTGGGTGGCGGCCAGCATTTGCTCTCACGCGCATTCACGCCACTGTTATGAGCTGTCTGGGGCAACCCGCGCTTGCCTACATGTGTTTGGCAGGTACGTTTTGCTTGTGAAGTACATGTAGTGAGTGTCGCGGAACAGTAGTAGTACATGAGGTGCTTCGTACGTAATGTTTATACATATCGACATGGTGCAAACTGTAGTACCTAGGTGCTAACTCGAAGGGCAATAGCCCGCTTTGTCTCCAAACTAAAATTGTGACTAGCCCGGTACTATCCAGTCACTGGTTGCGCTAGTAGTACTAGGTACTCATGCCAAGGCTGCTAACAGTGCTAACATGTTTCTCCACCAGTACTCTATACGTACTCCAAAGTAGTACATAGTATTCTCTTAATATGTACGCAGGCCTTCAACGGCGAGAACCCCCCGGATAGGAGTTGCAAAATCTATGCATACATGTCAATGACACTCCGCGGCTTCGTGTACCTGCCGATAGGCACGTACTCGACATCGTCAAAGCCCATGGATGCCGGTCCGCCCAATTCCAACCCTCGAGGAGTATCCGTCCAGCGAGGCGACGCCGCAATGGCTATGATGGTCACCTTCAAGCCGTACTTGTACTCTGGCGTGCCCAGACCGGAGCCTGTCTCCGAATCCAGAACGGCGATGAGATCTGGCACAGAAGCCAGGATGGACTTCTTACCATCGGCCGACATGGCCTCGACAAAGGCATTTTCGTTCTTGAACGGGATTCGGACTATCGCCTTGGACCCGTCGCTGAGGACTCCGTCGACCTCTACAACACCGTAGGTGTGTCCGGTCTTGAGGACGCGCTCCACACTGGTGATCTTGCCTTCGGCTAAGATCTTCGCGCTCGCAGAGCCGCCGACCGCGTCGATGATCCGCTTCGCCTTGTCCGTCACGTTCTTCTCCAGAGCGATCGCCCGGCCTATCCACCAGGCCAGAGAAACGGTATTAAGAACGGCCTGCTCCTGGACAACTTTGGCCGACTTGGGAGGAGCCGCTTTCCCAGCCCTGCATCCCATCTCCACAACGGCAGCCCGCAATGCCTTGTCCACAAGTTTATCGGTCCTGCTGGCAGTCATGGTGATAAAGGATCCATCTCCGCTGGCGATTGTCGCCGGTACCAGCGCCTCCCCCCGGGCGGTGCCGTAGACATTGATCGTTGTCTGCCAATACGTTGGATATGCGCGGCCCATGTAGTCGGCATCGACACAGGGCACCCCATGCTGAGCCGCCACCTCGAGGTTGACGACGCCGTTGCCTCCGCCGATCTCCAGGGCCATGAACGCATCGGCCGGAGGAAGCCCTAGCACTCGCGTCAATTCGTCGTGTGCCTTGTTGCACTCGTCGGCTTCCATTCGCTCCATGCTTACTTCAGGACTGCCCATGCAGCCCGTCCATCCGACGGTGGCCGTTTCAGGCAGATCGGTCGGCGACACGACCCTGATACTGCCTGGAGATATCTCAAGTAGAGCGCGAATTTTGAGATACTGCTGATAAGGGTCTCCCCCTCCTCCGCAGCCAAGGACCTTGCAACCCTGCGCGATCCATTCGAGGTCGATGATCGACACCACCCATCGCCGGTGTTCGACCTTGGGCCTATAGCCTTGAATGTCGATGATCTCGGCCGTCTCATCGACCAAGCCACCGTTGACAGTCTCTTTCTGGACCTGTTGCTGTTGTTCAGGCAGCTCTGGCAAGACGATCGGACTAGATGCGCCTTGTTTGGCGTGCTTGATTACGTCTAATGCTCCGACGGCTCTGATGTGTATGCGCGCCTTTGCATCGACGTACTGAATAGGGAGGATAGTGACTTCGGCAACCTGGACGGTCTCTCGCTGCGCTCCGTTGGCGACGGCAGCATCAATGGCTGATGCCGACACCACCTCTTGGGCTTCCTTCAACGTCTGGTGGGATGTATCTACGACGGTATCCACAACGCCTGATACTCGCGATATCGCGGCGCCAACTGCATTGGCGACCTCTCCACCTTTAACTTTCCGCACGGCGCGGACTCCCTCGAGAGGCTCATCGACATCGATGACGATGGCGCCTCCGCCGACGATCAGAACATCCACATCTCCCTTCTGAACCTTGGTTCGATCAACCAGTTCTTCTATGATCTTTCGCATGCGAGCCTTGGCCTTCTTGATCAGCTCTGGAGTAACGTCCCTCAAGCGACTGGGGTCACCCATCCCTTTCAGGGGGTTGTGACCTGTCGGCGAGTGCCATTCGGATGCGGCCACGATATCGGTGGATGTCAAGACGTCACCGCCAAACAGACGAGCCTTCTGCAGCAGCTCTAGAGCAACACTGTCCGGTCCAACGGTGATATCATCTCCGGACACTCGTACAATGCTTCCACCACCAAGCCCCACGCTCTCCACTGCAGGCAACGCAAAGTTGGTGCGCACGCCTCCCACCAGACTCATCACAGAGCTCATTCTGGGCAGGCCGTTGGGGAGCAACAAGCCGCTATCCGAGGTGGTTCCGCCAATGTCGATGACCACGAGAGCATCCTGGCGGTCCGCATGGACTTCACCGGCACCCGTGCTCGCGGCGTTCCAGAGGAAATCACCGCCTCGGATCGAATTCGTAGGACCGGAATTGAATGTTCGGATCGGGAGGTCGATGGCGTCCGGGGCACTCAGTACGCTTCCGTCATTCTGGGTGAGGTACAATGCACAGGGAACCCCACGGAAGATGTCTTGCATGGCCTTCTGGAAGCCCAGGATGGTCTTCTCGGCCAGCGGCCTCAGGGTGGCATTGAGGATGGCGGCGTTCTCCCTTGCAAGGAACCCGAGGGATGAGATCTGATGCGAGAGCGTGAGCCGGGGTCGAATCGCGAGACCATGGGCCTTGGCCACTTGTTTCATTTTCCGTAGCAGGATATCGCCCGCTGTGACTTCATGTTCCGCGTTCAGGGGCGAATAGACGGCCGAGACGACGACATCGAAGATGCCATCTTTGACAAGTTTCTCCGCCACCTCGGTCAACTCGGCGGGGTCAATGGGCGAGATTTCAGAGCCGGAGATCTGGTGACCGCCCTGGCAGAAATAGGGCCGCGTCGAGATTAGTCGGCGTAGATCCGGCGGGAAGTCGATAAAGGGCGGCACGCCGAGCCCGAACCCATCTTTGCTCCCTCCGCACAGTCGAACAACGCCGACGCGCTGAAGCGACGAAGAGCGCTGCACCACCGCGTTCACGAAATGAGTGGTTCCGACGATCACGCAGCTGATGGCGTCCAGAGGTACATTGCTGGCGTGGATGACGGTCCGGACGGCCTGGGTGATGCCTGTGGTGACATCGGGCGTCGTGGGTGCTTTGTGGGAGGCTACGATCTGCGTGGGGGAAAGCGAGATGAGCACGGCGTCGGTATTGGTTCCTGAAGAGAACGAGAAATTGATATCAGCCAGGTATCGCTTGGACTAGCCAGGAGCTGGGCCAGTAGAGGTTGACTGTAGCAATAGCAACGTCGATGGATCGAGGAGAGGAAGAAGGAGAAAGATGGGGACGAAGCTAAGATGACACAGGTGACGGGATGCCACGAAGGAGGCTGTATGCGCAGTACGTACCTCCTACATCCACCCCAATGCGGTATCTATGAAGGGGCGGGCTCTCAGTGCCATGTCCGGCGAGGCTGCCCATGATTCAGGTGGTGTCTTGTCTGGTCTGGCCTGATTCCAGCCTGACTCGTCTTTCTTCGTTATTGCCTCGGCCGTCTCGATTCTACTCCAGGCACTGACTTATCTGAGGCCTATATGGCGAGATAAGTACCTGGATCGCTGGTCGTGCTTGTTGTGCTTAAGCCTGTGCTTGTGCTTGTAACCCTCCCAAGAGAAGAATCGGCCGCTCATGTAATCAAGATAGGCCGATCGGGATCGGGATCGGGAGGGAGATAGGCACGACGACAAGGAGATGGCCGACCGATGGACAGTTGAACTGGCCGTTGTGGACTCTGGAGCAGACATCGTGGATTGTGGATGGCGCATCGTGGACGGATTACGTGGATGTATCCGTAGTGTCAGTGTTAGTATGCAATGTTGGAAAGATAGGTCTTCGAGATAGGTGATAGATACTCTGGACACTAGACACTGAACACCAGAGATACAGCCCCGCCTTCGAGTTTGCCGGAGTAGAGCACCAACATCTAGAGCTTGAGGCGGGAGGCGAGGCTTACATAGGTACATAGGTAGGCCTGAGACCCCCGAACTCGGGTGCTGGCCAGATAGGCCCGAGTCAGATCCAGGGGCCCCTAAGCCTTAGGGGCTAAGGCCTACAGTACCTACGTATAGGTAGGGTTGAGACTGCGTTGCGTAGTGCTCCCTGCCATTGCCACTCACTGCCGCCTCTACCATTATTCCTGCGGTGCCTGCAACACTGCTACTGTACTCAGTACTGTACGTTACTATCACCACCACCACCACCACCACCGCCTCCTCCTCCTGCCATCGAGACCCGAGCATCTCCGCGTCCATCCTCTATCCTCTACTATCTCCCCCACTTGCGTCCCGCCGGACTGGCTCCCGTTGTAGCGTACACGGCCACCTCCCGTAATGGGGAACTGGAAGCCTTAGGGCCTACATATGGCTCCTTGGCCTCAGGCGATCCATGGTCGGTGCATGGTCGGCCAACTGTTGGGTCCTGGTCCTTGTCTTCCCCCTTTCCCCAGAAAAGATACTGTACAGAGTACTCCATAGCCCATGCTGGGCGATCCTTTTCCACCACGAAGCTCAGTCGGCCCAGCCTCGGGATGCCTTTGACTTATGAGACCCCTCGATCGGCAAACTTAAACCCTGAGTACCCGGCCGACAGCTATCGGCCAACTTCATGTACATACCTGCGATTCCGAATGCTGACACGGCCAACTTTATAGTCTAGTCGCAGGCCTGTAGAGTGTCAGCAGCAAGGAAAGCCTCACTTAGCCTCACTTCCTGGCTATTAGTGTCGCGGATTGCATCACAGACTGTATGATCAAGAGACATCAAAGACTGTCGGTGTCAGATGAGACTCTGAACATGCTCCCGCTCATCAATCTTGAACCAACCTAACCTCGTTATCATTTCAAGTGGCAAGACCTACGCATCCCATATCAGCCTATCTCAGCGGTCCATCATCACCCACAGTGGCCATCGGTCTTGGGACTGAATTTAAATCAAACAGTGCAGTGCGCACTGAGTGAGATAAGAGAGATTGATTTGCAACGGTTGGATTCTGTAAAGGTTCATTCTTTGTCCTGCTCTCGGGCAAGACATCGAATCAAGAGGGACGGAATCCATCATAATAACAATCAACCAAGGAGCTCACGCAACACTTACACAAAAGCAGACGTCCCATCATGGCCATTCAACCTGTTCACCCAGACCAACTCTCCATCCCCATCATCGACCTCGCACCCGTCCGGTCAGGCACACCGGAAGAGGCTCGCGAGACCGGAAAGAAAGTCTTTGAAGCATTCAGAGATGTCGGCTTCGCATACATCAAGAACCACGGCCTGCCTCAAGAGCTTCAAGACCAAGCATTTGAATGGGTGAGTATTCTATCCAGCCTGCTAGCCAACACCCCTTCACTTTGTGGCTCGTCCATCATCCTCATTCATGTCCCAACTTGTGTCCTCTTTGGAAGTATGCATCTCTGAGGTCATGTATTTCCTGTCCAGACATGATGTAGTAACGTGACACAGAGTTCCAAGTTTTTCGCCCTCCCACAATCGGAAAAAGACAAGGCGCCTCACCCGCCGTATGGCTGGTGGCACCGCGGCTACTCAGGGGTGGGACGGGAGAAGGTGGTGCAGATGGTGTTCGACGCCGAATCGATCGAGGAGCTGCGCAAATGCCCAGACTTTAAGGAATCGTTCGAACTGGGCCGCGAGGACGACGAGCGCACGCCCAACATCTGGTTCCCTGAGGAAGTGCTGCCAGGGTTTCGCGATTTCATGACCAATTTCTACGAGACGTGCTATGGTGTAGAGTTGGACCTGCTGCGCGCCATCGCGCTGGGCATGGGCCTGCCGGCCACCTTCTTCCAGCAGTACCACACCAAGAAGGACAACCAGCTGCGGTTGCTGCACTACCCACCCGTCGAGGCCGAGCTGCTGCGTGACGGCCGCATGGAGCGCATCGCCGCGCACTCGGACTTCGGCACCATGACGCTGCTGCTGCAGGACGAGGTGGGCGGCCTGGAGGTCGAGGATATCCATGAAAAGGGCAAGTTCAACCCGGCCCCGTACGTGCCTGGCACCATCGTCGTCAACATCGGCGACTTCCTGCAGCGCTGGAGCAACGACACGCTCAAGTCGACCCTGCACCGCGTGCGGGCCCCGCCCTTGGTCGAGGGCATCACCAGTGCCCGCTATTCCATCCCCTACTTTGTGACCGCCGACCGCGAAAAGACCATCGACTGTATCCCCGGCTGCTACGACGAGTCCAAGCCGAAGAAGTACGAACCCATCAACGCCCGAGAGTATATCGAGATGAGGTTGAATGCGACCTACTAGCAGCAGGCAGGGCGGCCCAAGAGGGGCTAGAGGGAAAGGGAAACGATTCTTGTTCATGTTGAGCAGCAATCGGAATGTAGCCATAGCTACGAGTCGTGGCCTACGTAACCAACCATGTCACACTGGCTTTGTTCACAATCGCACTCTTACTTGCATATGTTTAAATAGGCCAGTCACCTACCAGTGATATCGTATTGTGCCAGTAGGAGTGCAGATCCAGCATATCGATCTATCAGATAGCCTTATTCCCACGTACGTATACGTATATGTGTAGGTATATGTGACTTGAATATCCATGTCGACACGGTGGGAATCACCAAGATGGAATGGAATATGGAATGGAAGATGGAATGGAATATGGAATATGAATCTGGAATGGGTGGATTGAATTGACTGCCTTGCTCGTCTCGTCTATCGCAAGAACCCCCACGGCTCCACGGCTCCACGGTTACACACGCTCCAGAGACAATAGCAGAACGAAGAACACAGCTCTGATCTCTCCCCGACAACTGCATCTGTGTACTGTAGCTACATAGGCCATAGGAAGGGCCAAGGTAATCTCAATCTCCAGCCTGTCCAGTCCGCCTTAAGCCCCGGCATATGTAACTAAGTTGCCATGTGTCGCTACAACAGAACAGTTCTGATGCCGTCTCCCGTCTCCCGTATCCCGGATCCCGGATCCTATGTGACAAACGGCGTGACATTCTAATTCAAGTCTACGCCGACACCGTGGCGTGGGCGGGATGCTTGTCTGCGCCGACACCGACCTTCTCGCCGCCACGGCCACTACCAATGCCAATGCCATTGTCTTCAGAACTCTCTTCGCCCAGGCCGTACAGAACGTCTTCGTCGACAAAGGGCGCCTCGACACCGAGCCCGGGAGGCGGGAAGACGCGGTTCAAGACCCAGAAGACGACAAAGCTGATGGCCAGACCGACGATGAAGGTGAGGTTGTACAGCCGGATCCAATTCGTCATGGACGGGTCGGTGCTGCTGTTGACGGTGCCGACAAGACCGGCTGTTTGTCGAGAAGACCAAGTCTCGTCAGTACGGAGTACAGGTATCGTGTCTCGTGCCATGTGTGTCTATTTGGGGATGGATATGGGGATGGGGATGTGCAGAACGCAACGCATGGGAAGGAGAGTACGGGATCCTCACGTAGTAGTGGCCAGACACCCGAGAAAAAGGCCACGATGGCCCGCCAGTTGACGCCCTTGTTGAACCAGTAGATGGACGAGCTGTTTCCCGTGTACAGGTCGTTGAGCTTCAGCTTGGCCCGACGGACGACGTGATAGTCTGCCAACAGAACTCCGCTGGCGGTCAGATGAGGTCAGTCTATGTATCTTCACGGAATCACAGCAGCCTTCAGGGGTGAGGGAGGGGGCGGATCAGTGTTCAGAGTAGGTCTCGGGAAGCTGCTTACGTGGCAGGGGCCATGAAAACACCAAAGCCGCTGAGGACTTTGAGGAATCTGTCGGCCGTGTTCACCAGTTGCCAGGGCTGGGTGGCAATGCCGATGATGGCCATGATGTAGCTGCCTCGGATGATGTTGATATACTTGGGACACAGCCCAGCCATGTCCATCCCAGTCGAGACCGAGTTCAAGACGACCGAGATCTGAGCCAGGTCGTCGGTCAGTGTCTATCATTCCCCATTCTTCCAGGTATGATGTTCAACGGCTGTACCGGTACTTACCGCAAGCTGTGAACTGACAAGCCCGAGGCTGGCAAAGAAGACGCCAGCCCGGGCCCTTGGGCTGGAATGGTAGTTCTCCTGGATGTCGGAGAGCAAATAGATCGGGTTCCACATGACCTCTCCGCCCAGGATGTCCCTCGAAGCACTCGTGACGATGATGCCAATGATAGCAGTCACGGCAATTGTGATGGGTGCCGCAACCAACTGCGACAGCGTCGGGGCGAATTTCCGGTTGGCATAACGCGTCCAGTCAGACTGGCCCAAGGTCCCGGCACCCCAGGCGCCGAGAATGGCTGTGATGCCGAACATGAAGGCCCAGCCCAAGTTGTCGGCCGTGCCGGGCTCGTGGAACATGCTGCCGGGTCCGCCAGCGTTGTGGACCGCCCTGATCATGCATGTGTATCAGCAACAAGCCACTTTTCCGCACCTGGAAGGTTGCAATCTCCCACTCTTACCATATGAGCAGACCGAAGCAAGAGCCTGCAAAGAAGACGAACGAGATGGCGAAAGGGATCTGGAGGCGTTCGGGAGGGACCAGCACCAGGGGGACGAAAGCCGCCATCCAGATGATCAGCCCGATAAAGTCGTTGGTCAACAGGTGGGAGCTCTCGGAGAAGAAGTTCTTCATATGCGCAAAGCCTTTGCAGGATGGGTCAGCGAATGAGTTCCGTGCGAATTGGAGGGCACATGGTCCATACCTGGAATGATAGCACCCCACATAACCCGGGTGGCCTGTCCTCCCCAGTAGGCTTGCATTCCCTGGGGTAGAGGTCAGTCAAGGAAGATCAGGAAGGTGAATGGACGCGACTTACAAACCACATACAGGCGACGAAGACTCGTAGCACGACCGGAAAATAACTCCCTCGCATTCCCCACGAGAAGCGTGACGAGACAGTGAATCCGATGTGATGATTTTCACCCATCCACCCAGCAGAGACGGCCAGGAGGCCGGTGAGGAAGCCTCCGAGGATCTGGGGTTGCCTTGTCAGCCAGCTGCAACTTCCAACTTCCTGGAGAGCGGGAGTGAGGGCGACATACCACGACGCCGATGGCTTGCTGGGGGCTGAGCCCTAGGGCCAGGAGAGTACTTCCAGTCGACCATGCCGAAATGCATGAACCCGACACCGTCCAGTATCCTGCACCTGGTGAGTTATGGGATCCCAAATCAAAATCCACCTGCTTGCACCACATACCGAAGTAGCCCCAGATGCCCCATGTGCGTCTCTCAGGCGGCATAGGAATCAGATCCCGGTTGCACCAGGTAGTGTTTTCGTAGTGGGCATCTTCGTCCTTGGGCCTACAAATCGATGTAAGCAATTTGTCCTCTTGTAGTAAGTACATGAACTGCTTGTGGCTGCCAACTCACACTTCCAGCCGATGCTTGATCTGCTCCCACTTGAGACCCATGTTGGTCTTCTCTAACGTGCGTCTCCCAGGGACGACCAGCTTCACACGAAAGAAGACAAAACGCTGTGACAGTCAATTTCGATGGGGCATGCGAGAATTGACCATGCGTGAGAGTATCCGGAGACTGTGGTTATACATAAATTAACCGTTGGGCGACACAGTCCAAAAGGGCCCGTTACATGGTGGGAGACGATGTGGGCCTGGTGACCAGTTGGCCGATCGATCCAGAGCAGACGCCGTAGAGAGGAGGGAGATAGGCTAAAGAACTAGCCCGATCGGCCAACTCAAGAGAGCGACTGCTCGCCACCGACAGTGTACCATGTACTTTGGAGTCTGTAGTATTAGTCGACTCCGGAACGGGCCTTCTGTAAGGGTTCCAGAATGCCATTGGGAGGCTCCAGACGCCACGTACAAGCCAGGGGCGAAAGGTCGGACGGCGCAACGCCTGTGACGGCCAAATCCGGTACCAAGGTCTCTGCTCGAAAATGCAATCGCAATATAATCCGATTGTGTTGGCTTGTCCAGCGGTAGACAGGTACACGCAGAGCCATCAAGCGAGAGCAAGCGCTGATAAGCAACAATGGCGACTATCGACCACACCTCCCAGAAGTTCACCCTCAACACCGGGGGCCAAATCCCTGCCATAGGGCTTGGGACGTGGAAATCGCCGCCAGAGCAAGTCCGTAAAGCTGTCAGCCACGCGCTTCAGACGGGATATCGACACATCGACACAGCTCTCAACTATCAGAACGAAGTCGAGGTTGGCCAGGGCATTCGAGAGTCGGGGGTTCCGCGAGACCAGATCTGGGTGACTACCAAGCTGGACAACCCCTGGCACCACAGGGTCCGAGAAGGGTTCGAGAAGTCCCTGAGCGACTTGGGGGTTGGGTACATCGACTTGTACCTGGTGCACTTCCCGTGCTCAACCGATCCAACTGACCCTTCTAAACACTTGCCGGATTGGGATTTCGTGAAAACATGGTGGGCGCCTAGAACCCGTCGGCAGCCAAAGACTGGCGATGCTAATTCGAAGAATCAGGCAAGAAATGCAGAAACTGTTGGCCACTGGGACCGTTCGGAACATCGGCGTGTCCAACTTCCAGATTCACCACCTTGAGAAACTCCTTGCCGACCCTTCCTGCAAGGTTGTTCCAGCCGTGAACCAGATCGAGCTTCACCCCGGCAATCCCTCGTGAGTCTTTCCACAGACTCCGCGGTTGAGGCATTGATATACTGATCAACAGCCAGTCCTAAATTGTTGGAGTATTGCAAGTCGAAAGGCATCCACTGCACAGCTTACTCCTGCCTCGGAGGTGCCACGGACAATCCACTCTACAAGGAGCCTATACTGGGTCAGATATCACATGCCAAGGGGAAGACTCCTTCTCAGATCCTGTAAGCGTCCATGGCCAGGAAGATGAGAGTTGTCGCTGACAAGACCAGACTGATGTGGAGTCTCCAAAGAGGCACCAGCATTATCCCCAAGAGCGTGACGCCTTCGAGGATAGAGGAAAACTTCCAGTTGGATGGCTGGGAGCTGACCAAGGATGAGATGGAAGCTTTGAGCGGTATCAAGACCCGCTTCAAGGTCGTCCAAGATGCGTGGATGCCCATAAAGGTCTTTTTCGGGGATGACGAATGATTGTTTCGGTAGAACCACTGTACATCGGCGGCTTCCAGTCAGGACGGTGTAAGTATCCAGTGGCCATGTGACTTAGGGCGATTGAAAAGTGTTGCGTCTCGACACGGTAAATGGACTGGAATAGAACATTACTGTACTGGGGAAGTGGTAGAATCCCCATCTTGGCGGTCAACCATCATACCTGCCGAGTATAAACCCGCCGTTGAGCCCCTTCGCATAATCTGGGCCGCCTGTGTGAAAAAGGAATCGATCCTCAGCGCGACTGGACGTATCAGGCCGACGGACTCCTCGTCCACGAGCTCGCGTAGTCTCTGGAGGGATTCATGGAAAAGCTCGAGGAGTCGAAATGTCTCGCGAACTTGATCTGGACTGGAGGCCAACAGAAAGAGGTATACCAGAAAATTTCCGGTAAGAATGAACTGGGACCGTGCATCTTATGGTCATCAGTCGTGAGCTCGAATACAGGTAGGGAGGGCGACACTCACGTCGGCCCCAGAACGCCCGTAGACCATCGGGTGTGATTTCGTCCATGAAGTCTAAAAAGTCGCTGAACTGCTCTATGGCAGCCTCAAAGTATCGTCGTAGACTTGAATGTGGATTCCCTTTCGCAGCCATCGAGGCCGGTGTCATCAACGCTCGAAAGAGAAGCACTTGGGTTGCGAAATAGGCGAGGTGGAGGGGACCTGCTTCAGTGTCAGCTCAGGAGTCCCCCAGTCTCTCCCGCTATCCACCAACGGACCATTATTGCGAAAACTATATCGGCTTGTAGTATAACTCATGGTGACACACTGTGGGATCAAGGAGTGCCACGACTGAAGTTCTGACTGGATCTCCAGGAGTTTGGTCTCCTGGCCCTCGGGATCCAAGATGGGGGCTCGGTAACTGTGATCAGAGCTGCAGCAAATTTAGCTTGGTGTCGCAGCTTCCAAGGTTGAGATGGATTCCTTACAAAGCTGTGTCTAGTAGTCTCTGGAGTATTTGGGTTAGTTTGATCTGTTCAAGAAACCGAGCGGCGGTGGAAACGTCGAAGCTGGCACTTGTAATGTCGACCAGGTCTCTGAGATCTTCGGGGACATCCTCGTCGAACCTCAAATCATCCATGTCCATGTCTGTGGTGGTGTATGAGGCTTGGTAGATATGAGGAGGGTTCCCATGCATAACCGACGACCACATGTCAGTCACGAAGGTGGCCCACCACAGCTTCTTTCTCAGACTCTTTTCCCAGGGAGCAATGTTCCAGTCCGATGGATCGCGGTGAAGCCCTATCATTTGGGCACATGCGAGCGCTTGTGCGGACAGAGTCCACATCCTCGGTGTCTCAAATGTGCCGTTCCCGGCAGCCTTCTCGTGTAACATCAGTAAGCAGGCCTGCAATTTCCAGAGGTTGGGTGCCTCCAGCTCCCTGTCGAGGGAAGCTTGGGCCGCGTGGAACAGTTCGTATTGTTCGAAGGGGCGTGGAATGGCCCTCAACAGGGGATCTTGCTTCCAGAAGGCAGCGCCTAGTCCATAGACAACTCCCCGTAGTGATGCTGGAATACTCAGCTTATCCTGCTTATAAGCTCGAAGGAAGCGCACTTTGGAGACGACACAGTAGACAGGATGGACGTATTTGAAGTACAGGCGGACAAGGTTCGGGCCATATGGTCCAATTTTGAATTCAATGGTTTGGGACGATTCTTCTTTTATCCGATTGTCGTACGGCATGAACCAATCCCTCAGGATATAGAAATGCAGAGGCGGTGTCCCTGTGGCAAGATTTCCAGGGTATACCTGGACGATATTGCCGGCCACACGGTCCGTCTCATTGATGATCACCGATCGGAAGGAGGCAAGGAGGTTGGTGTCTTGCTCGGCAGCTAAGCCGAGCGAGTGGCCCGTCATATTTTTGCCATCTTCCAGGGTGTGCACTTTGGGTTCCAGCGAACGTGAAGCATTGCTGCTGCTGGGAGTTGTCGGAGGTGGCTTTCGAAGCCAGTCTCGGAGGTACATGTCGTCCACACTGGCGCTTGGGGAGAGGAGAGCTTGACGGGGAACATTGTCACCAGGGCTGATCTGCTCAGCTGAGACTCGTTCCTCCTGAGGACACGGTTCTGCCGGTGGTTCCAATGAAACCAAGGGCTCGGTATCTTCGTTAGTAGAATGGGCCCTTGAGTGCTGTATAGGGTCAGAAGTGGATTGACAATCCAACCCTCGACCTTTACAAAACAGACCTTCAATGGCAGGTCAGCCTGGGGTGTATACAGCCTGACGCGTAAACGGGGGCTCACTCACATGGCGGTCGATCTTCGATGACACAGGCAGTCTTCCGCCGGCGGCAGGTGTCGCAGGGACGATTCTTCCGGCTCCTCCATTGCCGAGCACTGCCAAACTCACTCTGGACCCGGAAACGCCGTCTGCGAAGAGAGTCGCTCTCGGATGAAGACGGTTGCATGGTGGTTCAGTGCATGGTTGAGGTACGGGCCAATGCTGAGAACTGGAGGTGCGCTCTGATCTGTTCTTGCTTCTGGTCGTCATGAGAAAGATGAGAAAGATAAGGCGTCACACTGGTACAGTACTCCGTACAGAGAAGGTGACGGGGCAGATAGCGCTGATATTACTAGGCGAGGTCACAGACTAGCGCGTCATAGTGTAACTGCCACTGTAATTACAGTATGGAGAAGTACAGTTAGGTAAGGTAAGATACCTAGGTACCAGGTACCTGGTATCTCTAAGGTAGAATTAATAGGTCTTAGGTACCGGTACCTTAGCTATGTACTCCGTATTTGGCCATTGGGTCACCCACCACCCCCGCCTATTTATGTCACTCATCACGCTCCTTGCGCAACGTCTTGCGTTCGAGGTCTCCTATACCAGAAGGCATCAAGAATGTGATCTCCAGACTCGAAGTTCTTTTGCCACCAATTCAGGATGATGCCACCACAAAGGAGCCCAGTCATACAACGAAAAGCATCTCGTTCGTGTAGTGCTTGAATCTCATCATCCTATTTCTCGCAGTGTGGAGTTTCTCCCTTGATCAATTCGTAGAGCGTACTTCCGAGAGCAGATAAGTCTGATTGCATCTCCCAACACATCGATGCAGTGAAGACATGAACCAGAGTCTGGTTCACAGGTGCCCTCCCGTCCCGCTTCACGCAAACACATGGTCATATATTATTCCACCACAATTTCCCCCAACATTCAGAGAAGCCATCGAATTCACGGGTTCGATGGTCCAAAGAATGTGACCCAGTCTCTCGGAAAAAATCACTTCATAAGAAGAGGTTTCACTTCCCTCGAACACACCGCAAAATAATGTGGATGCTTTCGAGGAAAAAGTTTTTTGCTCGTTGCCTCAGGCTGGGACATATTTCTTTCCGTGTATCTGGGATGGACTGCAGATAACGAAATAGTGCCGGTACCCAGACCCCAGTGATCCGCCGCAGGACTTGGGGAAACTCCAAGGCCTCAACTCTGTCATCTCCTGGTCTCTAGCCAGAGGCACGGGATACCTTGATCTGTCCCCTTTCCTCGATCGTCTTCGCCATCCTGGAGCCATTTTCTGTCTGCAGGGATTGAAACCCTTTGACCAACCCCTGTAGGTCTCCCTTTCCCAGTTCTTGACTCATCTTGAACTTGCCATCTAATCGGGTGATCTCGATTTCCACCCCGATGATGTTTTTCTTCAACAGGTCGATATACCGCTCTGGTGCATCGGTGACCTCCCACGGTTCTAGCCGGTCACCCCCTGTGTATCCCATGATACTGGTCTCTGCATGGTGGGTGAGGTCACTGATCTGGCGCTGAAGAAACTCGCCGGTCTCTGGGGCGCTGGTGTCGAAGTACACTGTGGCGATCCCGTAGGCCTGGACGGCAGAATAATCCCACGTCGGCACGACTTTGCCGGTGCTGGGTTTGGTCTCGGTGTAGAACTTGGGCGTCACGTAGGAATGTGCAGGCCCGTTGAAGACGACCGAGACTTCCTCGCGAAGCCGTCCGTTTGAAGCTGAGCTGGCTTGCACGGCTTCCACCAGAACCTTGGACTGTGGGTTAGGCTTTGCAAGGTGACCGCGTAGTCTTCCCAGTTCCGTCTCGCTTGCCTCATCGTCAATGTCGAGCATCCAAGGCACATGGCTGCATTGAATGGTTGGGAATGTGGATGACTGCAGCGCGGTGATCAGAAGGCCCAGGGGGTTCTCTTGGATGAATCGCCGCAACGTCGGAATATCACGTTCGACGTAGACTTCGCGCATATACATGGTTGAAACTTACAAGGGACCACGCGCGCAGAGTAAATGGCGAGAACAAATGAAGGAATGGAACAGACCCGAAAGAAACTAGGATATAAGATAAGCTAGAGCTATAGGTTGTCATAGGGCGCGCTGAGATTTGGCGACTAAGGCGAGCCAAGGTAGAGTACTCTGTAGTACTTGGAGATATTGTTTACTGATCATTCGTTCCCAATCTCAGCACCCAACCGAGGACCAGGGTTTGAGCAATAATGGAAACAGGCTTGGACAGCAACGACGACGGCAGAGGCAGCCGTCCTGATGTAAATACCAGTATTACTCATCAGTGGCAGTTAGTGGTAGTTAAAATAGTAGTTCAGATCCCGGCCCGAGCCTTATAGACCTTAAAGTCCATACGGTCCAGCGCTAAACTGTTTCAGGCCTGGAAGCACAAGGCCCCTTTTGACCCCCGAACCCTACAAAGAGAGCAACATCAGACATTGTACGGAGTACGGAGTACTTCTGATGGAAGACAACTGAATTGGCTGGGCCTCTGGCTCGGTCACCTGGGATTTGAGTCCGACTTTGAGCCTCCCTTCTGGTCTTGCTGGCAGCACGCTCGTGAGGCCGAGACCGACAAGGGACCTTCAACTGGCGTGGCATCATGTTTCCCGAACTACGAGATGACGGCGACCTGCTCCATTTCAGCGTTTACAGCACGGTCTACCTGTTCGATGGCCAATGTATCGTTACCCAGCCTGTTTAAAACAAGGCAAACAGAGCATCTCTCGCAAACACACTAAACATTGAGGTTAGGTGTCGTCTGCCTGCGCAGGCTGCGCCAGCAATGAGATATGTGCTGTGCCAACAGAGCTCCGTGTTGCTGGACTAGACAGCAACACCCGACATGCTCCCTGCGAGACCAGAACAAGTTCACACTGCCCTTAAACCCCAGTGGACATGGTATACCGTGTACCGACCGAGCCGTTCCTTTCCTCAACGAATATGCACCGCTGACCTCTAATTCCCTCCTGCGACATTCCATTTTTAGTTCTATCCTTTTGATGTCACCTCCTGAACGCCACCGTCCTCCCAGCTTCGACGGTCGAAACACAGCAGCATTCACACCCGCTTCAGATCTCAGAAGTCGCCTCGTCCTGATGGTCGAGCCGACGACTGCCTTCCGGTGGGAACCGAGCAAAGAGCACCACAGTAAACCCTATCAGAGCAACAGCCTACAAATCCTGAATTAGCGGTGTCACGGTAGGAAGGATCTGCGGTGAAGAGGATGGACACTGACCGCATTCACTGTGAAAACAAGCTCTGTTCTCCCGATACTGGCGAAAAACGCAAAGACGACACCGAATACAAAGGCTAGGGTTCACAGACATATCAGCACTTGGACGGCAAACTGAGGGAGAATGCTTACTCGTCGACAGTCGAGCCATGTTCTCCACGAGACTGATTCCAGCCAAAGCGTCGGCTCTTTCAGCACTGCTGGCGGAACTTCCAATCATCTGAAGAATCGTCCCTTTGGCGGCCGAACCCGTGCCTGCAGCGAATGGCAGCACAACGGCTACAAGGTACATCTGCCATCCTTTGTGAACGAACGAGCAAAGAAGCGTAAGGAGTCCGTCGGCGATCAACGAAAACCTTGTGTAGGTGAGATCGAACTTGAATGTTTGCTCCTTGTCGCGTGGCTTGTCGTGAGCATCATCGCTGTCCGCGGTGGCCGTCTGAGATGAACTGCTCGATAGCAATGGCTCCCGCTCCGTCGAGTCCAAGTCCCTTCCGGCTCTTGCACGAGCATCCTCTTCCTTCTTGGCGGTCCACCGTCTTCCGACTGCAATGAGCTTCGGGAAGGCGAAGGTCAAAAAGACGCCTCGAAGCATAGAGTGCATGAAGATCAACCAGCCGTTCTTTTTGGTTCCAAAGCCAAAAACGTTGGTCGAATACAGTTGAAGCAAAGTGGGCAGATAGCCTAGATCCGACATGAGCTGGAATCTTAGAGTCACGGCACGGCAAGCCACTCACCTGTAGCCAGAATGCCGAGAAACACGCCCCAAGCCAGCAGAAAAGGACCATATTCTGTCCGGACTACTCCGTCACTTCCAATGAATTTCCGTGGCGCAAACACGCTCAAAGGGCCGACGAATCTGCGGAAGAATCTCGGCTTATTCTTGCCCTCGATCGAAGGCCCCAGGGATTCTTTCGCCTTCGGGGGAGGGATATGCGGCAAGAAGACAAAAGCAAAGGCGCAACTGCTCAGGAATAAGATAAAGGTCAGCCGGTACGGGGCCTTGATCCCAAGGAATTCTGCCACGACGCCGCCCAGAAGGAAGCCTGAGGCCGAGCCAGACATCATGCTTCCTGTCAAGCGGCCCAGCGCTGCAGTTCGGTGCTCGTGGTCGACGACTTCGGTGATGAATGTGTTCAGTACCAGCAGATAGCCGCTTGGGCCGCCAGCAATGCTCACCACCTGCGAGGCTTGGATTATGATGATGCCCACGCTGCCCCAGAGCTCTATCCCGACGTTCTGGACAAGCAACCTGACAGCCGGGAAGAAGACCTGGATGATCAGCGTCGGCTTGACGCCGATGCGTTTGATCAACGAAGTCGTCACGAACAGATTGAGCAGGCCGAAGATGGTCGTGCTCGCCCCGAGCAGGGAGATCGACAGGGCCGTGGAGCTCTCGATGGCGTGGATCGCGCACCGATCGGTGGCGGTTTGGATTCGTATGCCCGTAGGATCGACTTCCGGCGTGGCCAACATATAGGACAGCAGTGACCCGGACAGGCCCGTCACTGTCGAATCAGCCACGGGGCCAGACCCCGGAGCAGGATGGCTTTTGTAGTAAGCATCGCAGGTCATGAGTCGAAAGACGTATAGCATGGGAACTTGGGTGACGCCGAAACTCAGGCTGGTGAGAAATGCACTCAGCATGATCAGGTAGCTGATTGAACGCGGCCAGGCGGTAGCGACGCTATCGTCTCCATCGTCGCCACCCAGAAGAGACTTGGACTCGTCGGCCAAAGGATCCTGGACGGCGATGTTTTCCACAAAGCCAATGTCTTCTTCTGAGCGCGTCCGGCTCAGCAGCAGGGAGGCAGTTTCCTCCAGATCGTCGCGTTGGACTGGCTGATGGTCGGACGACGCTCGCCGGTCGGTGCCATGACGATCGGTCATGCTTGACAAGCGCGGGGAGGGATGGCCAGCCAGCAAAGCTTGATCGCTGTCGCTATCACTATTCGAAAGAAGACCACGGTCATGTCATTTCCAGCTTTGACTGCCCAGGGGAATCCAGACAGAGATTGTCGGGCATGCGCAGGCACAGGCACGTACACATGCGGTAACCGTCGATGAATCACGTCAGTTTCTTAACAAAGCAACTAATGTTGGAAGGGTACGGAGGGGGAGTACAGTAACATGCTATACGCGCCAACGGCATACGCTCCACCATGGGCGGTGTACCGTCGGCCACGGCACGAGGTGCCGCCTTTTCCGGAGCTGGTCGTTAGGGGCGTGAGGCCGCCCATGAAGAATTCCTGTGGAGGTTACATAATACTCCGTACAGTCCGCGGCCACTCTCCAACTCCATTCCTCAGGAACCTGGCCACCACCAAGTACAGAGTACCAGTACGGAGTACGGAGTACAGATATATTATTCCTCCATGCCACCTGCCACAAGGCGCCATCCATTGTCCTCCCAGAACAACGAGCCGCCTCTTCGGTTCCTGTCAGAGGCAGTACGAGTAGATGAGGTCTAGAAAAGCCTCGTCTTGTCTTGTCCGAGGGAAACTCCAATATTGTTGCTATCCACGTATCTGTATTAATCTGTGTCGATAATTAGCAAGCTGTTTGACTGGATGCAGTCCCACTCGCACTCGCACTCCCACCACCATCCTCTTAAGTAGGGTTGAAAAGTAGGGTTGAAGAGTCCACCACCATCCTCAAAGTAGGGCTGAAGAGTTCCTTGTTCTCTATCATAGGTCCCCTGAGCCTAGGGCACGCCCTGACTATACACTTACAGTATATCGAACAAATAGTGGAGACTTAGATGAGGCTGGGGAATGTTCTGGGCCTAATATTTGACACACCATTCTTCTTCTCCGCTTCTTTCTTCCTTGGGTGGTGTTTTCATCTATCCCTCTTTAGGATTTTGTCGTCCTTCGCCGTAACATGCGTATAATTATAGTATATGGAGAGAGAGAGAGAGAGAGTGTGTGTGTGTGTGTATGCGTAGTCTCTTCGCAAGGTCCAGACGCGCCAGAGTGATATATAGAATAGGTGTACGGGGTACGGTGTACCAGTTTTGATCGCCTTACTCCGTACATCAACACGACAGCACAATAAACACCCATGGGTGCGAAATACTCACAGGCTACAGCCCATATTTAGACCTCTCAGCGAGCTATACCAAACACGGGATCTATGACCCCAACGGCTTGTAGAGCAAAATACCGTTAAAAAAGGACATGCTACAATTAGGTAAGGTACTTGTAGTCAGATTAGGTAAATACCTATTACTGTTACTCTGTATCTCGGACATGCCCGTTCCATGGGCAGCACTTTATGAGATATCTGATCTGCTCTGATCGGGTCCAAGTCTACCTTATTTAAATATCAATATCCAGCTGGGCCTTTTTTCTTTCGGTCCCCGTATCTGAAACCAGACTTGCATTCTAATTCGCGACCACGACAGACAGCCAGTGCAAGTGCAGCGCAAGCGCAGACCGACCATGGCAGAAACAGACCCTGGCTTCATTGCCGCCGTCGAGGAAGCCAGACAGGGCTTCGCGGAGGGTGGAGTCCCTATAGGTATGTAGGTACACTGTACGATGTCATTCTCACCGCTTTCTCCGTGGCCGTCAGGTTAGTTCTTGAGCATCCATCTAGCCTCTGGCCATGGTCATGTTCTGGCAGGGGCAGATGCAGAGGCTGGTACGAGGCTGCGAGGCTCAGAACATGGCCAGAGGCTGGATGGTGCGAGGCTGCGAGGCCGAGACCTTAGGGACACACACACACACGCACACACACACACACACACACATATATATATGTGTATGTCATGTGGATGGGATGGGATGGGATGGGATGTATGTTTACTGAATGAAACGCGACGATAGGAGCATGCCTTGTCTCCAAGGACGGCAAGATCATTGGCCGCGGACATAATATGCGCGTGCAGAAGGGCAGCGCGACTCTTCATGTGAGCACTCCCTCTCCTGTCTCTCACTCCCATCTCGCACATTGCAATTTGCACCTTACACCTTGCAACCCTGGCATCTCCTATCTTTGTGTCTTCTTCGGAAACCGCCTCGGCTTTTCTTTGGAGGGACAATACCAGCAGTACTGGTACTGGTACCACTGAGGGCTGAGAGGGGACTGGATTTGTTCGTTTGGTTTGAACCCCTTCTAGCAGTACCGCATCACTCTACCAGAACCCTTCCAGCAATACCGCACCACTCTACCAGAAAACTGGCCATGTCGCATCACTGACGAGATACACTCCGTGCTTCCAGGGTGAGATCTCCGCTCTCGAGAATTCCGGCCGGCTGCCCGCGTCCGCGTACGCCGGAGCCACCATGTATACGACGCTCAGCCCCTGCGACATGTGCACGGGCGCCTGTATCCTGTACAAGGTGGCCAGGGTGGTGATCGGCGAGAACAAGAACTTCGTCGGCGGCGAGGACTATCTCCGCCAGAGGGGCGTCGAGGTCGTGGTGCTGGAGAACGACGAGTGTAAGGAGCTCATGCGGAAATTCATCGAGACTAAGCCTCATGTTTGGTATGTTTGATGTTTGATGTTTGGTCTTTGTCTTGGACTTTTACTGCTTGTCGTTGCAATCCCCTTTCATTTCATCTTCTCCCCGGCCGGAGTGAGAGTGAGAGGATTTGCATTCTTTTATCTTCTCCCATCCATCTTCTCTACTACGACTACCGGAGTGAGAGGATTTGCATTTCTTCATCTCCTCCCATCCATCTTCTACTACGACTACTGGATTGAGGACTTCATTGACAGCCCCGTGTAGGAACGAAGATATCGGCGAGCAGTGATGATGAGGATGATAATAAGAAGAAAGATGATCAAGTGGTTTTGTCCACATAATAAGAAAAAAGAAGATCAAGTGGTTTCGTCCAAGTTTGCCATGCCCAGGTATCATACGTAGTGTAGTGTAATGTCTTTATGCTTTTGCTTTTGTCTTTCTATTTCTCATGCCGTGCATCTGTGAATCTCCTCAAAGAAAAACTTCAGGTCGTCAGGCTTGACGCTGGGAGTAATGCCATGGCCCAGATTGACGATCCAGCGTTGCTTCCCTCCGCCGAACCCCTTCACCATGTCTTCCACCACTGAGGTGATGGCTTCGTGGCTACCGTACAGCACCCCGGGATCGGCGTTGCCCTGCAATGTCACCCGGCCTCGGGCTATCTGCACGGCTTCTTTGGGGTCGTGCAACCAGTCGAGGCCAACCACGTCGTAGCCAGAATCGCACAGCTCGTCCAGAGCATACCAAGCGCCCTTGGCGAAGACAACCATTGGCACGACATCCTCGCCCATCTCGCGCAGCCTCTTGGGCAGATTCTGCGAGATGTATCTGAGGTATGGCAGGGCGAACTCCTTGAACGAGGAAGGCGACAGCTCTCCAGCCCATGAATCAAAGACTTGGAGAATCTGTGCTCCTGCGGCGACTTGCAACGCAAGGTATTCGACACAGATCTCGGCAATCTTCTGAAGCAGGGCCTTGCTTTCCTTTCCGTACTTATACACCCAGGTCTTTGCTTCTTTGAAGATCTTGGTGCCTCCGCCCTCGACCATGTAGCACAGCAAAGTCCACGGGGCACCGCAGAAGCCATACAAAGGGACTCGGCCGGCAAGCTTGGTCCGTGTCAGCGTAATCGCCTTGTAGACATAGTCGAGCTCTTTCGCGACATCCACCTGTCGCTGTAACACCTCTTGATATTGTGTGTCCGAGGGCGAGCGCAGGGGATTGGGGAACTTGGGTCCAATGCCATCCACCATCTTCACTTCCATGCCCATGGCCTGAGGGATGACCAGGATATCGGAAAAGATGATGGCGGCGTCGATGAGGCCGTCAAAACGATCGATCGGCTGCAGGGTCAACGTCGACGCGATTTCCGGTGAGCGACAGCATTCGAAGAAATCATGTTTCCCCTTCGCTTCGTGATACTCAGGGAGGTATCGGCCGGCTGGGAACGGGTCAGCTTCTTTTAAGACAGCATTGGGGTCGACAAGGCACAGACCGCCGCATACCTTGTCGCATCACCCAGATGGGCGGACGGTCGACCTGTTCGCCTGTAAAGCGTCAGTCAGTGCACACGCTTCTCTAGCAAGGATGCTCATTGTGTGACGCACCACGCGCCGCCCGCAGCAGTCGATCATTCTTGAGGGGAGGGAAGGTGTGTTTCATATTGCTGGATGTCTGTAGACAAAGTGAAACCTATCGTCGTGAAAAGCGTTTGGTGGTGTCACCATCCTCGACATTGATCTTGATATTGATCTACATTTCACACACTGCAGAGTGCGGGGAAATTTCCCGTCGAATTTGGCGGTAGTGCGCCGCCGAAGAAACACTGGAATTTAGGTACCCTCATCCCTCATTCTTTAACACGGTCGGATGGCTGAAAAGAGGAAGTGTCTCTTCTCCTTCACCACATACATTGAGGTCTCGCCCACCTCTTCCTTGGCCCACGAACAGAGTCTGCCACACTCACTACACACCATCATCCATTGATTTCCGCCACTAGTTTCAGACTCACGCAACCGCCATGGAAGATTGCAAGAGGAAAGAGGACCAGCGGCCTATATCATTGCGGTTTGAGGCATGACTGCACTCTGGAAGTTGGAGTCTGGCCCTTTTTGGAATCAGGTGACTGCCAAAAGGTAGGATTGTCACACCCAAGAGTATATTTGTACTCCGTACTTCTACATGGTACTACTGTAGCCTCTGGCAACGAGCTCGACATCTGCTGGACGAAACAAAACTGAACAGATAGGTGTTTTTGGAGGCATTGCAGCTGTAAATCATGGAGACTTGGATCCGGGCAGGAAATGCTTGCCTAGACCATACCCTCATGTAGTCCCTTCAGGGGCCACGGGTATCTCATCATCCCCGATTTCTTCGGCTTCGTCCTCTTGAGCTTGTGAATCTCTTTTCTTCCTCAGATTTTCGAGCCCGTATATGCTCTCGCCCAGAGCGCTGTATGTGGTTTGTGCCTTCGATGGCCCTTCTGTTGGCACATCAGCCATCTCACCGTGCAAAGCTGCCTCGTTTAAAAGTATTGCCAGACTAGTCTTCTCCCATCGCAGGTCAACTCCGTCCACTTTCTCGAACTCGCTCACACCATTTTCGTGGCTTGGATGGTCTGAGAATAACTCAAAGGTTTCAAACACCTCCGTTTCGGCCGTTTCGGCCGGTCGGATCACTCTCATCGAACCCGGCTTATGCACTGTGTCAATACTGACCACGATATCCCAGAGAGCAGGCCCGATGCCAACGTCCAAGACATTCCCTCCAAGAGTCAGGCTTTGATGGTGTCTCAGTCGGCCTTCCTCCGTGAGGCCGTAGCTTAGAAGGAGTGGGAGTCTGGACGGCACGGTTAGTCTTAGCGGACAGCAGCCGGAAGTGGGCTTACCCTTCCAACGCAACAAGGAGAAGATGGGGAGGACGGCGAGAACGTGGTGAATTGCCAGCCACGGTGAAATTGATGGGCCAGATGGAGGAGACAGCCAGACGATCTAGAGAGCGATCGCCATCATCCAGATTCAGCGCACTGGCAATGTCTTGTCGCACTGCTCCGTGAAAAAGCTCTTCGTCGAGCAAACGTCCTGTCAGAAAGTGGTAGGCCTTCAGAGATGGCTCGCCACTCCCTGTCACCAAAAACTCGGGTTTCCATGGTACAACACACATCTTGCTCACGAATTCACGGTGCCCCAAACAATAGTTCTCGATGATATGAGCCTGTGGGACTCCTCGAGACACCCGAATATGCTCGTCTCGATCCGCAGTCAAGATATACTGCTTGCGTTTCAACCCGTCCTGCAGTTCAGCAATAGCTACGTCGGTCAGACTCGAGACATGGCCCAATAGCAACTTCAATCGAAAGCTGGGCGCTTCTTTCTTAGGCGGGGACACCTTCTGTTTACGCTGCTGCCGAAGTGCCTCTAGATTCCTTCCGGTATGGACTGTCAACTCCGAAGCTGCCGGACTGAAAGGGACTGGAGACTGATCCAGCTTCACGGTCTTGGGAACGAAGTCCGCTGTAGGACACAATGGTAGTAGGTAGACGTCTCCAAATTTGTCTCCAACCAGGATATCTTTCTCATCGGAAGTGAGGACAAGTCTACATAATCGTTTGGGCATCGATCTGGCTGTTATTAGTCTGAAAGCTACTCATGTTGCTTGAGGGCCACCAACCGTTGGCTTTGTAACTCCAAGATTCCTCCGGGTCGTACGCTAAACACGTTGATCGACTTATCCGTCGTAGTTACCGTGACCACCTTCGTGCCGTCACTCGAAGCGACGATGTGCGAGACATGGGGTAATGGAGAGCTTTCTAACTTCAGCTTCTGTCGCCCTCCCTTTTGGCCCTCGGGTATAGTCTCGATCGATTCGTCTGTAGTTTGCTGAGAAAGATCCGCCGAAATTTCCTCCCCTTCGACTCTGCGTCTTTTGGCCGGGGGTTCTTCATCGGCGTGGGTACCATTCTTTTCTGCCGTTTTAATTTCTCGCCGGGGCCACTGGCTCAAAAGAGCTCCATTTTTCAGATTGAAAGTGCTGATTATATGACCTGAAGCAGCCAACAGGAACGGCTGTTGGCCGTCAACTGGCAGTACGCAGCATAGTTTTTGAAATGGATGCCGAACCATTTTGAGTAGCTGAAAATCTTCAACTCTCGAAAGAATCCGTTACACCTCTGTGTGCCGTATGACACTCAGCACAGGAGGTCCATATAGTCAGCTTCGTATCGAATGGTCTTCTGCACCAAGTCGACCGTGGCTTGAATTCTGAGTGAGCCAAATTTAAACCCGTTCCATGTTCCCATGGTAGAAGCGGCAGTATAAAAGTCACTTGCACAAAATGTCTCCTTGCTCCGCCATAGCTGGCGCCAAGACCCAAGATTTCCGCGCACACTCCGAGTCCTATCCGACAAAATCGCAGGCGGCAGACTCAGGTTCGCCAGAACTTCAAACCACCACCACCGTACCACACCCTCAACACCCAACTTACACATCAGTTTGCCCTTAAACATCCTAACTTCATCCTAAGAAGTCATGGGGGGCAAATCCGGATCGAAGACTGTCTACTTCGACAAGCTGAAGACTCTGCTCGACGAGTACAAGTCCATCTTCATTGCAAGTCATCTCGACAGCCGCAGTGGGACGTTCGTTAACAATTGCAGGTCGGTGTCGACAATGTCTCCTCGCAGCAGATGCACGAAATCCGCCAGTCGCTCCGCGGCGATGCTGTGGTTCTGATGGGCAAGAACACCATGGTTCGTCGAGCTCTCAAGGGATTCGTGACGGAGAACCCGGAATTTGAGCGTCTGCTCCCACACGTCAAAGGTGCGCTTTGCCGTTAAGATGCTTGGAGGAATTCAATCCTGACTGTTGCAGGCAACGTTGGATTCATCTTCACCAACGGGGATTTGAAGACCATTCGTGACAAGATCCTGGCCAACCGAGTCGCAGCCCCGGCTCGTGCTGGCGCCGTTGCTCCCGGCGATGTGTACGTCCCCGCGGGAAACACTGGTATGGAACCTGGCAAGACCTCTTTCTTCCAGGCCCTCGGTGTCCCCACCAAGATTGCCCGTGGTACCATTGAAATCACCACCGACCTCAAGTTGGTTGAGGCTGGCGCGAAAGTTGGTGCCTCAGAAGCTACGCTTCTCAACATGTTGAACATCTCTCCCTTCACGTACGGTATGAAGGTTGTACAGGTCTATGAGGAGGGCCAGACCTTCGATCCGAGTGTGTTGGATATCGAGGAGAGCCAGTTGCTCAAGTCCTTGTCGTCCGCTATTGCCACCATCACTACCATTTCTCTGGCTGCCAACTACCCGACTCTGCCGTCTGTTATCCACAGCTTGATCAATGGCTACAAGAAGCTCATCTCGGTGGCCATCGAGACCGACTACAGCTGGGAGGCCATTGATGAGCTCAAAGATCGCATTGCGAACCCTGAGGCTTATGCCGCTGCCGCTCCTGTCGCCGCTGCCGCCAGCGACGACGCTGCGCCAGCTGCGGCCAAGGAGGAAGAAAAGGAAGAGGAGAAGGAAGAGAGTGATGACGAGGGTAAGTGCACATTGGCTTTCAGCCTTGATGACCTGCTTGCTAATCCGTATCAGGCTTCGGTGGACTTTTCGACTAGATGCCCGAGCCTCCGGCACATGTCTGGACTGGCACATGCAGACGCCGTGGCAGCAGCAGCAGCAGCTAGTTCAATAGACAAGGTACATAGGTGCAATGACATGATTGCCAGTCGTCAACTTTTGGTGGTATACCTGAGCACGCGTGAAAAGCCCTCTGAGAAATCTGAGCACAACTGGGTAAGCAGTACCATTTCCTTTGCAAACAATACGGCGTGATGATCAATTTTTAACCCCGAGAACTTGTTCTATGATGAACAAAACTATGCAACAACAACACTCTAATTTTTTACTGACGCCGTTCCTTTTACTCCGAATCCCTGTGACCACACTGTTGAATACACGCTGACTCTTGTCAACAGTCTGAGTATAGTTGCGTATCGAGATTATGCCTAGCATCCTGACCCATTGTAACCGCATCCGCTGTATATCATCACTTGGTAAAGTGTCGGCCAAAGATCTGCTCTCTTCTTGTTTCAACATTGCACACAGTGGGCACTGGTCTACCAAGACGAAATGAGGCATGGGGACAAGTGAAGACGTCAAATAGGAGCGCTCCCATAAACACTATGCAAAAAACTCTTTGGCCCTCATTTCTTCCTTCATGGCTTCCTCTTTTTCCTGTTCGTCCAATTTGATCATCTCAGCCTCCGACCCCGCTGCACTCGGCTCACGTGTCGACTGGACAGAGGATTCTTGATCCTGCATCTCCCAAGTCTCTTTGTACTTACTCCAAAGATGTTCCACAGATTCGCCGAACAAGTCAGGCCAGAAACTTTTCTCGACATACTCTCCCTTCCCCATCCTTTCGTTCATGCGACTGATGCTGCCTGGACCATGACGTTCTTCCAGCCATTCCAAAAACCATGCAGTCTTCTGATAACCTTCATCCCATTTTTTGCCTCTGTTCTCTGGGGCCCGATTCCAATGCGGTGGGGCGAGGCCGGCCTTTAGCCGGACAAAGTCTGCAATGCCTTCAATCAGGCCTCCCGGAGCAGTGCCGTGGCAATTATTCTGGTAGCAGTGTACCATTTCATGAGTGATCACGCCGGCCAATTCGTGACGAATCCGGGATGAGTTCCCTGAATGCACAATCTGCACGTAATCGAGTGATAGATGGATTTCCTTGTGAAGATCGTCCAGTGGCAATCCGCTGGTGTAGGCAACGCCACCCATAGCTCTAAGCACTACGGTTACAGACCTTACTTTGGGAATGTCGTGCAGGCCATAGGGTTTATACAGGTGATCAATCACAAGCTCAATGGCGCGTGCCAGAAACAGGCCCGAGTCCAGAGAGGAGCAAGCAATGGGAGCGGCAGGATGAGTGACCTCATCTAAGTGAAGTCGAAGCACGGGCTTGTGACGAAGTCGTGGAGGGATCGGCGCAGGCATCTTGCGAGTGTGGGTTGTGGTGTGAAGTGATGCCGAATAAGGCAAGGCTGTGAGACTCTGATGCGCGTTGGTCGATCGGGAGGAATTGTCCACCAGAGGCAGAGAGAGGCTGGAAGTACTCGTAACAGACAGAAGTTGGTTGTGCGTGTCGACGCCACTCAGTGCAGATCAATGAGGCGAGGTAACCAGAGTGGAAACCCGACGTAAGTTGTATGGCAGGCGACGACTTTCTGTGAATCCATATGGACGCGGTGAGTGAGGGATAAGATTTGGCTGTTGGGATGCGTGCACAAGGCAACCACGTGCCGCCAACCATAATTCACCAGCACTCGCCAGCACCGCAGGCCGGGCTCCGCTTAGCTAATCCACCACCCCCCGCAGGCGCGTCGTGCTGATTGGCTTCCCTCCAACGTCTGTCCACTCAGGCGCCAAGCCTTCGCGGGTGCTCCTCCAAAACATCTGGTATCAACAACATCGTCTCCATCAGTGTCGCCTCTTCGCTCTATACAAACTTTCCATGTCCCACGTTCCAACGGTTCAATGTTCACGTTCGCGTTCACGACCTCCAGCCTCCTCGCCGCCTGATCAGAAACTCAAACGGTATGTGCCACCTCGTCTACTTAGGTCTCGCTTCTTCGCTTTCTTCTCTCTCCTTCTTCTTCATCACATCCCAAACACTCTTCACCACTGTAGTTGTTCTCACAGATTGTGCTGAATCGACTACCCCAACCCAACACTTGAAAGCTCATTCCCATTGTGCTCTTCGTCTGCTCCCTGCTCTGCTCTGCTCTGCTCCCTGCGCTTCCCCCGTCTCTGTCAAACCAAAGACACCGACCTCCCGATCTCCTGATCTCTTTGTCCCCCAATCCATCACCTGCAAGAGCACTTCGTGCTCGTGTTGCTGACATGGATTTCCGTATGCATCATTCTGTCCTTGGCTTTATTGTTTCGATCTGTCTAACATTTCTCTCTGCAGTCAAGAAAGTCGACAGACTCATTCCCGTTGCTGGAAAAGCAATCTACTTCACCTTCACCGGCCTCAGAGCCAAGATGCTCGGCAGAACCTATGTTGACATCCTCAACTTCCTCCAGTATGAGTTCACTCTTCCAGAGACTGAAGAAACCTGGAAAAAGCGCCAAGACCTCCTTGTCGAACTTGCTGCATTCTTCGACAGCCGCAAGGACAACAGTGTCTTGCCCAAAGACTTTGTCGAACGTGTCAAGGCCATCTTGCCTGACATTGTCACCGCCGCCTCTTCGGAGCGTACTACCTTATCTGCTCAAGCCTGCCGCGTCGTCTGTTGCATTGCAAAGCACCTTGAGTCCCAGATCCAACCTCAGCTGGACATGCTCCTTTCCCAGCTCATCATCCACTGCGGTTCTGCCAAAGGCGTCAATCAGAAAAACGCCAATGACGCAATCGTCACCATTTGCAAGCATGCCGGCTACAGCCCTCGCCTTTTCTACCATGTCTGCGCGGCGTTCAGAGACAAGCGTATTCCTCCTCGTACCTATGCCCCAGAGTGGCTCCGAATCCTTCTTTCGTCCTATCGCACCCAAATGGATCGGGAGAAAGATGGCGAGGCAGCCAAGACAGCCATTTACCAAGGTCTCACCGACGGCCAAGTCAAAGTCCGCGAGAACAGCCGTGCTGTCTACTGGGAGTACGCGACATATGACGTTCAGGGTGCCCGCATGATCATGGGTGGTCTCAATCCTCATGCTCAAGCTGCGCTCCGTGAAGACTCTCACAACCCCGACAAAACTGCCGCGAAGCTCGCCAGAGCCCCACGTCCAGACTCAGCTCTCGCCTCCATCAAGGCTCAAAACAAACAACGCCTTCAACAGCGCCGTGGCTTCACACCGGCCTCTGTCAAACCAGACGACTTTGTATTTGGCTCCATGGAAGACCTCGACGCCCCTACATACAAGAAGTCTGCACCAAAGGCCGGCGCTGAAGCTGCAGGCGAGAGACAAGAGAAACGTGCCCCGGAACCTCACCATGCAGGTCATCAGAGCGACTCTGCAGGAAGCTCTCGTCAAGGCATCTCTGTCCAGCCTCGCACAACCACCAAAGTATCCAAGGACACCAAGCTCGAGACTTCGAAAGAGCAGAAGGCATCAAGCTCACAGGCCGACGCACGTCCATTGCTCTCTGCACCAGTCAGACGAGGTCGTATCGTCGCCACTCCCATGACCAACCCTTCACAACGTCCTGGATCTCGCGGAGAACCTAGCAAGAAGTCCTCCGAAGTCAAGGACAAGTCACTCCCAGACAAATCATCTGGCCGTCAGACTCCAATCACAGTTGACGAGAAAGACGTGCTGTCGTCCTCTGTCATTCATCATCGCAAAACAGCAAGCCGCCATGACGCCGTCAGACTCGACGACAAGGATCTTTCAGTCACCAGCATTTTGCAAAACATCAAAAGAAGCAGTCAGCAACAGACTCCTGTCGTCGCAAAGTACAAAGAGTCGTCTGGCCATCCAACAACCCAGTCCACCAAAAAGACTGAGCGTCCAACTCATGTGGTCACCGACGATCAGGAGCCGCCTACTCTCGCACCCGTCCCACCCAAGAAGCCTACCCTGCCCATTGCCGTACTCGCCGAGGACAAGGCGGGATCAGCTTCTGTTTCATCCAAGTCCAGCAAGGAGACAATGGCTGCCGAGCAAGTCACAGAACAACTCGTTCTGCCAGTAACACTCCCTCTCCGTCCCGTCAAGGCATTTCCACAAGAAAAACACTCCGCTCTTCCCTCGACTGAACGCTCCCTTGATAAAGATTCCAGTCGCCAACATGTTGCCGAAGGCAAAGAAAACTCCTACGTTATCCGACCTCGCAAGAGAACATCACCTACCACATCACCGCGTCGTTCTCCTAATCGTTCCTCCAACCAGTCACCAAAACGATCTCCCCGCCACAATAGTATTGCGGCGTCGGCCAAGAAATCACTTGCCACGGCAACGGAGTACCTCCGTCATGGCAGTCTCGATGCTCTCGGTTACCGCAGGCTTAGAAAGCTTATTGAAGACCATCCGGGCGTCTTGATCACCAGCCAGACACAGTTCAACGACTTGTTCGAACTGCTGATTGGCAAGCTGGCATCTCTCGATGAACTTGTCGAGCCCCGAGAAAAGAGACTCGAGACTCTCAGCCATCCCGCCTACCACCGACACACTATTCTCCTCATCATCTTCCTCCTGTTTCGGCAATATCCTCACTGGCCGGAACCGCAACCTGGCATGACCCTTTCAGCACTCCTGATCGCCAGATGCAATCACAGTTCCGGTTATATTGCAACCTTGCGAGCAATTGACAACGCGGCTGAAGTCCTATGCACCTCCACTGAAGACCTTCTTCCCTCCATCGATGCAGTCCTCGATACCCTAGAACAGATCGAACATATCATTACCACGAATGACCCTATTGTTACCCCTATGTCTACCACCACTGTCCTTTCCACCAGTCTGCAGAGTCTTGCATCGGAATTTGGGCCTGAACGCCCCCGCTTCTCGAACAGACTCCCTATTATTATGGCCTTTGGATTGAGAGTCCTCTGCCTCCTCCTCGAGCGCCTTGCTTGCCGCGGCCAAACCCTCTATACCATCCAAGAAGACCGACTGGGCTCATTTGCCGAACACCTCCTCGTTACCTACACCTCCCTCATCAAACGATATGTGCTAGACTATTGCACCGCACTGCATGCGGTGATCAAACCAGAAAAGCGATTCTACCAGTACTTCAGGAACGAGTCTGACAGAAACCTCATCAACTACTTTGTTGCTGGACATCAGGACGTGGAGATGCAGGATGTGGATATGCTGGACGTTGAAATGGATATGGCCATGGCCATGGAATACGGAAGCTTGCAATCGTCGGTATCCTTATGATTCAGTGATGACGGGCCAGTCACCCTATTGTTAGTATTATTACAGCCAAACACCTTTAAAATTCTTCGCTCCGCTCCTAAAGTTCCCTCTAGAGTTCTGAAGATTGTGCTGTGCCCGTACAGCGTACTCCGTACTCCGTACTCACTCCCACCCTGTTGATGGTTCATGAATGGGAGAGACGTAAGAGCGGTGTTGCGTAATCAAGGCCCAGGCGTGATCACGATGGTGGGGCGAGATGTGTTTCAGAGGGTGGTGTCGCCGGTGCAATCCTCTAAGCGCAGATTGCAGGGGACGACAAATCCAACGGTTGGTGATAGAGAACCAGAATGACACTACTACTAGTAATTACTAGCAATAGTAGTCCCCTCCCTACCTAACTGGCGGTCCTCATAGATGATATTACTGCTGTACGGATACTGTCAAGACGGTGACGAGGCACAGCCACATACTGGCAGGCGACTGCCAACCCCCTGACAGCAGAAAAACAAACTCCGTATTCATACCTACCTACATATGATTATGTATCTGTCGACTGCAAAGAGTTTTCGCATGGCAGAATGGGCTGATGTCAAAATGCAGGTCTAAGCGACGAGGAGGCACCGCGAGGAGGAGACCAGCAGACTCCAGCAGACTCCAGTCAGCTGCAAATGAGATCCGGCCTCGAACCAGAGCCGAATTGGATTCGATTGGACGTTGGTACTAGGACGCGTGATGATCGGAAGGCCAAGTGAAACGACGTTCTGCAGGTGGCCTGGACTAATCTACAACCTCTTCTTCCCTTGATGCTGTGCTGGTGCTGATGGTGTCGCCACGTGGAGACAGAAGGGAGTGACAGAAGAGCAGCGTGTGAGTGTGGTGACACGGCAGTCAACACGTCCGTCAACGAGGAGGACTACGGAGTACTCTGGTAATTAATAGATCCGATGCGTGATGCGACGGTGTTCTGGTTGAGTCTGGCATGCTCCTGGAATATACCGTTACTCTGGTCTGGGCCTGACTACGGGGTATGTACAGCGATCGAAATACAGCTGCCCACCTGGTCCGTAGGTACGGACATAGTACCACAACTGCAGTAGTCGCAGTCTGCTCAAATCACAACGAGATGAGATGGCAGAACGAGATGGCAGACTGATGTAGGCGGGTCGGGTCTCTCACGAGTCGCGACAACACCCAACCCCTGAAGCTGTTCTTTCTTCTTCAGTCCTCTCCATCTTTTGAGGCGATCAGGGTGTCACTAGGTTGACAAGAGTTTAGTGGACGAGCACGCTGAGAGACCGCGCGGTGGCTGAAGAAATCCTGATGGATGGATTCGTCGGTTGCCCGCTGGGGCGTGCACACAATGCTCTGTTAGCTTTCTTCTAGTGCTATCGTCGGCCTCGCTGATGTGCCTCCTTTGCACCCTTACGGAGTAGAGAGCACTCAGAGCAGGCCCCTCGGGTGCTGCGCTAAGCCTGAAGCGCCTAGGGATTTCCCACTTGTAGGCACTTAACGGCCACCTAATAGGGGAGCCAACGGGAGACCTGGAGGTTGTGAACCTGTCAGTGGTAGCGTGCCCGTCAGACTGCCCTCCGCCCCCGTCCAGCCCTGGCCGGCTCGGCTTTGGCCTGCGTTGCCTGGTTTGTCTCCAGCGCTGCCACCGCTGCCTCCTCCGAGTCCTGCATAATCGAGCAATCGCACACTACACTACACGAATGCAGCCGTTGACGCAGATTCTCATCGAGGGCCAGCACAACCAACCGACTTCTTGAAACACCCTGGCCTATAGCGAACACAATACCTCTCGCTCGTTTTCGATCTCGATGCAGATGCGTCTCCATCCTCCTCCCTCGCCTTGAACTCTGCTCAGCACACCGCACGTCACACCTACCTGCACGACCTGCACTGCACCTCGACGCGCCCTCACTGTCGCTGTCTTGCCTGACCTGCTGACTCTGCGCCCGCACGAGCTGACACCCACGATCTTTTGATTTGTTTGTCTTGTTTTTGATTCTCAGTCACGCACCAGCCAGCGACACTGTCCTTTTTCTGGATCATACCATCTTGGGTCGCCGATTGCTTAATCGGTCATCTACCAACGAGCCTCCCACCTCCTAAGCAGCAGCGTTGATTGCCGTTGTCACCACATCGTGCTTGGGTAGTGCCCACGACTGCGTACAGGACAGGCGGTCAGCCAACAGGGAGAAGAGCGGGGTCACCATACTATGCAATGTACATCTGTTGAGCCTGTCTGAGAGAGCTGTACAGAAAACAAAATTCTTCATGAACTTGCACCAGGTATATCTGGTGGATTAGTTCTTCGACACTGGATTGACTACCACTCTGATCCGCCATATGTCGACCGGGCTGGCCCGTTGTTGAGAACACGACACAAATCGACATCATGGCCACCGCGATGGAGTCTCCCGTACCGTTTCCGGAGTCGCCCATGGATCCGGATGACATTCCCTTCCCTTGTAAAGGGTGTGGACAGGTTGGTCAACGACGCTGACTTGTTTAGACGGGTGCTAACGGGGTTGTCAAGATTCTGGAAGAAGGCAAAGCCTTCGAACTAGGTACTTTTCCTTCCCTCCCTCGCCATATGTGTGCAATCACTGACCGACACAAAAGCTGGTAACAGATGGCATATCGACTGTTTCCGCTGCAACACCTGCGGTACTGCCTTAGATTCCGACGCGAACCTCCTCCTACTGGGTGACGGCTCGCTAATCTGCAACAATTGCACGTACAGCTGCAGTAGCTGCGGCAGCAAGATCGAGGATCTCGCAATCCTCACAGGCGATCAGGCGTTTTGTGCCAACTGTTTCAAATGTCGGAATTGCAAGAGAAAGATCGAAAACCTGAGATACGCGCGCACATCTCAAGGGATCTTTTGTATGGACTGCCACGAAGCACTGATGGCCCGAAGGCGCAAGAGAACCGCCAAAAATACCACTCAGCGCTCCAAGCTCTCCGCACACAACAGTGCCCAACTGGATAAATCCTTGCCTGCGATCCCGCCTCCAGAAGCCAGAAAAACGGCCTACCTGCCCGAAAGCCACTCGCCGTACCCAGAGGGTTATGTGGAAGTGCCAGCTGATGTACCTTCTGTGGCAAAGACCATCAGCGAGTTGCAGCGAGATGTTGATTCAAGACCTTCATCTTCGGAACAAAACCCTCCCCGTGGTAAGCAACCGGTCTGCGGACGTGGTCGGCGCCCGAATACTGACCACAATTTGTTTCTAGATATGCTCACGCTCCCCTCGACGACATTCCGGAACAACAGGCATTCGATGATGTCGCAGCGCTCCGATCTATCTGGAGGCGGTGAGGAATTCTTGATCCCACTCGCTTTTGACCCTACACCTCAGCCTTCCACTCAGTCCCCCAGCGTCTCAAGCCAAGCGACCCCACGTCAAGTCGAAGAAAAACCCAAAGACTACTTCTCAAGCAGGCCAACTCCCCCCTTGGCACAGCTGGGGTCCTCCAAATCCAGCACATCAAGTCCTCACATTGCGTACCAGGAGAAGGGGCGGCAACCCTCTCGAGACATGGTCGAGCGGAGCCGATCTGGAGGCACCGCGAGTCGAACTAGCTCTGTCAACGCATCCCCATACGTGCCTGTCGAGCGTTCTTCAAAGCCGGAAGAGTCGCCCCGCTTGTCCCAGGTTGCCCAAACAAGCGATGCATCCTCGGGCGAAAAGTTCCGATTGCAAGACGCGCCTAGACCAAAACGGCGGACTGTGTCTACCTCCAACTCCCGGTCAGAAGCTTCAACTCCTCGGACGGACACCCCTGGAGACTCCGTGGATCAGGCTGCCAATACAAAGACACACGTGTCAGACGTAGGCTCACCGTCAGATCGAGGCTATTCAACGCCCCGCCTTTCCAGGGACTCGAGTCCTCACAGCGGCACCGGCGGCTCGCCTCAGCCTGCGCAGCTACCGGCGACATCGCTTCTGCAGACTCTGCCAAAGCGCGGCGATTCTTTGGAAAGCACAAAACGAGCGCAAACAATACCAAGGAAAGACCTGAACTCTTCAGCAAACATCCCATCTAGTTTCAGCAGCGCCGTCAATGGCACAACCTCAGGATCGACGCCATCAGGCCTATCTACCGATCTCGCCAGAGCAAACGGCGGAAAGATCATATCTGGGCCTATTGGGTCTCCCAGCTCCAGAAGCATTTTCGACACCGCCGACGATTCCCTGAACCAGATAGACCTCCCAAGTGCCGGCAAGGCAGGTAACGAATCCTTCGTCGACCCCCGCGCGCCACCCCTACCTCCCGCTGATCATTCAAGATCAAGAAATGAATCGTTCAGCACGATGCATTCGGAGAATCAGCGATATCTCGAAGGGCAGAAAGCTTTGGGGCTTCCCAGATACTCCACTGGCGGTGAGTTTACTATGGATGAGGATATGGCTCGAATAATGGGCGGTGACGAATTAAACGCGCACGAATCTTTCCTCAAACGAGTCTCAAATTCTGTCCGCCATGGTCGCAGTTACAGCGACAAGACTGGGCGACTGTCACGGGATCGTTGGCCACGATCTCCAGCAGTGGCGACCGCGTCGATTGGTCAAGAAATCAGCAGTCCAAGTAGTGTATCACCGGAGAACCGCGACGAGCTTGCCTGGTTCAAGAATGAGCTACGACGCGAGCGGCAAAAGACCATTGAGCGAGAGAAGAGAATCACGGAGCTAGAAGCACAATTGGATTCGGCCGCCGACATCAAGCAAGTCAATTCGGAACTCAAGGAGAAAAGATCGACCATTATCGTACTTGACACGCAAAAGGCGATTGTGGTCCGCGAGCTGGAGGTATTGACTGAACATTTGACTGTCGCCAAACGTAGCGGGGAGCCATTTGATGTCTCCAAGATGAGGAGTACCGTCCTGCGCGAGTTCGCCGAGTCACTGGAAAAATTAAAGAACTCATTCGCGCCTCAGATCGAAGAATCGATCCAGAGGCGGAACGACTTGGTTGACGAAATCGCAAACCTGACTCAAATGAAGGATAAGAGTTTCATGGAATTTGAGCAGCTCTCTTCCAAGAACGCACAACTGGCCGAGCTCAACAATCAACTGGTGCACCAGATTCAAGGGTTATACAAGGCCAATTCAGGGGTCCAAGCTGAAACCCCCAAAGCGGCCGTCAATGGACTTGGAATCTATTCCCATCACAAGGAGAAATCGAATGTGTCGTTTGATTCGAGAGAGGTGCGCAACATGTCAACTGACTTGACTAACATTGAATCGGCAACCACCCTCCAGGCAAGCGAGGCCGAGCCGGTTACTGTGCTCCAAGGGCCCCAGATGGTGAACATTCGCAAGGGCCAACCCAAGAAATTTGACTGGAGACGAGGTCAAAAGGTCGCCAAGGGAGTCACAAAGGGCTTGAAGGGCGCGTTCTCCTCGACCCAGCAAACATATAGTCGGGATCTCCAGTTTGCCGAAACAGGAGCATACGGGTCTGCGCCCGTGGGTCAGGAGTACTCGACCATGTCCAAGTCGAATCCGGAGCCCGTGAAGCAAAGCGGATTTGGGTTCTTCGGCAACCAGAAACCTACGACCAAGCCCAACGGCCTTTACGCAACCCAAGCCAACACAAGCACTCCTTCTTTACTGGTCGATGCAGCTACACGTACGTACTTCTTTATCTTTATCCATGTCACGACTAACCTTCCTGGCAGAATTGTATGGGTCTGATCTTGAACAACGGGCCGAGTTCGAGAAAACTTCTGTGCCGGCGATCGTGAGGCGATGCGTCGAGGAAGTGGAGGCGCGAGGTAAGAATTTGTTATGTTCTCCAGAAGGCATATTTTGTGCTGACAAATATTCAGGCATGGACGTGGAAGGCATCTACCGCAAATCAGGTGGCAACTCACAAGTCCTGCAAGTCAAGGAGTGGTTCGAAAACCCTTCCAAAGATTTCGACATATCCGACCCTGACCTCGATATTCACGCCGTCACTTCCGGATTGAAACAGTATTTCAGACGGCTACCGGTGCCCCTCATCACGTACGACGTCTACGACAAACTTCTTGATACGACCACCATTGCGGAAAGAGAAGAGAGAATCGATGCTATGGAACGAGCACTGGAGGACCTGCCTCGAGTCCACTTCGAGACGCTGGCTTATCTCATGCAACACTTGGCACGTGTCGTCCAGCAGGAGAAGGTCAATCTCATGACCAGTATGAATATCGCCGTCGTCTTCGCACCCACCATCATGAGATCCGAGAACATCAACCGCGAGTTGAGTGACACGAAGACGAAAAACGAGACCGTCATGTGGATGGTGGAGAACAGTGAAAGAATCTTTGGGACGTGAAGGGAAAGCGATATTTCTCTCGAGCATTGAATATGGAGTTTGGACCGGTCGAATAGGGGAATCGAGCCATCGAATGTGGTTACTTGGGGCACTACTTGATTCAGCCTGGCGTCTTGAGGAGCTGGAAAAGGACGGATGGAATTTTGCTTGTGAGACCCAATCGACATGCGCTATTGCGCCTTGTTCATCGACTGACTGATTATGGTGAAGGGCTGAGGGTTGAGGGTTGAAGTCGTGTCACTGTTGTTATGGTCCGATTTTGTGTGGATTTGGATAGGAATAATCAGTTTAGATAAGGATGAGAACCACTCTCCTCGAATCCACTCTCACGACATAAGAGACCTGTCAGGTTGGTTTTGATTTGCAGGACGAACTAGGCGTGCTGTTGTTGATGAGAATGGTTAACGCCCGTAAGTCAATGACTACCTTAAGGGGGCGTGAAGCTGCAGTGTTTCTGCCACCCTTGAGAGCTTCGTCTAGACACTGCACATGACTACGACTTGGTGGCCAGATGGCATGCGGGAATTGTTATGTACACCAAGGATCGTGAATTTGTTTTGTTTTGTCTTGGTCTGCTACGGGGAAGAACAGGCCAGACGTTGGTTTCAAAATAGGGCGATTAAGGAATTATGTAATCTCCGAAGCTGTAGGCACCGAGTAGGTAGGCACCAGGCACTAGGTATCCCCGTACTGGTACTAGTACATTGTAATAGAGATATTTGGCACTTCAGGGCCAGCACTACTCACTACTACGGAGTACGTAGATCCGAAGCACCGACAGTCATGTGACCTATATTCCTTGGCATGGAAAGATCTTTTTTCCTACTTCAACTGGCGAGGCCAGTTGAAACCTTCTCTTTTCCTTTTCTTTTTTGTTTCTTATCCAACAGTTCTGTGTCACGACGATCCCTTCCTCCTCTTTTGGAGTGGTAGGTCGATTGTCGCGGCGTCTTCGACTCATCGCGTGGAGATATTATATGCGCCTCCATTAATGTCTTGCATCCCAGTCGACAGAACCGAGAGCAACCCGAGACCTTTCCGTTCAGTCCTCTCAGGGGGCCGAGCCGGTCCGCCTTGAACTCACCTTGAGACAGGCCTCTGGCCTCGAACGGGGTTTGCAGTTCGGCGGGCCGTAAGGTGTGTAGGGAGACGTCTTATTCCCAGGCGTGGTGTGATCCTCGTCGAGGAATGATCACCGGGCAAAACCAAGACTATTGTCTACATTTCCCTTTCATTTCCACCTCACTTCTATTTCCACTTCCATTTTCATTCCACTTCCAAATTGTTAACTTGTTAACCTGTGCCCCCAAAAGAAGAAAAATCTAGAAAAAAATCTACAAAACGGGACCCTGCTTGTGGATGTGGATGTTGACACCACTCAGTAGGTTGTTCGGATGCTCTGGAATCTCGGTTGTGAATGTGAAACTGCATCTATCGCCATGCATCATTCCACTGTCTACTGTCTCGTGAGAGGCGTAATATGCACCTTACATCTAATCTTTCTGCAGGCAGGATGCACAATGCAAATGCAAATGGACGCCTTTGTCTATGATTCCCAGTCCGAATAAGTTACTCGTCTATTTTCACCCAGTCCGAATGAGCCACTCATCTATTTTCACCCAGTTCGAACCCTCTTGAAGCTCATGACTGCTCACCAGCTGGTCAGCCCCTTCTCCCGATCGAACCCGCCTCTCAACTGCCTCTGCGGCTTGACCACTTTGCCCTGCAAGACGGTGTAGCGAACAATATTCTCACAGTCTTCGGGCCGGACGCGTGCCAACCAAATCAACTGCACGGCCTCTTTGGCCAAGGGCGCCCCATCGATATCTTCGTCCGAGTTGTCCCTCTTGTGCCCTTCGCGTCGGTAAATCATGACGTTGGCGCTATACTTGTGACCGCCGACATGGTTGATGAAATAGATGCCCACGCCGCCGGGCCGGTCGTCGTGCATGTCACGGTACAGGCCCAGGGGACGGAGGATGCGTTCGAACTCTTTGCGTAACAGCGGGGCGGACTGGCCGCAGCGGGCGTCGCGGGTCTTGTGGCTGCACATCAGAATGAGGTAGTCGTGGGGGATTGGCCGGATCTTGAAGGACGAAGAGACCGAAGGCGGGAGGGTTCGCGGTTCGAGGGAATCGGTGCGGTCTTGGTCTTGGTCTTGGTCTTGGTCTTGCTGTTTGTTTCTGTCATGTATCTGCAGCGTCGACACGTCGGGCGTGGGCGTGCCGTCACCACCATTACTAGCAGCATTATGGTCATTCTGCACTTTTTCTCCCGTTTGATTTGTAGAATTCTGCACTTTTTCTCCCGTTTGATCTGTAGGATTCTGCACCTTTTCTCCCGTTTGACCTGTAGGGCCGTGTGGATTCCCATTCCCATTGCCATTGCCATGTCCATGTCCATGTCCATTGACCACCACGGTTCTTGTGGAGAGGGGAGTGGTGTTCGTGACACTCGTCTCGACCACCTCTCTCAGCAACCCCTCGACCTTACTAGGCGCGACCCTCTCGACCACGACCCAGGCAGGCAACAACAAACAATCACTGGTGCCGGGCTCGACACCATCGTCATCGTAGCCAGCGTGGCCGTGGCTGTGATTTGGCGGCAAATTACTCGCACTGAGCATCAGCTTGCCATTCCGGCGGTCCAGCCCGGCCTTGCCCACGGCCTGCATGACCGAACCCTTTTCGTCCGTCACGTCGCGCACCCAGTCGGTCTTGCCCGTGCCCACGACCAGATGGGTGTTCCAGCCCTTGACGTGGCCGTACAGCCGGTCGCCCGTGTCGATGGAAAACCGCGCCGGGTAGTGCGTCGTGCAGCTCGTGCAGTCGTGCAGACACTCGTCGCCGTCAATCTCGGGCTGCGTGGCCGGGAACAGGTCGGTTTCGGTCTTGGCTGTCTTGAAGCGTGGGTGTCTAGCGTTCGGTGTCTCTGAGGACCCGGAGTGTGAGATCAGGGCTTTGACGCCGCGGAGGAGCGACATGGCTAGTCGGTCTGGTCTGGTCTGGTCTGTCTCGTCCCGTTGGCTTGACGTGACTTGAGTTCGTGTTGCCGTCCCGTTGACTTGACGTGACTTGAGTTCGTGGTCTCCCGCTGGGCAGTGAGTCGTGGGCCGACCTAGTGGTCTTGCGCTGGGCTGGGGCGGTCGTCTCAGTGGGTGTGGTGGTGTGGTGGTGGTGGTGGGTGTGATTGTGGTGGTGGCGTTCGTCCTGTGGTTGTTGCTCTAGACTGTATGTGATGTGTCGTTGCCTAGACTGTATATGATGTGTTGCTGCTCTCTAGACTGTTCGTCCTATGATGTGTCGCAATAGACCAACGTGATGCGTCGCAATATATGTCGCAATGAACGAGAACGAGAACGAGAACGCCTAGCGCACACAATCAATACGTCGTTTACGCTGCAGCCTGGCCGGCATGCAGTGAACTGCTCTTCTCCTTCTCCTTTTGGCTGCAGCTCTCCTCGCTGCGTTGCGTAGGACCTCGAAAGCCTGTCCTGTCCTGGGCAGAAGGAATAATCAGATCGGAATCTATACTCCGTCTGTACTCTGTACTCTGTACAGTGGATAATTATGTTGCAAGTGCGTGAGTGGGATATGTAATCAGATCAACGTGGAAGTGGAAGTGGAAGTGGGTGAGTAAGATACTGTAATCAGATTGGCAGTTGACAGTGGAAGGGGAAGTGGAAGTTGTGCACGGAGGACTGTATCTTATCAATCAGACAACTCCAGGTCTTCGGGGGGCTTAGGGGGACCGGGGCCGAGGGTTCCTAAGGCCTGGGCACCGCTAGTATGTAAGGTAGGATGCGAGATCTGGCATTCAAAAGGACAAAGGACAAGGTTGGCCACTCCGAGTTTCTGGTTGAGGGGGAGAGAACCAAGAATATTTATATAGTAGAGAGAAGAGCCGGAAAGAGAGAGCCAGAAAGGAGAAGAGAGAGAGAGAGTGTGTGTGTGTGAGCGAGAGACCGACCTTCAGTGCACTATCTCCGACCATCTCGCTCGTAATTCAGGCTTCGACCGAGAGGGCAACGACTTAGCCTAAAGGTGGCAGTGGGTGCCTAGGTAGATGGCAGCTTACAACTTGAATGCCTAATGCACGTCAAATCAAGTCGATCGTATCTCCGAGATCATGCATCGTCGAATCCTCATATCCTCGAATCCTCAAATCAGCTACACAGACACCCCTACCCCTCCTGGGTGCCTCCCTGCAGAGGATATAAGATATATAGAGCCTCCCTGCAGAAGAAACAAGGTACATAGAACTGAACTTTCTTCAATACGGACAGCCGAGCCATGTCAATGTCAATGTCAATGTCAAACAACAAGACGCAATTCTGTTCATGGACGCAAGCATGCTGGTCCCTATATAAGGCAGCTATTCAAACCCCCGACCAAATTCAAGCCGGCTCAGGAGCCAACGGACTCGGCCAAACCAACCTCTATGATGGCATCATCTTCGCTGGCTGGCTGTAGACATCCATCCGTCCCCCAGGAGGTCGTTCATCTTATTCATCTTGTTCATCTCCTAAACATGGCTGCAGCATCCTCCTTGCGCCAATCAATCTCCAGATTCGAATCATACACTCGATCAATCACCAGCTTCATGCGATCGTATGCATGCGTGTACCGTGTCGAACACTCGTCAAAAACCCTGCCGATCAAAGCCTTGCTGCTCGAACTGCTCGGATCGTCCGCGTCGGTGAAATGCTTCTCGATCCGTCTCTTCAGTGTCTCAATGCCCTTTCTGACTTCCTTCGAGTCGTACGTCGCGAGCATCTTCTTGGCCGAACTTCGAGAATGGCTAGGTCGGTTGGCAATGGCCGCATACGAGTCGGTGGATTTCATCAACGCTTCCGTACTCTCTAGGAAATCGAGCCATTTACCCAGCGGCCGTCGGATCACCGCGTCGGTATACTGTGCCAGATGCATCAACTGGTCGCGAGAGGCTCGCTCAGACCACTCCTCCAGAACGACATTGTGCTGAGTCTTGACCTCTTCCGCAAAGTAATTCATGTTTTCAATCAGTAGGATATGGTAGTTCAGCGCTTCTTTGTCCTCGGGGTCTCCGTTGGCCGGGGTGGCCGAATGCACCGCGCCGCTCGAGCTTGCAGGGTTGTCTTTGGCGATGAAACTCAGCGAATCCCACATGGCTTTGAGAAGCTTGGTGTACGCGTCATTGACGACAAAGCGCACCTCCAGCGAGTCTTGATGAGCAAACTCCTGCTGAGGCACCATCTCCTCCACAGCCGCGCTGAAGTCGGGGAAGACTCGCATGAATGATATGAGCCCCTTCCTTTTCTTCACCTTGACCTTGGTTTCCTCAATGGCCTTGACCTGCTCTTCGACGAACTTGTGGAAAAGACCGATCACGCGCTCATGCACCACCCTCACCGTCCGGGTGATGAACTCTTGATTGGTCTCTTCGTATCTGGCCAGGCACTGCTCGAGAGACACCAAGATGCCGACCCCCTGCAACTGGTCCGTCCGGAGCACCCAGTCCACCAGCGATTGAAGGTCCTTAACCCAGAAGCCGTAGATTCCCTCGGTGCTTTCCTGGACAATCTTGGCCATTCCTCGGTCCGGCTCGTGAGACTGCTTGACCTGCAAATCGGGCACCTTGCGTTGTGCAGGCGGTTGAGATTGGACCACCTCGGCAAAATCCGCGCTGGACTGGGACTCGATGTGGAAGAAGTGCACAATAAAGTTTTGCTCCTCCGAGATGGCTGTTGCTTGCTGCTCGAGGGCTTTATCGAACACCACCCACGCCTCTGGCTTGCCCTCCCGCTTGTCGCCCATCGACTGTCTCAGGGTGCTAGTTTTCGACGTTTTAGCCCGTCTCACGGTGAGTTTGCGGGCTGCCGAAGTCAGTGACTCTTCCACCTTCTCCTTTTCTTGATGTGTGAATAGGATCTCTTGTTCCTCCCCCGTCGCCTTTCTGGCCGTCCTTCTAAGATTCATGCTGAAGTCGCGGAACTGCTCTTGAAAAATGGTTTTGACGGTAATCTCGTAGTTCTTGATCAAGGTCTGCCATTCGTACGGGTTGACTTCTCGCACGAAAAGCATCAAAACATGGTAAACCCAAAGATCCTGGCGTGAGACGGTGACGGCCCGGAGATTAAGGGTGATGGTTGTTCCCGACGATATGCTACCGGTATTTTCCTCACTGGTCCGTTGCTCGGCCATCTGAAACATTGCTTTCATATGTTGGTTAAACCTGTTGATAAATATCGCGCTCTCGTGTTTGTACTCGTCTTTCCTCTGTTGCACTGCCCGCATTTGGGCGATGGTCTTGTCGGCGTAAACCGGAACCACTGTTCCGCCTGCCGAAGCCGCCTCTTGACGGGCTTTATTGTGACGAATGTCAGGATCGATGGTTAGCATTGCCCCGTAGAGCAGCGACAGTGACCTTTCGATGGCCTGCACCCCATCCAGGCTATCGATAGATGCAGCGTGGAGAGGTCGCAGGTCTCCCGACGATATCGTCAATGTTTTCAGCAAGTTCTGTAGCTCCGAATGAAGCAACTTCTGATTTGCCGTCTGCACCTGTAACCCTTGACCCTGGGCCTCGATGTATTCAATGTCGTCATGCAGGGTATCCAATTCGTGAGCGTAGAGAGTTAGTAGGCCGTCAAGCTCTTCACATTCTGCAATGGCGTTGTCAAAGGCCATCGCAAGTTCTTGCACCTTGCTTTCTTGCTGCTCAAGGTGACCCAGCCACCCACTTGCTTGGGCACGTCCAATTTCCCGGCGAATGTCTGTCTCAAAATCTTCCACCTTCTGCTGGCTCGGAAGCCTTCCCTCCCATCCAAACTCGGTGAGGAGTTCATTGAAATCAGCCCCACGGCCGTCCAGGATACGTGGATCGATCCCCAGAATCGCGCAATGCTTTTCCACTTCTGCCTCCAACTTTTGCCGCCGCCTCCTCTGAGGAGAACGCGACCGTGCTTTGTCTGGAGATTCTGCTCTTTCCTGCCTAGACGCATCTGGCTTGGCCGGCGTAGGTACGGTTGAGGGTGTCGCAGCGGCGGGCGTCACATCAGCGGACTTCACAGCAGCAGGTGTCACAGCAAGTGCCCCGGTATCTGAGGTCGCAGCCCGCTCGAGTTGGATTTTCGGGACTGGTTCACTCTGCGCAGGTTTGGGAACAGCTTGACTCTTCTCGTTGCTTGGGTTTGGTAGATCGGGAGTCCCGCTCCTTGTGCTATCAGTGCTCATACCTCTCAATAAGGGCGCCGGAACCACGCTCGTAATGCCATCGGGCTCATTTGACTGCCGTTCTTGCATTGCTTTCAACCGAGCAGCTGCGCCACCTTGACGAGGTTGGAACGCTGTTGCGGCAAGTGCGGCTCTCCGGAATCGGTTGGCAATATCCTTTTCCGATTTTTTCTTGATCATGGGACCCAAACCCGGTCGATGTTCTTCCTCGACCTTGGGAGGCACTGCTACTTCGGTTGGCTCTGCTGTTATTGCTTCGTTGGTTATCTTGTGGTGCGTAGATTCTGATGCAACGGGCTCACTGATTGCGTTCTTGGGTAACGCAGCGCTATTAGGTTCGGAGTCTGGTTGGGATTTCTGACTGGAAAAGTACCCGGCGTCCTTTTTGGGCTGCTCTTCCTCCTGGAGACCACTGGGTGTCCCTAATGGAGTCACAAATGCACTGTTGTCCGGACTTGGGGGCCCGGGGTGGTCGGGTTGGGGATCTGCTACTGTTGGAGGCGGCTTTTTACGTTCGGGTGACGGCTGGGAATCCTGTGCTGGAATGCTGGGAACGGGCTCTGGAGCCTTACGATCGTTGACAGCAGGACTTGGCCTCCTATTGTTGAAGGACTCGTTCTCACCAGCGTTGCGTGCTGCTTCCTGGCCTGGTGTTGGTACCAGCCTTTTCCCTAGATAGTCGGGACCGGAGAGCTTTGCAGTTCCAAGGCCATTAGGTCTAAGAGGTGCTGGTTCGAGAGATGCCTCGGAGCGCTGAAGAGACGTCTGCGAAGTCTTAGGACTGATAGATGGTCTTGAGCTATTCGGATGCAGACTGTCAGAGAGGGACGGCATTCGACCATCGTCTCGCCGGAAATGTGTGGTGCCATAAGGCTGAGCACGAGGCGGTTCAGGTACACGTTGATCGCGATCTGGCCTTCCCGGGGGACGATTTTCATTTCGAACCGGCGGGCCATCGGTTGAGGCCGTATTATAACCCTGAGGGCGGAGACCACGTTCTCTCTCGTGTGGATCGATGGCGCTGCCGTCCCTGCTGGGAGGTGCTTGGCCTGTACTGTATGGAGACTGTGGCCGGTTGGCACTCAGCGCTGGAATAGCCGGCGGAGGAGGGGGATGATGCCCCCGATCAGACGGAATAATCGGTGATAAGGCAGTATGTTGATTTTGAGTGCTGTGAGACGACTGACTGCCAGTAAGCTGTGCGACCTCATGCGGTCCGAAGCCGATGAGCTCCGGTATCCTTCCACCTGTGTATTTCCGATATATCTTGATGAGGCTTGCAATGAAGAAATCCTTCTCTTTAGCGGTGTCTGCAGACCAGAAATATGGCTTCCCCAACGTGACTATGAACCCGGTGTTGGACGCCCATTGTTTCTCCGTCTGTTGCTGCGGCGTCGCCGGAACCATCCCCGAGTATGAAGTAATGGCGATCAGTTCGTCGAGACTCCATGTCTTGCCAATCGAGAAGGTGCCGTTCGGGTTTTCGCGGGCTTTATGGACTCTAACCTTGCCCGACCTTCGAACTGCGACAAGAATGACTCTGGGTTTCTTGTTGACTGGAGGAGACTCCGGAGGAGGAGGCGACGACGGGTAAGAGGCATCTTCGGTGACTTTGACATGGGTGATATAGGATTCGAGCTGCATTCCATCAGGGTCCCGCTTGTGGAAACAGCTCTCGATGATGCGCCTCTTCTCATCTTCGAAACGCGCGGCGAGGGATTGGTTGTTTTCCAGCGGTGCTGGCTGCCTGGCATCGTGTCTGCCGAAAGAGCCCTCTCGGCTGCCATTGGTGACTTGGGGCTGCTGTCGGGGCCCGGTGTAGAGTGGTTGCTGGTTCATCGTGCGAAGACCTGGTGGTAGAGGGCATCATCTTCTGACGGCTAAGAATAAGGAGACCGCACGCGCATCGTGGATGGACGGGCCTGTAGAGATACAACGGACCCCAGCTTCGATAGAAAGAAGAAGCGGTTCACACCTCGCGTGATGATCCTCTTGCGAGACGTGTAACAGAGTCGATTGTACGTTGTTACCAGACCGGGCTGTCGAGGACAGGGGACTTGCCTGTGACAGATGAAGTCGCCAATCCATGAACTATTAACCCACTTCGGGCATCATCCCGCGCCAAGTTCCGTTTCAGGCTGAGGCTACCAAATACCCTTATAATTATTTATTTTAACCCGCACGAAATACAACAGTCAAAAGCGGCAAGACCGGGGGGTTGCACGTGACCTCATGGCAACTTTTAGTTAACGGGGATCTCGAGCGAACCTTAAGATTTTGCCTGCGGTCCATCCATCCTCGGTTGCCTCGTCCCAATATCCGTCGTCCGCTCGAGTACCATCTAACCATCCCGCGTCGTCGGACTGTCTGCTGTCGTCATGGCGGCCACCGACATCGAGCAGATGAATAAGCTCCGCAAGAGCCTGGGCTTACCATTGCTTAACGTAAGTGGACAGCCTCCACCAACCTCTGAGGGACCAACATTCAAAGAACATTCTACAAGCGACGACAGCGACCAAGAGCCCGCATCGACCCTGGAGACGCGCGAGGCCGCCGGGTATGAGAACTGGAACCAGTTGCGTGAGGACGAAAGAAAACGCATCGAGCGGGAGAAACGCAAACAGCAGATCCAAAAGGCCCGAGATGCCGCCGCCAGACAAGCCAAGCTCGAAGGCAAAGGATTAGGTGATGTGGATGATGGAGCTGATTTGGACGCGAAGACGTGGTTGAAAACCCAGAAAAAGAGACAAGCACAAATCGAGCGTGAGCGAGCAGAGCGACTAGCCCGGGAGCTGGCAGAACGAGAAAGAGAGGCTGCGCTGGATTATTCCTCCAAAGATCTCGCCGGCGTGCAGGTTGCCCATGAAATCGGCGAGTTCGAAAACGGCGAATCCGAGCAAATCTTGACCTTGAAGGATACGGAGATCGCCACCGGTGACCAGAGCGACCAGGAGGACATCCTTGAAAATGCAGATCTCGTTGCCAAGGAAAAGCTCGAGGAAAAGCTGAATCTCAAAAAGAAGAAGACGGCGTATGATGTCAATGATGATTCGGAGAAGGGTCTCCTGTCGCAGTACGACGAGAGAAAACGCAAGGCATTTACATTGGACGGACAGGGTGCAACCTTGGAGGAGCGAGATGCTAAGCGTCAGCAAATTGGAGATGTTTTGAAGAATACCGTCAGTCTCGACATTTTGAAAGCCGAACCAGTCTCGGACTATATGGAGATCAAAATCAAGAAACCGAAGAAGACCAAGAAGGCATCCAAGAGACAGAGGATTGCCGATGTTGACGACGACGATATCTTCCCTTCTCGGAACGAGACTGATCCTGATGCTATGGAGCTCGATACGGGCAGGCCTGCACCTCCCAAGGTTCGAACTACGGAAGATCATTTCCACGATGACGATGACTTGGCCAATGCGCTTGCTAGAAACCGTGTGGCGGTTTTGAAAAAACAGAAACGCAAGCCCGAAGACATCATCAAGCAACTGAAAGCAGAAGATGAGAGGGTGCGGGCAGAAACGGAAGAAGAGACTGCTGGAGGCCTCGTCCTTGATGATACCACTGTGTTTCTGGACAACTTGTCCTCGCGGCCAAGGGAAGAGGAAGCGACAAGGACGGTCAAGCAGTCAGTCGAACACGATGAGGCGCATACGCCGGCTGAGGACCAACAAGACCACCCGATGGGAGAAGCATACAGCGGGGTTGAGAATGAACAAGAGCTCCTGGACAGACTCAAGCGTGAACGATCTACCGTCACCCCCGAAGTCTCCCACATGGGCCTGGATGAGGAGAAGACGCTCGACCAAGGTGTAGGAGCGGCACTTAGTCTCCTTCGGCAACGTGGGATCCTCAAGGAGACTGACGCCTCAGAGAAGACGGAACTCTACAAGGCGCGGCAGACGTTCATCATCGAACAACGGTTGCAAGAGGCCGAGAACGAGAGGTTGGCTCGGATGCAACGTGAGCGTGATAGACAGTCTGGAAAGATGACGGGCATGTCTGTCAAGGAACGGGAGGAGCATGCCCGATGGCAGAACACGCTTCGCGAACACCACAGTTCGATCCAGGCCGCCGCCGCCTTCAATCGCGAGTACAAGCCGGACGTTCAGATCAAGTACGTGGACGATGACGGCCGGATGATGAATCAGAAGGAGGCGTTTAAACATCTCAGTCACCAGTTCCACGGCAAAGGCAGCGGCAAGTTGAAGACAGAGAAGCACCTCAAGAAGATCGCCGAAGAGAAAAAGAGAGAGGCGGCCAGCATTCTGGACAGTAGCCAGTTGAGGGGCATGAGCAACGCCCAGGGCACCATGGGCAAGAAGAACAAGCAGGCCGGCGTGCGGTTGGCTTGATGGGGTGTGACGATGACCAGAAAGCCGTTGGTGTAACACCGACCAGCTCCAGTCCTCTAGCTAGGTGGACCAGTGCGTGGCATATATTGTCTACCAGTACGGAGTACCAGTACCTTCGCAGCAGCTGCCTAGTTCAACGCAACCAGACGGAACCAGATGATATCCTTCACACCTAGGCACAAACAGATCCAGCATCGTGGATCCCTGCGGCGTCATTAGCTGGTGTCCTTATACAGGAATCCTACATCCTGCAGCGTGTAGACATTATACCGCTCATCACCCTTATCCTGCGTCGCTTTCGCAATCGCATGTACTTGCTGCCTCAACCAGCGCTCCCTCTCGCCCCAGTATGGCGGCACCTTGCCCTCGCCGCCATTCTCCAGGCCCTCCCGCTTCCCGGCGGTGGCGCACCAATCGTGCAGCTCATTCATATAGTCCACATCGACCGGGTAGCTCATGCGATGGAACCGCTTGCCCGCTCCGCGCTGCTCGCGCACACGCTGCTGCCATTCACGCATCTCACTCAGCTCTGGCAGCGGCAGGCGACCGGACCAGACGCGGACGATGGCGGCGGCCTGCGCCTCACTGAAGGGGAAGGCGATGACGCGCAGCGGCACGAGGTTAAAGGCGATGGTGGGGTCGGGGACATAGAAGATGTGCTGGTAGGTGTCTTTGTTGCACTCGCCACTGGCGGCGCCCGGGATGGAGGTTAGGAAGGGGTACTGGAAGACGTATCCGGTGCAGAGCACCACATAGTCGACGTCGTGCTCGAGGTGGCCGCCTTTGAAGCGGACGGTGCGCTCGGCAGCGAGGAATTCGTCAATCTCCGGGAGGATGCATTCGGAGCGCCGAGCTTGCTTCTGGGCAGCTTCCGGCGTCCAGTCTTTGATAGAGACGAGGAGCGGACGTGCGCAGACCCGGTCAATCTGCGCGCCGATGTCGACGCCGGACGCTGAGTAGCCTACCAGGAGGACTTTCTGTGAAGGATCAGTGTATTGATGCGCTGCGGGGGGCTGGCAATGGGAGGGCTCACCTTGTCGATGAACGCGCTTGGGTTGCGGTAGAACTTGGAATGGATGATTGTGTCTGGGTGCTGTTGCTTCCATTCTTCGAGACCTGGGATTTCGGGGACAAACGGATGGTCGTAGCGGCCGGTGGCCACTACAACAGCATCGTACTGCTCTTCATGTTGGATTCCAGAGTCGACATGCCGGATGGTCAAAGTCCACTTGGAGCGGGCCGAAGGGGATGAAGGGGAGACCGCAATGACCTCACTGTTGAAGCTTATGTGATCTTGTACGTCGCTGGCATAGTCGCGTAGGTACTGGAGGACTTCATGGTGGCGGGGGAGCAGTGGAGTTTTGTTCACAAAAGGGTAGTCCGAGTACTGCATCACCGGGCTGGGAATATTGGACTCGAGGCCGTCGTAGATGGGGGAGGGGTATTTGCAGGATGCATTGTCAGAACAAGCGTTGGCGAAAGAGCAGGAGGTGGTTGAGTGCGGGCTGTCCCTGTTCCATATACCTCCTGTTTTGTCACGCCTCTCGAACAAGGTGATGGTGGAAAAGTGCCGCTCTGCTTGGACGTATCTGTTGAAGGTGAGTGAGGACCCGTTCACCATGTCACCATGTGAGCCGGATGGAACTGCGCTTACTTTGCTGTAGCGATGCCCGCGGCGCCAGCACCAATGATGGCCACGTGTTTTATGTCAGGCTTGTTTCGACTAGGCCGCCCGGGGAAGAGGGGGGCGAAGAGGCTGGATAGAATGGTCGAGATCATGGTTCAGTCTTTGCGATTGCTAGTAATACCCGCTCGACACGAGGGTCAAGTAAGGTTGTTGGGTCAGGCGAATGTGTGTAAGGAGTATTTTGTCCTCTATGCGTACACTGTGGTGTATGGCGTGTGATCAAGGGACCAGAGAGGGTGTGTGTGTGTGCATCAGAGGTCAGACTGGGGGACATGATATGTCTTCCTAGTACCTTACGGAGTACCTTATGTACAGTACATAAGGTAACTCACCTGGTGTCACCAATATTAGGTACCTGAGGCACCTACCTGACCTAAGGTACTAAGGTGATGGGTACGGAGTCCGTACGGATACACATACCTAAACCACTAACGTGTCATCAAGCGTGTCGATCCCACGGGCCGTTCCGCTTCTTAGAGCCGCCTGCGCTCCCCCGCCACCGACCGGCACTGCACCTCACTCACATTTTACTCTGTATCTACTATCTGTAGGTACTAGCCGTGCTTATTGACCAGTGCCTGTAATTTCCAGCCTCTGTTAGGCGTCTGCTTCACTTCAACCGGGCTGTGGCTGCAATGCACCCATACTACCAGTCACCCAGGTGGCCCGATGCTCACCGGTCGAGCTCAGTTCCAGATCATCCCTCAATTGGGATTTTGGACTGCTCCCACCACAGTGCACCTGCCTCTTAAAGATCCCGACACACGCGCTGCTTGCTTCTCTTCGCAAGCCTTCTTCCATTCCCTCCGAGTCCAGCATCTACTCCACAAACTTGACCATGGGCTCGGCTGGCCCCAACATCCGTCCGCCATGGAGGGAATCTCCGCTCGTTCGATCAGACACCTTGTCCAAAGCTACTGGCTAGTAAGTGTTCCACCGTCTGGAGCAACCGGGAGCGGGTGCTAACCCTCTGCCATAGCAACACTTTCCTGAAGCTTGAATTCCTACAGCCTTCCGGCTCATTTTAATCTCGTGGCATCGCGCAACTTCTGCTTGCAGGCACTTCTCCGGTCCTCACCGGGCGATCCCTCCCCGACACACTTCTTTTCCTCCTCTGGTGGGAATGCTGGACTCGGGTGTGTGTCCACGAGGCCAGATCACTGGGCTGCAAGTTTACTCTCGTGGTTCCGCTCAGCACGTCAGAGTACATGATCGCCAAAATTCTCCAGGCTGGAGCTTCCACCGTCATCCAGGAAGGCAACTCTTGGGCCGAGGCTGATGCTCACTTGAAAGACATCCTGATGCCAAGGGCAAGAGAACTAGGCATTAACGCCGTCTACGTGCATCCCTTCGACCACGAAGATATCTGGGACGGGCACTTTACAATGATTGATGAAGTCGTCCGTCAGCTCCAGGAATAGGCGGATGCCGCAACACTGAACGTGGTGGTCTGCAGCGTCGGCGGTGGCGGTTTGTTGTCAGGTGTCGTCCGTGGTCTAGATAGACACGACCTAGGCCACCGAACCAAAGTTCTGGCTATGGAGACCCGCGGCGCTGATTTGCTATCCCAGGCCGTAGAAAAAGGCGAGCTTATCACTCTTCCCGCCATCATGAGTATTTCAGGCAGCTTGGGTGCCCGGACAGTCGCCAGACACGCCCTAGAGGGATTGGGGTCACCTGCGCTTCGGAGAGGAGTCGCCCAACGGGCCTGAACTTTAAATTACAGGATTGAACTGGGCAGAAGCACGGGCGTGCTTCCCCAAGGCTGCATCAGAGCCTTTAAGACATCAAGCTAGCAGACAAGCTGGACATATGAGGGACTTCCTAGGCCTTGATCAGAATGGCTGAACGTGCATCTTCGCCCGTTCGTGCATAATGGACTAATTAGCGCCGGGTACATTACATTCAAGCTTGACAGTACAGTAGCATGAGGAGCGTCCGCCACCATTGCCGGTCAGTAGCATACTGGGTCGGTGTCAGCGTCAGCATCAGATCAACGACCGAACACCGAACACCCCAGTTCGGACTTACGACAAGCAACGAGGTGCGTGTGCTGGCATCGACATCGTATAGCGGAGCCTGTCCCGCATCGAAAAGCTTCCGGACCGCCTAAAGATCGCTCTCAATCGCGAATGCGAAGACTGGGGCAGAATCCGAACACCGCCGAGATGCCGTACACGAAGTCTCTACCTTTCAGACTGAGCTTGATCGTGGCGGACACCCATGCCATGAGCAACCAAGGAGGGAAGGTGTATTCCATGCGAAGCATCGGGGAGCTCCGCTTCCGGCAGCGTGTCTCGCTACAAGTCCCGCACACAGCTTCTGGAGTAATGAAGCTCAGCGCCGTGAAATCAATCGCCTGACGGGACTTCTCTCCTGTGGTTATAGTCGTGACAGCATGACATGAGCACGGGCAGAAGCTGGAGCAAGACGGCCGCCTCCGGGCCCCCTGTGCGCAGGTAACTGTGCCTGTGATTGATCTTTTGGTGACTTTGGCCACAGTATCTTCTCCCGAAGAGCTCCAGGGCATAGAAGCGCCTGTTAGAAGAAGCTGGTTGGACGCGCTCGATGCATTGCTAAGGTAGTTCTGCTCGGCCACAATCTCATTAGTCGCCGAGTTGATGGATGACAGGCACTGGCGAAGACGGTCGATGATGGGAGTAAGTGCGGTAGCCGTTTCTGTGAGTTTGAAGTCGTTGGTTGATGCGGAGCAGCCTTTCAGCAACGTCTCGACTTGTTCTGGGACAACGCCTGCTTGGGAACCGTCCTCGACCAGCTCCTGGATCTCCCGAATCTCCTTGACGGCGCAACGCAGCTTCTTCAACACCTCGCATGTCTGCTTGATGGTGGCAACAAAGGCCAGGGCGGCGCAAGTAATTAATAGCGGATCCATTCTCAATGCAGCGCCGGCTAAGTCCTGTAGCGGAGGCACAAAGAAGGCTCGCTCAAAAATACCTGAGCCTGGGGTGCTCATGCTTGGGTCAGTCCTTCCTCGTGACAGACTCCTTGACCCCTTGTACGGCTGTGCTTCTAGCAGCACCAGCAGGTGGCTGAGATCCTACCGACAAAGATTGGGACGTCATTGACGGCGCGAAGTCGCAGGAAAAAGACGCATGGGGGACGCCTTCTGGCCTCATAGAACAACATGTATTGCAATTGCTGTGACGTTGCCGGGCAAGTGTAGCTCGGAATTTCAGGGAGGCTCACGCCGAGGCCAAGTTAAAGCGGCATTTGGTTTTCGTCCGCCAATACCATCCAATACCAGCCAATACCAGCCAATACCCCAAAAATTACCGAGATAGGTTAGATACATCGTGACTCCAAGAATTAAATTACCGCAGCCGGCTATCCATCCCATCCCCCTGCTGCTGTGTCGGAATTCAACAAGGTTCTTCCATCTGCAATCTGCACACTTGTCTTGTTGGCTCATCCTCCTCTGACTTGTCCTTCTCTCTCTCTCTCATTCATTCACCGTGTCAAGAAGGTAGCTAGCTCTCCTTTGTAATTTCAAATCACCATGTTCTCCGCCCTACGACCAGTTGCTCGCTCGGCCATCCGACAACGATCAGCACAGACACAGACACAGGCAATTCGCATCGCCTACGCATCGACATGGGCCAATGTCAAGGAAGGTCCTCCTGATGCCATCTTGGGCATCACCGAGGCGTTCAAGAAGGACTCGTTTCCCGAGAAGATCAACCTGGGTGTCGGCGCATATCGTGAGTCACTGGCCCTGCGCAAACTCTTAGTCTCTGTGAAGACGCACACTGACTCTCGACGCAGGCGACGACAACGGCAAACCCTACGTCCTCCCCAGTGTGAAAACCGCCGAAGACAAGGTCGTGGAGTCTGGCCTGGACAAAGAATATGCCGGCATCACAGGTGTCCCGTCCTTCACCAAAGCCGCCGCCCTGCTCGCCTACGGACCAGACTCGAAACCCTTGAAAGAAGACCGTATCGCCATTACCCAGTCCATCTCCGGAACCGGTGCTCTGAGGATAGGAGGTGCATTCCTGCAACGTTTCTACCCGGGCGCGAAGACGATCTACATCCCTACCCCGTCGTGGGCAAATCACAAGGCCGTCTTCTCCGACTCCGGGCTCGAGGTCAAGCAGTATAAGTATTACAACAAGGACACCATCGGATTGGATTTCGAGGGACTGGTTGCAGATCTCAAAGCAGCGCCCTCAGGCTCCATTGTTCTTCTGCATGCCTGCGCCCATAACCCTACCGGGATTGATCCGACCCCCGAACAATGGCGTCAGATCAGCGACCTCTTCAAGGAGAAGGGCCACTACCCCTTTTTTGACATGGCTTATCAAGGCTTTGCATCCGGCGATACCGACAAGGACGCATACCCGGTGCGTCTGTTCATCGAGCAAGGTCATGGTCTGGTGCTGGCCCAGTCGTTTGCCAAGAACATGGGTCTGTACGGCGAGCGTGTGGGTGCCTTCAGCGTTGTCACCGAGTCCGCCGAGGAGAAGAAGCGTGTCGACTCGCAGATCAAGATCCTCGTCCGTCCCCTGTACTCGAACCCTCCGGTCCACGGTGCCCGCGTTGCTAGCGAGATCCTCAATGATCCTCAGCTCCACAAGCAGTGGCTCGGTGAAGTCAAGGGTATGGCCGATCGCATCATCAAGATGAGAGCTCTATTGAAGAAGAACCTGGAGGAGCTCGGCTCAAAGCACAACTGGGACCACATCACCAACCAGGTAAGTTATCTTTCTATCTAATACTCTCTGGCTGGCCGGCTTGGTTGTTGTACTACAAGAGGAACTGAGTGCTGATCATGTACTTTTCATGTCTCTAGATCGGCATGTTCGCGTACACCGGCTTGACACCTGACCAAATGGACGTCTTGGCCAAAGAACATTCTGTCTACGCAACAAAGGACGGGCGTATTTCTGTAGCCGGCATCACTACCGGAAACGTCAAGAGACTTGCCGAGGCGATCTACAAAGTCAAGGGATAGGGAATCCAGGAGGAGCACCATGAAGTGGGGAACCCAGTGACCAAAGAGAATCAGGTCAGGCAGTGAGGGGGGGCCGATACCGCAAGAAAAGCAGCTGTCGGCCATGTGGAACGGGACTTGCTTTTATTCGATGCCTGTCTTGGGTAGCGGGATCCGGCAAGGCCTTTTTGCGACACGTTTCAATAGCCAGGCGGGAAAATGCTTTTCGAACTTGCAGGGAGCTTCTGTCATATGAGAGGAGTGGGATGGGTGCATGATAAGGGCCTTAGGAGCCTTGTCTTCAAGGTGGCTTTCGCGAACCTACCTAGAGCTAGATCACAAAATAGAGAGCGTAATCTCGCCCACAGATGGCGATGGTAGCTTCTTTCCCCGACAGTCTCTGCAAGAGATGTGCCATCGTCTGTTGCCATGCCGCGCTAGAGAACAAGGGCCATGCGGGTATCTCTGGCCTCCCAAGGCCATGTGGGCAAGTTGGATCTAACGAAGCCGTCACCCGCACTGGTATTAGTCCCTTTCTCACGGGTCGCACGCAACATGAGGTTTGTGCAGGCCCACACTCCGGCAAAATGGACTGTCCCTACAGGATTGAGAAAGGAGGACATATGTACCATATGATAGCGAGTCGCTTCTATCTAGGGGACTCGTACCTCGTCCTTCATTGATGGGGGGAAGAAACTTCGGGCACGGCGGTGGGCCAGATCATCCTCGGAAAGCTGTAGTAGAGATCAAGGGCGTAGTCATCAACCTTTTGCTCTCTTGGTGAGGTTGCTCCGAATCTGGTGACCGTCTGTCCGTAGTTTTTGTCTCTACCGTTCCAGGATGACCGGGCGAATGGCTGGATTAGTAAAAGGGTGCGCCGACTGGCGAGAGGTGTACAGAGGATGGAGTTAGTGATAGCCGTAATGGTGTTTGTGTATCTGTACTCCGTACGGATAGACGGACATCCTTTTTCGCGTCGCCATCCTGGCAGGTAGGCAAGCCACCTGTGGGAGGTGGTCGCGGACCTCGCGCCTGATGCCGGTTGACATCATTTGCTGCTGGGCGTTTGGTGACCCTCCGAGGCTTTCGTCCGTCTCCATCGTCCTCTTGCAGTTTGCCGGCGCCGCCGAAGACTGTCCAGGTGTGCAGGCTTTGACAGGGTCTTCCATCAGCAGCTCTATATCACCATTGCCTGTTGTTTGATCAAGAGCTGTCATTTCCTGCTTGTTTCACAACGAGCACACCAGGATCTGCTTGACAACGTCATCGCGCAGCTCGTATGTTTCAACCTCGGGCCCCGACAGTGGACGTGGTACAAGGGCGGTGTCAGCCTCAAGGTCTCTCTGTCAGATGCCAAGGGCAGGAACTCTCAGTGTCCTCTAGTCTGCTTCCTCCTACCGGTACTGCAGGATGTTGCACCCTTCGACCCCAATGCCACAAGCCACATATAGTGGAGAGGTCATCACAGGAGATTGTTTAGAGGCTGCAAACACTGCACCGGCTTCCCATTTCAGAGACTATTGATGTCGATCTGGCCCGTAGCCTCTGGAGAAGGGTGTAGGGACTCTATCGCGGATGGACCCAAGCATGCAAGTTGAACTGCTGGCACAGTAATTAGCACCGTGATTTGTGTCTAGGCATGCTGCTGCAGCCTGCAGGGGGCCTGTGGGCGAGTTTGAGGCATCAGAGAGACCCAACTAACTGCCCACTAAAGATTTTTTTTCCTTCGGGCTTTATAATCGTCAATTCAAGTCCCTAGTGTGATTGGGGAGCCATGCCCAGGTGAACCCAAATTCCTTCATGCTTGTCCACCCTGTAGACCCCACGCGGCGAACCATCCTGTACCAGAGTAACTCCATACGGAGTGCAGTGGTAAGCTTAATGTACCAGAGAGACAGATGGCAGGTAGTAGTGGCGGCAGCAGCTGATTGGGAACCTATGGGGAAGAACACATCGCCAATAATGGCGGAGCTGCTGCTGGGTTTAGCACCCACATGTTGAGGGCTTCCTCGCAGGAAAGATTCTGAGCATCTCTTCTTTCTCGGTGTCAGCTGGTATGACTGTAGGATATGTCTTCAGCCTGATTTGGTATCTATTATGTCTCTTGCCGTTTCGAGGCGATTCCGGCAGAATTGGTTTTGTCCGTCCAACGGCTAAAGGGGTCCCTGCTCCTGGTCCCGCGTACCACTCTGAGCAATAATGGGTTCGCCACGATCGATTCGCGTGAGACCTTAGCCCCGCCCAGTCAACTGGAGGACGAAGAGCTCTTAGGCGGACACCTCAGGTTGATCTGCAACAGCGCAGGAAGATCTTAGGCTGGCTCGCTCGCAGAAGGAAACGCACATTGCTGACCACTATTATAATAACACAGTTGGGACGAGCCGGGCGAGCCGACTTGGAGGCAGGGACCCTGCGAGACGACGAGGATTAGGGTCTGTTTACCCCTCGGCAACCCTAGTTGCGCATCAGTGACGGGCCTCTAAGCTGTGGGTTTTCACCAAAGACAGCCTACAGGCCGTGGACTTAGGGGCCCCGCCGGGGAGCTTGTTCCTGATATCATTCGAGCGCTTCAGCCTCAAAAAGCCAGTGGAAGGGTGTCGACCAGGATGCTGCTTGTGGTGTGAATCGGTCATGGACCACAGGACATTAGTATTGTCCCTCGTGACCATCAAGAGCTGGCCCCAAACGAGGGGTGGGTGGAAGAGTGCAGTGGGAGAAGTACATCGGTCGTAGTCGGTGGCAGTCAGCGACGATCAGCGGCTCGACATCGACGTCGCCGTACGTCACTTCCTGCTTCGGGGCAGGGTCTACTACTAGTGATTTAGTAGGGGCAGGTTAACAGACTGCAGACTGCGCCGCCGCTGCTCTGCTCTGCACGCCGCCAGAGTCTCTTCCATCTCAACCCAAAAAACCTCCGCTTGGCGACATTGTTGTTTTCTTTCTACAAGCACTGGCGCAAAGCTGCATTTCACATTTCACGCTGGGTGATTGGTCTTGACACAATCCTCCTCGCACAGTCGACTCTCTGCTCAGCGAGACCAGCATACACTAGTCGGCTTAGAGGTGGGTAATCAATCCCGTCTTTGACACCAGTTCCTGAGAGAGTCAGACCTTGGTGTCAGGTCAGTTCAATGCTCAGCTCCTTGTCGTAATGCTAACAACAAAATGATGACAGGCAGGAACCCGTTGCCGTTGCCGACAGACTGTCCCTGTCCTTACCTTGGACACTGCGCCCATACTCTACCCTCTGGTCTCTCGTCTTGGTCCGTAAGGTTTCGGACTGTTTGACCTACCTGCAAAGCTGTGACACAGCAACTGTCTCCTCCCGAGAGCTTGCACAGTCCCCACGACGCATACAGAATGTCTGAAGAGGTGAGTGGCTCAGAACCGGAGGATGCTGCACTCGGGTGTATGCCCGAACCAGACGACATTTACTAACCCTGCTTCTTACCATAGGGAGATTTTGAATTCGGCGATAATGTCGACAAAGCCGCCTTTGAACAGATCCTCGATATGGATGAAGAAGAAGAGCGTGAATTCAGCAAGTCAATAGTGTTTGGGTTCCTTGAGCAGGCAGAACAGACATTTAGCAAGATGGATGCTGCCATGTGAGTCAGCCGCTTCATCTTCCACCGCTTTTCTCGGCGCAAACATTCGCAGGCCTTCGGGGTGGTTGCTACAATGTACAGACGGATGTTCTGACCGTATGCCCTCACAGGAAGGACAAGAACCTGGAAGAACTCTCAAGTTTAGGCCATTTCCTCAAAGGATCCTCTGCAACGCTGGGCTTTACCAAGGTTAAGGACGAATGCGAGAAGATCCAGCACTATGGACACAAAAAGAACGAGACTGGCGAATCCGACGAGCCTGACGAAGAGAAGTGCCTTCGACTAATCGGCGAGAGCATTGCTGAAGCTAAGCGGGCCTATGAAGTTGTCAACGGCCTTATGAAGCAGTTCTACGCCGACGCCTAGCCTAGTTGACTGGCCACTGCGCCTTCATTCACACGACACGACACGAGTTTTGATAAAAGTACGCTTTGTATCAAGGGGGGGCGCTATGATGTCGGGTGAGCGACATTCTCGGGCTGATTACGACACTTTTCCAGCAGATATCCGATTGCATGAGCTAGCATGGTTGAACGCTTCACTCAAAGATTCGATTTCTTTCCACGCGATGTTAGACGAATGAATGGAAACTTGATGCGCTCCATGGGGGAGGACGGGACTGACAGTACAGATTCTCTTGCATGATCACCAATGGCTCGGGAACGAAATTAATACCATGTCCAACAACACCTGTGGTGATTTCTTTTCAGCTGCTGATAATAGCGTACACCGTCAAGCTCACATGCATATCTGCCTTTGCCTTTAGATGTTGGGACTGCTGACTGCTGACTGCTGACTGCTGACTGCTTACAATTGCAATCTTGCCCGTTCACCGAACCAGCCAGCTGCTGTGGGCTGCCATGATGCCTTGCTAGTCAATGTTGACGTACTCATACAGGTCGTTTGTCCTTATTAGCTCCTATACCGAAGCGGACTGTCACTTTGGGATTTCTTTGATTTCTAATTCACACCGCTAGCAATCTTCTAACTCTAACAGGGGCGCTCTCCCGACGACCGAATCGACGACCCTCTCTCTCGTCAGCCACTTCTCGTCAGACGATAGTCAGGTGATAATCATCGTTGTGGCACTGCCCCGGCCGCTTATCCTCCACCCCGGCTCACGCCACACTGATCGGTCTTAGACAGTGGCAGTCACTGCTGATAGCTCACGCTTTGTCGTCGCCGTTGCCGTTCACGGCTTTGTCCTCAGCGTCATGTCCATGTCCATTCAACGCCAATCCACCAAGAGTATTAGCCCTAGCTCGACCAACCTCAGAGTGTTGGTGTGCCTCCCGCACAAGACGTGGTCCATACAGACTGGTGCGAAAAAATTGCCCGCTGCGGGTATGTTGATGTGAAGGAGGTTGACGCATGGCATGGGCCCCGCCCCGACCTGTCGCTGGGCTCTGAGCTGCACCTCGAGCTGTGCCAAAACCTCTGGGTGCAGAAGGGTAGTTGTCGGCATGAACGCAGCGGGCGCCCTGCGGGAGGGACGAGTGGGAGTTGGCTCGGGCGTGATAGTTTCCTCGACGGGGACTTGGGCCTTGACCTGGACCTTGACCTGGACGATGCTGGGTGCTCGGAGATTGAGTCACGGCCAAGTTGCCTCTCACTGGACTGGCGTGGTTGCTTCCTCCCATGCCCGGGCTGAAGCTGGGTGTTGCTGCTCCTCCTCCTCCTCTTACTGGTCCGAAACCATACCCATAAGGATGTGAGCGTGGTGGACCTGGATGCGCATGCGCATGTCCATGAGGAGACAATAAGGCACCGTGAGCGCCGTGACCGGGGTGGGTCGGGCTTATGAACGGAGGAGCGAGCCAAGGATTAGGAGCGGGAGTAGGAGCGGGAAAGATAGGAGGCGTCTGCGGTGGTGCATAGCCGTTGTTGCCATCACTCAAATTTATGCTCGCACGAAAGCCATACTCGTATCCAAAGTTCGGGCCCGGCATGGCTGGGTAGGGCATGAAACCGTGTTCAGCCGGTGACATCCCCATGGCTCCCATGGTACTCATTCTTGCTGGGTTGGGATACCTGGCGAAGGGGCTGTGGCTGTCTCCTGGTTCATTGTTCTGGCCAGCGTTTGGCGCAGCGGCAACGCCGTGAAAAGGGGGGAAGCCGTTACTCTCAGGCTGTCGTTGTGCTTGTGCATTTGGCCGGCCCGGGACGATATTCGAGTACCCTGAGAATCCGCCACGGTATTCAGTCGGGATGGGGTCGAAATCCTCGTCCATCATCATCAGCGCTCGCACTTGTTCCTCTGTCAACTCGGCACGGGGGTTCAGTGGTGCTGGTGCTGGTGCTGGTGCAGGCGCTGATGCAGTCCCTTGTCCAGTCTCTTGCCCAGTCCCTGTGGGAGTTCCGTTCAGCATGCCCGTGCCAATCTCTCGATCTGATCTAGCCGGGGTTGCAGTTCCAGGTCCAGCCTGCTGCGAGTCCTGTGCTGGAGACATGGCGGTTGCTCGATCTTGGGTGCGCTGTTCCTCTGCGTCTGGGTGTGAGTGTGAATGTGGATGTGGGTGATTCGCGATGGTGGTCACAAAGGGCGAAACAGTGGGAGAGGCCGAAGAAGACAAGTCAGCGGATTGTGGAGAAGATGCTGCCGATGTATGAAGATGTACTGGAGTCAGCAGCGGATGCAAATGGCTGGGAATTGATGGGGTCGACGGGCCACGATGTGTAAGTTGTTTTGGTGTCGATGGTGCAGAAGGAAGAAAATCTGCATCTTTATATTTACGCGTTGTCAGTGAATGCGCGACGCCTGCGCCGACATGTGCTCGAGGCAGTGTTGCTCCTTGTTGACCTGGTGAAAGCACTTCACTGCCGCCATTGTCCAGCACTTGACCTTCCTTTGTCTCCACGGCGGGCTCCCTAGTCATTGTTGGTGAATTGGTCGCTGCGGCTGGGTCTGAGTTGGTGCAAGGCTGCGGCTGCGACTGCGACTGCGACTGTGACTGTGACTGCGACTGTGACTGTGACTGCGACCGAGACAGCCACGCACCAACTGCCGACGAGGCTTCACCGCTCGTGTTTGAATCCGAATCCGAATCCCAAGCTGCTGGGGAAGACGGCACTTGAATCGATGGTTGGATCTCAAGTCCGGACAACGCCAGCACAGGTCGCGGTTCTGGTTGAGTTTGGGGATTCTGATCCTGATCCACGGCTGGGAACTCGACATCTGTGGGCGACTGGTTCGGTGTGAAGTACAGGGTTTCCCCGGAGTCGGAGTCGGAGTCGCTGTCGCTGTCGTTCTCATCTCCAACCAGGGTTTCTGTAGCTACTTCTGCACCTGCGTCTGATATTTCGCCGTCGAGGCCTTGGTGATCATGATCATCTCCGCTGTTGACGATGCGGTGTTCTGGCTCGGAGTGTTCATCGTCGTCTTCGTCTTCCAGATCCTGGAATGGAGCAGTGGCAGATGAGTTGGACGAGCTGAACGAATCCGAGGTATGATCTGAGGTAAGATCCTGGTGAGCAGCTGTTCCCGGAGGTCCTGCTGGACTGCTTGCCACAAGTTGGGCGTCCAGTTCCAGTTCCGGTGTTTCTCGCATAGCGGTGCGGACTTGCTCAGCGACAGAATCGTGAAATTGGCCTTGTTCGGGGGAGGCGCTGCGATGCCGATGCCGTGCCTGCGACCGTGGTGGAGTCATTGCCATTACCATTACCGTTACCTTGAAGGTGGTCTATGCCTGCGCAGCAGATTCAAGACTGGAGGTACAGAAGAACACGAGCAGAGACACCAGCTTGAAGAAAGGAGCTCGGTCTTTGCACGGTTGGTCGGAGGACCAGGAGAAGGGCTGACGGAGCGTGGCTGGGGAGTGGGAAGGAACAAGAAAAGAAGAGAGGAGACGGCAGCAGAAAAGAGAGATAAAGTGTATGCTGGCACACACGCAAGGCAGGTTGTTTTGACACAAACATGCCTCTTGCTCTTTGATCTTTGCTCTTTGCGTTCACGCCTGCTTTGGGATCAGTCCAACTCATCGCCATGGCGATGGGTGAACTGGGCTGCACTGCGTGGTGAATTTGCATGTGTTGGTTGTCAGCGCACGCAAGGCTGCAACCCCCTACGGTTTGCACGGGCTCCAGCGCAGCAAGCAGCAAGCACAATGGAACGACAATGAGATTGAGAAAGAAGGACGAAAGCCAAGGAGAGAAGAAAGAACAAAAGAGAAGAAAAGAAAAGAGAGAAAGAACAAACAAAAAAGAAAAGGAAAGAAAGAAAGAAGCAAACCGATGAATGCAATGCGATTCCCCCGGTCGTCAACCTCAACCAACCGTGCTGGACTCAGGCAGTAGGTCGACTATATGTTTGCATTAGGTATTCATATCCATACCATATGGGTACGGACAGATACATGGCAGCAGAAACAGCCAGTGCCGGCGCCGGTGCCGGTGCCGGTGCCAGTACCAGTGACGCCTGCATATGCATAATTTGATCGATCTGCTCTTGAGTTGTTAGAGGGATTGAGTGAGCTGCCGTTGCGGATGCGAATTTCAATTCATTCGGAAACATCAAGCAGGAGGACAATGGAGTGGATATCCGGATGCCTTTTGACAAACTCGGACGAGGCTGCGGCTTGAGACAAAAGGCACAAGCAAGAAAGAGTGTGCACGGCCGTGACAAACAATCACAAGACATAAGACACCAATATCGCCCTTTGTCACCATATGGGCCCAGCCCACCTGGCTTAGGCTTGCTGTAAGCTTCATACGGATACACCTCCTTGTTACCCTACCCATACTGGGCTTTCCGATCAAGATCAAGATGAAGAACAAGGTCAAGATCAAGATGAAGATCGAATCCTGGGGACCCCAAGAAAAGGAGGGCAAGTTCGCAAGAAGACAAGGAAATGGAGCGGCCACCCTTGGTTTCACAGCGGGACATAACTACTCACCACTCACCACCGACAGACAAGAGGAACATAGTCAAGACGACAGACAGACAAGTAGGGATACTGGATACGGTATACGTTAGACGGTAGACAGACACGGAGTACACTAGTTGATTAATCAGATCAGTACCAAATGGTGGCCATCAGCCACAAGGATGTATGTACGGAGTACAGTATGTAGGTACACATGTACGGTATGTGCCTACCTTAGTTCTAGTCCTAGTCCTAGTCCTAGTATCCGCCCAGGTCACTAGGATGCAGGATACGATTTCCAGCAGAGTAACATTTCAACTACTATAAGTGCAGAGCAGGTACACAGAGGACATTAGGTATTCTAGAGGTATTCTAGAGGTACCTAGAGGTAGTAAATAATACGACCTGCACTATAGTGCTGAAACATACTAGACACTACTACTGGGAGCGAGGACAGAGGACACTTAGGATGCTTACATATCATTCCTAGGTAGGTAACATACAAGTACGTACGTACAGAGAGCATACAACCACTCACCATAACCCCCTTACCCCCTCAGTTGTGAACACATCCAGGAGCGTTATGGCTGTCCACTCCGCTCCTCTCTCTCTCTTCAAGGGGTCATACATACACTCACTTGACTGTTCAAACTCCAACTCCAGTGGACTCCACCAGACCAGACCAGGACTTGTGCCTTGCCCAAGGCTGCCGAGTAAGTAGGTACCTAAGGACAAGTACCAGTACCAGTACCCGTACACCTCACTTGAAGGACAAGTAAGTACTCCGTACCTACCTACACATGTGGATCCAGTCCAACTGTCAACTGTCATAGTACGTACATACAGTACGGAGTACGTACCACAGCAGCTGAAGAGAAACTCAATTCAACCTCCAACCCCAACCCCAACCCATTCGCATTCGCATTCGCATTCGCGTTCGCATTATTTCAAAGTTCAAAGGGCCAAGGGCTTAGGCCTTGCATTGTGCTGGTGCTGGTGCTGCACTGTACGGATACTGGAAGAATGCTCCGGTCTATGAGGGGCGCCCCTTGACAACCCCCACCAAAGCAATGCAATGTAATTGCACATCCTACCTAGCGAGCAGCCTGCGAAGGTGTCTTCAAGGCTTCCCTTGGTCAATCGATTGAATCACAGTGGGTGTTTATGCGTACCATCCAATCTGTCCTTACCCTACCCTGCCCTGCCCGACGGATCACGATCACGTTAGGCCAGACGCTGAACCAGGACCAAGATATCCTATTAGTCAGCGTCAGCGTCAGCGTCAGCGTCAGTCTCAGTCAATCTAGGCAGCAAAAGACAGACAGACAGACAGAGAGAGGGAGAGAGATAGTGGTGGGCGAGTCGAACGCCACAGAGAAGGAGAAAGAGGAGGAGTTAGTAGTGGTGATGGTGGTGGTGGTGGAGGGGTGGGCAAATCATGTTCGACGAATCCAATACTTTCTGAGCCACACATCACCTGGCACATCACCCACCTATCCATACCTACTACCTAGTACGGAGGACCTACCTACCTTCAGATGCTACTAGGTGATTAGGTGACTAGGTGACTACGACTACTACAGACTCCAGAGTACTCCGTACGTAGACACCTCACACCTACACTAGGTGCTCTATGGATACTAGAGACGTACTACGAAGTGACTTGACTACTCTGTACAGTACGAACAGGATCCACCCGCGATGTGGAGAGAAGTGATGAGCGTCGATGACTCGCATCATGCATCATGCAAGCGAGGGCAATAGCCGAGACATCGCCATCGCCCACATCGCCCATCGCCCATCGCCCATCGCCCATCGCCCATCGCCCATCGCCCATCGCACATCGCACATCGCACATCGCCCCTCGCCCATCGAGACTAGTCTGGAAGAGAAAGCCACTGGTGCGCCTCGTCTCGCGTATGTTCTATTTCGGGCTAGGGTCTAGAATCGTGAGAAGGGCTCAAAACGGCATGCTGATGATCAGATCAGGAAGAGGAGGGAGTCCGAGAGAGGCAGAAGTGTGCAGAAGTGGCCTGAGAACTGAAAAATGAGAACTGAAAACAGAACACCGAGAACCCCATTTGCTTACACGGTACGAGTACAGGGCACTTGGTACATACAGACACGTCACACCACAAGGCTAAGGAGGCCATCCGCCCATCTTCCAGTCGGTTGTAAGCCGAAAAAAGGGCTGAATTCTATCTTCCCACTAGCGGAACCTGCCAGATCACCCGACCGACGAAGATCTAGCTGCTCAAGGAGGCTGAAGGTACTCGTACATCAGAAAGAGGCGAAGAGGCTCAGGAGGAGGCTTAGGAGGCCTAGGGCTTAGCCATAGGCCAGCTTTGTGATTGACGGATTCAATATGCGACAAGCCTTATAGCAACCAATAGTGCTCGCATCAATACATAATAGCCATCATCGCAAAAAGATCTGCCCGAGCATGCCTGCCACAGTGCCACACTCCCCCCTCCAGGTCCTCAAGCCCTTGGTCCAATATTGCGCCTTGATCACCCACATGCCTGTGCGTCGCCGGGCTAGTAGTTTCCCAGCCACTGCCGTACTAGAAGTAAAGAGGCCCGCCCGCCCAAAACTCCCTCTTCTGGAAGAGATCCTGTATACAATCCCTAAACACACTGAGCGGTGGTCCACCCTGCTCTGCTTCGATTAATAGGACCCATGAATATCATACAATCAACGAAGCGAAACCTGTGAGCCCATGACGAGATGATGAACAGAAATGACCGTTTCGGGGTATCATGAGTAAGTGAATGTTGGCGCTCGGGGCACCTCAACTGCTTCCGGCGCGCTCGGGAGGGCCGGTCAGTCGAAAGGGTCGAGACTCCATCGCCGAGTCGGCGGAAAAATGAGCGCATCCTTGGGTGGTGGGACGCTCCCTTGAGAAAACGGGTCGAGAAGGAAGGTGACTGGCCTCCGAAGGACCTACATCACATATCGCTCTTGCCGGTTATCCTGCACCGCTATCGGCATCGCACTCCAGTCCGCCGTGATGGGCACGTGGTGCGCCATATGCGGATGTCGAGGCCGGACACCATAGTCTTCTGGTTCAGTGCTTTGCGGCCGTCGAATGTTGCTCCCAGGGTAATACATTTGATGGCCACCGTAGTTCGGGTCGGGGTACGCATAGTTGTCCATCGTGGTCGTGGTGGGAAGATTTCCTGCGTTGGGCGATCCCCATCCGAGAGCTCCCATATGAGGGGAAGCGCCACCGCTGCCTGTGCCGGTTGCAGGAGGCTCCATCGGCTGAGGTGGGCCAAACCTGCTAGGGTGCGATGTGGTTGGTCTCTGCTGAGGTGCGCTCGTATAGTTGTGCAGAGTGTGGCTGCCAAGTGAGGGACTCTGGCGTGCTGCATTCTGCTGAAAGTCGGATCGCATGTGCGGAGGCAGCGAATGGCTTTGTGACATGTAGCCGTAATCCGAACCTTGCCGCTGCAGTCCATTGGCCACAGGTGGCAGTTCTGAGTTGGGCGAAACTGACAGTGTTCTCTCGGCGGGCGAGGCCGTAGAGTGCCTGGAAGAGCCGGATGTGGATCCGTACATGGACTGACTCTGAACCTGCGTGGTCGATAGTTTGGCGTTAGTCTCGGCCGCTGCTTGCTCGATCGTGCCTGTATGGTGGTTCTGATGCCTGGTCAGAGTCGTCCGCCTGGTGAAGGTCTTCTGGCAATTGGCATAGGGGCATTTGTAAGGTCGTTTGCCTGAGTGAATCCTCCTGTGGCGGGCAAGTGAACTCGAGTCGGAGAACGGCTGTAGACAGGTTAGGACTTGCGCAGATGACCAGAGTTCCCAGTTGTCATGAACCGACCTTTCCGCATCTCTCGCACATGTGTGGCTTCTCCCCCGTATGCACTCTTGCGTGGACAGTCAGCGCAGACCGTTGAATGAATTGTTTGCCACAGCCCGGATAATCGCAGGCGTGTGGTCTGATGCCGCTGTGAATCCGTTCTGTCCAGGTCAGTAGGATCCCATACGAGTGGGCAAAGCACACGTACCATGCCTGGCAAGATCACTGCGTCTGGCGAAACCCTTCTGGCAGGTACTGCAGGCAAATGCCTTGGGCGCGCCTTCGCCCTTGGGCTTGATGGCACCAAAGTTGTCGTCGAGTGCATTCTGGCTGTCATGCCGAGGGATGTAGTTTTGAGCGTACAGCTGCGGGTTGTGCTGAGGTTGACTCATGGCACCGTAGGGCATCCCGTTAGGTGGTTGCATGGCATGCTGCGGATGGTGAGCCATGGTCGGGCCTTGGTTGTGGCTCATGGCATAGGCCACTCCGCCGTTCATCTGCATTGATTCCTGTAGTTGACGTCTAAGCTCCGCGTCTGCGGCAGCAGCATTCCTCGCGTTCAAAAGTCCTCCAATGTCCATTCCTCCCTTTGCAGGAAATGTCGGTGGTGGTCTCAAAGGCCGCAGAACCGCAGAACCGCTCTGAGGCTTTGAAAAGGGACCGACGTTGAATCGGTAGTTCGAAGTCTGCATTTTGGCCGGTCAGTAATTGATACAAAGAAACGATGGAGAGAGATGGGAAACAAGGTATTCATGAGCACCTTGGCCCTCGAGGGATCAGTGCTAAGTGGAGGAGGGTCCAGGCGCGCTTCCGCATAGCTTCCTCGGTCTAGTTGGTCTATCCGCCTATGGCAGCTGATAGGACCAAGCACAGTCCATTGCTCAAAAGAACCATTTAGGGAACAAGACGTAATGATTGGTACTCACCAGTAAAGTTGGCAACGAACAAGATGTTCGAAGGAAAGGTGAGAAAGAAGAAGAACAGATCAAGGGTGGTTAGACAGTCGCTACCATTCAGTCGGAATGCAAAACAAGGGCAACTGGACGTCTGGTATGCACGCCTTGGCAACGAGCAATTCCTTTTTTCCGAGACAGTCGGCTTTAAGAATGATTCGGGTGTTTGTCGAGGTCGACGCCACAGTCCAGTCAATATTGTCTCTGGTCACGGGAGCAATAGGCACCGTTCTAGGGTCTCGATTGATCGGCGCCGCTATCAGTCCAATATTGGTGCACTTCGATATGTACAAGCTGGCTTATTCCAGACTGAGTAATGGTTCTGGACTCTTGTTTGCCAGTATTCAGTGGTTGCTCGATACCGATTCCCAATAGTAGACGTTGGTAGTTGTCTATAGCACCCTGTGGGTACCTGATGTGTCTGTGTGTATGATTTCAATGGAACGAAACCTCTTCAAGGATGTATTGGTGTCGACCGTTTGTCCAGATGGATACTGGCGCAAAAGACCTCCGGGCGTTATGAGCAGGCTGTGACTCTAGCCCTCTGCGAGCACTGATGGTTACAGAGTCCGATCCAAATGTGTGGATATGGGAGGGTGAAGGATGGAACGACAGATGGAACACGGGCACCCAGTGGTCTTTGTACTGAGTATCTGAGCGGCGGTCCGTGGCGAGGATGGCAGACTCGGGGGAGGATCTCTGTTTTGCAATCTTGCAGCGAAAGACGTCGGCGCCGCAAGTGATGGGGGTGACTGCGGTGATGGCCAAGTGACGGAGGGGCTGACGTCTCTGCACAGGTCGGCGGCGGACTCGAGCGTGCCTGTCTCGTAAGCAACGTGGAGAGCCGCCGTTGAGGTAGTCATGGAGACAATGAAATTATCGGGATCTGTGCCTGGGCTACCGCTGCGACTAGTCGTCGACGACGCGGCGAGGCTGGAGGCATTGAAGCAGGCGGTGATGGCGGAGGAGGTCGTGGTGGTGGTGGCAGTTTTTTCGGCCTTGGATTGAGATGAGTGAATTGCTGCACCTTCCGTCCATCTGCGTCTGGATCCCGGGGCGCGCTGGCGAATGGCAGGCGCACCCCAACCCGTAACCTGCACCTCAGCGCAGCTGTGGCTAAGGCTTGGCTGCCACTTAGCCACTTGGTACTGAGACTGCACCTGGCACACCCGCGACCGTCAGTCGACTCCGTAAGGCTCTCTACCACTCTAGGTACCAGCTAATGACTCTCTACTCCCTAGCACCTCCCTAGGTACCTGAGGTACATACTAGGTACTCCGTCCTCTCGGCTCTGTACCACCAGCGCCACACTACGTACCACACCACCACGCTGCCAGACTGCCACAGTCCCGACTCGCTTGTCCACTCTGTTCCACATCCCCTCTCCCTCCCTCCATCGAAATTCTAGACATGCTTCAGGCGACCCGTCGTCTGCAGCCCTCCTCCCTCCTGCCTGCCACGCTCTCGGCTGCTTTGACACGTTCTCCTGTCCCGTTTGGGCTTCGTGCTCATTTTGATACGCAATTCGTGCCGTCTGATTCTCGACACCTTGGCTGCATCAGATGCCTGTCCAGCCATGATCTGGTGCTGGGATGAGGAACACTAACCAGCCCATGGACGGGGGTGCAAACGACCTGGCTACATCACCTCTGGTCATCTTCGAGCCAGAAAACTACTGTACTGTAGCACTCAATGCCCCTCTTTCAGAGGAGTTCCTCGAACCCTAAAAGCCCCTCCGACTGCTGATGTCAAGAACGCAAGACAAGAAACTACCCCTGGCACCACCACCTGTCAAAATATACTTCAACACCCACTTCGACAGCCAGACATCTCTTTACCATCTGAACCGCCCGCATTGACTCCTGAGCACTGGGTCTTGCATGTTGGATGACTTGCAGCTCGCCATTTTCGATTGTCATTGCTCCTGGGGCTTGACAGCTGACGTGCCGAAAGAGGCAATCTCAGGTACAGCTCACAGTCCAGCCGTGCTAGAAGGGGTTCGAGAAGAGAGATCGATATGGAGAGCGAGCCGCTGACGTGTCCTGGGAGGCCTCCCTCGGCATGAACATTTCGGAGCAATTTGTTCGATCGCTCCTTCAAGCGCCCCCTGGGTTTCATTGAGCCAGTCGCACGATGAGCGCGAGCTTCGGAGTACAGCAGAACCTCCAACCCTACGCTGCCGTTCGAATCTTCCTCTGCTTTCCAGGTTGCGTCGATATTGACCTACTCATCGACCACAGTTAATCAAAGCAATCCAAATTTGAACAGCCTATTCGACCGTGGCCCACAGCTAAAGTGTGGTTAATTGTGCGCACCGACGCTGTCAAATACACAACTTCGTCCACCACTCCCCCATCTGTGGTTATTTACGAGACACACGTCTTTGCCACCTTGGCATTGACCACTCGACGGTCCGCGAGATTGAGCTCATTTGCTTACGTTGTCTGGGAGAGTGGTCAAACTAATTGAATCTATTGCTTCCACCGTCGCTGATCCAGAGGTGGCGACGGTGGGATTGCGCAGGAAACATCGTTGACCTGGCCCTGGCCGTGGAAATTTCTTGCTTCTGCGAGGAGATTGTTGATGCTCGTGCGTTATTTGTTGTGATGAGCGTGTTTGTATTTGCCCCATGGCTCTGGTCAGTGTTGTTTACAAATCCTGTTCGGGCTGTTTTGTTTCGCAAAGAGGAGCTTCCCTGCATTGACTGCGCTCGATGCGCTGCCTGCCCTCTTCCCAACCGCCTCGTGGCAGTCATCGTCCGCTTGTCAGTAGCCTGCGTGCGGCCCGACTCCCTCCCTCTCGCAAGAGCCTCCCACGGATACTCACTTTGGCTTCTTGCAGCACACGGACATGGCAATACTAGTACTGCAACCAGAACAGATGTGAAATATTGTTCGATTCTCCCACTCGTGACTCGGGGAGTAGGAGGAGAAAGACTCGAGACCCGCTGAAACGCAGCATACCTACAATCACTCTTGCTGGGTGGAGAGCCGACCCCTATTTCGCCACGGTCAGACATCACAACCGATACCCCAAGAACCAGAAGCCAACGATCACCAACTCAAGTAACAAAGCGCTCCGCTAGTATCAGACATGTTTGAAAGAGAAGGGCCGACCACAAAAGATATAACTTCACCAATGGCTCAAGTGTAGACAGTTGTGCAACACCATGCCATAACAATGTCCTGATCGCTCCCAGGCGAAACAGTGCGCCCGGGAGTCTACCTCATACCACGGCCCTCTTAATCCTGAATCACAGTATCCCGTACCATCCAAGTTGCTTCATGCCCAAACCCAAGTCTCCAGGATGGCGTTTTTCCAAACGAGGTTGTGTTCAGCCAGGGTAATCCTGGCCGAACGGCAATGCAAACCCCTTTGTTTTATCCATCGTCATCCGTATCGTCGTCATCGTCACCTCCGCGTCCATTAAGCTCCCTGCCTGCGAATCCCCTCACCGCCGCCCTGGCCTCATGGATCCTTGCAATCGCGCGATACGTCTTGGCCAGGCGCTTGTAGTCGCCAGTGCGCTCGTACTCGTCTGCGAGCTGTTTGTAGCACTCGAGGGCGTGAACGCCGTACTCTCTGTCGCGGCCGTGCTGGTGCGATGAGGGGCTGAGGCCATCGATGGAGCGGCGGGCCCGCGCGAGCTCTTTGGCCTCGGAGGTCTGAGAGTGCGAGTCCGTGTCCCTGGCCCGGCCATGATGATTGTTCGCGCGGCCGTTGTGGTTTGGAGTTGCCGGACTGGTCGGCAATTCGTTGTCAAGATCGCCTGAAGAGGTGAGCAGATCAACGAGTTCCTCCACCGTCGCCACCAGTTCCTCCAGGGCTGTCCACAGCGCGTCGTCCGGCTGGTTGGCGATCGTGGAGAACAGGTCGAGCAGTTCAGTGATGAACAGCTTGCGGCTCACTGCCTCGTTGGCCGTCACGATCTGTGCCTTGAGGATCGAATTGAGCGCGCCAATGATCTCCGTCTCGATAAGTTCGAGGTCCTCACTCAGCGCCCATTCGCTGACGATCATGGTCTGCAAGATCTCGACAGCGACCTTGCGCAACCCCTCGTGCATGCTGAGACAGAGGCTTATAGTTGGTGCCACCAGGCTCGGGACGTACTGGACTTGATACCCTCCCAGTCTGTGGACGTTGTATCTTCGAAGGTCGTCGGCTGTTGCTTCCCAGCCAAGACTCTCCCAGGCCTTGCGCAGGAGGTCGGCGCCAGCTTGACGCACATCGCCGGCGATCTTCCAGACCGCTCTACGCTTTTGCTCAGGGAAGAGTTCCAGGGTCAGCGCCGGCGAGGAAACGAGGCTCAGGATGGTGTCAAGGAATGCCTTCCATAGCTGCATATCGAAGGTATCTGCATCCTCAGGGTCTGGGAGGCACGACGAGACGAGAAGTGAGAAAAGGTGCTCCAAAAGGGCAAGGGCCGACGAGTGGTGATAAATGTGCAGGCTGAGCCACGTCGGAGGATACGCATGGTTTTGCAAAAGGGAGCGCAAAAACTTGAGAGTGGAGAGGATGTATACCGAGACATCTTGCGCTTGGGGTTTGACAGTCGAAGGCGGCTTCATCTTTGCGATAATCGAGATTACAGCAGACAGTTCAAGGAGGGTCTCTTCGAACTGATCATTGCTGTCGGCTGGTTTGGTGACGAAGGGGTAAGAGTCGGGGAAGAGCAGAGACATTGACCGATGTCTGGTAACAGGCTCATCGGCGATGGCGCTGTAGGCAGAAATGAGTCTGGGCATGAAGTCGTGGAGGTGAAGTGTTGGGAATCGGGTCAACTCCGCCACCACGGAACAGCAGAGTCGAACCTGGTCGTGCCAGTGCTCCGTCAAATCATTCTGGACCCAGTACGGGGAGAGCCATCTGATGCAGTTCTTCACCAGGGTTTCTTTGTCCTCGTCGTCGACCCAAATCGCCTGCAACTTGGTGTAATTCAGGATCAGCAGGATTCGGAATAGGACCAATTTTCCTGTGGCCTCTTCGCACGAGTCCATAAATTCAATGGCCATATCTATCACTTCTTCCTTGCTAAATGCCGGCAGCAACTCTGGGAGCCAGGTGTGAAACTTTTGCACAAGGAGAGTCTTATTGCCCACCAAAGCGGGCGTCTCACTGCGCATCATCATCTGCATTCCAAAGAAGATGGCTTGCAAGTCTTCCTTGAACGTGGAGTGCTTCTCGTCGTTTGCTTTTGTCTGAGAGCCGAATCGTCTCTGTTGATAGGACGCAATGACGATTTTCATGAATGCTCTTCCGACCTTGAACAAGGCCCTCATATCACGAGCGCTTTGAGGGTCAGACACACTCTGTAATAGTCGAGTGAAGCTGCGTATCAAGCAAGACGCGGCATAGGGCGAGCGGAAATGATTCTCGGTATACTGTTCCACCAGAGGCCCGAGGTTGTACCGTCTATCGTGCACGATTCCCAGAACCCATACAATATTGTTGAAAATCAAATCCTCGAACTTTGACTCGCCTGATTTATGCACAAGAATACCGAACAGAGCGTCGAGCACGTCGTTGACCTGCTTGACAATCTCGATCTCGGCAACAAAAGCGAGCTTCTGCAACATGTCCAGCAATTGCACCGAGGACTGGTGTTTCCAGTTGATCAGACTGACTAGTGTCCGATCTTGGGAGAATTCGGTACTGCAGAGCGACGTTTCGACTTCCAGTGAGGCAATGTCGGCCATAGCGCCTTCATGGGCGACCCTGTAGTTGGAGCCGTTCCAGGGTAAGGACAAATATGCCCCACGCCCTCGGACGATGCTAGACGTGACTTTATCGTAAGCATGTAAAATGAGGGAATGCTTGCCATCAGTAATGAAGGCTTGCTTGTCCCAGAGTGGCATCCAGGCCAAAGCAAAGGGGAATTCGGGGGCATCCGCAATGCTCAATACAACATGGCATTCGGACACCCGTTCAGCCGGCACTCGAAGGCACAATGTTTGATCCCAAGCAGATCCAAGTTCGGAAGCGTTTGTTCGAAAGGCAGTTACGCCGGCCCCGTTAGACGAGGGAAATATACAATGCTCGACTCTTCGTCCAGCGGCATCCCGGACCTCCATGGTTAATTGCAGGTTCTGCAACGAATACGCGTTGATGGGCACGACACCCACGTCGGGATGAGACAAATAAGCTCCTTGAGCTATCGCTGCCTTATTCAGTCTCAGGTAGATGTCAGATCTTGGCTTAGAGGGAGCTTCTGAGAAACCCATCTTCTGTGTTTTGGTGATCATATGCATGGAGGTCGGATTGTTCTTGATAAGTGTGTCTGCATCTGGTGCACTGAAAGGTGTGAGGCTGAGTGTCACAGTCGACAATTGGCTGGAGACCACAATGGGTTTACCTGCACTGTCCAAAAGTCGGGCTAGCCTGGCATCAAATTGCTTTGGCTTTTCGTCCTCTCGCTGCGAAACCGACCATATAGTGACAGTCTCCTCGCACGGCTTGCCGTCCCTCACAACGCTGTCAACATCCAGAATGCCAACCCCTATTGTCCGAGGAATGGGAGGTCCTGAGATTTGAGTCGACCCGTCCTCCTCTTCTTCAATGATGGACGGAGTGGCAGCCCTGTCTTGCAGGGAGGGTGTCGTGCGGCCAGTCTGCCCAGGAAGTGGCCTTTCCGCAGTTTTTCGTTTCCCAAACATGAGACTCGACCGTCTGCGGTTCAGAGACAGCTGCCTTTGGCCGAGCAGGGTTCCGTTTCTTGACGGCGGACGCTCTGGACCCCGTCGTTTGGGTTTTCGAGGAGGTTCCGGGACCACCACCCTGATGGCGAGGAATAAACGGCCGGTGTCGGCTACGTCTCTTGCGCTAAGATCTGACAGAAGGGTTTCCATCTTTGCCGAAGCCACCGAGCTATATGTCTCGGAAAAGGGGACTACATTGTCATCGGCCATCTTCTCATAGAGGGTCAGACTGAGGGTTATCGTGTCCAGATCCGAGCCCAGCACTGATTTGACCTGCAGTAGACAGTGGTAGAGTGATGTGGCTTTGGACTTTTTGGCGGGTGGAGCATCCAGGACGCTCATGACCGACTGTAACTTGGCCACCTCGATGGCCGAGTCCTCCGAAGTCAACAATCTGCCCTGCTGGGCCGGGTCGCGGACAATGACTTCGCCACTCAGCATCTTATTTCCCCGGACCAAATCCCAAACAGCTTTGTCGCGAACTTGCACTCTCTCCTGCCTGGTGAGAACATCATTGAGCAATTCGCGTCTCGCATAATCGAGCCGCGTTGCGATGTCCGATATTTGGTCGAGTTGACGGTAGTCTCGGCTCAGAACCAGACCGGGAAGATGAAGAATATACCATTCTCGAAGGCATGAGGCAATTTCGTCCACCAGAGGCTCGTCTGACGAGGTTGGCGACTCATCGCCAATCTTCAACATGGGAACAGGGGCCGAAGGCTTCGGCTGCCCTGGTTGCGCCAGGGCATCGACATCTGGCCCGAGTTGTTCTCGGATCTCGATGCAACATCTGGGAAAGATACCAGAGAAGACGCGTGCATCAGAGGGCGTTCTACTACCGGGATTCAATCTCAAGGCAGACAGCAAGGTCGGTGGCGCAACAAGATAGCCCCGACACCACGAGCCATCCTTGCCTCCCTGTTCAATGACATACAGCTGATCGCCAATTTGAAGCGGTAACTCGGCTGGAGAGGCGGCTGATGGTTGAAAGGGATAGATGGCTACCGCATAGGAAAGAGGCAGCGGCCGCCAGGGCATGATAGAGGAAACGGAAACTCGCTACTCTCTGGCTGAAGGGACAAGGGTATGGCCGTTGGGAATGTGGTCTGGTCGGCGAAGACTGACGGTTGGCGTAGCCGTTCGTGGGCGTGGAGGATCTTCTGTGGAGCGCGTTCGGGGTCAGTGCGCCGACTCTGACTTTCCGCACGGACATTCATGAGCTGGATGGCGAAGATATATGACTGGGGGGAGAACGAGAGACCAAGGGATCGGCCACTGAGGGAAGCGTGTGTGTGGTGTGTGGGTTCGTCAAGAGGCTGTTCCAGCGAGCAACGGTCAACATCAGCATCCCTCATGTGCAAGACGCGACGGTGAAGCTGAGAAATGAATGTGAGGAGACGAGATCAGGTTAGTGGCTGCTAGGTGCGTAGTGGCTAGGCAGTAGTCAGCAATAGTGGCTAGGGAGATGTGGCTGGTGGCTGGTGACTGCGCCCACGCTCTAATGTGGTTTAGCTCCATCGCTGCTACAAGGAACCTCTGGAAAAAGATGTGTATCCGTACACAGTCCGGTCGTGAGTAGAAGAAAGTCGTGGCCACTCCGTAGGCTCTCTCACCGTGATTTGTTTCCCTGCCATCATCATCCTTATCATCATCATTCAGAACTCCGTGGTGCGCTTCAATCGCTTTTTCTACCTCTCCCGCTGTGTTTATCTCCCCCTCGCCTCCAAGCCAGGGAACGACGCAAACATGGGGCCGATGATCAATGTCCTACTTGACTCTTTTCCCGGCCTATCACTCCCTCCGACCTTGTGTCTCCCTGTGCCGGCCTCCTTGACTACCGCAGAGCTGGTAGATTCCATTGCATGTCTTCTCCCGCAGAGTCTCCTGCACACCAACCGGGTTTTCCTTACCTCTACCTCCAGCCAACCAATCTATGCGTCCTCGTCTACCACGGTCGGCGATCTCAGCGCCTCATCTTCATGTCGTCAGAACTCCAGCAATGAGATTCTCCCACTTCGACTTTCTGCGTCCCTCGTCGGCGGGAAGGGTGGATTTGGTTCGCAGCTCAGGGCGGCGGGAGGACGCATGTCCTCGCGCAAGAAACGCCAGAATGCAGAACTTGCCACCGGTAGTGCTCGCAACCTGGACGGACGAAGACTGCGAACCATTACAGAAGCCAAAAATCTGGCCACCTACCTAGCCACGAGACCTGAAATGGATCGCAGAGAAAGGGAGGAGAGGCGCAAAAGGTGGGAGCAGGTAATTGAGTTAGCCGAGCAGAAAGAGGCCGATATGCGAGCTGGGAAAGGCCTAGATGGTCGACGTAAAGGGCTTAGCGAGGAGTGGGTGGAGGAGAAGGAGGAAGTGGGCGAGAATGTCAGGAACGCGGTCAAATTGGCCATGTTGGCTGACCAGGCACCAGATAAGGCTGCGGATCTTCCGACACAGGATGGCGAAAGCAGTGGAAGCGGAGGATCTGCTCCTGGAAGCGACGAAGACAGTGACGCCGAGGATCTGATGGAGCTGGACGAAGACGGCATGACTCGGCTCAGGGCGGAGGCCGAGACGGGAGATGCAGACGCCATTTGGGTTCTGCACCATCGACTCAAGATACCCTCTGATCTTTTGCCAAAGTCTAGAGAGCCTGTCAGGCGGTTTGCCGGGTTCGATGACGAGGAAGACGATATTTCCAGCAGTGACGAAGAGGATGATACTCGACCGCTGGAAAGCGGCAAGGGCAAGGGCAAGCTAAAGGATGGCAATGCGTGAACGACGTCTTACGATGGACTTGCGGCCGAGCGGGACTGGAAGTGAAATCAGATGGTGAGCACAAGATAATACTAGAACAAGAAGCAACAGCAGACCGAGTCCAACCATTCATTCACTGTATCCGCGGTGGTGAGAATGTCTGCACTCAAGAATGGCTTGTCTTTTCCACACGCACTCCCCAGGCATCCTCACCCTCGCCCTCATCCTCACGATTATATGCCGGCGAAGCAGTTTTACATCCATCTCATCTGCTTCTGGCCCCTCGTAGTTTGTCGTTTGTCGAGCCAATCGCCACATGGCGGACTATGGCGCTCTGCATATCCGGAGTTGGGCGGCGGGAGAGATGGAGACGACCATCGTCCCCGTTCATATCTTGACGTCGGCGGGAGAGGCATGATTCACAATCTACTACTCCATACTGCCGTATGATCGATGCCAGTCTCAACCATGGCCACTCCTCTGTTCCCCCTGCTGGCATTGAGCGCCGTCGCGGTCCTGTGCCTGTACAAGCTGATCATCCATCCCTTGTTCTTCCATCCCCTGCGCCATATCCCCTCGGCCCACTGGTCGATCCCCATCTTCGGCGATCTTTGGATCACGTACCAGCGGTACGTCGAGAAGAACAATGCCGTGACGTACGCGGCCCATGTCCGGCACGGCAGCGTCGTGCGCATGGGCGCCAACGAGTTGAGCGTCAACTGCGTCGACGACGGCATCAAGACCATCTACGCGGGCGGCTGGGAGAAGCATGCGTGGTACCCGCAGAGATTCGGGTCTTACGGGTGAGTTTTTTATGTTGATTTACGCGACACCTGTTCACCTGTTCATCTGTCGATATGTGACGACGACAGAGTCATGAACATGTTCTCCACCATCCACCACCAGCCGCACTCCCAGAAGAAACGGACCATGGCCAACGTATACTCCAAAACGTACGTCGCGTCGTCGGCCCAGATCGCCGCCAACTCGCGCACACTACTCGCGACCCGGAATCTGCCTCTGCTCGAGACATTGGCTACCACCGGCCAAGCCGTCGACGTACACGATCTAAACAACGCGTTCGCCATGGACTTCATGACAGCCTATCAGTTCGGGCTGCGGGCCGGCACCAATTTCGTCCAAGACGTCGCGGCCAGACACAGGATCCTGCATGAGTACCACTGCCGCCGTGACTACGAGTTCTTCTCAGCAGAGTTGCCCTGGATGAAGTCGCTGAGCCGCCGGCTGGGGTGGCCCGTGGTGCCGCAGTTCGTCGACGACGCCAACGTGTACCTCGAGGATTGGAACGCTCAAATGTGTCGTGAGGCTGACGAGTACCTGACTGCCGAAGCCAAGGTCGACGACGACAGGACAGGCTTGTCGTCCTACCCCGGCGACGACCCCGTCGTGTATAAACAGTTCAAGACCGGCATTACCAAACTGCGCGAGAAAGATCCGTCCGCGGGCAGAGCTGTCGAGGGCCAAGTGACGCTCCCGACGACGCGGCATGACGACGTGGGCGTCGACCCGAACGACACCACTACCACCACCGCCGAGATCTACAGCGAAATGCTCGACCAACTGGGCGCGGGCCACGAGACGTCTGCAGTCGCGCTCACATATCTGTACTGGGAACTGAGCAAGGCGCCGGCACTGCAGAAACAGCTGCGCCTGGAACTGCTGACCCTGACGCCGACCATTGTGTGGACGCCACAGACTACGGGCACGGGCACGGGTACCAACCTCAGTATCGACAATGAAACTGACAACAACCCCAACATCAACGGCAGGGTCGAGTCGCATGTGGCGGACACCTTCCGACTCCCTGACCCGAAACAAATCGATGCGCTCCCACTTCTCCACGCCATATTCATGGAGACCTTGCGCCTGCACGCCCCGATCCCGGGCATTGAGCCGCGCATCTCGCCGCACGTGCCCGGCGGAAGCACACTGGGCACGTACGCCGGCATCCCTGGCGGCGTCCGGGTGTCGGCAATGCCGTACACGCTGCACCGGAACGCCGCCGTGTTTCCGGACCCGGAGACATTCAGGCCTGAACGCTGGCTGGCCTCGTGCACGCCCGAGGCTCATCTGAAGGAAATGCACCGCTGGTTCTGGGCGTTCGGGTCTGGCGGTCGCATGTGCATCGGCAGCAACCTAGCCACCCAGGAGATCAAGCTGCTGGTGGCGGCCATCTATTCGAACTGGACGACCGAGATCGTCGACGACGACGGCATCGAGGAGATCGACGCATACACGGTAAGACCCAAGAGTAACAGGCTCGTTCTGAGGCTCCGCCATGTTTGAGCAAGTGTGACGGTGTTCGGATCAGGGACAAAGCAAGGCTCTGGATAATAACAGTAGGCCGGGGGAATGACTCAGTCGTAAAGGGCCAAGATGGAAAGAAACACTTGAGCTGGGGCTGGGATTAATGGCGGTTTATTTACCAACCATATCACTTCGATAGTCTCAAGGAGACCTCCAGCTCTACCGAGCATTAACCTCACTTTCTTTCCGAGGTCCTGGAAGGGCAACGGGTGGAGGGAGAATCATCGGCCCAGACAAACATGCTCCTAGAGATAGATTCAATGCATCATATGGTAGTAGACTTGAAGTTGTGCTTGACAAATGTTGCAGAGTAGGGAGTACATAGAAATACGTAGGCCATCATCGCATTTCCCTGAGATGGCCAGCTCCTTTACTAGTATCGTTCTTATTATTGGGCTGGTGGCTATCAACACATCTGCTCCACCTGCTGATCTGAAGATACTAGCACACTAGCACCTAGTATGCGTCGTAATGAGATCAAGAGGGTCCAGAGGGGTGGAACTGGGAACTGGGAAGGCTTAGGAGGCCTGTGCGAAAGAGACGCGCCGATGCCGAGGGTGCACTGGCGCTGCAGTTCGCCAATGGTGTGCATAAGAATGGATTATTCATTGTCTGCATGTAGAGGTCAGCCGCAGCCTGTGCATTTCCAGCAAACAACTTGAACAACAGTAATACAGACCTAGTACTCTGTAACCCCGATGCTGGTGGATGCTGGACGAACATCCTAGAAGATAAGTCGAGTAAAGAGTCCTCCGAGTCTGTACTGAGTAGGAAATGATGGTGCTGTGCTGTGCTGCCAAGGTGCATGCAGGGCACTGCAGTGACTGCAGTGCTGATGATGATGGTCGCCGACAGAAACCGATCGAAGCTGCGGAAGGGCTTGGCGGCCGATTCAGCCTTTTCACGCCTCACTGGCAGGGTCTGTTGCCCTCGATCGCTAGCAGCACTATTTACTCCTACTACTAGCCACTCCTCCCCCGTAAATGCAAGGAATGCCAGACACCCTTTCTCTGCCATGACCTCGCCTTCCCTCTCATCTCTTTGACATAACACGCACGCACACGCACACATACGCAAACTGCAGCGGGAGAAGAGCAAAGACTCTCTTATCACCGTGTTTGCCCGATCCAGCCTGGGATTGTCTGGCTGTGCAACAAATTCACTCTCCTGACGTCTCTCACTTCACAGGGAGTACCTCCCTCGCCTCCCTCCTCTACCATACCAGCGTTTCTGCTATTCACGAACCGGCCTTCCAGCCTTCGAGTCTCACCGGGCCGCCAACCCTTAAATCTACACAATCCTTCCCCTCCGACCAACCAATCTCCTCCATTCCCCATCTGTCTTCTGTGACTGCGCTATTGTCAGCTCCAGATAAGCAAGATGGTTAAGGACACAAAATTCTATGAGATACTCGGGGTGAGTGCCATTCGCATGGCTGGGCACCAAGCACAAGCCCGACTAACTCGTCGACCAGGTCGACCCCTCGGCTTCAGAGGCTCAACTGAAGTCAGCCTACAAGAAGGGCGCGCTCAAACACCACCCAGGTAAGCATCCTCCGTGATTGTCGACCTGGGCCTCGAACAGAGGCTAATCCCGATGTCAGACAAAAACGCCCATAACCCTGATGCGGCCGATAAATTCAAAGAACTCTCCAAAGCCTACGAAGTCCTCTCTGATCCGCAAAAGCGGTCCATCTACGATCAATATGGCGAGGAGGGTCTAGAACAAGGTGGCATGGGCGGCGGCATGGCTGCGGAGGATCTCTTTGCCCAGTTCTTCGGTGGCGGCGGCGGCGCTTTTGGCGGCATGTTCGGGGGTGGCATGCGCGACACTGGCCCGAAGAAGGCCAGGACCATCCATCATGTCCACAAAGTCTCCCTGGAGGATATCTATCGCGGCAAGGTCTCCAAGCTCGCCCTACAAAAGTCGGTCATCTGTCCAGCCTGTGAAGGCCGAGGCGGCAAAGAAGGTGCCGTCAAGACCTGTACAGGCTGCAACGGTGCCGGTATGAAGACCATGATGCGTCAAATGGGTCCCATGATCCAGCGTTTCCAGACCATCTGTCCCGACTGCCAGGGAGAAGGCGAGATTCTCCGAGATCGCGATCGTTGCAAGCGCTGCATGGGCAAGAAGACGATTGTGGAGCGCAAAGTCCTTCACGTGCACGTCGACCGTGGGGTCAAGAGCGGGCATAAGATCGAATTCCGCGGCGAAGGTGACCAGATGCCAGGCGTTCTTCCGGGCGACGTGGTGTTCGAGATCGAACAGAAGCCGCATCCTAGATTCCAGCGCAAGGAGGACGACCTGTTCTACCACGCTGAGATTGACCTGTTGACTGCGCTGGCTGGTGGTCAGATCTTCATCGAGCATCTGGATGACCGATGGGTGACCGTCAACATCCCTGCCGGCGATCCTATCACACCTGGTATGTCTCACCACTCTAGCGTGTTGACGAGTCTATAACTGACTGTTCGTTTCAGGTATGGTGAAAGTGATTAAAGGTCAAGGTATGCCATCGTTCCGGCATCACGACTTCGGTGACCTCTATGTCCAATTCGACGTCAAGTTCCCCGACAAGACCCAGCTACAGAACGTCGCTATGCTCGAGTCGGTGCTGCCGCCGCGTCCGCAACAAACCCTGCCTCCTCCCGACTCTATGGTTGAGGACTTTGAACTGGCAGAAGTCGACGCCCGCCAGCAAGCACGTGCGCACGGAGCCAACGATGACGATGACGAAGATGTTCCCCCGGGCGCAGAGCGAGTCCAATGTGCATCGCAGTAAACGCGGAACTTCGAACGATAGCATGACACGAATGGGAAAGAAATCGAACCGCGTGAAACAAAGGTGGTGAACATGATAGGCACCCAAAGTGCTAGTGACTTCGAGCATTAGCGAGCAGCATTAGCCAGGGTGGGGAATGATGCCTTTCAAATTCACATGAAACACATCAAAGGTTCAGCATCAACTGGCGTCATAGGTTGGGAAGGCCACCTTGGAATTCTAGCCGGCGTTCTATGGTGTACATGGAGTTGCCAGTATGTTATGCAGCCATGAGGGTCGCGGGTGAGGCTGGCTATGCCACGCCCAACGGCATGGTCTGTCGCCAACAGCTCCAGACGAACTAGACAGCCTTGCTTTGTGCATGAGATAGATTCGACGATTCGGCAACTGTACTTGGGCACATCATCTCACGTCACCGTGGACTGTGCAAATGGTTTATCTGTTCACGTGTATCCTTCTCCTGCCTTCGTGCCTAAGTAGTCGCCATGGATGACCTAGATTCGTCACTGGAGATCCAACCCTACTATTTCAACTCGGTTCAGTGCTGCATATCAGACCTTTGATGCGGCGAATCCTGGATTCACGCCAGCTCAGAACTCCACCGGGATGTGGACTAATCAGGACATATGATAGAATTCAAGATTGATAGAATCGAATCTGGCAAGATGCTCGTCGTGGGAAGGGGAAGACGGGGACCCGATTGGCGCAACGGACCTAGAGACTAGCATAGTTAGCCATGATTGGAACAGAACTTGCCCTGCATGCTCAACCCATCGTCTCCTCGGTATCGTTGGTGTTGTTCAAGTTTCGTGAAACCAGACTACGGAGCACTATTAGGCCGGGCTCGCTTCGCAGCTGCATGTGTACTCAGTCCGTAAAGTGTTTTCATGGCGACTTTTCTTTTTTGGGAGCTAGGAAGGAAGACTGGGCGTCAGAACCGCGCCAACATGGAGTTTATTCCCCCTGTTGCTTGCATCTCGATCCCTTCAATTACCACATGCAGCGCCTTTCACCGTCATACCTCCCGTCATGTCTGCACTTGGACGTGATTAGGTCGATCTCTTCGTAGCGTTCATGTCGACATCGACCGGCCGATGGAGAAGATCCCTCATGAAAAGGCAAAGCGTCGGCGGGAAGCGAGCGTAAACCCTAGGAGTTGGAACGACAACAACTGGAATGCATGATGAAGAGCATGAGGCTTGAGTATGGTACCATCCGTGCCAACAGATTGTGATTGGGACTGGAGTCAGGGTCGAGCAAGACGTCGCTGTTATTGGACGAGGGCTTGGACCTTTCACCGTCATTCGCTTTGTGGCGCCAGCCAGCGATGACTATGAGAGGCTGTACAGGACGTGCCCTGACAGCATCGGGGGGCTAGAGAGCTGGTGTGGGGGCAGGCCGTGAGCACGCCATTTTGCTCCTGTAACATTTAATATTTGGTGGGAGGAAAAGACAGAATGGGAGGTATCGCCGGTGTGTAACCTTCAAGAAAATTCGGACGGTGAGCGATGAGAGATGAGAGAGCGCACCCTGGTAAAGGCGTGCGTGCATGTCGCAGAGGCGAAGGGACATGGATGTTGTCCTCCGTACATGTAAGGTCATTGCGCGGGTGAAGGACCCTTGGAACCGGTGCGAGTGACAGTTGGAATATCCGTACTCCGTATCCGTACTCGGTAGACAGCCAGAAGGCAAAAGAAAACGCATCCTGACTTTCAACCGTGGTTCAGTGCCAACGCCACGGTTTGAGGGAAGAGCGCAGTTACGTACCAACAACTACCACAAGGTAGGGGGTACGTACAGACGACTCGCGTAAACCTCCCATAGGCGCTCCTGCGCCATCACCATCAATTAATATTACCTTCTTTATTGTCGTGAGCCTTGTAGGCTGCTGCAGTCAAGGGTAGGTGCGTGCTAATTAGGACAGCTTGGTCTCTGACGACGGACCGAATCATTTCCCTTCTCCGTGATGCTGATACGACCTGCTGTTGCTGAGGCTTGACCTAGATGATAGCTTGGGGTGCTTGGGGAGCTGAAGCCTGACACCGCGTGTTGCTTGCTCCATCACGCCTTCGATTGCACCATCGTCCATCCACTCGATCCATTCCATCATGGCTCCCCCCAGCCTGCAACGGCGGAAAATCTCTGCTTCTTCGCACCATCCCTTGACTTTCTGTCTCTCCCGGCCCCCGTCGCCCGTCGCAGATCTTGCTCGCTCGTTAGCCTGGATCCTGCAGCCCGGCTAGCATCTGGATCCTCGCCTCGCTGCCCACATGGTGTGCTGCTGGAATCATTGCTTTTCCTGGGGGAAACTAAGAAGATACTAAGAAGAACTGCCGTCACATCTGACGACAGCGTCGACGCACACGACTCTTCTTATATCCTGGGCCTCTCCTCCGTTCTTCCATTTTCTCATTCTCCTTGCCATCCTCTCGACACTCCCGGTACCTCGTCAATCAGGCTGGCCGTTACACCACCTTTCTTCTCGAGCCTTGCGTCCCTAGCCCCTCCATAATCCTGAGACGGGCGAGTCAGCATCTTGTCATCGGCCATCCTCCTGCGCACTTGGACTTGACGCTACACGGTCACCCTGCAAGGCCTCCCCTCCTCTGATCCTTATCCTGTGCCTACCAGTACCGCTGCTCGTCATTCTTCTCGCCTTGGCAGCTCCGTCCTCGCATCCGTGGGCGTCGATTGAAAAAAAATCGTCCCCGCCGATTTGGAGCGAGCCCAGCAGCCCAATCCCCCCTCCAAACTCCGACATACTCCCTCTTGATTCGTACCAAGTGCCAGGAACTCTTGCTTGGATCCGAAACACCTACTCGGCCCCTTCACGTTTTTTCAGCTCTCACCCGAGCTTGTGAGACGGCATCATGGCCCCCTCCTCCTCCCAGGTCGGTCACGGAATAGCCAAGGTCCTTCGCATCAATCTCTCCGAGCGACAGGCACAGAAAGATGCCATCACACGAGGCGAATCAACGTATTCGGTCAGTACCGCCGAGACATATGTTGAGGAGGAACCAAGAACCATCGATTGGATCAGAGATATCACTCCCTCAAGATCCGATGTTCTCACCTACTTCCGCAATCTATTCCCTTTCACAAGATGGATCCTGCGGTATAATCTCCAATGGCTGATAGGCGATCTTGTGGCCGGTATCACCGTGGGCGCCGTCGTTGTCCCCCAGGGCATGGCGTACGCCAAACTGGCCGAGCTTCCCCCCGAGTTCGGCCTCTACTCGTCTTTCATGGGCGTGTTGATCTACTGGTTCTTTGCCACTTCCAAGGACATCACCATCGGCCCTGTCGCTGTCATGTCCACCATTGTCGGTAACGTCGTCAACAAGGTGGCAGTAGACCACCCGGAAGTTCCAGGTCACGTCGTGGCGTCCGCTTTGGCCATCATTGCCGGCGCCATCGTCTGCTTTATTGGCCTGATTCGATGCGGCTGGATTGTCAACTTCATTCCTTTGACTGCGATTTCAGCTTTTATGACTGGCTCGGCCATCAGCATTGCAGCGGGCCAAGTTCCGGCAATGATGGGGATCAAAGTTAAGGGCTTCAACACTCGCGCCTCTACGTACTTGGTCATTATCAATACTCTCAAGTATCTTGGGCACACCAAGCTTGATGCTGCCATGGGACTGACCGCACTGTTTTTGCTTTATGCCGTCCGCTTCATATGCACCGTATTGGCAAAGAAACATCCCAGCCGGGCCAAGACATATTTCTTCATCTCCACTCTCCGAACGGCCTTCACCATCCTTCTTTACACCATGATCAGCTGGCTTGCCAATCGCCACCACCGGAAGAAGCCTATCTTTGCGATTTTAGGAAAGGTCCCTCGTGGATTCAAGCACGCTGCGGTCCCTACGATCAACACCGACATCATCAGTTACTTTGCAAGCGAGCTTCCTGCCTCGGTCATTGTCCTGCTCATTGAGCATATCGCCATTTCCAAGTCGTTTGGTCGCGTCAACAACTACACCATCGATCCATCGCAAGAGCTGGTTGCCATCGGAGTCAGCAACCTGCTCGGCCCCTTTCTGGGAGGTTATCCCGCGACTGGCTCCTTCTCAAGGACCGCAATCAAATCCAAGGCTGGCGTCCGGACCCCGTTTGCCGGTGTCATCACCGCCATTGTCGTCCTATTGGCTATATACGCACTGCCGGCCGTCTTCTTCTACATTCCGAACTCATCACTGGCGGCTGTCATCATTCACGCTGTGGGTGACTTGATCACCCCTCCCAACACAGTCTACCAATTCTGGCGGGTGTCACCCCTGGAGGTGATTATTTTCTTTGCCGGTGTTTTGGTGACCATTTTCTCCTCCATCGAAAATGGCATCTACACCACCATCTGCGTGAGCGCGGCCGTCTTGCTGTTCCGCGTCGTCAAAGCTCATGGCCATTTTGTTGGCCGAGTCAAAATCCACTCAGTCATTGGCGATCACTTGCTTGAGGACAAATTTCACGACGAGCCGAACAAGTCGGACACCGAGACGGCTGTCCGGGACCTTTTCCTGCCTCTGGACCACAACGGTGGTACAAATCCCGAAATCAAGGTGGATTCCCCTTATCCTGGTATCTTCATCTACCGATTCAGCGAAGGCTTCAACTACCCCAACGCCAACCACTACACAGATTATCTGGTCGATTACATTTTCAAACACACCAGACGAACCAATCCTGACTCCTGGCCACGGCCTGGCGACAGACCGTGGAACAATCCTGGTCCTCGACGAGGGAGGTCAGAACCCGATCGATCATACCTTCCGACGCTCAAAGCTATCATCCTCGATTTTTCCGCGGTCAATAATGTCGACGTTACCAGCGTCCAGAATCTCATCGATGTACGCAACCAACTCGATCGATATGCTGCTCCGGATGTTGTGCAATGGCATCTTGCTTGCATTAACAATCGTTGGACCAAGCGTGCTCTCGCCTCGGCCGGATTTGGCTACCCCACACCTCCGGCGCAGGAGTATAGCCGGTGGAAGCCCATCTTCAGCGTCGCGGAGATTGGTGGCTCCAGCTCGGCTGCAGCAGCTGCCGAACAAGAGACGAACAGAAGACTGTCGAGACAAGCCCGGGACGTAGAGGCGGGCGGAGTTCGCAGCGGTAGCGTTGCAAATGATCCCAAGTCCGATGTTATCTCACAGGACCTATCCAAGGATGATTCAGCCACCACTTCCAGCAATGGCCATGATCTTCACCGGGAGATCAGCACTAGCAAAGCGTATAACAGACAGCAGAGCAGGCAGGTGGTGGTTCATGGATTGAACCGTCCATTCTTCCACCTTGACTTGACCATTGCGTTGCAATCCGCCATTACCAATGTCGAGCACCAGGAACGCCTCAGGAGAGCCGAGGCTGGACAAGGTGGCGATTATAATGTCGGCAAGGAATTGTGATTGTGATGGATTGTCGGACATTGTGACGTAGTTGGACAAGGTCCGGGTTCGAAAGATCGAAGGGTCTCAAGAGACTGGGACGGTTTCAATTTACCACCCAACCAATACCATGGACGAAGATTAGGGAAATAAATTGTCTGTGGTATGATGTTGGAGTCAAATGCTTGGAAAGAAGTTGTATCAGATCAACTGGCAGATGCGCGGATGAGATCAGATGGGAAGGAAGCAGGTTTACAATATCATTCACAATCTTTGAGGGATTTATATGTAATGTTGATGAGTTTGCAAGCGATGAATGTGGAAAACACCGTGTCTCTGACATATGTGTCGATACTTGGAAAGTATCATGTTTATACCCTGGGTCAATTTAGGATCAAGACACATAAGCTGGCTTGACGTTGAACCCAACTAGATCTTGAACTGACACCATTCGCGTCGCGAGATCGAATCCAAGTTGCATGTTCATTTCACGATTGTAATGCTCGAGCTGTCCTATTCAAGGTATTTCACTTGACATATTTGTAATAACTGTTGCACCTCATAAAGAAGATATAGGATATACACAGAGTAAGCGCTCACAAGGGACGGTTGGGAGTATCTGTGCCATATATCAGATAGGTATGTATGTACCATGCTTGATTTTGATGCTTTAAAGATGCGACAGCCTTGTACGGAGTGGGTTGGATTTCGTGGGGATTCATCATGTCAACGAGGATGAATTGAATTGATTGAATTGAATTGATTGAATTGAATTGATTGAATTGAATTGACATGGTTGTTCTATGTTCTAGCTGGTTGGGTACAGATATATGTATATACCTTATTTATACTTATTTGTTCTTGTAAGGACTAAACCACCTATTAGAGGTAGGTAGGTAGGTATATATATGTATATATATATATATATATATGTGTGTGTGTGTATATATATATATATATGTGTGTGTATATATATATGTGTGTGTATATATATATGTGTGTGTATATATATATGTGTGTGTATATATATATGTGTGTGTGTGTGTATGTATGTGGGCATGTATATAATGTACCGCTGGCCTAAGACACCTGAGGTGGCTTCCAGGACTGTTCCATGACTGTTCCAGTGTTCCAGGACCCGAACTTTACTTTACGGTGGAGGTCTCGGCCCATGCAACAACAAATCCAGATCGACCTCGACCCACGCGACCTTCCACATGGGCACGCCGCCCAGTTTCTCCATGACGCGCCGACTGGGCGTGTTGGTGGCCGACACGTCGGAATGGGCCCAGTTGAGGTTGAGGTTGGGGTGGTCGGCAACACCTACACCAACACCAACATCAACACCAGCACCAACACCAGTCCCTTCAGCACGACTCCCCTTCCCCCAGGCGCTGCGTCGTAGGAGCTCGCGGCCTAAACTCGCGGCGAGGCCTTTACCGCGGTACTCGGGCTCCGTGTGCAGACTTGAGAAGCTGGCGTCTTTGCCGAGAAAGGCCCATGCCACTGGATCTCCTGATCCTGATGCGGTTCCTGATCCTGAGCCGGTGGGTTGCTGATGATGTTGTTGTGATTGTTGTTGTCTTTGTCCTTGTCCTTGTCCTTGTCCTTGTTCTTGTTGTTCGGGATTACCACCACCAGCACCACCCGCACATCGAAACACACCCAGCGAATCCATCTGTCTCAGCGTCGTCAATGTGCGCGGGATGACCGAGCGGTCTAGCACGGTCTGGAGGTGTGTCGGCTGGAGTGGGCCGAAGGTATATTCTGGTGGCAGGGTGTATTTTGTATGTGTGGGTTTGGGTGTGGACTTGGTGTCTAGGGGACTATGGCCAGTGTCAATGCCACCGGAACCGGTCCTAGGGTCAGGCTGGCCAGCGTCGGGGTCAGGGTGACCAACGTCGGCGTCGTCGTCAGGCTGGTCAATGGCGAAAATATACTTGAAATATCCCGAGTCGATCCTCGTCCGAGCCTCGACCCGGAACCACGGCATCAGGCGCAGGTTGACGGTGGCGAAGAGCACCTTGTTGCGCGAGTACGGCACGGTCAGCAACTTGCCCGTGCGGAGGAGTTCGAGCCAGTCCGGCCCGGGCTGGGTCGGCATTAGACCCACGAGGTCGTGGTAGATATATTGAAACAGGGCCGTCATGAGCGCCTGGTGCTGTTGCTGGTGGGGGTCGAGGGCTTCTTTTGCTTCTTCTTTTGCTTCTCCTTTTGCTTCTCCGTTTGCTTCTCCCGCTACTGCTGTCGATTTTGATGTTGACCTTGACTTTGATGTTGAACCTGACCTTGACCTTGATCTTGATGCTGGTTCTTGGCCTGGAACTCGATCTCGAGGAGTCAACTTCTCGTGGTCAGCCACCACCACACTTTTACCGTGCGCGAAGTCTCGCATCGTCGTCTGCGCCGCCGACCATGGCTTGGCAGGACACTCCCAGCTCGCAAAGACCCAGCCCTGCGACTGTCCGGCGTTGGCGAGGTCGATGTACGCGGCGATCCAGGGGCGAGAATCGGCATTGGCATTGGCATTGGCATCGGCATTGGCATCGGCATCGGCATCGGCATTGGTATTCGTGTCCTCAGAAGTAGACGCCGGACGAGAAGTGGTCGCCGGTAGATTCAACCACTCGTCGATATCGCTCCCCCAAGCACCACCACCACCACCACCACCACCATCACTATGTGTAGTAGTAGTAGTAGTAGTAGTAGTAGTAGTAGTAGTGGTAGTAGTACCATCTGATTCTGTCGTGCCATCGACATCGACGTCGACGTAGGCCACAAAAACCCGCGCCGTCTCCGACCCCCCATGGCTCAAGTGGTACTGGATCCTGCGGAACAGCGGGATGGAGTAGGGCATCAAGGTACCCAGCTTATCTAGGAGACGCGGGACCTGCGACGGAGAGAGCGCGGCACTCGTGATGTGGAAATTGGGACCGTGTCGGTGTGGTGGCTGTGGCTGGGCCATGACTCACGGGCGCGGGGGTCGGGGGTCGAGGATTGAGAGTCGAGAGTTAGAAAACACAAGTGTTAGGGGACACTGAGGGTCCTGATCTGTACTTGACAGTGGTGGTACTGGTGGTGGTGGTGGTGACTATGCACGAAATCTATCCGTACATATGTCTCGTACAGTGAAGTAGGATCTATGGGATCACCTCATCACGGCAGTGGGTGGTGTGGTGGATTGGGCGGAACGCAGATTCTCGAGATGTTGTGCCCCAGTAGATAGGTAGCTGATGATATCCGGAGTTTTAATCTATGACAGGCAGGTAATGCATAAGTCGGGTAACAACCCAAGTCATCCCATTCACCCAAGTTACAGAGTTCCAAGTCGTACCTTTCGGTATCTAATGTCAGGCTGTGCAAGATTTGTTCCATTAGTCATCGTCGATACACGGCAAGGCTGCGGTTGTGGTTGTGGTGGCTGCGACACGTGACTGACTCAATCCATTTCGCGCCTTCAGCCTCGTCTTGAATGAGCTTCATACGTGAATCCCGATTTAGTATATACTACTACTATATCGTTGGTCACGCAACATAGCTGGTGTCACCCACACAGTTCCACCGCCAAATCATCAGAAATTGGCCCCTTGAATGGCTCAGCACATCCGCCACGATATGTCCAGGCCCTGGATTCTCGTCAAAGTCAGATTCAAATGCCTGCCGTCACAACTCAACACTTTGGTCGAGATCATAATACATGTCGTCGTTACAAGGTGTAACCTCGTAGAATAAAAACAGCCTTCCCAATGTGCTCCGGAGCTAGTCTGAACCTATGCCGCCACCGACTTCTTTCTCCCAAAGATACCGCGCGACTTGGATTTGCTACGTGGCTTGTCCGACATGGTCTTTTTCGTAGATCGGGACCGACTTACACCCTCGTCATCAAGGTCGTTGTATTTGTCCTTGTGGATCCTAGACATATCGTCAGTCACCGAGCACGAGTACAAGCACGAGCATCGGGTTCGTGCACTTACCAACTGTTGCCCACCATGCTGACACCCTGTGCCTCTGCCAGTCGATAGAACTTGGCCGCCTTCTTCAAATCTTTCTTGCAGCCAATCCCCTCGGCATAACAGAAGCCGGCCTCGGTCAACGCATCTACATCGCCCCAATTTGCGGCAACCTCGAAACATCTGAGAGCCAGCGCCTTGTCCTGCTCCACGCCCCACCCATTAAGGTGAGACACTCCGAGTTCATAGATACTCAAGGCGAACTGTGCCCGATGCGTCTTTGTGTCATTGAAATCCGTCCCGGGCTTTCGACTGGCAGGGTTTTCATCGTCTGCGATTTCCAGCATGGCCGAATCCACAGCTCTACGGAGCCATTGGACACCTTCCTTTTGGTTTGCCCGCATTCCCCAGCCGTGACGACAGGCCAAGGCATACAACAGCATTCCGGTCGCGTGGCCTTTGTGGGCGGCGATTCGTAGATGGTAGGTGGATTCTTTCAGGTCTCCATGCTCGTGAAGTTCTATGGCTTTCGTCACATGTTCCTCCGCAGACAAAGCTTGGTAGTTGCTCACCGTCCGAGCCGTGGTAGGTCGAACAGTACTATTAGATCTAGAAGAATAGTGCGACGCTTCTGCGACAGGCGACAGAGGCACGGGCGGTATCATAAATGCAGCCGCAGAGGGCGCTTCTCCGGTCGACGGCCTTTGGGTGGACGAATCGTGGGATTTGAGGGACCCGGTCGGTGTATATGAGGTGGAAGGTCGACCGGATCCGGGTGGTGAAACGAGCAATCGTTCGGCGTCATTGTCAAAGGAATACCCCGATCTTTCTTGGTGGTGCTGGTCTTCTCGGCTGGATCGGGCAGACACCATGGGGGATGGAACAGCAAGATCGCTGCTACTCTTGCCCTCCAACGGGGGTGTGCCCGGAAAGATGGGTTCTTGCCATTCAAAGTGTGGCTTGGAAAAGCCAGAAAACACCCCCGAATGCCGGCCGGAGATCTTTCGACCTCGAGGCAAACTGTATGTCGCGTGGGTGTAGGATGATGCCTCTCCTGAGATGTACCCCTGGGGTAGTCTAGACTCGTCGAAAGAGCTTGCCGTTCGCAAGTGACTCATCTGTGCAGCCCACGGACCTTTGCTTGGACTCTTTTCAGCCTGAATGTTGCTCATACTAGACGAACTCAACGGCCGGGAAAAGTTAGGCGTAAAATGAGATCGAGATGGCGAGCCGAGAGAAACGTTGGAAGGAGAGCGACCGTGGGAATATGCGTACGTTGAAACTGGGGACTGAGGAACAGACACTCCACTGCTGGAAGACAGTTTTCGTGATGGTGAAAAGGTCGAGCCCGCAGTGGAACTGGTATAGTCGTCATCGGAGGCATCTTGATACGGGCGCAAACGGTCGGAATGGGATCGCGGTGGTGCCAAGTTTGGAAGCCGGTCTGGTCGAGGCTTGTCTGATAGCTGTCGAGAGCCCAACTCAGGATTCGAAGACGGACTCCCCAGGATTTGCGAAGAAAAGGGACGTGGTCCCTCCAAAGGGGTGGGCGAATGTGCCCGGGGAGCGCCAAAGTAGTCTCCTTGGGGAATTGGTTCTTGATTTCGTTGGTCTTCCTCTTTCTTCATGATAGCACTCATGCGAACATGTTGCGATGTGGGCCGATTCAGGGGAGTCGCAAGTTTGGGAAAACTGCCGGCTCTTCCGTCTTTTTCGACCGTTGGCAGAGGAGGTACCACGTCCAGGCCGTCAGACAAGGCACGAAAAATAGGAGGACGGGAGTTGTGATGTTCGGTCAGGGATTCAGTAACCACCTGAGGCGGGAGTCTGCTCATGCGCCTTTCACCTGCTCTTCTAGTTTCTTCCAACTCTTTGGCGAGTCTGCGGCTTCTCGCCGCGATGGCGTCCAGCGGCGAGAGGGCTGGAGGGACATCACCGTCGAAGTGTTGGATTCGGGGTGAAAGGTGGGAATGCTTGGAAAGCGAACTACTGGCCCGAGAGTCATTGGAAGGGATCTCGATGAATTTCGGCCGGGGCATCGCGGCAACTCGGGGATTCAGCGCGTGGGTAAGATGTACTATCGCTGAGGCTGAGCCGGGTCGCAAGATGTTCGACTGTTGTTCGAGCTGACAATCGATTGGCGATTGGCGATCGACAGAGCCTGGGGCAAACCAAAAGCGACCATGGACTGCCCAAGTTCAGGGAGACGGCCGTCGACAACAATAATGAGTAGATCTGGGTTGGTAATTGTGGTAAACAATAGGATCGATGGAGATGGACGGGGATAGGGCGCCGCTGACGGTCGGGCTGGTGATGACTGTATTGTATTTTAGGGTCGAGAACGAGGGTGAGGTGACCACGACAGGCTTGGATCTGGGGAGAAGATGGCGGTGGCACTCAGGCCCTGCAGCAGTAGCTTCTGCGGCTGTGGTTTTGTCACGGGTGAGGCGAGCGAATGACAGGACGATGAGTGGTAAGGATCATAGAGAACAAGAAGGGAGTGGTGAAAGGATTCAGGAGTAAGGGTGGTGATCCTGAAGCCCGAACAGGGAGATCGGAGAAAAAGGGACGCAGCGCGGGCGGGACGAAAAGCTGGACGACGTAGTATGGTGCAGTAGCCGGCCAGCATGGCTGCAGGTTAGGCGGGGATTCCAGGGTTTAGGGGCCCAAGCCAGCCTCTTTAGCCTCCCGCAAAGTCAAACTCGGGCGGTGGGCAGCCTATGTTGATGCGAGATTGGGCGCCACCAATCCACCTGCTGCACTCCAGTTTAGCTAGTAACCACCCCGGCTAACGTCGCAAGGTGTTGTCCCTGCTCAATGCTCTACTCGGTACAGAGGTAGCCCTGCAACAGTCCCGACCTAGGTAGGAGTACAGAGTACAAAGTACAGAGTACTGAGCACAGAGTACAGTATGACTTGCCTACACCTACGACCCAGAGGCACTTGGTGGCACCCAGACAGAACTTGATGTAACACATATTCTAGGCGACGATCCTGGTCCAGAGCCACCCTGCCAATCCGAGACCTGACCGTTACCCTTACCCTTCCCTAATACCATTTCTCCAAACCAGGTTGGCCAACGAAGCAGATTGCACGTTGTCGGGTGGAAGCAAGTGACAGGCTCCAGTCACCAGTACGACGTCTATCAGGGCAACCAAGATACTAGTAGACCGTTCATCTGGAAGTGGACGTCAGGTCAAGAAGTGGCCAGTGTCCATGGCCCATGGTCCATGGTCCAGACGCTCGACCAGCAAGATTCCAGAAGCCATGGGCTGTGTGTGGGCTGTAGGGGCGCAGGGCGGCCTAGGCCTCACACCTGTGCATCATTCACTGCACTGCACGGCATCGTCACATCATCCCAGCCTGTGACACGAAAATCCCCCGAAACAGTGTCAAGGCAACAGCAGGGTCTTATCCTTGTAGAGCTGCACCGCCGCCTATTGTCCGTTGTCGTTGGTGCGGGAGGACACGAGCGTTTGACCCCCTGTCAACTTCCAAAAATATCATTATAAGTACGGTAGTATCCGTACCGAGTGTGAACAGAACAATCTTGCCAACCCACAATTGCTGTAATCGTGCAGCTGTTCGTGCACGGCCAAAGTGTCAGAAATAGGACAGTTCAACGGCGTTGGCACTGTGATGGTCTGGAATTACATAGGTAGGTAAGGTCAGAGCACCTACTAGGTAGCTGCCTAGGTACCTAACCTGCCACCTAATCCTAGGGAGGTACAAGGTACCTACCTATAGGTAGTTATACCGTATGCCAGATTGTGTTACGGTATCCATACTGTATCATGCTACCATGTTAATTCATCCTTACAAACTCAAACCCCAGACTGTACGGAGTCAGGTTAGGCACCTAAATCACCTAAATAAAACTTAGCTTCTTATTACGTAGGATCCGTACATACACCACCACCGTCATCATCTGAGCTCAATGGCTAGGGTATATCGACATCGACCATTTCCGTTCTTTGTACATCAACCATGCTCGCAATGTCTAGTATCTAGCATTTGTACTTGTACGGATTACGGATACTACTAGGATAACCAGTATCCCTACCTCGACCTCGACCTCGGGCCACGATCAGTGTGACCATGCGCACACCCGGCCTTAGGAGCCTCTTCTCCCTGCCACCCATTGATACACGGACGTTCACCACCTCGTGGCTGCTCCCACCGCTTCTCCTCTCGCTGCTCCGTCTACTCGTCTTCACCTACGCCCTCGCGACACAAGTCGCCAATTGGATCTACGATGGCACGCACGCGTCCGCCCGTGCCATCGGACGCGAGTTCAGCTATTTCACCGTGCTGACCTTCTGGGGCATTCTCTTCTACTCTCTCGTCGCCGGTGTGCATACTCTGGTCTACAGCATCAAAGGCCGCGCATGGCTTGACAGCTGGCCACGGGTGCTGCAAGACCTGCATTCATTCTTCTACACGACCGTCGTGACGCTGCCGATCCTCGTGACTCTGGTGTACTGGATTGTGCTGTACGATGGGCCGTGGTTCCCCATCGTTTTTGACGGCTGGTCGAATGTGAGTGTGGCCCTACTACTACCGAGTATATCAATGAGTCTCCTACTTTGAAGTTTAAGTTGTCGTAGGCCCCCGGATTCAATGAACTGGAACTGTTTCGTTTGTCTCTGGGGCGGGCTTATTAATTTGGCTTTGTTTCGTTGTCCAGAACCGTCGAGACTCATTTACACCACCTGTTTAGATCTCCCGCCACGCCCTCAACTCCCTCTTCGCTCTGCTCGAAATCATCCTTCCTGCGACCCATCCTCCGCCCTTGCTGCACCTCGTTGGACTCATTGTCCTGTTGCTCCTCTACCTGGCGCTAGCCTACTTGACGCACGCCACGCAGCATTTCTACGTCTACGACTTTTTGGACCCGGGTAATGGCTCAGGGAAAGTAACAGCATACTGTTTCGGCATTGCAGCCGCCATCATCGTGGTTTTCGTTGTCGTCTGTCTTTTGCTCTGGCTGAGGGAGAGGTTCACAAGGGACGGCAAAAGGAGCAAAAGGGACACCCCAAGGCCCCTGTCGGTGGTGGACGACGCAGAGGTGGAGATGAGCGTGGATATTGGCCGGGTAAAGTAGGACGATCAACGTTGGTGAACGAATGGGACAGGTTGGGTTTTTCTTTTGCATACAATCTTGTGTCTCAGTGTGTCAGGACATGGCTTATTGCTAAACACATCTTTTCGGTATCATTTGGCTCTCAATTTCAACACTAATATGCCATCACAAGTGTTCTCTGGTTTGTAAATATACTTAAAATGCTTGTGGTATGTCGCTTCCGTCCACGGTATGCCGTGGCTCACCATCCCTACTGATCTTCCTTCTTCACTTCCTCAATCTCCTCCTTTTTCACATCCTCTCCGGCTTCACCTTCTATCTTTCCAGCCCTAAACGCTCTCCTCAATTCGCATTTGCCCAGGTTCTTCCCACCGGCTTTACACTCTTCACATCTCTTCCCGTGCGTGACCAGTAATATGTGTAATCCATATTTATCTTCGTCTGGAATCTTGGCATCCAAATGGGCATGTGTTTCATCTCTTGAAGCATTCTTGGGCCGCCATCCTAGTAATCCCGTGATGCGCCAGACATGAGTGTCGACGGCAAAACTCTCCCGCTGGAGACAAAATAGCAAGACGCAACTCGCTGTTTTCGGCCCGACGCCTTGGAAGGACAACATTTCTTGCATGGCATCATCGCTCGATGCCTGGTGTAGGTGGTCCAGAGAATATTCCCCATACTTCTCGAACGATTGGTTCAGGATGTTTATGATTACCTTGCTCTTGACTGCACTCAGGCCGCCGCATTTGATTGCCTCTTGAAGTTTCGCCTGGCCTCCTGCCACAATGGCGTCCCATTTGTCACTTCCCCCGTATACCTTGTCCATGCTCAGCTTTGCCCGGGTAGAGTTGACATCGCTGGTATTTTGTGAGAGGATCGTCCGGACAAGCGCGTCAAGAACAGACGGAGAGTCTCCGCAGCCCGCTCGAGTGGTGGATGCGACGATTTCTTTAGGCCGGGTGCGTGGACCGTGGAGCGAGGCAAGGATACGGTGGGCCAGCTTGCATTCTGCCGGTGTAGGACGAGAGAAGTCGGGGAAAGGAGATTCGTTGGCGAACTGTGCGTAGGATTTGAGTTTCCTCGATTGCAGATCAGAAGCAGTCTTGGCCTTGCTCGAGGGAGGCTTTGTAGGAAAAGCGGCGCGCGTAGAGAGGTCGTCCGAGGCAATCGGGCTAAGCATGCCTGTCTCGTTCTGGTTCTCCGTCTTGACCTTCTTCCTCGCCTTGACGTCTTGCTCTGAGACGGCTCGCTTTCGAGGCGTATGAGAGGGTCTGGGAGGGGAATGGTGCTCTTTCTTCACGACAGCAGCAGCGGCAGAGCTGCGGGTTACCCGTTTTGCCATGGACGGGGCTCTCGGTGCTGATTTCGATATGAGATAGGATACCTGGTATCTACGGACGCAGCAGGCTAGCAGGCTTGGGACTGATCACCTCGGGCCATTCAAGCAGGAGATCTCGTCAACAACCATATGAATATGGTGATGTCATTAGTATGGAGGCACGCAGGTAGTAGGCAGCAAGGACGGAGTCCGCCTCGGGTTCAGATCGATCAACGGACGCGGTACCTGCGTTGTGCTCCACACAGTCCAAGTGCCCATACCGCTGCCGCTACCGGCGCGATCTAAGGATAGCGCGAGTCATGTATCAGTGTATATCAATTGCAAATGACTCAGGTATCCTTCTTCTCATCTTGTCGTCCACCCCCTCCATCAGCCTTCTATCATGAACTATAAACTTGAACATTGTCAACCGGGCACCTTCCCTTGACCTTCTTGTCACGCAATAGCCAGGCAGCCAAGCCTTAGGGCTTTGACCTCGCGATGGCTTGGGTGGCCGCGTCACAATCATTTTGTGAAATATTTCACACACACACCATCGTCGGCCCCCCAAACATGTCCTCCATGCACCACTCTCTACAGAACAACTTTCTTTCCGTCCCTCCGCCGTTATGCTCTGAGCGTCCGTCGCTACAGTAAGTATGCTATGCAACGGTCTCTGCTGGATCCTCAATCGCTGACCTCTGCCGTTCATAGCCTCACCCTCTTCGCCCGCCGCCCTCACAATGGCCTCAGGCCGTCCACTTGCCATGACGGCCGCTGGGCTTGCTGAAGAAGAGCCACACCTCCTCGGCATCCCCTCTGAACTTCGCCTGAATGTCTACAAGACGCTGTTCATACGTGCTGAGCCAATTCTGCTAGGAATCACGCCCAGTGGAACATTCCAAGGTCTCAACGTCTCCCTGGTTGAATTTCCCTTGCCACTGCTCTCAACTTGCCACAAGATCTACCTCGAGGCATCTCCCATTGTCTATCAATGCAACAAGTACATCATGCCCTGGCAAACATTCCCTGCACCATTCCATCTGCGGCAGGCTATCAGTGGTTGTTTGAGGATGATTGAGATCGACTGCACCGAGGGTGATATCTGGGGCTTCCCCCAAGCAATCAACTCCTTGGCTGGACATGCACGCGGTCTCCAGGAGATCACGCTTACCTTCCATCGCTCGGCCAGATGCATGGCTGCCGCCGTTGAAGTCTCCAGCGCTCTCCCAGCTTGTTCCTCAGCCTTTGAGGTCCCAGTTCTTCATGTCACCATCTCTCCACTGAAAGATGATGACCTCTTGTCTACGAACGAGCCTGCGCCATCCGTTTCAATTATTGAGACGGCACTAAGAATGAGCAGTGCACAGTTGTCGGACATCCTCCCACACAGAGGTCCTGGTGCAGCTAGGCTGATTACCGCCCCAAATACAAATCTGTCCGTTATCAACTTGAGAGGCAAGGTGTCGCCTACCCTGAAGACGTTGTTTGAGGATCATAGGTGTTCAAACAGAAAGTGTGCCTTCGTCAAGGACTGGGAAGAAACGTTGGAGGAAGATGTAGATGCCGAGACAGCTTCTCGTCAATACCGTTACATCTGGAAGATGGTTGGAGGGCCGGAACCTGACATCGAGCCAGACATGCATCAATGGTACCCTGAGCCTGCCAAGAATGAGAAGGAGATGTTGAAGGAATTCATGCTGTCAATGGGTATGGCAGTTGAAGACACTCGATTGGATGATCGCTTGACAACCCTGACCACGGATGTCATAGACACAACGAGTGGAAGTGAAAGTGACAAGGATTCAGCGGATGAAGGAACTAGCCCTGGGCCTCTCTTTTCTGCACCTCCACACCAGCGACGTAGCCTTTTACGGCAGCATTTCCTTGAGAATGGGATCTTTCCCCGAGCGTGGCGGGATGAGGACCGCGTGTTGTCGCAAATTGCTGCCATATCCGATGATTGGCAGGACCAGGACCAGGACCAGGACCAGGACCAGGACCAGGACCAGGACCAGGACCAGGGCGTGGAACATGAGGCATTACCAGAGGCAGAGGCAACTGAAGCTGATCTCGCAGAAGCCAGTGAAGTGGACGAAGCTACGCGTATGCTTTCTGCTTTGGCCTTTTCTGATTCGGAGAGTGACGAGTCTCAACTACCATCAGGATCATTGTTCGTCTCACACGTGACGGAAAATACAGCTGGACAGGACCAGGGCGCAACCGCGAACGCCTCCGTGGAGCCAAGTACTACTGCACGAGATGGTACAACTGCTACTGCACAGGATGGCACAACTGCTACAGCGGTCGACGCCGGGGACGCCTCTGCACTGAATCCGGGCACGAATGCAACGCAAGTGGCAAGCGGAAATACCTGGGCCGATGAGAATGCATCTAGCGAACGGGATCGAGCCTCTTCGGAAACACCTCACAACTTGAATGGGCCCGAAGGTGTCGAAGAGGATCGTCTGCGTCGCCAAATCGGTCCCGACCTGGTCAGATTGGAAGGATGGTTGGCAGAACAGCACGAACAATACGCAGAGAAATCGGACAAGCCTGTCGTACCATGATTGGAACCGTACTTTGATTTCTCGAGGCCCTTGGGAGTTCCTGGGCTGGACACTGGCGTTGTTTAGGAATTGAGGGAGGACAACAGCCACGGCAGCTGAAATGGCCTGCTCTACCGATCTACAGTCTGCCGGTGTGCCGATCCGCGACTGAAGGGGTGACCAGTCAATGCATCTGTCAATGGCACTGGCACGGGCGGGCAGAAGACGAAGCTCCTTATGGTCGGTCTGCAGTGTGAGCAAATCCAGGATGGAGAAGATTCCATATCACGACAGACGTGCAAAAGTGTACAGAGTAGTAGTACCTAGCTAGCTAGTTGGGTAGCCCCTAAGCGTAAGCCCTTGAAACAGAGCACAAGACCAAAATGACGAGCATCGTCGTTCAATTGCTGTGTTTCGATTCTGTTCGATTCTCTCCCCTCCCCTACCTAGACTGGACTGTAGTGCTAGTCCGGTTTTTCCAATCCCGGTTTGCCTTTTGCCTTTTGCCCTTTGGCCCTTTGGTCCTTTCCCTTTGCCCAAAATGCACGATACTCCTCCGGTGCTATGTACGCTATGAAGCCGTAATTGATGCTAACAAGATGAAGATGAAGACGACGACGAAGATGAAGATGAAGATGAAGATGAAGATGAAGGCGATGAGGAAGACGATGAGGAAGGAAAAGTGGATGAGGAAGAAGGAGCTCATCAAGCATGTTCATGTATCTTCGTGGTCGTGTCCACGTCCGTGTCCATGCTCATGCTCATGCTCATGCTCATGGCCACGATCATGCCCATTATCGACACCCAAAAGGCTCTTGTTCAAGGTGACGTTCTTCTGCATCTCGTCCTCGTCCTGCTCGCGGAACTCGATGCCCAGGTCGTCGAGGCCGCCGTTGGCGTTGGCGTCGGCATGCACGCCGCCGAGGACCTTGCGCATCATGCCTATGCTGCGGCGGACGCGGGACTTGCCGTCGTCGTTGGCGCCGGCCGTGTGCTCGGCGGCTTTGGTGTCGAAGTGGTGTTCTCGCCTCCACTTTGCGAACGCGGACGATCGCCGGCCCTTCTTCACGTCCTGCGCCGAGATGGACGCCGGCTGCGGCGGCCAGCTGCCCTCGGATTTCCAGCCCACTACCAGGGCCGGGATCAGGTGTTTGAGTGGGATGGGCACGTTGGGCGTCATCGACTGCACCACGACTTTACTGTAGATGGTCGGATATGCTTGAGGCTTGATCCGGTCGCGCAGCGTATCCTCGGCAGGGAGGATGGGTGGGAAGATGGGTAGCCATGGACCGCCGGCCGGTTCGGTGGCATTGGCGCCACCGCCGCCGCCGCCGCCACTGGTGGTTTCCGTGTTGCTGCCAACTGACGACGATTCTGGTGAGGATGACGAGTGGGAGGTCGCATTCGAGCACGGGGACAGGGGCGAGTCGGTCGGGCTGTTGGAGGTGTTGCGCTCGTGGGTCATTGATTGTGAAAGCCGAGATTTGTGCCGAAGTCGCTTAGCCGACGACGACGACGACCACGTGTTCGCATGGCTGCCGACGTTCGGGCGTTGTGTGTGGTCGGCCTGGTCCAGGCTCGGGTTATGTTTCACGGCACCCGTCCAAGCATCACGGCGCTGCGCCCAGGTCCGCAGCCCTTCATTCCATTGCATCTCTTCTTCCAAAAGTCTGCGGCGCTTGCGTAGACGTTCAGCTACGAAGTTGCCCACCGCATCCGGGTTTTCAAATTTGTATGGATCCGACTTGGAACGGAGACCCCGCCGGATGATCATCTCTTCAGCTTCAATGTCTGATTGGGATTCCTCGCGCCGCCGATACCCGATGGGTTCACGCGGCAGGAGGCCCGTGTCGTTGTGTCTGACCGTTGTAGAAGGATATTCCCAGTCATCTTTAATCAGGGAGAACAGCATGCGCCTTGTTGCCCGCGAGGATTCGGTTTTCGTCACTGGATCGGGAGGCGGCGGAGCATGAGGGGTGGAGTGATCGCTGCTGTGGGAGCTGGCGTTGGAGCCCTTGCGAAGCCGCTGGGTTAGGTTGTGAAGGAATGGAGCAGATGGATGACTGTGAGCATCGACCGACGGGCGAGGAGGGGATTGACCTAAGGCTCCGATGGGAGACAGGGCAGGGGTATCGGAAGTCATCGCAGGTTGGTAGGTGGTCAGGCGCTGGCGGGTGCGGGTGGATGAGTCGAGGGTAGATTAGGCGCAGAAAGCTGAACCCTTCACACGACAAGCATGGAAGGGCGGTTGGGTTGAAGATTGGAGTGAGAACTGAATGAAATGTTGTACTACTAGTCACTTGTGGTAGTATGAAGGACGGTGGAGGGGCATTGTGCGACGAGCGGCAGCCGATGGATGGGATGCATCAGTGCGCAGTGCACATGAGCAATTCATCAAGAAAGTTGCCCGATTCGCCGCCAAGCTCGAGCCGTGCAGTTAAGCTTTGGCCCGTCCAGGTCTAGACCTTGAACGGCTAAGGCAGACTGCGGGGGAAGAGAGAAGGTCAGCCGAGGGGCAGGCATATCCGTTATCCGTCTGCCATATGGCGACACCTCATCAATTGGTTGCGAGGAAGAGGAAGAGGAAGGGTATAAAGTCTGAGAAGAACCATTCCATCCCCCCTGTCCGGAGTCTAGAGTCCAACCCCATCCTAGATCGCTGCCTCCTCTCGCACCTCTTCAGGCGACTACCGCGCCTCATTGATTGTGATCGTGGTCGTCGGGGTGCTTGGTGTCTTTGTCCAGCTGCTCTTGCTCTGCCCGTGCCTGCTCTCGATGCCGAGCGTCTGCATCCGTGTCTCGCATGTTCGCATCCCACGCCAGCGACAACCTCGATATGTACGACGGAGGCCGCGAGCTGCCATCCGGTACCTCCAATCTCAACAGTGCCTGCAGTACGTCGTTGCTGAAGTCGGTGGCGGGCGGCCGGTACAGTGGCAACGTGTCTGTCGAGTGGAGACCGAAATACGCTCGCTCCGGCCGGGCTGCGTCCGCCATTGGAGGCTGGATACGTGACGGGTACACACATGGGGGGATAGAGGTCGTTTGAGGCTGGATACATGTCGGATACACACGTGTGTAGTGGGAGATAGACGTGCGATGTCTGGGACGGACGCCCAACCGGCTCTTCAGCCGGTCAAACCAATGTGGCGAAGCAAGGTAGGAATATCGCAGGACCGACACAACCGTTACAGCTAGAAAGATGGCTACCCCGACCCAGAAACCAGCAGAGGGCGGGCCATGTCCAGGTCCAGGTCCAGGTCCATGGCCTCCCATAGGAGGATGAGGGAGAGGATGAGGAGAAGAAGAAGGAGGAGGAGGAGGATGGAAGCCAGTCGTGTTGTAGTGTGGCGGATGCCCAAGAGGTGCTTCTGGCGCAAGCATAGGCATCTTCATCTTCATCTTATGTCTCCTAGCTTAGAGATGCTACAAGTCCGGTTGATCTTGATCTTGATCGCGCCGGCAAAGATCGTGTGGAGGTATCGTCGGTGTTGGTGCTGGTGCGGGTACAGGTACAGGTGCAGATATGTTGGCGTTGGAGTTGGCAGATGAATACAAGGAAACTGAAAAGAAACACCTGGGTGAGAATGCCTCAGGTGAGGATGAAGCAAGACTTTACAATGGAATCCTCCTTGCGTTGACTTCGCTGACCGCTGACCGAAGTTAACAACAAAGCTCACTCTTGTCTCACCTCTAGAATATAGCTGGCTACCTCTGTCTATGTCAAACTAGATCTGCGGAACGATATGGGTTGAATAAATCAGGATCAGAACCAAAGTCTTTGTTTCAATTGCATATCTAGAGTCCCTTGAAACAGGTGTCCTCCTCGCATAAGCTCAGCTCACCAACACTTCTGATCTCAATCACCTCTAGGTCTCTTAATTCCCCACGGCTGCCATTGAGGAGTGTAATCCCTCCTGTCTTCCTTGGAGTTCCGCCAAAACCCGGCAACTGAAAGTATTGAGGCAGTGTCAATGTCTAACTAGATGGTTCGTTCATGGGCGGTTCGGGCCAGACGGGAGAAATAGTTCCCAGGAACATCCGGGTCCGGGTCGACGCTGTCAAGACTCCTCTGCGCTGCCTCCTGAATCTGTCTGGTATAGGCTCGTTCACTGATAGTGCTTCCAGGAGAGTGTGGTCTACTCGTCACAGAGCCGTCCTCGTCGGTGCATCTGTTTCGTCGTTTTGGTGAAGTAGTGTGAGGTGCGTGGGGACCGTTGTGTTCGACACTCCTTTGAGCTGCTTCCTGAAACCGTTTCGCCTGGGCTTGTTCGCTGGCATTGCTCCCGGGCGAGCACATGGGCAGCCATTCATCCAGTGTGCCACCAGAATGAGGGAACAAAATCGCTCGTCCTGCCTCACAAAAATGGTTGAGCATCGTCCTCGTCCTCTTCAACCCGAGTGGGCTAAGACCTCAACTTACGCAGTTGCTGCCTTCTTCGTCGCGCCGACCGTTTCTCGTACCATTTCCGTACCATCAAACCCAGCACGAGGACGACCATGCTGACCAACAACGCCAGGCCTACGCTCCACCTGTCTGAATCGTGACTCACTGCGTCGACACTGACAGTAAATGGCAGCGCCTTGACTTCGGTGGAGGAGTTCGAGTGGTTGGGAAGTGATATCCCGAATGAAAGACCACAATAAAATAGAAGGACTAACCCGTACCCGTGTCCACTCATGATGATAGGTCGGAAGCAGGGGCGATGGGCGTACAAGACGCTATGATGACTGAGCTATTCATACGAAGCATATGAAATGTTCTTTGGAGTGCTTCTCAGCCTCTCACTGGTATCAAAGTATAACCGCTAAGATCATCTTCAAGGTGACACTACATTTGGAGCGTTGGTGCCGTGGGCAGTATCGGTGCACGGCATGGAAGGTTCGACTCAGCGGCGCCAGGCACTGCTTACGTCCATTCCTCGAACCTGCCCGACTTCTCGTCGTTCCCTGTGAAGAGTGTCTGCCAAAAAGGGAAAATAGGCCTGACAGGCAAAGACGTCGATGACAAGCCGTGGAAATGTAGTTCACACACATTGGAAGTTGGCCGGCGAGACCTGGCCGGGAGGACATGCGGTAGAAGATACTGTAGGAAGCAAGATCAATGAGGTGCGGTCTCTATGTCCATTTCTGCCAATGGTAATCTGGTTGTATGTACAATGTGAGCTCGACGCTTGATGCCCGGACCGGCCATGGCAGGCTCCTGACTCTATCTCAGAGGTGTTTGAGAACCATGTACAGACTGGAGGAGACTATACAGGCGCTGCGTGATCTTCTTTGGCAGTCGCCAATCCGGCCGGAGCATATCAGGTCCAAAGGGAGCACGGCCACAGTACCCACCGGCGTATCCGTATACCAACACCGATTGCGGCACCTCCCTCCGACATGGTATCAGACAGATGCTGCTGGCGTCCAAACATAAGTGTTCCTGGTCAGACTTTCGTCTAGGTCCGGCGCCCCAAGCGAACCAGAATGGTCCTGCACGATACTATGTAGGAATGCGTCGCTGATAGGTCGACAAATGTAACAGGACCAACCACAGAGCAATGATGTTCGCAATGTAGTGTAGCCTGTACGCGTATGTCATGCCGTACAACGCCGCGTAGACCGCGAGAACAAAAAACAGAACGTTCGTCGCCCACCTGAATGGCCTGACAGGTGGGACCATCATGCCACTCGAAAGAGTCTCAACCAACAGGATAAACGGCATTATCGACAAGACATTGTGATGGGACGAGAAAGGTGTCAACCAGTGTACCGAGAGGTTGTGAATCCAGACAACCAGCACCGGCAGGTTGATCGGTAGAACCCAGAGCATTAAAATAAGTATCGAATATGTGTAGTTGAAGAAGTTGAAGGCAGGCCCCGACTTGGATTCCACAGCATGACGCAGCGCCCGCGAGCAAGTTGTAAGCTGGACAACACAGGCAACCACATAGGCGAATGGGTAGGGTATGATGGTGGCAACGAGGAACAGAAGCACCGCGGTGTTGATGGCCCGGCGACGAGGGGTACTGGCGACGAAAGCCGAGGCAATACCCTTCTCACTGTCGTCGATCTTGACATATCGTTGCGACACCAAATTGGACAGTGTGACAACAAGCTGTAACAACGCCAAAACTGCGTAGTTCAACACAACACAGGCGCCGACGCTGAGCAAGCCGGCCAGGGGAACAAGAAACCAAAAGAAAGTGTCCTGTGACCCCAACAGAAGATCATTCTGGGCAAAGTTTATGCTTGTTCCATTCCCGTGTGGATGATAGTCAGATCCAGCACTGGCAGAACTGGCGGCCGTGAAAGCGGTAGCAAAGAAGGTCATGGACAGCAGAAGAACTGGCAGCGGGAGTCGCAGGCTTTGATCTAGACTCTCGGTGAACGAGATGAAGACTCCAGAGTTGTCGTAGACTCTGAATTGCTTGCGCAGGACCATGGCAACCACCAGCAAAGGAAATGCGGCAAAAACAGTCCGATATCTAACCACCAGTTTGCCCAGGCTGCCAGTGAGATCCGCACGCAGGCGGATTTCCAAGGAGGAATTACACGTAGGATCTGACCAGATCTGGAAGGCAACTCCAGCTTTAGGCTCGCGGCCATCCAAGGAAGGTGGCATGAAAGGAGCTACACCGTGAAGGTTGACATCTCCTTGCTTGAAATTGACGAAATATTTGGACTCGTACGGGCTGTCAATATGCTGCCTCACAAGGGGGGTGAACAGTTCGGTATCCGCCCCACAGCCGTGTTGACGCAGTTGGAGGGTGTAGGCCAGCAAGCTCGATCGGAGCGAGGGCACGCGGACTTCTGTCACCAGAGGTCGGGTTGGAGGAAGCTCCACATTCAGGCCTCGGAGCAATAGCCTTAGAAGGCTTACATCACTTTGAATGACGGAGTCGGTGGTGGATATGACTTCCCCATAAGCCCAGGAGTTGCTGATTTCGGTGGACTTGTCGACCACCACGACAAATTGATGATCTCCAAGGTCTTGAAAATCATAGCTCAGATAGGTGAAAGGAGGCCGCTGCTCAAATGCATAGTGTGACATTCGCGTTGAAGCGGGCAGTTCGATCCCGTCCCTGGCCGGTCTCTTGCACGCCAATCGTGTTGCGCTAGGATCGCCCGGGGAAAGATCAATCTGGACGGGCAATGGCATCGAAGTCAATCCGCCCGTCAGGGGGAATGCACTGCAAAACAAGACTTCTATCTTCTCGAAACCGCCTTGTGCATCCATTTGCTGGTCCGTGAGGAAGGAGAATCGTTTGGAGGTTGAATTGTCAACGAAAGAGACGGGTAGCAAGGTCGCGGACATCTGATCTTGCGCTCCGAGCTGTCGCAGGGTCACGTTATGGTCCTTCGCCATTGACGATCGCGACCCGTCTCCCAGCGTGAGAAGCACTTCATGGGTGGTGTCTGGAAGGGCTTTGGGCGCATCATCTTCGAGACCAGTCAAGAACCACTTCCGAAAGATCTTCATTCTTTCGGATCGTGGCTTAGTTTGTCCGGCACGGCGGACATCGACGACATCATATAATGACCTTATAACGGCTTTTCGCACTTGATCGGCCCAGGTGATTGCAAGATGGTCCATGACTGTCCAGACATTGGGAATGGTGGACGTGAAGACGGTAAATCCGTGGCTTTCGGGCACCAAGGATGCAATGTTTGTGTAGTCAGAAGGGACCGTGGTGTCTCGTCCTCCTCCTGCGATAGAGATCAACGTGGTGTGCCACAAGGGGTTGTTACTGGCCCATCTCTGCAAATACGAATCTCGCCAGTATTTGTTCACTTGCTGATACAGTGTCACCACGTCGGCATCGAAGGTGACTGGCGGGCGCGCATGAGGAGTGGACATGGTAATGATGGTATTGACCGAGTTGGCCTGATATTTCGGTGTGGCGAGTACGGTGCGCGCGACTATCCCGCCCATCGAGTGTCCGATGAGAACGACAGCGTTCGGGTCAGGTAACTGAGGGTCTCGACGTAGTCGGTTGGCGTCATGATACAGAGAAAGGATATAGGCGACGGCTTCGTTGACATACTCGGCTTGATCCAAGAGAGTTTGGCCGTGGAAAGCAGACAGATCTTCGTTGAAATCGAGGGTGAAGAAGTCGAAAGGTCTTACACCTCCCTTGATGGCATTCGCATCATGTCGCAACACGTTGTGATAGTACCGAGAAGCTTCGGACGACAGAGAGCGAACTTGTTTATAACTGCCCGCATTGCCCGGAATGAAAAGCACCGGCGCTCCGCTCAAGCCTATATTGTCTGGTGTGTAGTCGTCGACCCCCTCTTCTCGGTACAGATACAGCGAGTACTTTGTGGCGAACCGCGAATGTTCCGAGTCAAAGCCGGACAGCTTGATGTAGGTCGGGCTCATCATGGACATGACGCATCCTTGAGGGTCGACCTGGAGTTTGAGGGACGAGCGAACGATGAGAGAGAGGGACAGAAGCGCGAGGGCCGTGGTAATGAGCGTTAAAGGTCGCCATGTCCAAGGACTCTGAGCTCGGCTCTTGCGAAGGCCGCGGACATCAGGATCGGTCTGGCTGTCACCCGGCTCCTCCTTGGGCTTCAGCAGCATGGTTGCTGCTTGCACGACTGGCCCAAGCCAGGCTTCGCGGGTGAATCGCTTCACTTTCGCCCTCGGGACAGAGGCAGGAGACGGAAGAAAGAGGGATCGACCTGGGGCTGCGATACGCCTCCTGGCCAGCAGGGGCCGGGGGCGCTGCTCCGTACTAGCAATGGCGGTTCCGAGCAAATGCCTCGCCGTACTGAGAACAATGCCAGTGTGTGGGTGGTTGGGTAGTCGGGTGGTCGGGGCCCGGAGCGGAACAACTAAATTCCATCAAAGCTTGGCACCGGCGAGCGAAGTCCCAATCAGGCCAATGGTTAAGTCGGACCACCTCGTAACGCACAACCTACGTAATACACAACTATTCCTCGTACACCCACCACCTCTTTATACTTAACGTACGCGTTACACTACGTCGTTCATATACCACTCTATATAGAGGCTCTCGAAGGTGGTCCTTAAGAGTACCCTAGACGCCGCCTATACCTTCTTAACCCTATCTCGGCGATCCTACTCCTCCTAACGTCGCGTAACTCGCTCCTAAGCCTCCTTAATCTCTAAGATAGAAGTAAATATCTTATTTAAGTCTATCCGAATCTTCGTACGCTTCGTAGTACTCTTCTCCTATAGGCTAACGAATAACTATTATAATTAGAGCGATTACTCGATAGTCTTCTATAGAAGTACGTCGATCGCCTTCGCCGTCTTATTAAGTAATAGACGAGATTCTCTATTAAGTAGTATATCTTAATAAGTATTAAACGTCTACGATCGAAGATATTATCTACTTATAGATATACTTTTAGTAATACTTATTAAGAGTCTTCGTTTACGTATACGCGAAATTTATAATATTAGTTTAATAGATTAACTACTTAAGAAGATATTCTCTATACGTAGATATTTAATCTTTCGATCTATCTTTAATCGTATATCTAGTTAACGCTAGAGAAAGCGTACGATCTAGTTATAGTCGATTAAAGAAGGTTCTCTAGAGACTATTAAGAGAAGCCTATAAACTCTTATATCTATATAAAGGTAGAAGAGGCTTCGACGATATTAAGGTCTATAATCTATTATACGAGAAGTTACTCTTAAGTATAAGATAAGAGCTATTATATCTCGCGAGCCTATTAACGAGTATTTCCTCCTCTTAATCGACGCGTTAAGGTATAGCGGCTGATATTAAAGGCGGTGACGGCGGCGTTAAGAGAGGGGTAGTCGTCGCGTTCGTACGCGCGAATCGCGTCCTATAGGGTTTACTCGGATATAATAGGTATATTAAGATAGTTATAGAATAATATATACTATTGTTGGTTAAGAACGAGTTGCTTAAAGTTATAGTTACGCGTGTTGGTGGGTATGATGAACAGTTGTGTATTACGTAGGCTATACGTTACGAGATGGTCCGACTTACGCGTTAATTTTCAATTCGTGATCGGCTGGACAGACACCCAATTCCTCGTTTTTCAAACTCCTGGGAGTCAGGACGGTCAGCGTGGGTATGTACGGAGTACCTAGGTACCTAGTGTTCACGAAACACTCCTACAAACTCCGTCTCGAGTACGCATACCCATACTTCTAGCAGACACTCGGTCAGGAGTCAGGGGGAGTTCCCTCAACTGGAATCCAACCCCAGGCTGGCTAAGCCACCACGACCCACCAGGGCTGCGTATGTGTACGGATACTCCATGGCTGCAAAATGAAATGAGGAGCGGTGAGCCAGACTACAGTGGTTGACGCGTCCTGACCAACCTGGCCAGTCTTGGTGTTGTGAAAGTCACCCATCACCCTTGGCGTGAGTCTCAACACTGAACCTTCTACGGAGTACGGAGTACCGCGTACACATACTGTATCAGAGTCGTTGGCGGCCAATCATACTTGCTAGCCGCCAGGTGAGCTGGCAAGCAACTTTGACTGTTCACAACTTCACGCACGTTCAACAATCAAGCTCCAAAGTCATTTCACCGCCTCTCAGCTATGGTCAGCGACTTCCAGATAGCCCTCTCTATATGTGAACGCTGCCAGTATTCTCCTCCTTGTCTCCTCGCACAGCAAAGTCTAGTTGTGGTACATTTGCGTCTGACTGTTCAGACAAGCTCAACGTACTCATGGAACGCATCGTAAATCCACTGATCAATCCCTTCCCATTTCTTCTTCTGGTCTTCCTCGTACAACTGCTGTTGGCGTTCTGCCTCGCTCTCATGTGGTACACTCGCTGCAGACTGCTCCCTTGCCTTTGTGATCATTCGCAGTTCTGTCTCTTCCGGTGTGTCCACCGGGATCTCTGTGGGAGTGGTGGGCAGTGATCCTGCTTTATCGGCCAGGTCGAAAGGGTGGTCGACGTCGATAGTGTCAATAGGATCAGTCGAACACATGTCACCATCTGCGGTAGTATTGAAAGCATCTTCTTCTCTCTCAACTTGCTCAACATTTGGTATCCACGTTTTGGCTGGACTGCTGCTGAAACCATCAACAAAGAGACCTTTACATGGCCTATGCACATCGGACATTGCAACATGGTCAAGTGGTGGCTCAAAGCCGCCGAGATCAAAGTCCGAGGTTGCAAAGTCAGGAAACTGCTCCTGTTCTAACCAGTCATCCTCGGCCATTGCTGAAACAGGGCGTGCATTCTCTTCTTTGGACATGGTCGCCTGGGACGTAAGGTGTTCGGTATCCACTTCATCCGCACTGCTGTTCGAGAAGTCGAAAAGAGCGTCGTCTTCATCCGCACAGCTGTTGCTTTCCACTTTCGTCTCGCGCTCCTTCCTCATCGACACCTTAGCCTCCGGGTTAGATTTGTCAGGCCCATAGAACCGACGGCTGTGACTTGTCTGTGTCAGACCGCTATCCCCCAAGTTTGCGTCAGCTGACATCTTTGTTCTCTTGTAAGCGGGCTCCGCTGAATGTTCCTTGCCACCCACTGAGACCGTATCACTGTCACTTCTTGGTCTGGATTTCTGCAATCTCTCTGTGCTTTTCGCCTTCTGCGCAACTGGTTTTGCTTTCAACTTACCCGTTGCCACACTGGTCATTGTCATCTGAACCTTTTCTTCCCCATTTGACTTCGACTCCGCCTTAGGACGGCGTCTAGGTTTCGTCACGCCTTCTGCGCAACATTTATGCTTGCACTTTCTGTTGCGCTCCTTGCAATCGTGCTGGCATGTCCACCTACCATTGCACAATCTAATTGGTTCTCGGTAGACCGAAATATCAGTGTCTTCATCACGCTCGAGCCTTGTCTGATGAGCCATGGCTGTCGAAGTCTTGAATGATTGCCTCTGATGCTGGCTCTCTTCGTTTAGAATGGCGTCAATGTCCTCAATGACTTCAATCTTGTCCCCATGAGCTTCAACCGATAGAAGATCCTGGTCGTCGATTCCCCCATCGTCGAATTCATCGTCCCAGGAATCGGCGCCGTGACCACTGCCATGCGAGGTTGTCGTAGAGTCAGTGGATGTCTCTTCCAAGTGCCTAAGACTAGGATAGATCGAATCTGGAATCCCTGACAGACGTAGCTCGGCATATTTGCTGGTGCCTGCGATCTCATCGCACATCACATAACAGTTAAGGTGACTGGTAGGCTTTGTGAGCTGTACGGTCAAGAAAACCTCATTGCCCATTCCCACATTCTTTGCGCCAATTCTCCGGAAGTCCACGAGGTCGCCATCAGATGTTTCCGCCAAGAAGCAAACAAACAGCTGCTGCTTCTTTTTGAAGCTCCTCGGTTGTCCGACGTTCAGAAACCCAATTTCCGCGACGAAGCTGACGGTCACTCCCCGTCCAGGCCGAGGTTCTCTGCTTATCTCCTTGACGGATACCCTCAGATTTGGAAAGCTCTCAAGCTTCTTCAGGAGCTCAAGACCAAATGGAGGATTCTTCCCCAGGACGAGTTCAATGCGGGATGGCTCGGTATTGAGCAGTGTGTCGATGCTGTTAATCGAAGCTGATGCCAATTTTCGAACAGCTACTTCACCAAGACCTTCGATCTGTCTGAGCTGACTAGCTGTGTTGTCCCACACATGAGCCGCCAGGCTCCGGCCAAGCTCAAGGGCATGCCGCGTTGAAACGGCGTCCTTTAGGTGAACTTGACAGTCGATCAGGCATCGGATCAGACGATTGGCATGTGCAAAGACGGTGAGCTTATCGTTCCTATGCTGTTGGTGATGCTTCTTGTAGTTTTCGTCGTCAGGGATCGCGACATTTCCCAACTCGGCCTGTATCACAAGCGAGACTTTATGTGCTGGCAAGGCGATGTCAACCTTTATAGGGAACTTGATCTCCGGTGCTTTATTGATCTGTTTATAGAATGATTTCTCGCCCGCTTGCATCCGCACCTCACGAAACTCTCGTGCTTGCGCCAATACCGAAAGCTGTGTGGGGTTAGTCTGCGACCTCTTCGGACGACATTCTCACGTACAATTTCAGAAGTCTTGCCTCTAGGAGGCAACCCCACAAACAACTTCATGGTGTCGAAACTGACATAATATCGTGCCATTGCCTCGCCGTACGCGGTGGAGGTCAGCTGAGGCTCTGTGTTGATGAAGCCTGCTTCATGAAGCAATGAGATGTCCTTCTTGCACAACCGTGCTAACAGATCGTCCTCACTGTTCTCGTCGATGTCTTCTTTGAAGCGATAGTGCGATGGATTTTTCTGGAGTCGAACATGCAAGAACGTACCCGCAAGCCATTGCTTCGCCGCATTCAGGTCACGTATAGTACCCAGGCCGATTTCAGCGTTGAGGTGCTCGATCAGATTTTGGTGAAGACAGCTCTCAAGCACCTCTTCTCCTGAGACCATTCGTTCATAGTGGGCAATTTTCTCCTTTCGAGTGAGAATAACTGCACATGCCGAGGTTTCAAACTGTGGTCGGCCAGCTCTGCCTAGCATTTGCATAACTTCGAGATCAGCATATTCTTGGAACCCGTTATCAGTCCAGGCGGTAGTTCCTTTCAGTATCACCAAATAGCACGGTAGGTTTACACCAACGGCCAAGGTCGATGTGCAGCATAGGACATTAATTTGCCCATGCAGAAAAGCCTGTTCAATTCCACGACGATCTTCGGCACTTAGACCTCCGTGGTGAAAAGCTACGCCGGCTGCGGAGGTGGCTGTCGCATGGTGGTCAGATTGAAAGAAGTGACAGGGAAGTACATTCATACGCACCATCAACCTCGGTGTTTGAGAAGGAGAGCGGTCTGTCCGGTCTGTCCGGTCCACGCCAGAGACGTTGCGAGGGATGTGAGCTCATCCATTTATCCGCCAGCATCTTTGCAGTAGTGGTACATGCCCGTCTGGTTGGACAAAAGATCATCACAGGCTTTCCTTTGCCGTGGTTGGCTATGACATGGGGTATCCTGTGTGGCGTGAGTACTGATCGAGTGTGTCCGGACCAACTTACTGCTGTGTCAACAACTTTTCAAAGACGAAATCGTTGCCCTTTGTTTCGAAACCATAAACGTGCTTCTTAAGTAACACAGGACGAAAGCTTTCGCCAAAGACCTCCCGATGTGCCGGCAAGCTCTGCGAAGTAGGGTTTCTGCCCAGCCAGGTTGCAATGTCTTCCGAATTCGGAACCGTCGCGGATAGTGCCACAAACCTGATACCCGAACTCACCGATTTCATACGTGAGACCACAGCCTCCAAGATTGCACCGCGACTTTCCCTGAGAATATGGACCTCGTCGACGAGGAATAGCTTCACCCGTTGCATCAACTTGGCGTGGTCTTTCCACTTTCGAGTAACACTGTCCCATTTCTCTGGAGTCGTGAGGATAATGTGGGCACTCTGTACGTTCTGCAAGTGGCTGGAGTCCGTGTCACCTGTGAGCTCGGCGCACTGCAGGTTGAGCACACCGAATTTTACGTGCCAGTCTCGATACCTCTCGGAACAAAGTGACTTTGTGGGAGCCTGGTAGACTATCTTGAAGTCCTTCCCTCGAAATTCAGCCATGAGCCTGCAAATGGCAAGCTCCATGACGACTGTTTTGCCGCTTCCTGTTGGGGCTGACACGATCATATTGTCATCAGTTTCGAAGGCAATAGCGAAGCACTTGGACTGAATGGCGTTGAAAACATCAAACTTGAACACCGAGCGAAGTTTATCAGGTAGTGCTGTGGCTGGAACAAGTTGGATACCCTGGATGACAGGGGGCGCGGGACCTAGAGACACTTTTGACCTTGCTTTGTAGACGGACATGCTTGTCTCCGGGTTTGGGGTATTTCCAGCGTAGGTTCTTGCAGAACTTGGCTGCCTCGCTACGCGGCGTGGCTCACTCACTAGGTTTCTTCTTCCTGTGCGGTGAGTGGCCAAGGCAGATATGGTCGGGCTCGTTGTTGGCTGCGCAGGTGAAGAGCTAGAGAACTGGGACACGGAGGAAAGGTCAAGGCCATCTGTGTCAAGCATGAGCTTCGAATAATGCAGTCAGACCCTTCACAATACCGGCCGGGTGCAGTTGTGTTGCGCTGGCAGTCAAAGGAGTATATGGCTTTGATGGCAGAGATGATACTCTTGTGACTGCCTCCTGAAACCAGCCAGGTGCTTGTAAGTTTTCCTCAAGGAGGTCTCTGTCTGAATGAACAGTAAGCAACCAAGCCTGTAGGAGTAGTCTTATCTCTCACCGAAATCGTCCAGTGGAACATCCATATGCGGGCCAGACGATGGATCGAAGAGGTGTTCGTTCAAAGGAGGAGCATGTAGGTATCGTGGGAAGTATCTTCGAGCAGCTTCAGGAGGACGGTTGGTGTTGAATTCGAGCACTTGTGGTCTCGAAGTTGTGCTTGGGTCACGGCTAGACGCAGCAAGAGAATCTCGCCTGAGAGTCGAAAAAAGGCGCCTGGCGTTCTCCATGACAAGCATGGGCCAGAAGCAAACGCAGTGGTAGTGCAACAGGCGACAAGGAGCACCGATCACGGGGAGGGAAAGGTGTCAAGCAACAACATTCGCAATCAGACTGAAAAATCAATGCAGGCAGCCGACACGGGAGTGACGATGTCAAGGCAAAATGAGGCAGGCGCGTCGATATTGGAATCTCCACGTGACTCGCGGCCCCCTTTTCATTAAATCCTCACCCAATGTGCCGCCCATTATCTTCGTACCCTACCTAAGGACACCGGCCGGGCGCCAATTCTCTTTGAGCTATTCAAGGAGAAGCCTCCAGGCCAGCTGAGTCTGCTCGACCCAAGGACGCCAGTCTAACTTTCCGGGAAGCTGTATCTTTTCCTCAGCCATATCCTTAGGTCCACACTTCCATATCCAATCGTAAGCCATCGTTTACTCAAGTCGTCCGTCACTCATGTTGCTTTATGAAATAGCCCACGGACTCGTTCTTCCGTTTCTTGTGACTTGGAGAGCCCGGTCGCGATGTGGCAACCGCTGTCTCGCCGTGGCCTAGGGGCGTTTTGGGAATTTGAATAGACATGTCGTTCGCTTCCGTTGCACCATTATGAAATGTCTTCTCATCGGTGTATATCTTGATTGCAGGGGTTTGTTGAGCACGGGCTTCTTCGGTGTTGTACAGCCATGTCGCCACCAGGACGACAGACGCCCCGACAAGAAACTAACACCCATTAGCATGTTTCGACGGACGCGGCATGCGAATGCAAATACATGTCTTGTTATGGAAAAATCGAAGAACACAAAACTTGCTAGGCTGCTCAGTACCATACTGATGCTGACCGCAAAGTTTTTCGATATGTTATCTGCATAGAAAATGCAGAATGCTGCAAGAATGGCGCCAAAGGTTTGGACGATAATTGACAAAACGACAATCCAGTTATACCCGGCAAAGAAGCCATACTTGGCTAGGGTTTCGCCGTCAAGGAATATGACCCCGATGAAAAATGCCGGAAAGAGAGAATAAGTCGATAACTGCACGTTTCGGATCCAAAGAGATGTGACCTTGGGGGACTCTTTGATGACTTTCTCAAAATAGACACCTGCAAGCCCCGAGAAGATGCACACGCCGAGGACCGCGAGAATTCCTGCCGACGCATCCAATGGAGGGGTGTCTAGGGCTAATTCGTCTTCCGCGATGCCTTCATATGTAGCCGATCTCTTTCTGAGGTGAGAACCAGAATCCGCCATCCCGAAGTGCTCGCGTAAGGCATTGGCCGAGCGGGGGACGTGGACTCGAGCATGGTGGCTCGACACCAGAGAGGAAGCGGAGCCTTGGGGCAATGAGACGATCGCAACGCCGACCATGAGTAGGACCAGGGATATCCATTGCCGGGCAGATATCCTGCTCCGCAGGAGCACAACGCTGAAGATGGCTGTGACGAAGATCTTGAATTGATACACGACGTGGAAAGTGGCAGCGTCGAGGTTGGAGATGCCGACATACTGCAGGCTATTCGACAAAGTGTACAGACCAGCCGGAACAGCCATTTTCCAGCTATCTCCAGAGAAGATAGCATTTGCCAATGCGCCGAGAAGAGAGGTTGCGGGCATGGATCGAGGGGCCGTGAGAGAAATCTCGTATAAGGATATGGTCAGAGATACCATTAGTTTGACTAGTTCGACAAGGAAGATGGCTGTCGAGGGAAGGTATCGGTGTCCGTCCGGTGCCGGCATCACGCGAGAGTAATGAAGTATCTGCAGCAGGCAGTTAGTCTCATGGATTCCGAGACGTAGGTTCCGAGAGTGCGTACAAGAATGAAGGCCGAAAATTGAATTGTCAACTGCCATATTCGTCAGCGGTTCATCCGCAAAGTTATGCTGCGTCTCCTTACAAGACCCAAAGTCAGGCTCCGTAACGAGATGCCCATGAACCTGGGCGGAAAGCCCATGCGCTCTGCTCCCATCTTGCTGTTCGCGGTATCAATGAACCAAGAATGTTATGAAATGTTTGCGGGTATCGTCGGCGAGGGACAGACACTGCGCCAGGCAGGGCAGTCCGTCATGCGGGAGGAGGCGACGAATTTGTCAAAGGAATGGACAGGTTCTTTGCGAGGAGGAATAACAGTGTCCTTCGAGCACGTCGAACCGTGGAGGCGTAGCAGACCCGAAGCTCAACAGCGATTGAGAGGTCACCGGACACCGCAACAGGGAACGGCGAGGGCATGACCCCGTATCGAAAAGCAGGCACTGGACTCGATCGTGAGTCGTGGCGCGTCGACAGGGGAAGTGCAACTAGTCCACCATTCAGATGACTCGGTTGGCAGTCCCACGACTGCTCTCGCGACTTGGCCCTGCGTCATGGCGTCCGCCTCAACAATCATCGTACATTCGGATATACCGTGACACCGAACGGTCTTTGCTCCACGCCAGAGGATGACAAGGTGAACACGGCATAAGAGTTGCAGACCAACTGAGAACGACTCATTTCGCAATTTTCCATTACACCCCAGCGCGTGCCGTGCATGCGAATTACAATATTTACATCTCCTTCCTCCCTGCCTCGGTTCGTAAGTACGGTGTACTCCCGCAATTATCACTGACGAGTCTGAGCCATCAAGCACAAGCAGGTCCAGAGTCCCCATGCCGCCCGATCCATCTGATCCATCTGAATGAAAGGTTGGTATGATACAGTCCAAAATCCCCGCATCATCATCGTCATGGGACCCGATCTTGGGGAATTCCAAAAGTGATAGTAATATACAACGACACTTCCAAGGCCATCCCTACAGCCGCCATCATGTACTCTCAACAAAAGGAGAAAGGAACACATTAAACAGTCCAAAATCCTTCCGGTGCCAGGTCGTGTTAATCTGCCGCTGCTGCCGCCGCCGCCAGTCTTGACTTGGCTTCCCATCCATGATAGGGGAAGTCGATAAAATCCTGAGACGAGATCTCCTCCCTCTTTGGCATGGTCTGAAGCTTCTCTAGATTCGACAGATATCTAGTCTCTCGTCGGCTGCAGGAGCCATCTCTGGAGTCGCTAGTCGATGTGGAAAAGAACGTCGCACGACTCATGCGATGGACGCTCCGCGAGTGTGCCAGCAACATGGGCGAAGTCATGCCTAGCGATAGAGACCTTTCGGTCTCAGGATCCAAAGAGGTATCTGTTTGAAAACTGGTAAACGAAAATCGTACGCTCGGGTCGTTTGACATGCCAGTCTGGAAAGTCGTGAAGGAGTCTCGGTCGAAGTTTGCAGAAGAGATGGACGGCGCAACATCCACCTTTCTTGTCGGAGCCAGAGCCGAGATTTCCTGTCCAACTGGACTCCTTGTCGTTTGATAGTGCCGTCCTGGTCTCCTCTGCTCCTGGTCGCCGACAATCTGCTTTTGGCGACTGGCTGAGCTGCCGTTCGACTTGCTGGAAGCCAGTTTCCTCAACCTCATAGCGGCCAAAAGAGACTCCTCCTGCCGAGTGACACTGATGAGCCTCCTGCTCTCTATGCTGGCAGTATCAGATCGAAAAGAGCCCTGGAAAGATGTACGGTGTGAACAAGGTGGGTCAGTAGGTGTTGCGGGAAATGAAGTGAGTAAGTCATTATCTTCCACTGCTGGTTCCGACGATCGATCGCTGAAATATGTCAGTCGTTGGCCATTTACCGTACTGTGTCGGTTCATGGACGGTCGTGCGTGGCGCCTCGCTTGACTGCCGTACACTCGCCGTAAACTGGGCGTCGCCTGCACCGAAGAGGTCTGTTTCGTGTCAATGGCCTGAGCCGTCCCGATCTCGATTTCGGACTCCATGAGTGACTCCACAGCTATACTGTCGCGCAACTGAGGCAAGGGCCTCTCGGTAGGATGGGGCCTGGCAGGTTGAGGTTCATCATCCTCCGATGAAGACAGGTCAAGAACACTGGTCTGGTGAAGATCGGTCGAAGCCAGCGAGCTTGGCTTTGGCTTTGACGGCGGCAGAGAAACCTGGTGCAAAGCATTGCGACGGATGGTTGGCCTGGATGACTTCGCATTGAGAGTTGAGGTCCGGGGGGGAATTGCTGAACTAGGAAGCGCATGGCGGGGAGCAGACGCTTTCAAAGGCATAGACCCTGCACCCTGACCCGAATTCTCTGACATGGAGGGAGCCTTCTGGCTCGAGTCCTCTGACACAGGCCCTATCTTGCCGTCTTCGAAGGCCATCTCCATCCCGACAACAAAGCTCGGCTGTAGTTCCGGCTCGTGAATGCTCTCGTCTTCACTGCTGTCACCCTCCAGTCCATCGAACCAATGCTTCACCCCAACTTTCGGTCGCCTAATGTTGACTTTAACCTGGGATGTTTCGGCTCGACTAGCCGCAGAGTCCATTGACGGCCCCAACTTGTTGGCCCTCGTCTGACTCCGTGGAGGGGATAGGACTGGATTACGGGCCATGGCGGGGGGTAAGGACTTGACTACAGGGGAGGTCGGGCCCTGTTCAGACGGGGTTAACGACCGCTGACTGCCAAATAACGTCCGAGCCGGCGAAACTGGTGACCGAGGGCCTTGTTGAGTGATCTTCCTCAACTCCGGCTTATCTCGATTCTTCGACGACCTGAACAGCCGCAGTTGACGTAGCGAATCTTGATCAGGAGTCGTGGATTGGACAACAACGGGCAACCCTTTACGAAGGGCAAAGTCACGCCTGGATGAGTCTGAGGTCTGCTGTGAGATGGAGAGTGGTGTCTTCTGGGCGTCGTAGTGCGAGTGCAGTGTGGAGGAGGAGCCCGAAGCTTTGAGCCGAGCAGACCGGATCGAACGTGCACCATCCGCAGCGAAACGGTAGTCTTCATGCAACAGCACGGAGGATGCCTTCAGATGCAGATCTCGATGAGGCTCCGGATTGTCTATTGGCGCAGTAACAGACCCGAACTCTGTCGTGGCATCTGAAAGGGAGAGCCTAGGCACTCTTGCTGTGGTCGAAGAGCTTATGCTCTCGTTTCGGGCTGTGTTGAGAGCAGACCCTGTGATCCCAAGTATATGTTGTGCCTTAGATTCCTTTCCATCTGACGGCCTGTTCTGTGGCTGAGGACGTGACTTTTCTCGCCTGAAAGTACTAGGCAAACGAAATTTTTGACTGGTCCCCATATCGACTTCTTTTGCAAAGGGTATCAAAGAGTGCACTTCAAATCGTGTGCATGCCGAGGTAGTCGAACAGTCAGACTGTAGCTCCGGATGGTACCACAGACAAGTCTTCACGAAAGCATTGTTCGTTTGACCGTCAACATCAAATCTTCTTGTGTATTTTCGGCCCGTTTATCCCATCAGCCCTTTTCGCTGCCACAGTAACAAAGCGAGTTGGACCAGGCGGTGAGGATCTGGAGGACGACGATCGGCTGATGGCGAGACACTCGAAATCTAGTGGATTTGTCGGTCTGGAGATGCGACGATTCTCGTGGAAGATCTGGCCGTAGCATTGGATAGAGGGGCAAACAAACACGCAGGAGGGCAGCAGTCCCTTTGATCAGAAGAGACCCGGCATTGGCAGCGGCCGCAAGATGATGTGCACTGCGGACTTCCATGAATGGAACGGTACCGGCGATGGGAGTTCGGAGGCCTGAAGGAGATGGACCGTTGGGGCTCCCAAGACATTCGGCAACGCTGACGAACGATGATGGGACCGATGGGGGAGCGAACAAGTAATGGTCGCGACCTAGCATCAATATGGCGCCGACTATGTAATCGCACCGTTATAGTAGCTGTAGTAGTATCAGGCTCTGTGGTGATCGTAAACACTAGGCTCAGTAGTAGGCTGGCACCCGTTGGCTTTTGGCGCAGTGTGGGTATAAACGGTGGGTTGGTGGTCTCTCGATGGAGGAGGGAAGAGCCAGCAGATGGAGACCATGTGATTGTCCGCCGACCACTCGCTCGGTCGCTTCAAATGCCCGAGGCGCCTTTTGGGAATAGTGAAGGTCTAGGGGTCTGTAGACTCCAGACTCAGAGAGTGTGAGACCCAGAGCCTAGGTGCTCAACGCAGGATTCAAGATTGTCCCAAGCATTATGGAGTCATCATTTGTCGCGCCGAACGGGGGATACGGGCCACTCTATGCTTGCGCCGGCCGTCGGCATGATGTAGAAGGAAACAGGGATTGTGCTGGGCCCTGGCAGTCTTGATGATTTCGGTCTTGTAGTGCGTACTCCGTCCACCTGGTCGACTTTGGAGACTACCGTAGATACCGCCGAACAGTTTACCGTACCCGTCCTCCGTACCTTAGGCACTCTGGACGCCATCTCGTATTGAAGTCACCTTAGATACAGGGTATATCAGGTACCTACACACCCCGGTAATAAATAGTAAGAGGCAAGGAGACCACAGCTGGCATCGCCTTGCTTGGGTGCTCAGTAGGGCAGCCGTCTGACCAGTTTCCAAGCCTCCTGAGTCCTCCTTAGCCCTCAGTCCTTAGCCTCAATCCTTAGCCCATCCCACACTGGCGCCAGGATATTCAGGGGGCACCAACATGACGATCATTGCCCCCATATAGAAGTGTGTGGAGTGGAAAGCGTCGAGTGGAGGTGTTCGCGAGATTTCATGTCACGCATGCTTATCGAGGCACTCGGCACTCGAGTATGGAGCACACAATTTGATCTCTAAGGTGTCCACCCATCGCGAAGGTGTCCGCCACAATATCGGACTGAAAACGTCAAGGCTGAGGGTGCTGTAGAGTACCACGCATTCTAGCTCGGTCCAGCCGAAACGCAGTCCATAGGCCATCATGGTTCAGACTACTTCGCTTACTGCTATCCCGGATCTGATGATACTGCAGATAGACGGAGCACTGAAAGTATCTTGAGCATGTCTACCACGGTCTCAGTGACAGTATCTGATACCGTGCTCTTTGAGGACATCTCACACTATGCCTCGCAGTACCTCGTCTTCTCCGTTCCACTCAAAGCTGTTCCTGTCTTTCGACAAGGATATTCTCTTTCTCGAAGGGGAGGACAGAGAGGCCACCGCCATGCCAGCCGCCGTCCCCTAGGACGGTCTACTGTATGCTCAGTCGCCCGTGGCCGTGGAGCTGACTCGACTGAAATCGCTGCTGCAGGTCACATCCTCGACAACCTGGAGCGATGATTCGTCCAAGCTCACGCTTCCTACTGACGGTGAGCGGTCCACATTGACCAACAGCCGGGAAATGCTGGCTTTGCGGCGGCGCACCGGTGTTGCCGGAGGAAAGTTTACTGCGGCAGGTTTGGTGTTTGAGGGACCCTTGACTTCAAAATAGCCCCATCGAGCCACGGGCTCGCCAAATTGATCGAAGTAGGTGATCTTCCCACAGCCTTGGGCTCTGGTGAAATCTTGGCCTCTAGCATACTTCTCCATGGCACGCGCGATATGGTAGGTACGCTGCTGTAGATCTTGGGCATCAGCGTCTGGGTCGTAGAGGTGGCCGATGTGAGCGAATGGGTGCCGGTACTTGCGCTCGAGTTCCCGCAGGTTCGACTTGTCGAGGTGACAGATCTGCAAGTGTTGCCCTTCTTGGAGGAGGACACCGTCTGCCACTAGCTGGCTGACTACTGCATCGAGTACCGGTTTGGTACATTGTAGGGGCTGAAGCATGGTCTGCAACTTTTCTTCGTTCAGGGCATAGCCGGACTGTCTTTGACTTGCTAACTTGCTAACAGCAAATCGCATGGCAATGATGTATGCAGGCAAATGCAGAACGCCTTCGTCAGCGGGAAAAAGGAGACAAGTATAGCAGAATCGCTCGGTTGGCGGGTCGAGTGAAGAAGTTTCATCATAGCCATAGCACTGCGCATGCTGCCAGTTGCCACAGACTTCACAGTAGGCCTGGACGAGATTAGGGAGAAGTCATGCATACATCGTAATTGGAGTGCTCACCAGCTGACCGGGCACGACTGCATTACCACACTCACATCTGAGGCGGTTCGATCGATTCCTCCGTCTGATAATCCCATCCGCAAGCAAACCTTGGTCAAAAACATTCCCGTCACCCCCAGAAACTCCACACTGAATAGCGTAGCAATGAACGAGAAGTTCTACCAGCTTGCTGATGCTGAGCCACGGACCATTCCTGCGGCTGGGGCTGGCCTCAGAGACGACAGGATCATCAGCAGCTCCGGCTTGATTGAGCTCCCCTACGGACGTTTCAAGGTCCTCAATCCGGCCTACCTGCTGCTGCCGCTTGCCCTGCCCAACTTGGATCTCGCTGAGCAGACCACTAGGCCCAGTTACCTTCAGACGTTTCCTTCCTGGGACTTGAAAGTCATTTTTTCGTTTGTCAGAGCGGGAATCTTTGAGCGTGGAGACTAGATCAGTGCTCCGGATTGAGGATGTCTTTTGCATTGCCTGTAATTGTCTGCTCATGGCAGCATCTTGGGGGTCAGGTGGCGTGTCTGTGTCTTCCGAGGCTCTTTGGCAAACACCAACGTTGACCTGATAATGTCCTGTGTCCAGCTTTCCCACAATATCTCCGACACCTTGCTCTAAGGCCTCACATATCAACAGGCGATCTGGTTCTTCCGGATCGTCTCTGTCCATGAACCCTGGCGGCTGGTAGATGTTGGGGCACTCGTCATTATAGGTGAGGCTCATGCCTAGCTTCCGGCGTGCTACTAATGTTTAGTATTCCACATCAGAGGAATGCTTGTGCCAAACCTGGGAGACGCGGGAGCTGTTTCAAAGAACGGAGGAGAGCGCGAATAGCGGCCTTGAAACTCTTGTGTAAATGCTCCAGTACGAAGACATGGTTCGTAGGACTGAACTCGACGCTGCTGACCCGACCGCCGTCGTAGGAAAACGTAAAGCAATAGGTTTCAAGGACAGTGGGAGTACTGCCATTGTTGTCGGTCACAAAGACTTGTAGGGTGTTCAAGTAGCCATGTTCTAGTGCTTCGAACACTCCATTTTCCTGTATTTCCGTAAGGTGATGCTTGACAGGCGTCACTGTGCACTCCTTACAAGCATCTCGAGTATCTGATCGGCACGTTTGTGGCCGCCACGCACCAAAATTCTAATCTCTTGCCCGCTTCGAGCGCCTTTGGAATCGAAAGCCTGGAATGTGGTGTACAAGCTTTCATCACTGACCAGGAGAGACGGGTCGATGTGGTCGATGTATCGTGTTTGGAGACACGGAGACATCCATGGGATGAGCTCCCTCGTATGTGCGATACATGCTAGAGAAGCGTTAAGGAAGATCTGAACTAGAGACAAGCTCTCTATCCGTGAGAGGCTCTGCCCGGGAGAAGCAAGAAGCAGATGCTGTTCGGCCATGGTTGCGGTGCACACGTAACAGTAGATGGTTGGGCAAGACGAACAAAGACAAAGGGTAGTGGCCATGTGACCTTAATGAAAGCATAGGTAGCCAGCACAGCTATTTTCTCCTCGCTCACCAGGGCATGCCTTCCGACCTGGGGTTTCTCAGACCGCAGCCAAGCTTGTCTGAATGTGGCCACCTCAGGGACACGAAGCCATGAACGAGACAGATCCGAAAAAGGAAGTGGGACTGGCCTCTCGGCAATATAAGATAATGGATTTGACCTCGACACTGTAGAATGTCCTGGACAAGAGGCACCCACCAGCTACAATATGTAACAGTTCCACGTTGGCCTTGCCATAGACCCGAGCAGAGAGAGGCTCAGCTCTGCTTATATTTAATTTCACCCTCCTCTTATGCTGTCCTGAATCTTCACATCAATTGCTCAAGCGTGCGTCAAGGACTGGACGAAGGACTCTGTTGGCTCGGAGAACGTGCATCTGCAGAGGAATAGCATATCATCGCATCCTCATCTCAGCCGGTTCGGAAAGGAGGACTGCACCAACTACCGAAAGCATCAGCATTTTTTATGACAGTCACACGATCTGATGCCAGAGCACATGCAGTCACAGTCCGTATGTTAATACCTGGGTAATTAGTAGTAGTACCTGAGGTGCTAAATGAGTTGTTGGAAGACTTCAGACTCAATGAACGTCACCGCAGACGACAAAGCGCGCCAAGCAAAGTCATTGCCGCTTGACTGCCAGTGCGGGCCCAGCACTGGGCGTGCATGCCAGTGTTAGTCCCTTTCCGCCCACTCCATGCCACTCTTCGGCATACCAGACGTTCTCGCCTCCTCCATTCTTTGTTGCAATCTTCATTCGACACCATCTTCCCGAAGGTGGACTTGTACGCTGGGTTCTGCTGCTCGGCGTTATGTTGTCCCCTGAAAGCAGTGTTATCCTAGTTTGAACCGTTGTTCTACTACCTTACGGTGGCCGGATATCGACTACCCACGCTTCGAACCGACCGATCCTATTCTCCCTTCTCCGACCCAGGTCAGTATTCTCGACAGGCCGATCTAATCACGAAGACATCGACCGAGCCACTCCATACTTGCTTCCACTGTTGGGGCAGCGAAGCGGTTTTCCGGTCGATTATATACGGAGGCGACGCGCCTGGCTGCATAAGTCGCTCACTGAAGCCAAATGCGTGTTGACTTCACGCCATCTAAACGCACACGGTGATCACAACGCGTGCAATGGAGGATGAAGAAATGATGGATGCAACTGGTCAAGACTCTCGCCAAAGCCGGCACTCGGTTCCGGGAAATGGACATAGGCCGCACAATCGAGGGTTTCCAGTGTATACTCGAGATGTTGACTCGAATTCCCTGCTGGGACAATTCTCGTTTGCTCCAGCTACGCAGACCACGGTCGTCACGACTACTACTACCACCACGACGAAATTTCCTCCACTTCTTCTACGTCCACCCCGTCGTATGCAAGAACTTGATCTAAAGCAATACCCCCTTGCAGCTACCCCCACGCCTTCATATCTACGGCAGATAAATTTTGAAATAGGAGGAAAGCGAACGGTCTTTCGTGAGGCAGAAGATACTACCGTGGCATTAGAACAGGTATAAGATATCACACGCATGATTGTGTATGTATACTGATCTCGATGCATAGTTGGAAGTCGAACAGCGAACACTTCGAAACGCAAACGGAACAATCCAGACAATTGAAGCATTCGAGCCCTGGACGGAGATACCGGACGATGGCTCAGCTAGCACATTTGTACAGATCCGTGCTCCAAACCGGCCAGCTTCCCCAGAATCTATCCCCGATAATGAAGAACAACCCCCGTTGCCAGCCCCGGCACTTACATCTAGTCGTCCTGGTTCTTCCATGGGACCCGGAGAAAGGATGACGGCAGATGTTCCCCGGCCACACATCCACGACATACAGGGATCGCACCCTGTGACACCAGAGACCCTTAACAGACCTCCCAAAATGAATCGTCGACGCATACCGCTTAGCACCATCAACCCTTCCAGAAGCACAAGCACACTCCTTCCGTCTCCGAGCGTGGATCAGCGGTCGACTTTTCCTAATTCCCGGCCTAGGGCGAGTCCTGAACTAACATCGCTTAACGAAGATGAGCCAAGTAGCTCAGTCAATGGTACAGCTGTCAATAGAATATCGCGGCGTGGTTCTTCGCAAGAGAGCGCCGTCCCTACTCCCCCAATCGACGAAGAGGCTGAGCCGAATCCAGTGAGGCCCCTGAGCAGACGAGCATTGTCGTCCGTGCCCTCACGGCTGCACGTTGCCGGAAGCCCATCAGCCCATGATGGCAGCCTTCCTAGTCCGAGCCTTTCTCCCGTGAGGGCTGCCGCCTCGCTGCAACATTCGGGGTATTTTGCAGGCGTGGATACTAATTCTGAGATGGCCTCGCAGCATCAGATAGCATCGAGGGTGCCCATTACTGAAGGACGACAGTCCAACCCTTTTCAATCTTTACAAGTCACCGATACGAAACCTCGAGCCAACTCTCGACAATCGGCTCCGTTCTTGAGCGGATCTGTTACGGACCTCCCCGCCATGCTCGATTATTTTGAGGCCATCCCTGACGAGCTCAAAAGCTACGTTATGCACCAACTACTCCGGCGATGCCCCAAGTCCACACTTCAAATAGTTGCCGATGCCGTCAACCCGGCTTTGAAGTGTGACTTCTTGACAATCCTGCCTCCAGAACTGGCGCTGAACGTGCTCAAATACCTCGACCTCAAGAGCTTGTGTAAAGCCTCGCAGGTGTCCAAAAAGTGGCGTCAGATGATCAACGGCGACGAAAGAGCCTGGAAGGAGCTGTTTGATGCGGACGGATATACTCTCGCCGAAGGCGAATTGCAAAAGGCCATCTCCGAAGGTTGGGGGTGGCAAGATCCCTATGGTCCGTATGGCTATGAAGCGAACCTGAACTACAGCAATGCCCCGAAGTCCGAGACCGAGGCGAACACCTCCCCCTCGACTCCACCTTCACAGAACCGATTCAGTGGAATTCTACGTCGATCCAAGCGTAAAGCGGCCACGATGCTGTCCAGTCGCAATAAGCAAGTAAAACGCAAGAGTTTGTCACGTGACTCGTCACTTGACGTCACATCGGTCGACTGGATGCAACGCGTGTCCACGGCTGAAGGCCCTTATAATGCGGCTAATGCAGCAATGCTGGCAGTGCCGCATCCAAGTGTCAGCTTACCGAGTCTGAAAGGCCTCCACCTCTACAAATCTCTGTACCGCAGGCATCATCTCATCCGGAGAAACTGGATGTTTGAAGACACAAAGCCCCAGCATCTTGCTTTCCGTGCGCATGACACGCACGTTGTCACCTGTCTTCAATTCGACAACGACAAGATCTTGACGGGCAGCGATGATAACAACATCAACGTCTACGAGACCCGGACTGGCATCCTCAGGGCAATACTGACGGGCCACGAAGGCGGGGTTTGGGCCCTGCAGTATGAAGGGAACACACTTGTTTCCGGCTCGACCGACCGGTCGGTTCGTGTGTGGAACATCCAAGACGCGCGTGAGACTCAGGTTTTCCGTGGACACACATCAACCGTGCGGTGCCTGCAAATCGTCACGCCGGTCAAGGTCGGCGAGAATGCGGAGGGGAAGCCCATCATGATGCCTAAGCAGCCCCTCATTATAACCGGCTCCCGCGACTCGACGCTCCGTGTATGGAAACTTCCACGGCCCGGAGATCCAGAATTCATCCAGGCTGAGAACGACAATGACGCCGATAACTGTCCTTATTTTGTGCGGACACTGACTGGCCATCAGCACTCGGTGCGAGCAATAGCCGCCCATGCAGATACTTTGGTCAGTGGCAGCTACGACTGCACCGTCCGCGTCTGGAAGATCTCCACGGGCGAGACGATCCACCGTCTCCAGGGCCACACACAAAAAGTCTATAGCGTTGTCCTCGACCATGCTCGCAACCGCTGCATAAGTGGATCCATGGACTATATGGTGCGTATCTGGGATCTCAATACAGGCTCCCTGAAGTACACCTTGGAAGGCCACACCTCTCTAGTAGGTTTGCTAGACTTGAATTGCGACAAGCTTGTTTCCGCTGCCGCCGACTCAACCTTAAGGATCTGGGATCCCGAGAATGGCCAGTGCAAAGCCACGCTGAGTGCACATACAGGCGCCATCACCTGCTTCAAGCACGATGGGCAAAAGGTCATCTCGGGATCAGACAGAACCCTCAAATTGTGGAATATCAGAACTGGCGAATGTATCAAAGACCTGCTTTCGGACCTGAGTGGGGTCTGGCAGGTCAAGTTTGATGAACGCCGCTGCGTTGCTGCTGTACAGCGAGATGGATTGACGTACATAGAGGTAAGCCCCGACCTTTCCGCACTCTTTGGCCCTGTATCTTTCCGCTAACTTGATAAATAGGTGCTTGATTACGGCGCTGCTCGCGATGGCGTACCCGAACACAATCTGGGCCGCAGGATCATCGTTGATGCCGACGGCTTCGAGGCCGAAGCCAATAACGATGATGGCGACATCCTGGAGTTGGACGACCGCACAGATGTGTGATTGGAAGAAGTTTTGATGACATGCTTTTAGGATGGCACGATGGACATGCAAACGATTTCAGAAGATACCCTAGGCACCATACCATGCCTCGATGGAACATGGAACGGTTAAGCATACTCGCGATGGGACCTATGTGGGGGTTTTTGCCCTTTATGACGCTTTACGATCGAAGACTCGAAGAAACATCGAGTCGCAGTTTGCTGGGCACCTGGGATGAATCTGCCTTCAGGATTGTTCCTTGCACTGGCGTTCGAGGACCGGAGGTGCCGGGAGTTTATGGTTTCTTTGGTCGCGGTCAATCTCGGTGCTATCCTCTGATGCGCATGCCTCTACCTACCATCGGCACCGCCTGACTGGGCCGCTTGACGTTGCTCTAATGCTCATGGTAGATATTTGTCTTTGGTGGACATGCAGGGAAGGGTTCGGCTGAACTGAACGAACACATAGTGTGGATGAGCAAGACATACATATTTTGCATTCCTCTAGTATTTTCAATTGGGTCCTCTTGCGACTAGAATGTAGAAAAATGCATGCGTAGTGTGCATAGGTGCGAGAGCAGGCGGATGTTGTTATATGTGCATTATGCCCGTGTGTGTACAGTGTATCCGTACGACATAAGGTGGTGAGTGATATCCTCGTCGAAGGTTCCAAGGCTGACGGTGTGATTGGTTCCGGCCAAACGCCTTCGTGTTTCGACTTTGCGCCTCCTCGGTCTGAAACAGCGCCATGGACCAGGACTTTTTCGATTGGGACGCTCTAAATCATGACTAGGATGTGAGCTGCTTGCTCCTGATCCTGCTTCTGTTTTTGCTTTTGTTTTCCCAGCGTAACCCGTCGCAGGACGATTGACGAGACCTTTTGGATTGGATATTCGTCGCATCGTCTCGTTCCCCAGGCCTGGCAGGACTCGAACCCTTCGGCACGGCAGAGATGGCATCTAAACCGTCACAGTCAGCGTCACCGTCACCGTCAGCGTTTCTCAAGCCAAAGGCATGGTACCGCCACGTCACGCTGGACGTTCTGCTCCTGATCCTAGCGAACTCAGTCTTCCACCCGTGGATCAGTCTTGTCTTCTACCTCTGCCTGGCGTCGATCCACAAGCACCGCGAACCGCTCGCCCACTACACGCTGTACTACACGGCGGCGCTGGCGGTGGTGGAGATCCTGGGCTGGATCAACCACCGCATCAGCTACGGCCGCCACCGCCGGGTGGAGTGGGAGAGCGAGGTGGCCATCATCACGGGCGGCGGCTCCGGCCTGGGCAGGGTGCTGGCGCAGCTGTTGTTGAGGAAAGGGGCCAAGGTGGCCGTGCTGGATGTCAAGGGGCCCGATCCCGAGGCTGAAGACGAGATGGAACGCTGGGATCTGCTCTGGGAGACGGTCGACCTGCGTCGTCGGGACCATGTCGCCCTAGCCCTAGACAGGATCGTCGATCAGGTACGTACGAAATTTCCGGTCTGGTCTGTTGGTGTCACTCGTTCTTTTCTCTTCTCTCCTAACCCTAGCCCTAACCCTTTCTCCATTCTCCCTTCTGGCTTTGGCTTGCATGTGATGTGTGTGATATGGCTTTGCTCGCTCCTCCATCCACTTGGCCGAGCATTCTCCTGGCGTATGTACTCTCCGGGGGGGTATGTACAGCTTCTACGCCGTGGAGAGATGGTTCCTACTTTTACGAGCGCAATGGGCATGGACTTCTTGTTTGGGAACGTGGCATTAACCTGTCCTACGTACGACTTAGCTCGGGTCTCCTACGATTCTGGTCAATAATGCCGCCACCGCCATTGCTGGCCTCCCTCTGTTGCCGTTGTCTGGAAAGCTACCGTCTCTTTCCCCAGAGCAGGTCAGCAACACGCTGACGGTCAATGCCGTGTCGCCCGTCAACACTCTCTCATTGCTGCTTCCTCGCCTCACTGCCTCTCCCAAGGGCGCGCATATTGTCACCATCTCGTCCATCCTCTCTCATCTCGCGCCCGCCCGCTTGGCAGATTATACCATGTCGAAAGCCGCCGCCTCGTCTCTCCACCAGACGCTCTGCCATGAACTTCGCAATCACCCGGACCCTTCTGTCTTTGCCAGAGTAAAGACTCTCCTCGTCGAGACTGGGCAGCTCGACACCCAGCTGTTCGCTAACAAGACGTCCCTCCCATTCTATGCGAATTTCTTCGCTCCGGTGCTAGAGGCAAAGGACGTGGCCAAAGAGATTGTGCGCACCATAGAGAGAGGAGATGGCGGTGTAATAAGGTCGCCGTTTTATGCAAAGTGTGTGCCTTTCTATAGCGTCTTACCAGGCACTCTGCAACTGTTGTTACGCCGGTTCAGTGGGATCGACACGGCGATTGGTGAGAGATCTGACAGGTTCTGAAGACCAAGACCAAATTGATATTTCTTTCTGGCCGGGATGTCGTATGGTATGCTGTGGATTTCGATACTGTTGAACAGAATGTACCACCGTGATGTTGATGGAAGCCCGTAGTCGAGCTCTTTCTCTAACGATATCTTATGAACCCTCATCCGCAGCTAGAGTCTCGTCAGAACAAGTTGAAAACGAGCCATCCCAACTTGGCGACTTTGGACTCTTTCAGTCATCCTCAAGGATCGTGATACCGGTTTCCTTGACCACCTCCGCAACACCGAAATCACTACCCTGTTCGTCGCCGGGGCTACCTCGTCTCGGAATTTCCAGGCCACCAGGCCTCTTTTTGACGTTGTTAGTCTCGCCATTTGAGCCGCCGTTTGTTGCAACCGGCTCCGTTGCTCGGTCTTGGTCTTTATCTTTCGCACCTCCCTTCTTCGCTTTCTTTCTATTTCGCTTCTCGCGATTCTTCTTGGTCTTCTCCTCGTCCCTCTTCCTCCTCTCTTCTTCCTCTCGTGCCCATCTCTCGTTCTCCTCTTCCTTCTTGGCTTCCTCATCCATGGTCCGCAAGCGCTCGTACTCTCGCCTCCGACTGGCTTTGTAGACGTGGAATTCGCCCGAGCCGGCGCCGGCAGAGGAACCCTGCACATTTGCGACGATCTCTGGCGGCGCAGGCAGCGAAGACTTCTTTTCACTTGACGGCGGAGGGAGGCTCACGGGTCTGCTAGGGTCGAGGAACAGGGATTCTATTTCATTTGCTTGTGCCGACAAGGGGGTGTTGGCGCCGCGAGCTCGTTTGATGGGTCGGCGAGAGCGAGGGTCCGCGGACGTGGGTATGGACTCGGGAATTGGTTCGGACATGGTTGAAGCTTGTTGAGGATAAAGGTGAGTTCGAGGGACGACTTCTAAGATAGCCCTGGTACCTGGTACGTGCAAGGCACTGCACGGCCTTTGGGACTCAGGAAAATTGTGTTGCTGTTGCGATCAACTCCGACGATGGCTGCAGAGAAAAGTCGAGAGCGCGGCAGGCTGAGCCTCAGCATGACTTCATCGGGCATGGGCATGCGGCCGGGGGATCATGCTCCACCGTAGTAGAATGATGCATGGTACGGTGCTTCATACTGCTCAACCGCAGTTTGATATGTTTGTTGTTTGTCCTGGCAGCCTTTGGTGCTTGGTGCTTGGTACCTACTACTACTCCTACCATACACAGTACTCATCTATTCTGGTCAGCCTGACGTATGGGGCCTACACCATCTCAGCCATGCTGTGGTGAGACAAGTGCTTGGTGATACGGATACGGACACGGATACGGATACCTTCACACATTGCTAATGCCTGGTAATGCCATGGCCTTGCGCTACGGCTCTGTGCCGAGGCTGCAATCCTCTGTCTTTGACCGGCTTCTGAGGGGTAAGACAAGACAACCGCCCGATAGGGACAGCCCAGATTCTGTTATTGCTACTCTGTACTGTGTTCCCGTGTTTCATCCTCTTTCCTCTTCCCCGAGTCTGCACCTGCGAGACTGATACTTAGGATGCAGTCATTCGGGCAGCACAAATAGAACAAGACAAATCCGACCGAATCCACCATGGCGTCCTCTAGCAAGTATCCTTACACAGACGTCATCTTCGGGGTCAAGGGGAAGATAGGGATCATAAAGGTGCGCCCGACGGACACTTTGCGTGGAAAATACAGCCCGGGTGTTCTGACCATATCCAGCTCAATCGACCTAGGTCGCTCAATGCTTTCGGCGGCACTCTGCTTCCCGAACTGGCCTCGGCAATCCGAGAGCTGAATGAGCATCCAGATACCGTTTTCACAGTGCTCACCGGTGAGGGCAGGTTCTTCTCTTCCGGTGCCGATGTGAAGGGTGAGTACAGGCGTGTGCAGATCTGGCTGTGGGGTTGAAGGAATGAATGATGATATGGATGTTTCGACATTTATCCGGGCACTGGGGAATGAAGCTGACTATCTCCCTATTTCCAGCCAGAAATGCGCAAAACCAAAGAGAAGAATTCCCCAATCCCACAGCGAAGAAACTCAACTTCATGGCAAGTCAGACGACGAGTAAGACACCCCTCTCCAGCCATGGCTTGTCCTTGCTGGTTGCTGTGTCGAGTAGGCAATTGACGGCTGCATCCCAGCTTCGGCCGTCGAGATCCTCCGCTCCTTGATCGACCACAAAAAGGTTCTAGTGCTAGCCCTCAACGGCCCCGCCGTGGGTGGCGGTGCTGCCTGGTTTACGGGCGTCGCAGACATTGTCCTGGCAGCTGAACGCGCATACCTCCAGGTCCCGTTTAGCGAGCTCGCGCTGGTCCCTGAATTCGGCTCGGCAACCTCGTTCGCGCAGTCTATAGGTGTTCATCGTGCCAACGACTTCCTGCTATTCGGCCGCAAATTGACCGTCGAGGAGCTCGAGCAGTGGGGTCTGGTCAACCGGATTTTCCCAAGTGAAGGGTTTCACGACCAAGTCATTGAGTTCCTGGAGGGACAACTCGCCGTCAATGATGGGAAGAGCATGATGGAGGCCAAAAGGTTACAGAACATCCCACTGCGCAAGGACCGGTTGTTGGCCGTGTACGACGCGGCGGATGCATTGGCGGAGAGAGTGATGGAAGGGGCGCCAGACGAGCGATTTGCGGCGAAAAATAGGGAGTTACACCGTGAGTATACCGCGACACTCGAGGATGTCTTGCCATCTCCAGTTTCCCTACAAGTTTATCAATATCTCAGATGGCTGACCACGACGGACTAGTGAAATCGGGGTCCCGTTCAAAATTGTGAAAATCATCAGAAGGCTTTGGCAGGACTGGGAGGTCGCAGGCGAGCATCCAGACGACTATATACTGTTTATGGCCGTGGCGCCACCATACTAGAATATCAATCGTGATTCTCAAGCTGGTATAGGGCTCATTTTGACACATTGACATATTTCCAGATGGCTTAGATACACCATACACCATACACCATACACCATACACCATACACCATACACCATACACCATACACCCTACACCCTACAGCCACCCATTCTCTCACTCGGTGGGGCCTACCGTAACGGCTAGCCAGGGTGCCTAGGTAAGTACATGTAGTGGGTAGCCCTTCCCTTGTCCATGAGCGGATAAGAATCCGAACTTGATCGTCGTGTCGGAATAGGATCTACCCTTGCCTTGATGATTGCTCTATAAAGTCACGAATACATTCGCTAAGTCCCCATGGGGTTGGTATCTGCCATGGATGACAAAATACCTAGGTAAGGTAGATATCTGCCATGCCTCGTCTCGGGGTTTCGGTGCGCTACTGCAGGCCTACCTACCACCTACCTACCATATAAAGTGTCCTCCGCATTGAGTTTCCGCTGGCAGTTCCTATAGACGGTACGTACGTCACCACAGCAGGGTTTTGCCTTTCAACCCCATGCAGAGGGGACGATAACGGGCTGATATCAGAACCAAATCAGATGAGATCAGATTACAGTGTGGCGTTGCGGGGGGGAAGATAGACTGCAGAAGGGTAAGGGTAAGGGTAAGCATGAGGATTAGGTCCTCTCTGGGATCACTATCACTGTCACCGCCAGTCCTCCATCCTATTCCTCAGCCTATTCCTTGGCCTTCGCCTTCGCCTTCTCCTTCTCTGAGAGATCATCGGGTATTTCTCTTTCCGGCAACCATGGATGACGAACATGTGAAACAGCTCCCGACCAGCCATATCGAGGAATCTCCCCATGATGCTCGCGCACTCATCACATTCGAGGGCCTCTCCGCCGAGGAGGAGCAGACGCTGGAGAAACGACGTGAGTGCAAAGTCGACGTCGACATGCCCACCCGTGGCCTCAGGTTGTGTCGTTTTGCTGGTGCTGATGACATGCGATGGCATACATCACATAGTGGTGCGGAAGATTGACCTGCACTTGATCTCGTCCCTTTTCCTGTTGTTCATCTTCAACATCTTGGACCGAACCAACATTGCCAGTGCCCGGCTTGGTGGGATGCAGACCGATTTGGGTCTCAGTGATACCCAGTACCAGACCACCGTCGCCATCATGGTGGGTGTTTCGTTCTGTGTTCTGGACTTGCCGTTCCTATTCTCCATACTTGCCATTCCCATTCTCCATACTTGCCATTCCCATTCTCTATACTGACATGGACATGTTTGCTGCTCAGTTCGTCGGCTATCTGCTCGGACAGGTGCCCAGCAACATTGTGCTCACTCGAGTGAGACCTTCACGCTATCTCCCTCTCGCCATTTTCATCTGGGGCTCCATCTCCATGTGTGCGGCGGCCACCCAGAACTTTGCCGGAATCATGACTGTGCGGATCTTGTTGGGATTTGCAGAGTCGCCGTTCTTTTCCGGGGCGGTGTAAGACCATGACTGATTCCTGATCCTGATTCCTGATTCCCCCCTCCAGCTACTGCTTCTACCACATAGATTGATAGACTGCAGTATTACTGACACCTTATATGTGGTGATCATGTAGTCTCTTGATCAGTTCGTGGTATAAGCCTGCCGAGATGCCCCTCAGAGTGGCTCTCATGTACTGTGGAAGTACCATTGCCAATGGATTCGGGGGTCTCCTCGCGGCCGGTGTGCTGAGTGGCTTGGATGGAGCCGGCGGTCTCCAGGGATGGAGGTGAGGACTAATGGGACGTTCCCTTTCCTCCTCCTTCTCCTCCTCCTCAGACGCTGACCATACCCCTGCTCGACTTAGGTGGCTGTTCATCATCGAGGGGGCCGGCACGGTGGTGGCGGGGATTCTTGCCCTCCTCCTCCTCCCGGATTACCCTCGGTCTGGCCAGCGGAAATGGCTGTCTGAGCAGGAACAGCGGTTCGCCGAGTGGCGACTGGCGCGGGCGGCCAACGACGAAATTGACGAGAACGGCTCGATCAAGGCCGCCTTGGTCGATGCAGTCACCGACTACAAAACATGGGTTCTGGTGGTCATTCAAGTGTGTCTGCTGTCGTCTCAGACGTGGACCTACTTTTTTCCGGTACGCTCAGGCTGACTTCGAGTGTCGTGCTATGCCATTTCTCATTTCTCATCTGTGGCTTCTGTGGCTCCTATGGCCTTGGCCTCTCTGACGTCCGGACGCTCGCTGACATGACTGTGACTGTGGCTGTGGCTGTGACTGTGATTGTGACTATAACTATATCTATAACTAACGTATTCGCTCACAGTCTATTGTCAACACCCTAGGATTCAGCCATACGGTGACGCTCCTCATCACGGCGCCAGTGTATGTGTTTGGATTCCTCACCTCATTAGGCAACTCGATCATGGCAGAACGCACCCACCAGCGTGCCAGTCTGATAGTGTGGCCGCTGCTACTGGACATTGTGGGCAACATGATGGTCATCAACACACATTCCCTGGCTCCCCGATACGTGGGCATGTTCCTGATGTGTGCCGGCTCGTTCTCGGCCTTCAACGTGATTGAAGCCTGGGTGGCCAGCACCGTGCCTCGCACCCGCACCAAGCGCGCCGTCGTCTATGCCCTGGTGAACCTAATTGGGAACTCGTCCAATATCTATGGTTCGTACTTCTTCCCCAGCTCCGACGCTCCTCAGTTCCGCATGGCCGGCATCATCCTGTCGTCCTTTGCTGGCACCGGCGCCGTCGTCGCCGCGGCTTTGGGGGCGTGGTTGCGATATCTGAATATCCAGGCGACGCGGGAGGAGCAGATTGATGGACTGCCACGTTACAAGTATCTTTGGTGAGGGGTTAGCACCTTGAAAGTACCTCTGTGAGTGGCGAGCACGTTATAAATACCTCTGGTTAGTGGTTAGTGGTTAATAGTTAATGGTGGGTGGTGGGTGGTGGTGGTAAGCACCTTACTACTACCAAGCAGGAGCCTTAGGGTTAGGGTTAGGGCTAGTGAGATCATGCGCTGCGCTTGCCCCCCAAACCCCCGCCATATGCTAAGCCCACCCCGCCTAAGGAACCCCTAAGCCCAACGCCTAAGCCTCCTAAGCCTTAGGGCCCCCGCCCCCGCTCCCGCCCCCGGTCGGCTATCTTGTTAAGAGGTTGCAACCTATGTGTCGGAAATCTAATCTTCGCCGCCCTCACGTTTCTGCTCCCCTCCTCCTCCTAGGCAACTCAATTCACACTCTCACTCCCACTACTCACTCGGTCTTTCTCTTCAAAGTTCCAACCTCCCAGGAGCACCGTTCTATTGATCCTAATCCTTCGGTTGCGCGCAGGAGAAAGGAAAGGGAACAAGAAACAAAAAGAGAAGAGACAAAAGATAAAGGACAAGGAACAGGGAAAAGGACTAGGACCAGGACCAGCATAGCGCAAGCAAAGAATCCGAACAAGGGCGGAAATCTGAAATCTTCTCTCTGGCGCCGGCGCCCGATGGAGACATCGATATCGCCCCAGTCGGCGTCGGCGCAGCGTGCGCGGAAAAGGAGCAAGGTCACGCGAGCGTGCGACACGTGCAAAGCACGAAAGAAGGCCTGCACGGGCGAAATGCCCTGTAAATTCTGCCTCTACTCATCTCTGACCTGCACCTACAATGTCCCATACCACCGAGGTATCGCTGCCGCCCCGGTGGCCTCGACGACGACGACGGCGACGGGCGGCGGAGGTGGTGGAATACCCAGCAGGAAAAGGCCTCGTCCTCGTGGCCATTCCTTGTCCACCTCGACCTCGACCTCGAGTTCCCAGGATCCAAACTCCGGAGACGGAGACGAAAACGGAAACAGGTACCCAGGTCAAGGTCTCACTTCTGCCCATTCTTTCCTGGAGCGAGCGGTGAGAAAGCTCTACTGCTCACGACGCGTGGTGGACACGGCGTCGGAGGACGGCCCTGTGTCGATATTCTCGTACGGCGATCGACCGGGTCCGGCCCCGACCACGCAGAGGTCGGGGTCCCAGATGCCGATGCAATGGCCGCCGAGAGCGGAGGTCGACTATTTGGTCGCACGCCATTTCGAGTTTGTGGCCCCGACCTATCGACTGTTGCATCGAGGCACGGTGGAAGGATGGGTGGATCTTGTTTTCAGCCAACAGCAACAGGACACAGAAAGGTCAAGACCGGCCACAGGGCTGGGTGTTTCGTCGGCCGCCAAGGCGATCATATTGGCCATGTGTGCCGCGGCGTCGTTGTTCTACAACGTGCATGACCATGACCGGCCTGGGCAGCATGCACACGCTTCCCCGTCGGATGGTCATGGACATGGCCAACCCGGCGAGACATACTATGAGATGGCGGAGGAGCTTCTCGCGCACGAACACGGCCCGCCGAGTCTCGAATCCGTGCAAGCGCGACTTCTCACCGTCTTGTACCTGCTCAACACGTCGCGCGTGAACCGAGCCTGGTTCAAATTTGGCCCCACGGTACAACTGCTGACGGCGCTGGGCATGCACCGCAAACAAGGGCAAGGACAAGGACAAGGGCGTGCACCACCCAGGCCGGTGCCGTCGGTGTCGTCGGGCCCGGTGACGCTGGAATGCACCAAACGCGTCTTTTGGTGCTGCTTCCTCCTGGATCAATACTTGGGTCTCATCACCGGCCGACCACGCCTGCTCCACGAGGAGGACATCGACCAGGACTACCCGCGGCTCATCAACGACGAGAATCTCGACGCCCACGTCCAGCCATCCGGGGATCCATCGCAAGGCCCATCTCGATCCCGACCTCGTCCCCTTCACCTGCCGGCGCGCGATTGTCTCATGCATGCCCCGGTCTGCCACGCCAAAATCGGCTGCATCTTGGCCCAAGGCTGCCGACAGCTCTACTCGATCCGGCGCATCGACCGAGAACAGGAGACCGTCATCATCGGCTCCCTCATGGACCAGATCCGTCACTGGCACTCGGAGCTTCCTCCCTTGCTGGGCGACTCGGTCTGCCCCAGCAGCCTGGTGTCGACGTTCCAACGCCAGCTGACCGTCATTCGCCTGGCGCGATATCATGCCGTCATGTTTGTGACGCGGCCACTGCTCCTTCGAGATTACGCCACGACGGCGACCACCACCACCACTGAGCCGCCGGAATATCCCCTCCTCCGACAGTACCTCCGGTCGTGCATCACGACGGCTCGGGACACGCTCGACTTTATGCTCGAGCTCGTGCAAGAAAATCTCCTATTCCCGTCCTTCTGGTACACGCAGTACATTGCCTTCAATGCCCTCTCGATCGTCTACGTGTGCCTGATCCACACCAAATGGGGCCGCATCCCGCACGCCTGGTTGTTTGCCGACACCGACGCCGAAGCCGACGCCGACATGGCGCTCAACCCGGCCACGTTGTACAGATTGGCCGAAGAGGTCCAATACCATCTCGGCCAGGCCTCCAAGAGCAACGCCGTCGCCTGGAGATACAACATTGTGCTGGACACGTTGCGCGAGGAGGTGACGGCTCAAACTGCGAGTACTAGTACTGGTACTGCCACTGCCACTGCCACTGCCACTGCCACTGCTACTGCTACTGCTGCCGCCCTCCAAGACGAGGTCCGGTCGGCGCAGAGGTCGTCCTCCTCTACCCAGACCCAGACCCATGCTGACAACAGCAACAGCAACAACAACAACAACCGGAACTATCTCAATCTATCGTCCGTTTCCCTCCCATTTCCATTTCCACTTCCACTTCCGGACGAGAGCCACGGCGAATCCATCTTTGAATCCTTCCAGGCTGCCGAGCAGCCCATCATGAATTGGGAAAGCTTCCAGGACCCTTCGGTCTTTGATCCCCGGGGTGGGGATAGGGATGCCTTGGGCGGGTTTTTCATCCCGTCGGGTCCTTCTGAGGATCTCGGCTTTGGGTTTTGGGCCCAGAGTTGACATGACTATGAATGTGATTCAACGGTGGTGACATGATTATGATTGTGATTCAGTGGTAGCGGCGACATGTTTGCAGTCGACCTTTCAAACCTGTCTATACTGAATTAATATCCTGGGTGCCCGTTGTCTAGTAGTAGTGGCGACCGACCCGGGATTGCATTGCGATGAGTTTGTCATTGGCATTAGCCGCCAGACAGACAGATCGACCTGATGTTCAATTTCTTCATCGGTGTCACCTACCTGTTGACCTATATGAACAAAGCAATGCTGGGATACTCGGCCGTCTTTGGGTTGAGAGAGTCGCCGCATGTCCGCGGGTGTACACTGCATCCCTCAGTACTGTCCTGATAAACTTATGACCTGGGGAAATAGGAAGTATGTTCTATAGGTACTTTGGGTACCTGGCAGTATGTACTATGTCACCTCTCCAGCCTTGCCCCTTGCCCCTTGCCCTCCGCCCTCTGCTCCTGCCCGGCTCGGCATATGTACTCACCCCTGTCTCGCCCCCAGTTTGATTACCCAACCGCCTTTGCCATGCAGAAGGTGCCCGTGTCCAAGTGGCTATCCCTGAATCTCTTCCTGTGGCGGGCTCACAAGCGCTTCGACTTTCCCTAGCTGTGGGGATGCGATATCTTTGACGAGGCTGGCGAAGAGGCCGTTCGAACAGCGGCTCTGGAAGATCAAGTTCAAGTGTGTAATGGGATGGAGTATCAAAACATCCGAATTGATTGAGCCAATCCCACCACTTCCCACTACTACATAGGTACATAGGTACATGGTAGCTTCCGGTGCTGACGGTCCTGCAAGACACATATCTGTGACTGGTCTTCACTTGGCGTTGACGTTGATCGGCTCAGATAAACGTAGAACTGTTGTACTGTGTACTGAATACTACATAAGTAGTAAATACTACCCACCATCATTTCACCACTGGCCACTGGGGTTATCACCGAACCCTCGGGGCCCCCCCGACGAGAAGAAGGTCCTGATGGTCGGCGGAAAACTTCGTCGTTGGTGGAAAAGATGGTGGCGGATCGGATTTTGAGTTCCAACCATCAACGATCATCGTCCAAGGAACAACTACCGTACCATGTACCTCTGACAACACGCAGTGGCATTAAGTATTTCCACTGCTCAACCGCCTTGGGTCGCCGGTTTGCCCGAGTCCCCTTGGTCCTACTAGGGATACTAGATGGATAAGAATGCTAACATGTAACAGAGGACGCCATCCTTCCATCCTTCCATCCGTCCATCCCTCACCTGTCCATGATGACATTGTCAGTCCTCTCTATACCGCCGGCAGAGGTGTATCCTCCAGCATCCAAAACAAAAGCTAAGGCTTCGGCAACTGCGGTATTGGTCGAGAATGTGCCCCGCCCAATGCAGCAAGAAACAACACTCTACACCGTTGACGACCTGCTGCGAGCAAGAGCCTCGGGAGAGACGGCACATCAGCCTATAGTGGCCTACCCGTCGTCAGGAATCGATTATGTCTATTACACCCCATACCAGGTACGTGGCCCTGGAGGATGAAGGACTTCTGAAGGGCCAGGAGGGAAACAGCTCATCAGGGCTGCTCGTCACAGGATGAATGCATACTAATAAGTGTAATTGATGTTAGTTGCATGCCTTGGTCGAAGCCACAGCCATTCACTATGCGAAGAATGTCCCTCCACGTCGCTCATCCGCCGATGCCGTGCAGGTTGTAGGGCTGCTGGGTCTGTCGGATTTTGAATATTTGATCACATTGTTGGCCATTTCCCGCCTGGGCCATACTGTCCTACTCCTCTCGACGCGGATTACAGAAGAGGCTCATGTCAGTCTGCTGCAGAACACACGAGCCACGTTTATCATCACCTCGTCCAGCTTCGCTGCCGTGGGCAAAAAGGTCGCAGTTCAGACCGGCGTCTCTCAGCTTTCAATGGCGTCCCTACCGTCCGTCAACATAGCGGAAACTTCAAAGGCCCGTTTACCAGCGGCCGATCTCCATGGTCCCACGGAGAACAATCATTGCGCTTGGATCATCCATTCCAGTGGCTCGACCGGGCTTCCCAAACCCATCTACCAGACGCATTCGAGTGCGCTGACCAACTTTGCCAATAACTTTGGGCTCCGAGGCTACATTACCTTGCCCCTGTTCCATGGTCACGGTATCAGCTGTCTGTTCCGAGCCATACACTCCAACAAGTTGATCTACATGTATAGCGCCAGCCTGCCACTGACCGCCTCGACGCTACTCAACACGCTGAATGACCACCAGGAAATCCAGATCCTTTACGCCGTGCCCTATGCGTTGAAGCTTCTTTCCGAGACCGACGAGGGCCTGAAACGCTTGGCCTGCCTGGAGCTGGTCATGTTCGGCGGATCGGCCTGTCCCAAACCGATTGGCGACGCTCTCGTCCAGAATGGGGTGCGTCTCGTCTCGCACTATGGCACGACCGAGGTTGGTCAGCTCATGACTTCATTCCGGCCCCGGTCCGATCTGGACTGGGACTACGTCAGAGCCGGTCCCAACTTGCTGCCATATCTTCGCTGGGAGGAGCAGTCGGGCATGCCGGGGATTTATGAGCTCTGTGTCCTTGACGGGTGGCCTTCCAAGGTGGCCAGTAACCGACCAGACGGATCATATGCCACCAAGGACTTGTTTCAGAAGCATCCGACCACGCCAAATGCATGGCGATACTATGCACGGTCGGACGATACCCTGGTGCTGGAAAATGGGGAGAAAGCCAATCCCTTGGTGATCGAAGGGGTGGCGCGCAAGAACGCCAACGTCGCCGAGGCCGTTGCCTTTGGGAGCACCAAGCCTCGCGTCGGTCTCTTCGTGATCCCGTCGGAAAAGTGCCGGTTCGAGACGGATCAAGAGCTCATCGAAGCCCTCTTCCCGGACATCGAGGCCTGCAATGCCCAGTTGCCCGCCTACGCCCATGTGTCCAGGGACATGGCCTTTGTCTTGCCCAAGGACACGGAGTACCGACGGACAGACAAGGGGACGCTGATCCGGCATGCCTTTTACAAAGACTTCGCCAACAAAATCAACGAGGTCTATGATGATCGAGCAGGAAAAGGCGATCGACGGCTGGAGGGTGAAGAGCTGATCCAGTTCCTCCGAGAGACTCTCATAGAGATTGTCCCGTTTCTGCACTCTTCCGACATTGACATTGGACCTACCAGCGATCTCTTTAGCTTGGGCATCGACAGCTTGCATTCCATGCGCCTTGGAACGGCCATCATGGATACTCTGGATCTGGGCGGCCAGAAGCTCGGCCAGAATTTCGTGTTTGAACATCCATCCCTTCAGGCCATGGCAGACGCAATCACCAATCTGCGCCGGGGAAAGGCAGCGAAAGAGCAAGTCTCGGCGGAAGAACGGATGCAACGTCTGATCGTCAAGTACGGCACGGGGTTCAAGACGCATGTCCCTGTTCCACGGCGTGGAGACGACGAGGCTACCATTGTGCTGACCGGCGCCACCGGATCTTTGGGCGCCCACATTGCGGTGCAACTGGCACAGCTGGACCAGGTCCGCAAGGTGTATTGTCTTGTCAGAGCCAAGTCGTTGGCGTCGGCCCGTCGACGAGTTGCTCAGAGTCTCCGTCAGCGCATGGTGTCTTTCAATCTGTCTTCTGCGGCAGGAAGAAAGATCGTTGCGCTGCCTTCGGACCTGTCCAATTCCGTCAATCTGGGGCTCGAGGAAGACACGTTTTCGCAGCTGAAGAAGTCGGTCACGGCCGTCATCCATTGTGCCTGGTCGGTCAATTTTAACTGGTCTTTGGAGAGTTTCGAGAAGAGCTGTATCGCCGCAACACGCAACTTGCTAGATCTGTGCCTAAGTGTTGAAGGTCCGAACCCGGCTTCCTTTGCCTTCTGCTCCTCCGTCAGTACAGTCTCGCGGACTCCTGGAAATTGGGCGCGTGAGGCCCTGCCCGAATCTCTCAGCCACGCTCACAACATCGGGTATGCCCAGTCCAAACTGGTGACGGAGAATATTGTGGTTCGCGCCGCCCAGGAGACGGGCATGGCGGCCCGGGTCTTAAGATCGGGACAGATCGTGGCAGATACCACTCACGGGATCTGGAACGCCAGCGATGCCATGCCAATGATTCTCCAGTGTGCAAAGACCATCAAGGCGCTGCCTCGGCTAGACGACATCCTATCCTGGACACCGGTGGACGTGATGGCCGCCAGCTTTGTCGAACTCAGTCTGGCTCCGGTGGTGGACTCTCCCGTCTTGAATGTGACGAATGCCACGCTGAACCACTGGACCCAAGACCTCCTCCCGCTCCTGCGTGAAGCGGGTCTGGAGTTCGAAGAGCTCCCCAAGCAGGCCTGGGTGCGCCGACTCCGCGAATCCAACCAAGATCCCGAGGCCAACCCGCCCGTCAAACTGTTGGAATTCTTCACTCAGAAGTACGACCACGACCACCCAAGCCGCACTCTGCTCTACGAAACAAAGAGCGCCCGCACCGCCTCGCCCTCCCTCGCCAACGCACGAGGTCTGAACAGGGACTTCACGTCCAGGTTCGTCAAATACTTCGTTTCACAGTGTTGGACCCAAGACCGAGAATCAACTCTATCGTCACTTCAAGTCAGAGCTCTTCCCCGCGAAGTCATCTTCCTGGTCGGCGCCTGCAAAAGCACCGCTATAGCGGCACAGGCGCTCTTTTCGCGACTGGACATTCCCACCATCGAAGGCGACGCTCTGTACTGCTCTGCCTCGGCGGACGACAAGCTCCCGCTGGAGGACTCGGATCGCCGAGAATGGCTCGCCCATGTTCGGGGAGCAGTGATGCAGCGATTATTAGATTCACCCACGCCAGCGGTGGCTGTGACATGCGAGGCGTTGCGCCTAGCTGACCGGGACGAACTGCGTCGGCTTGGACAATGGCTACACGTTCCCGTCACCGTGACTTGGTTGTTGCTAGACAGTAACAAGCAGGATAAAGCACTTTTGACTGGAGGGTTGGCGGTTGATGAGAATGATGTTATTGTGGTTGACTCTAATCAGGAGAAGGAAAAGATGGTGAATATTGTGGTGGAGACTGTACAGAGTCAGATTTTAAATGCTTAGATGGTACTACTGACCAATCATACTGTATATAGTACTATACTACTAGTAATGTATATATACATACTGCTACTCTATATAACTATGCCTTATCTTACTTAGTATATACTATCTATTAGTATACCTATAGTAGCTAATAAGATACTTAATAGATACTATTAATCTAAATCGATTCGGATTTAATCTAGGTTTAATCCGGTTTGATCCGGGTTTGATCCGGGTTTGATCTGGCCTTTGTGTGAGAGAATGAGTATACGCCGTTCGAGAGCACATTGATATGAAAACGACTATACGCAACGGTGATGGTCCGAAGGAATACCTTGTGTAGGCGGGGCGCAGGCAGGCTGTGGAAAAGTCGCCCAGGTGGAGCTCAAGGCCGCGGGCAAGATCAAGCACAGCGACGGCGTTGCTGCGTTGTAGGTCGAGAGAGTATGTATGTAGTATGTACATATGTATGTACACACAGCGTCTTCTGTGTGGCGATTGAGATGCCCGAGAATCTTGACAAGAACGTCGCCGTTCTCGGTCGTCATCGCCCATGCCGAGGGCACCACTCCCGCCTAAGTTGACCGCTGACGAGCAGAAGACCCTCCGTAGTCTGTTGGGCGAGATCTTGGGCGGCCGATTCTAGGAGGTGGTAGAGCGCGGTCGTGTATATTCAGAATACATACTAGTAAGGTCGTACAGTAGCTCCTGTTTTGCACTTAGGGTTGGTGTGAGACCAGGTGTTCTAGGACGTTGAGACGATGGCCGGTTGTGAGCGAGAATGAGGGCGGTGGAAGACTTGGCCGCCTGTTTCAACGAGCGGTCGATGTTCTGTGTCTCCTCACGGCCCATCACCGTAGAGGCCATCGCAGTTGCCGTCGCTGCATGCGTAGGTATTGCGCGGCCTGGTCTGCAAAGCTGTCGTCTAGTACTATACCACGGCGAGCGGCAGACCCAAAGTCAAAGAGAGGAAGCGGTGGATCGTCGACGACTCAGTATAAGCAGCACGTCTTGACACGGTTTCACATACATTACTAATGTATGTACATACAGACCAGGACGGTGAAGGTCGCGACTTCTGACCGTCAGCCTGCCACTCCTAATCGACCGGGCCTAAGGCGAGGAAGCAGCCATAGGTGAGAAGATTGCATGTACTAGCCCAAAAGCAGCGCCGTGTGTGGTTGCGGTACATCGTATGCCCAGCAACTTGCAGCCCAAGGTGAGATGATACACTTAGTGGTCCGCTCGTGGATCCCATTCGATCGTACGGTAGGAATCCCTAGAGCAATTGATTCACATGGTGCACCACCACACTTACTAGTACATACATACAATATCAGCTAGAAACTGAGAAGGAGGAGCGGTGCGTAATCAGAGTACAAGCTGCATGTAGCTTGAGACACGAGATGAGAAGGAGCGTCTGCCGGGGTAAGAGTCGGTGGGGGGGCCTATGAGCCGGGGAGAGTGGCACCGTTAGTACGTCTGTACAGTACTTATCCGTCGTGGGGCCTTGAAATACTAATTAGTACGTAGTATACACGGAAAGGGGGAGGAGGGATGAACGGAAATGGGGGAAGGATAGGGTGCAGGTGAGCGGAAGTGGATGGGCATGGACGGGGATGGATGAACAGAAGAAGGTTTGGTGGATGGAAATGGGTGGGAATGGAAGTCGACGGAGAGACGGCCAATTGGCGTGGGGTAGTACTGTATACAACTCCAAGACTTTTCTGTTCATTCATTATTAGAATGGCCTCCGCTCAATTCCTTCGGAAGACCTTGATGAATGCCTGCGATTTCAACATGCATGTACATAGCATATATGCTACTAGGTATCCATCTGACTGTCGATCCTCCTCTTCCCATAGTCCGCCTCGGCGAAATGAGATGGAGTTATGAACAACCGGTGGATTCGAGAATTGTTTGCTGTATGAGAATGAATCTGATAGATGTCCTTTTCACGTTCGATGTACGGAGTAGTATTGCCACGCAATCCAAAACTACGCACAATTTCAGAGTCTTGCGTCCATCCCTCGATGCCCCCTTCCAACCCAGCGATGGAACGAAACGTTCTGTGTAAGAGAAGATGTTGCGTGGATTGATGTAGGGCCGGCCCCCATACATGATCCTAGGCAGTGAATATGGATGATCCCTTATTCAAACATATGCCCGTCTTTGACCTTTTGATAGAGGGTGTTGCCATATTTCTCGAAACAAAGTCCTACAATCATGCCATTTCTCACTTCACATCCTAGACTAGGTATCTCGCGACACTGGGTGCTGAAGTATAGGGCCGTTGCAGAGGATGTTTTGAACGCTTCGCTAAGGTTCACGATTTCGAACTCGTTCTCGGGTCAGCGTGGATCAAAAGGGAGATAGGTAGCATATAAACCATGAATCACAGCTTGTCCAGGCTTCCAGTATATGTACTCGGTATGGGTTCTGGTTCCCCGAATATCTGTCCGTCATAGCCGTAGTGATTGCCAATATCTGCAAGTGGGCTGCGGTGTAACCTGGTAGATGGTAGATGGTGGTGCTGTGGACGGTCAGAGAATACTCCTCCGCACTCCGTATTCAATACTGTACGAGTACCTGCATGCAGTTCTGTACTCGGCAAAACCTTCCCCTCCTGCATAGCATGGCTAGCAGGGGTGCTGTAGTACATGCATAATACATGGATCCCTAGTGCTCCAATATGTTGAGACTAAGATAGCGCGAGGCTAAGATAGCGCCAACCTAAATGGCACCCCTGCCACCCTTATTTAGTCCCTCGACCGGGGAGGATGGCACCCTTGAAGCCTTAGACACCTAGTCACTACATGCCATTCGTGGGATTAGGCGTGAATTGTCTGCCTCAAGTTTGGGACAAAGAGCCTTTTTGGATATCGTCACCGTTCTCTGCTATTATCTCCTGGCCATGTGGTCACATGACGATCACGTCACAGATTGAGGCTTGGCACTCCGCGGCGTGCGCAACTTGAACTCTTCAGTACATGTACCTAGGTACATACCTATGTACCTGGTAGGTAAGGTATATTACTAGTAGTCCCTCGTCTTACAATTTACTTGTTAACCTGCATAGCTTCCCTAGCCTGCCCAACAAAGATGAACCCCGACTCCATTCAGGCAAGAACTGTTAGATCATATGGGAGCAACAAATACTGACCAGCCACAAGCTATACCGAAGAGCCTGGCTCTCCTACTCGAGCCTGAATTGCAGTGGTCCAAAGTTGTTGCTTACCCCGCAGCTGGGATGGCCAATTGCAGCCAGCATAGTCGGGCATTGGGGTTCAAGATCATATGAACATGCAGTGCGAAGCAGCTTGGCTGCCGCCTGGTATATGAACAGGAATGAGTGCCCGGCTGAGTTCCTCCTCTACACCCCGACAACATTCATTGTCCCCTCGGCCCGCTGACGGTCACGAAGTTAGACACCTATGTCGGCGGCCTGTCGTTGTCGTTGGTGGTGCCTGTTCGCAATCATGATGGCAGAGCAGTTATGTGTGCGTCGGAAAGCCGTACGGACTCTGAGCTCGAACACCTCATCCACGCAAATCCCACTCCCATTCCCAGTTACCGAGATAGTCCGACACTCGAACGCGTGACCTCTATCCAGCTCGCTTTGCTCGAATCAAACCGGCCCCACCTTATCTGCCTTGTCTGAGGCTACAACGACAAGTATACCTAAGCTAGGTGCAGGTGTTTGGGATTTTGATGGATTTCCAAATTTCTGTGAAAGAAGAATACGGACATTCAGATTTCATGTCATCAGAGTGGCTAATACCTTGTACTACTTGAAGTTCCTATTCCTAGACCTCAGCGAGAAACAGAATGACAACAAACATGCAGACTTTCAGGACTCTCATCACCAAGTGCATACCGCAGGAGCACTATCACTCAGATCAAGATGGAGACGGCAGTCAAATCCGACTGCAGAACCTTGTACTCGACGGTGCCGTCAGTCTGGCAGTCGGAGATCCTCTTGAAGGCCAAGTCGCAGTTTTTCAGATCGCTGTAGAAGTCGGCGGAGGCTTTGGCGATGGTTTTTGCGTCGAACTTTTTATTTTCTTGGACGGTGCGGCGCTTGTTGACGTTATACATTGACTTGGCGTAGGTGATCAGGTTGTATTTGTTGTCGACCTTGAAGCTGAGCAGTTCGGGCAACTGGGCGGCGAGCAGCCAGTCCTTCCACTTGGGGCCGTCGGTGCCGATGGGCAGGGCGGCGGTCAGGTCCTTCTCGGTGTAGGCCTGGAGGGCGGCGAGGTTGGGCGGCAGCGGGGTGCAAAGGGCGGGCGGCTTGGCCGGGACGAAGCCGTAGTAGTATTTCTGCAGATAGTTGACCGCGGTGTGCTGGGGCGAGGCGGTGTGGATGCACATGGTCACAGCGTCGACCAGCTGGTCGACGGTGGTGATGGTGGGGAACGAAGGGATCTGGCCGTGCGTCTGCACCTCCTTGCACCAGGCCGCGATGCAGGCGTCGTCGGTGACATCGCGGTCGGAGTGGTACTGGAGGGCCAGCATGGTCGCGACGAACTTGCGCAGCACGCGCCACAGCAGCGCCATGTCACGCGCGTATGGGTAGTTGCGGTACCTGGGGTTGGCGGCCCCGTCGCCGTCGACGTCGATGTCGAAGCCACGCTTCTTGAGGTCGTTCGGGATGTACTTGTCCTGGAAGTTGAAGTGGCGGTGCGACCAGTCGACCAGCCGGTAGACGCGGTTCTTGCTCGGGTCGGGAGTGATGTCGGGCCCAAACCCGGCCAGGCGGGCGATGACGGCCGGCACCAGCGTCAGGCGGGCCGCGGCGTTCAGGGCGAGGGTGCGGAACCAATGCGGGCTCAGCAGCTCGTACACCAGATGGTCGTCCGGGATGGTGCGGTTCGTGGCTACGATGATGGCCTCCTCCACCATGTGCGTGTCGACCAGGTGCACGGCCACTTCGTGTCGCGCCCAGTCGGCCGTCTGCACGCAGGTTTTGGCGTACCTCCACGGCCAGTCGTGCTTCTCGTCGACGTCGCCGCCCTTGTCGTTCGGGTTCAGCCGCCGGTTGAAGATGGTGATGGATTTGTCCAGGCTGCCGCGGTGGTCGAGCGTGATGGCCAACGGGTGAAGTCGGCCGTCCGTGTGCAGCTGGAAGATGGCCACCGGCGCACACGCATAGCGGAACGTAAACTTGCCCGTCGGCTGCCTGGTCTTGTTGTCCAGTTCCGGCACCAGGTTCTGGAACGTTTCGGTGTCGCTCACCCCGGTGGCCGCGCGGAAGTACGAATAGTCTTGGACGAACAGGTCGCGGCCCTCGGACAGCGACAGCAACAGCTTCTTCATGCCGTCCAGGCCCTGCTTGCCCGCCTCGGCCGTGTACGCCTTGACCTGGTCGGGCGGAGCGGCCTCGATGGTCGACGGGTTGACGCCGCTCAGGTGCTGTTGGGCGAACCGGGCGTCCGAGTACCAGTCGGGAAGGTGGCCGAGGTTTTTCCCGTCCATGATGTCGGTCTTGGAGATGTGTTCCTGATTGTACTTTTCACACTCGGCCAGGGTCGGGCCTTCGTACGGCGTCCCCTTGTGGCTGATTTCGTCGGGGATCAGGAACGAAAGCACCTTGGCAATTGTGCTCACCGATTGTGATTCGGCCTGGTCGAAGATGTGCCCGACCCCGGGCTGCCCGTCCTGTTGGTCGAGCGGCACCGTCTGCAGATGGGGCGGATAGCCGTCTTTGGACGGATCGCTCCACTGGTACGTGTCCTGCTTCTGTTGGAACTGCCTCTGTATTGGGAGGATGGGTTCGAGGCCGGTCTTGTCGAAGTGAGACACGGCGCTGTGGTTTTCAGTCAAGTCAGCAGGCTATGTAATGAGTGATCGCGTCCATACTACATACAGACTGTAAGGGTATGTAGTCACCGGTGATGGGTAAGGGTAATGGGTCAGGAGTAAGAGGTATGTAGTCACCAGTGATGGGTAAGGGTAAGGGACAGGGAACTCAGTCTTACGATTCCTCAAGCAGACTGTAGATTTCGGTCAGTGCCATCTGCGTGCCCTTGAAGGTGCCGGTTTTGAGGCCGGCACTGGCAGCCAGGTCGCCATTGACCGCCCCGTTGTCGCCGGTGCTGAGCACGATGCCCTGTTTGGCCAGTTCGTTGAAAAACACGCCCTTGTCCCACACCACCATGGGGTCGTCTTCCACCTCTTGTCGAGGCATGCCATGGAAGATGTCATCCAGCGTGGGCGTGCCACGGTCGACACGGGGGGGGAGCTGGACTTGGGCAGACATGGTTACGATTGTGGTGGGTTGTTGCTTTGGGTCAAATCAAATACTACCAAGTATGGTATGTTTGTACTGCAAGGTATGTAGTGAGATGGGCTGTGAGGAAGAGAAGAAGAGTATTTGAAATTGTTCACCCACGGACGGCTGCTTTATATGCTGCTGAAGTCCAAAGCAGAGTGATGGGGTTGTTTCGAGCACCGTCCGGGGTTCCTTGTTCCTCGAGAACATAGCGGTTCAAGAGACGGCAGAGACGGGAGAGATGGACGTCACGGCACGGCACTGTCTGTTCAGCTCTGCACTTCCACTTCCACTTCCACCTCCAGCTGATGGAGGGGATGTGATGGGCTGGTCTAGAATTCTGTATACGAGCTGTCACTGCGTCTGCATGCATGCAGTTGGCCTCCATCACCCACCACAGACTCAAGTGTACGCGCACCTGTCAGCCAGCTGAACGGGCGGCCTGAAGATCTCCTAGGACGATCAGCCCTGCTCAGTTACTCAGTTGCTCAGTTGCTCAGCTGCTCGCTGGTAATGTACATGGTACGTAGGTAGCATATACCACATACCTACCTAGGTACCACATATACATACTACATGGTACCGTACCTAATACCCGACACCCAATTAGGTACGCCGTGGTCGAATCAAGCATTGGTACCTGTATCGTGCCCCCGCTCACAATACACCATTGGCGAATCGGATCTGGTATAGTATACAATTCACCCCTGGCACGGGACGCACCGCACTGAAGCGGAAGCGGAAGCCGACTCCCCAGCGGGGTATCAATACATGGTACGGAGTCGCAACGACATGCAGAGTACGAGTACAGTAGAATGTACGGTACGGCTACGGACACTATAACCTTATTTCTACTGCCTTCCAGGGTTATTTCCAGAGTACTCCAGGTACTTACCGTATGATCGACGATCAACGCCGGAGGGGGAGTGGGCCAGCCATGATACTGTATCCGTACCTACCTATACATTGTAATCAATGCATACTCTGTACAGCTATGTACACCATACTCCACACAGTATCGCCAATCGTGGAAACGTGGCTGGCTGATGACTGACGTCTGTTTCGATGGCTGGCTGAGCACTTCAACTCACTTACAGTGGCTGGCTGGACTTGTCTCAAGTAAAGTCTCAACCCCAGCATTCTCCGTGCCGTCCCCAGGGTCTGAGACTGACATTCAGCCTCTTATAGGCAGTCTCCCCCTGCAAGCTGCGAGGGCTCCTGCTTCTCCTCGTCCCTATGACTTCAGCTCGACTTCAGCCCGACCTCAACCACCCTACCTACCCTGTTGAGGCATCATCGCGCCCTCAGTCACGTCCTTCCCATTGAATTGGATTGGTCAGGATGTGACAGACTTGGTCCCTGCCTGCTCGATGTACATTCTGCATTCCCTATTCAGTGCAGCCGCAGCTCACTGACACATTGTGGATTGTTCCAGAGCACCCTGTGGCGCTTTGCACCCGTTCTGAAGGCCACACCGCTTCGTTGAAGGCGGGAGAGAGTGGCCAGACCGGCCGTGTCGTGGGCTTGCCGAGAGGAGAGGAGAGGGTGAGTGAATTCACTGGCGAGTGCTCGAGCTGTCCTGTCAGTGACTTGGTCTCTTCCTCGACTCAAAGGGCTAAGTATGTGATCACGCCCTGCCATTCCCACTTCCACTCCCACTCCCACTCCTGAGCATACAAGTTCTTTCAAGTCCAAGTTCAGGCTGTATCTCAAATTCAGATACAGATACAATCGTCAGTGTTCCAAACACTTTGGCCTTGCACCCGGTTTCCCACCCATACCAGCACTTCACATCCATTCTCGCAATGTCGGGCCCGCAGGACAATCTTTCCAAGGAGTTGGTGGATGAGATGCAAGCGATCTTTGGCAAGCATCCAGGCTATCGCACCAGTATGTTCATATGATCCAATCTTCTTGCACTCAGATATTCTACTGCAATGTCCCATATACTGGATCACGGGCTCGGGCTCATTCTTGTCTCGTGCTTGCCAGCCCACGCCAAAGGTCTTCTCGTCGAGGGCACCTTCACCCCGACTCAACACGCTCAGACGCTTTCAACCGCCGCTCACTTCAACCAAGCCTCCACTCCGGTGGTGGCTCGGTTTTCCGTCGGCGGCGGCATCCCGCACATCCCCGATGTCGACAACAACGCCACTCCCAAGGGAATCGCCATTCGGTTCCACACCGGCCACGACACCCACACGGATCTGATCAGCCACTCGTTCAACGGCTTTGCCACCCGGAACGGCGAGGACTTCTTGACCTTCCTCCAGCTCCTCCAAGCCGTCAATGTCGCCGAATTCCTGCTCAAGCAGGCCAAGGAGAAGGGAGGCGACTACTCCAAGGAGCAGGAGAACTACAACAAGGCCCAAGCTGCCTTCGGAGCCTTCCTGGCCACCCACCCGTCTGCGGCCAAGTTCGTCACGTCGCCCAAGCCGAACCCATTCAACTACGGCACCATCACCTACTACGAGCCCAACACACACGTCTTGACGAACAAGGAAGGCAAAGTCACCAATGTCCGATACCGCCTCGACCCGGCCGACGGAGACCACCTCTACACCGACCCGGAGCAGTTGAAGAAACTGCCGGCCAGCTACTTGGAGGACGATCTGCAGCAGCGGTTCCCCAGCAAGCCGATCGTGCTCACCATCCAGGCCCACATTGCGAGTCCGGATGATGTTCTGGACGATGCCACCGTCCCGTACAAGAGCACGACCTTTGTGCCCGTGGGCAAGTTGGAGATCAACAAGGTGGCGGATGACAACGTGGCCCGCCAGAAAGAGATCGCCTTCAGTCCCAGCCCGGACAAGGGCGGCATCAAGGGCATTGCGTCGTCCCAGGATCCGTTGATCCAAGCTCGCAAGGGAGTCTACTGGATCAGTGCTGATCAGCGAAGGCACGAAAAGCAAGTCGAGTGAGAACATGTAGCCAGTGGGCGTAGCTATAGCTATAGCTATACAGTATACCGTATGCTGTATACTACAGTTTATACTGCAGTATATACTGTCTCCTTTACCTATCGTGTATACTGTCTACTCTACCTACAGTGCATACTGTCTGCTCTCCCTATAGTGTAGACTGTCTACTCTTAGTACCTACAGTGTAGACTGTCCAATCTACATACGTACTATATACTAGGTACTGGTATAGTGTCCATGTGCTTAGTGGCACCACCAAGAGATCATCTTACTATCATGGTGTATCTCCATCTCTCTATACATATAGTAGTCTTCCTACTCCTCCCACACTACACAAGACAGGACAGACAGGACAGCTAGGCCAAATTAGTAGTCTTTAATTCAAGCCATGAAGGCTCAGGCTCATTTGATTGCTTGACTTGGCTATATATAGTCAGGTTGGGTAGGGTCAGATCACGGCAAGCCACTTCAGGTTCAGGTTCAGGTTCAGGTTCAGCTGCTTGACTTAGGCCATGGTCTGGGTCTGGTCACGGCAAGCCACAAATTCTGGCGCCAAATAACACCGGCCGGCACTAAGCACGTTAATTCTAACTCGATCGTCCGAGTTGAGACTTTGTGCAGATCAGTTTGACTTATCTAGAGCTGAATAGTGTCAAACTTGGGCACTAATACTAGGCATTCCCAGCTTTGCTCTTTAACCAGAAGGCTGGTATAGGCATCCCTATATAGTCTGGGCTCCCCTATACCCCTTTGATGGCGAACATGGAACATTTCAACCTTTGACGAATAGGTACGCTTTATTTTCACCTAGAGTTGAATGGATACGCTTTGGTTTTATCTAGAGTTGAATAGGTACGCTTTGTTTTCATCTTGTATGGTGGACTCGCATCCGCCCCTGAGGCCGGAGATCTAGATCATGTCAGCTTGCAGCTTGCAGCTTGTATATATCCTGCAATGGCCACCTCCTCTCACGCTCATGCTCACTCCCACTCTCACTCTCACTCTAACTCTCACCGAGCACTGACTGTGACAGTTAGAATGGACTGCCAGTGCTCAGCTCGGCTGGTTGAATCGCCTGCTCGCCCACTCGCTGGGAGACCTGGAGACTGAATCTAAATAAACCACACAGACGTGTCCAAAACAACATCCTCTTCCTCACTGAATTCACCTCTGCAATCCTATCTAATCCGCGAGATTGAGACTTCGATCTTGACACCGAGACACAGCCACAGCTCTCTATTCACCAAGCACCACGTCCTGTTGAACAGCATGGGGATCGGTTCGACAGCATCGGCGGGAAAGAAGTATTTCGACGACGCAGCCGATTGGTTCGAAGGAGCTTGGGGGAGGCAAGGCGGCACGGATCGGGCGGCCAAAGACATGATCGCTGCAGGCCACAGAGAGGCAGGTTTTGCCCGGGAGGAAGCCGTGGCTGCTGAGATCGAAGCGGATCATGCCAAATTCGTCGGGCTGGATGCAGAGGCGACGAATTTCCTCCAGTGGGAATATGCCATGGTCGAGTGAAGAGCAAGAGACAAGAATATTAGTCGGTATACGGAGTATAAGTATAGGTACCCACTGCTGCACCTAACACCTACTACTATACCTAGGTACATATATTTAGGATAGTTATTACTAGATACATCACTAGATACATCACTAGATACCTCACTAGATACATCACTAGATGCCTCACTAGATGGGTAGATCCCCAATATCCTCCGTACTACTCCGTGCTACTCTGTACTACCAGGTAGTATAGAAGCCAAAGTCTTCACCGCCACACCAACCGCCCCAGCACTACACTTCATCTACCACAGAGTCAGAGCTTTCCTCAGACCTCAATCTCAACCTCGACCTCAACCTCGACCTCACTGAGGCTCATGTCTTCGTTCCAACCCCCCTTCTACCACTACTATCACTTCTACTATGCGGTGCGAGACCTGTTCCTCCTTGACTCCAGACGTCCTCCGCCGCGATGCAGACCTGGTGCCATTCCACTCGAGTTTCGCCGCCTTCGAGCGCTCTGCCCATGCCGGCTGCGACGTCTGTTCAACCCTGTTTTGGAACATGCAACGATTCCGCCGGGGTCGCGACGAGCGGCTCGTGTATCATGCTGAACTGGCCAGCTCCACATCCCACTCAGACTCAAGCTCAGGCTCGACACAGCTGCAGCCGCAGTTTCTGGCCCTCCGTTGGAGGAGCCTGGGAAAGTATGGGAATGGCCAGCCGATGCAGAGCCTCGACGTGTGCTATGGCGACGGCAGTCAGAAACAGATCGCGTATACGCTGCTGAAGGATACACCGAACCGGCCACGCTCCGGTAAGTCAGAACGTCTCATGAGCTGTGGAAATTGAACTTCGTGGCACTACAGTCCGACCTGCTACTAGTACCTAGTCGCGCCGTTGAAGTACGTACTAGGCCATGCGTGTTTCCTGCCAGCTCGGTCTGACCATAATACTGGTCAATTGATTGTGTAGGCCGATCCGCATCATCGGCTCGGCAGCCTCACATCGACCAGATCGCAGCTTGGATGAAACTCTGCGAGACCACGCATCAAACCTGCCAGGCGAACATTGCCCGACAAACCGCCCACCTTGCTCACCCTGCACGGCTCCTCGATCTTCGACCCGACGACGTGTCTCCTGGCAACGTTCGTCTCATACCGTATGCCGGTGACGAAGCGCGGTCCAATTTCACTTTCAGGTATGCTGCATTAAGCTACAGATGGGGTTCGCGACCTCATCACTCGACGATCACCGTATCCAACATCTCTGATCGCATGACCGAGATCACCGTCGATGAAGCCTTTCCCAAGACTTTCCGCGACTCAATTTCCCTGTGCCGGGACATGGCTATCCGCTATTTGTGGATCGACGCCCTCTGCATCATTCAGCCCACGCTCTCCGACGACACCGATTGGCAAGAACAAAGTGCCATCATGGGTTACATCTATGCCAACGCAGCCATTACCATCGCCGCCTCCGGTGCAGAAAGTTTCGAGGTCGGACTCTACCCGCCCAAGGGCCCATTCGAGCTCGCTCCTCCATCATGTGCTCTTTTCCCGTCCGACCAGACGGAGCTGGGCTTGTATCTGCAAGTCGAGGCGCCGGATTGGGTGGCCTCCGTTGCAGAGAGCCCGCTGCAAACCCGGGCTTGGGTGCTTCAGGAGAGAATCATGTCCACGAGACTGATCCATTGTTCGCAGCATGCCATCTTCTGGGAATGCGCTGAATTACGTGCATCTGAGTTTGAGCCAGACGGCACGGGAGTTGGGGGCCTCCTAGGGTGTTCGTCGATGATCCCAACTACATCGGGGACCGGTAACGAGGCCGAAATAAGAGAGAGCCTCATGCATGCTTGGGGATCGATCGTGTCGGATTATAGCCCGCGCCATCTCAGCGTGGACGCGGATCATCTGCCCGCCATCTCTGCTATTGCCCAACAGGTGGCGGACATGGTCGGCGAGAAGTATATTGCTGGCTTATGGGAAGAAGATCTTCTCATCGAGCTGCTCTGGCTGGGAATCCATAAAAACCCCTCTCACCGTCGGAGGGCCGTGGAGGTGGAGCCATCTAAACGGGGTCGGATGTCGGGAGATTCGCCGCTGTCGGCCAGTCAATCCGTTGGTGATGATCCGGCTTGTTTCGTGGCACCGTCGTGGTGCTGGGCATCTGTGATGGGTTGGGTCAGACCGGGATCTCTTGGTCCACATCAATGTCCAGCGGCAGATATCGTGCGGGTATCAGTGAAACCGCAGTTTCAAGGCAATGCATTTGGCCGGGCGGCCGCTGGAGGGTATTTGGAGTTGAGCGCACGCCTCCGACACAATGTACGGCTTCAGGAGCTGGAGACAACGGAAGAGCAGCCCCCTCGATAACATCTGTTCTTCGACATACCAGATCATCATACATTAGCTGTGAACAACGGCCATCGATGCGCCACCCCGGGACAAGGGGAAGGGGCAGGGGAAGGGGCAGGTGCTGGTGCTGGTGCTGGTGCTGGTGCTGGTGCTGGTGCAGGTGGTGACCGATCTCTGACTTTGACGTACTGTGCCCAAGCCACGGTATGGTTTGATCTGGCCGAGTTCCAGGCCGAGGAAAGTTACGACATAGTCATGTTGACGCAGACAACCCAGCGGGACGGACAGGGACACGAACACGACAACGATGCAGTTCTTCCGGATCCCGAAACCTCGGCGCCCACGTGTGCTGGATTGGTCCTCCGTCCTCTAACCACTGGCGCTGACCGTAGGAACAGGAGTGCCCAGTATATTCGAGTTGGACAGTTGGACATTCGTGACGTCAACTTCTTTGTGGGCTGCGGAAAGGAGAGAATCGTCTTGTTCTGACGCCTTTAGCTAGGCCTGACTGACCGGTATAAGCTTGAGTTTTTCGCTTGAGTCTGGGTCTGGGTCTGCGCCTGGCCAGGCATGCGGTACGAATACGTTGGTGATCCTGCTGAGTTACTCTAACCAAAATCCATAGGTACTCTGTATACTCCCGCGGGGTTCGTACTACAATATTGAGATTCAGGAACCAGCTACATATTCAATGAATTATTCACAAGGAAAAGGGCGCCAGACTCACGATCACGAAGAGGCAGTTGATAAGTATATCAGTATATCACCATATTAGTATATCATCTACATATGGTACATCAATTCCTAAGCAGTATAGCAGTATATCAGTACATAGTATATCATCTATATATCGTACACTAGTCCTTAAGCAGTATATCAGTATATCTATCCTCAAGCAGTATACCAGTATACATAGTATTAGTGCTTCAGTGGCATTCATCATTCATCATCATCGGTCCAACCACCCGATTGCAGATGATAGCTACTTCGGCCTTTAATCCAGATCCTGGTTCCGTTTCTGTCATGGTGGCTGCGCATGCTGTAATGCAACACCAACGTCCCGTCAGGACCCTCTGGCAATTCAACCTGCACGTGTCTCAGTGCTGTGGGTTGGGGGCACAGGTCCAGGTCCAGATCCACATCCACAGGAAGATCATGGTGGAACTCTAAGTCGGCGGCCTCCCTTGCAATTTCACATCGAGGACGGCAACAGTCCGGCCTTGGAGCACATAGTTGACCAGTACCAGTACCAGTCGCAGTCGTGGCTACGGCTACGGCCTCCTCCAGATCAAGGATCTTTTTGGCCGCAGCGCCAGCCAGCAAGGAATCCCAGATGCCCTCTCGGTGCGGCACCAACAGCAACATTCTAATCGCCTCGCACCTGATGCGGGGCTCGGGACTGTGAATTGCGGTGTGGTAGAGAAGCGGAATCCAGCCGATGTCGGCTATTGCGTTCGAATGGTCGTGGTCTGCCGCGGGGCGATCAGGACGAGCCGACTGGATCGAGGGCCCTAAGGCCAGTTTGAAAAGAACCTCGCATTGCGAGAGGATGGATCGGAAAAAGGGTGTCGTCGTCGTCGTCGTGTCATCGGGATGGTACGAGTAGGATGATGGGTTGGTTGCGGAATTAGAGTCACGGGTCGGACATGGCGGACTGCTTGTGTCCTCTCCAGGGGGGCTCATGGAGAAAGCCGATGATTCTGTTGAGTGGGAAAACCCAGCAGAGAAAGAAGTCGAGTTGGTGGATGGTTGGGATGAACTTGAAGCCGATGGGTCGGGGCTGGGGGTAGTGGCGGTGGCGGTGGCGGTGGCAGGCGTTGCAAACGAGAGACATCCGCTAAGTATCACGCAAGCCAGGGTGTGGTATACTCGTAGAAGCCTCCAGGCAAATCTTTCAACTGCCGACGAGGAAACTGCATGGTGATCGGGGATTTCCATTCCGGGGCTCCCAGGGGCTTTTTCATAAGCTCGCAACCAGCTGTCAAGCTCGAGCTGCAAGGTTGCACCGGTGTCGGTTAGGGGCATTGAAGACGATTCGAAACATTGTGTGTGTCGAACTTGACTCTTTAGGTCAAAGATTCGGAGAAAGAGGTGTTCGAGGCTTTGTCTGGCATGGTTGAGGGACCGGAATGTCTCGGTCTCGCCCACAGGCTCAATATGGCTGCCGATACGGGAAAGGAGACGAGGTTGACAGATGTCTTGCCCGAACAGTTTGGCCTGGACGAACAGACTGGTGAAGGCGTGCATCATCCATCTATCCACGACGTCACGGTTGCCTTCTTCTGTCCGACCGTTGGTATCCAACATCTCCTCGAGTAGGACCAGGCCATGCCGGAGGTGAGTCAGCGCGGTCTGATGACAGCCTCGCATATACTCAAGATGGACAAAGATGGCACATGCAATGAGTGCCACCTTGGTGGAATGCCCGCTCCTATGCTCCATCCGCCGTCGGAGGTCACTTGTCGCACGGATATACTGTTGCAGAGTAAACGACTCGGTCGTGTCATTGTCATCCACAGCCGACCCGACATCAAGCGCTTTTCTCCTATGAACCGAACCTAGAGAGAGAACGGCATGGAGCACCGCCGGCTCCGAGAGACTGGCTTGCGGCAACAGGGTCTTCCAAAAGGCCGAGTTGAACATGCCGGGAAGTTTGCCCAGCGTCCTGTGGAGAAACCATTCCATGCACATGTGCTCGTCCGCCGAAATGACGTGCAGGGGAAGTAGTCTCAGCGCGATACTGTCCAGATGTAGCAAGATGGGCTCTCTGTGTTTCTGCGATGGATACTGATTTTGCACCACCGTTGATACAGCTGTAGCTGTGCCTGTGTCGCATGAAGGGCGCGGGCTCGAGGGACCTCCGCCGCCGCCACCGCCGCCACCCCAGATGCCGTAGCCATCGCACACGCGACCGGTCGAGAGACAGCGGTGGCATGATGGTCGAGCCTCGTCACATTTCACTCTTCGTATCCTGGCAGCATTGACGACGTGTGAGCATGAATACTATGTATGGAACCATCTCTTGGCTTCGACTTGGAACTCGGCGGTTGGAACAGGAGCACAGCACACTTACTTGCAGGTCCGGCAGCCTGTCTTGACTTTGCGCACTTTCTGTTTGTGCCGAGTCTCGCTCTCGCTGGGCTTCGGCGGTCGCGCACCGGGTTGAGCCATCATTCTAGCTTAAACGAATTGATGATCATGATCATGCATGATGAACAAGAAGGCCCGTCACCGTGGTCTGTCAGTGGGGGACACTGGCCATTCCCGACCAAAATATCAGATATCAGGTCTTGGCAGTGGCTGAGCCTGCCACACCGCTGATTGGCTTGCTCGCATTGCTTGCCCTTCTATTCGCTGGCCTTGTCGTGGAGCTACAACCAATTAGACAGGCCAGAACCAGCTACTCATCCATGGCATGATATAACCGTGCACTGGTCTCGACGGACCAAATTCTTCGACTGGAATATTCCCTGCGAGCCGAATCCGAAAAGCCAGTTAGACTCGAGCATTTGCGAGCAAACAAATGACAACGTTGATCCACGTTTGGCTGATGTCTGAGAATTACTGTGTACTACTTACAACCCTACGAGTCATATCTCCACCTAAGCACAACTCCTCTGGGATGAGACATGAAATAATCACAGGGCCAGACCATAGGAGAGGGTATAAATCACCCTGCACCTGCACGAGCACTACTTGATCTTCGCAATCAAGTTCTTCATCTTCAATCGCTACTGCCTTGAATCCTCGGAACAGTCAAAGTGCACATACCTACCTGCGTGAACCAACACCAACAGTTCTAACCATGACCTGCATCACCCATACCGAGTTCGACGGGAAAACTGAAGGGGTCACCGTGGCGGAAGCTTATTCAGGCTCCATCAAAGACCGGACCATCCTCGTCACCGGCGTGAACAAACGCGGGATCGGCTTCGGCATCGTCCAGGCCTTCGCATCCCAATCGCCACGCCGGCTCATCCTCGCAGGACGGTCGGCGTCAAAGGTGCAAGAGTGTATCGACGATCTGCGCTCGCAATACCCAGACGTCGACATCGACTACCGTCTCCTCCAAGTCGACCTCAGCGCCCAGGAATCGGTCAGGAAGGCGGCGTCCGTGGTCCTCAGCTGGACCGATGTTCCCACCATCGACTTGGTCATCAACAATGCCGGCGTCATGAACCTCCCTCAGAAGCTGCTCAGCCCGGAAGGAATCGAAATGCACCTCGCCACCAACCACATCGGGCATTTCCTCTTGACCAATCTGATCCTGCCGAAACTGATCGCCGCGGCCAAGAATTCGCCCCCTGGCTCGGTGCGTATCATCAATGTGACCAGCCTCGCCGCGTATCTGTCGGGTCTTCGTGCCAGCGACATGAACTTCAACAAGGCAAGCTCGGAAATCCCGGAAAAGGAAAGGCCGAATGCGGCGTTTCTGCGTGGCGGTGGCCTAGAAGCCGACGATCATATGAGCTACATTCCCATGGCGGCCTACGGACACAGCAAGGCCTGCAACATCTTGTTTTCCGTCGGTCTAAACGAGAAACTCTACGAGAAATATGGAATCTTGAGTCTCTCCTTGCATCCTGGCGAAGTTCGATCCGACCTCCACAGGACCACCGATCTGGACTGGCTGGACAAGGCCACCAAGTCGAGGGAGTCGCAGGGTTTCTTTTGGAAGACCCCAACCCAGGCGGCGGCCACCGCACTGGTCGGCGCCCTGGATCCCAACCTGGTCAGGCCTACAAGTGATGGCCACGGCTACTTCCTGAACGATTGCCGCATTGGCAAGGCTCCTCCTCACGCTGTCGACGAGACAGATGCCCACAAGTTGTGGGAGTTGAGCGAAGGGTTTGTTGGCGAGAGTTTTGCCTGGTGAAGGAAGATCTTGTTCTAATTTCTACAACTATATACTATCATATAGGTATACTAGTACTTGATTCTAACTAAGGTGCTACTAGAATGCTAATCTAGATTAGACCCAGATCAAACCCGGATCAAACCCGGATCGAAATCGGATCGAAATCGGATTGAACCTAGATCAAACCCGGATTATCTCTAAATTAAATCGTATAGTCGAAATGTACGTTGGAAAGCAGAGGAATGTAAAATAACCCTAGTATACCTTATATATTCACGCTTGCTAATGTTGTTGTCTGAAGACACTATAAGGGGTGCCACTTCGTGATAGTAGTATCAAAACTCTAGCTCCGTGCGTCGAAATCTTGTTTAAGCAATGCCGCTACCTAATAAACGACTGAGTTGTATCCACTATGGCGCTCCCACGTCGCCACGTCCCTTCTACCACGTCTTGACGATGGGATGCGCCCTGGTGAGTAGGTCGCGCACAATGGGCTGTAAGATATTAAGCATCCACTCAGCCACGTTCTTGTGGTGATCGCGACAGCTCTGCGCATCTGTGCTCTTGACAAAGTAGAAGGCATCGATAAAGGACATGTAGAAGGTCTGGTTCGCGGGATTGTAAAAGTGAACGTAGGCCACAGCCTGGCGCTGGCTAACAACGGAGGAGAAGGCGAGAGCATCGGTACAAGCGCGCTCACGACCGGGCTCGACGACGTCCAGCAGCCAGAGAAGGGATGCGACGCGGTGGGCGCCGGCACCGGCGGCCGAAGCTTCTGCGGCGTACAGGCTGCCCTTTGTAGCTTCGGATTCGAGCTCGAAGATCAGGCAGGGGAACATGTTCTCGCGAGAGGGCTGGGTGTAAGGCTGGGTGAAGGGGTGTTCGGCAACGCCAAGCTCCTCATCGCTCCACTCGGATTCAAGAGCGAGCGGGAAGCCAAAATGTTTGACGGGCTCAGGGGTGAGGATGGGGACCGAGGCCTCAGGGTTGCTCGGCAGCGGCTGCCTTGTCCATGGTGTGTCGCCGCCGCCTTCAGTTAGGGTAGGATAATAGTCGAGATCAAATAGCGGCGATTTGTTGATTGCAGAAACTGTGGGTTCCGCCTCATGCCAGATTTTGATCACAAGATTCTTGATCTTAGTCTGGTCTTGGTCGTCTAGTCATGGCAAGGTGCGTGGCTTCCGGATGTGCGTATCGATGAGATTTTGGACCTCGTGTGGTATATGAAGTCCCGCTTGGTCTAAAACAACGTTGTTCCGCTTCAGTGTGCCCCAGTACGCAGAGCTAGTGGGGTCAAGCCTCTTGGTCTGCCCCGAGAAAGTTGAGGGAGGGCTGTCTTGCTCTGGCATTTGATCGTCGACTGCTTCCCAAGGTGGCATCGAGTCCAGCGGCGAGAAAGCAATTTCGATTGACTCAATAGTAGCGGGGTTGCCTTGAAGCTCCTTCTCTTGAAGCACATTCTCTTGATCAGGAGCCCCTGCCCTGATACCGTCTAGCCACTTGTGGACGATGACGCTTGCTTGTGGGTGCGCGGTTGGTGAGAGAAGGCTCGAAGGCTCGCTTGCGAGGTTGGGTTCTGGCTGCGATGAGTCCTTACCTGGCATCTTGCACGCTGTATGATCGTGGGTAAGAGATGGACTGGGTGATGGGGTCGGGATGTCGGCTGATGCCTGCTGGCGAATACGCTTGCTGCCGGGGTACTCGCTTGTGCGACCCAGCCACTGGTCAAGGAAGGTCGCAAGTAGGAAGCATGATGATTAAAAGGAGCGCGAGGAACGGAGTTGAAGTTGAATAGCAGAGGTGGAAGATGGAGCTGGACGATGGAACTGGAAGATGGAGGTGGGAAGGGAAGATGGCGAGACACCGCGCGCTAAGATTCGCAGCAAACTCTATAATTACATACATAGTAGTATAAGCCTTAGGCTCAACCTCCTCTATTTTCTCATCAACTTTATCTTTAGGGCTACCATCTTTCAAGGATTATATAGAGTAGGTCTAGAACTTTACTCTAGTAAATATGAAGTACTCGACACGACAGCCTGGAAGGGCGTACACATATTCCAGTTGAACCTTTAGATTCGGTATGCCCGACAATATTGGAGATATTTCTAGGTAGTACTATAGAACCCGAAGAGATGTTACATGGATGGATCAAGACGAGTAAATCACCATCACATCATGGCTTGGGAAGAGCAAGGCTCTGTCTTGCCCGGCTTCAACACTTCCCAAAAAGAGCTCTCAAACCTGCGCGAATATCCCTGCTCAGCGACGTCCTTTTCAACCATGGAAGACGAGCCCAATTGGATGTCTCCTTTAGATTTACAAAGTACTATTTGGTGACTACTACTAGTAGTGCTAGTAGTACATTAGGACTTGTCGTTCAGGCGCAGCGATGCCCGTGACTTGAACCTTTCGACACAGGAGTGAATGAATACAATATCTACGGCATCATTGTCTCGACGATTCACCTGCCTCCTTCGCCAAGGCCCATGCTAGAATCGTACATTCACACCCACACACACACACACACACACACACACACACACACACACACACCACGCAGGGCCAAAAAGAATCAAGGTGCACCGAGACGGCAAACCAAAAAACCAAAAATCTAAAACGCCAAAAACTTTGCCTTGAAGCCCAGTAGTTGAACAGACAACCTTACTGAGGTCCAAGGGAGCGAAACCACATCCCACACAGAGCTGTTTAGGCTCCATGGGCTTGGGCAGCGATTTTTCCGAACACCCGTTTTCGAGTCCAACCGCTCTCTGCTGAGGCATGGACACCAGTTGAGCAGGGCTTATACCGCTACCCCACCCCGGTGGTGGTTTAGAATGGTAGACAGTCTAGAGGCCGAGGCTGGTCAGTGTTGCAGGGAATTTTGGTGATTTAGTATGTAACCTGGCATTATTTTGGACTGAGCCAGAGCCAAGATCAAGATCGATCATGTGATACTGCGGTAGTGCAGTGTAGTGCCGGTCAGAGCCTGAGGGTGAGGCAGGAGGGTGCCTGGCCGTGCTAGGTGGCAGTGTGAATCAAGCTGCCAAGATGTCTGTTGGATCCGAGTCATGACATATACATCACATACCTATGCCAGTGTATGTAATATGTAATCAGATTAATCGTCCTCCGGCCCACCATCTCAGTCTCAGGCGCGTGCCCTGCTGACTCAAGCTCGCACAGTGACAACAAAAAGCCGGGGATATCGAAGGCACACCTTCCCATCATGAAGAGGAGGATAGAGTTCCTCAATGCGTCGGAGGTAGGCGGCAAGGAAGCCTTCTCTTTCAGTGGGCGAAAGAGGGTCAATGAAGGGTCGGAGCCCGGTTCCTTTGACCCATTCCACAATGGCTTGGTGGTCGTCGAGCATGTGGTAGTAATAGGTGTGCCAGATATTGACATCCGAGCACAACGGCTTCAGGTGGTCGTAAATCTCCTGGGGTGATTGGAACGGCTTGCGCGCTGGAGCGTGCTGCCTCAGCGTCTCCGACCAAGGCCCATCTGCCGCGACCGAACGCATGGCCACGTGGGTCGGCTCCGACATGTTGTCCGGCACCTGAAACGCAAAGACGCCGCCCGGCTTTTGGCTTTGGATCAGATCGCTGAAGATCCGAAGCCGTTGGTCCGACGGCAGCCATTGAAACACGGCATTCGAGAAGAGCAGCTCGGCGTCTTCAGTGTGGCTGAACGAGGTCAAGTCGCCCAGCCGGAAGTCAAGCCCGGGCAGGCTTCTTCGAGCCTTTTCAAGCATGTCCGGCGACGAGTCTATCCCGATGATCTGCGCACCAGGGAACCGGTCCAGCAGCACCGCCGTCGAGTTTCCCGGCCCGCAGCCCAGATCGAGGATACGTTTAGGCCCGGTCAGCGGCACCTGCGATAGGAGGTCCAGCGCAGGTCGCGTGCGCTCGCGCTCGAACTTTAGATACTGTGTGGCATCCCAGTCTTTGGCCGCCATGGAGACGACGGAGCAGTAAAAACCCCGATGCTGATGCTGCCCAGGACGTCGGAGTGGATGACGGGGATGGGAATGGGAATGGGCCCTTTTCGATAAGCCTCTGGCAATTCCTCCTGCAACAACCGATGTGCGAAACAGCCTACTCGTAGGAATGTTGCTCATGCTCGTTGTTGCGCGTGTGAGATGGAACAAGGGGCCCTACGGCTCCGTCTTCAGCGAGGCACGTCCCAGGGCTCATACAGCAGGTGGAATTAAATCACTGGTCCAAGGTCGGCGAAGGAGACTTAGACCATCTACTTGAGAAGGCTTGAGAAGTAAAGCTTACAATGTCATTCAGTCTTGCTGGGTGAACGTCAAAACTAGGTGGTACTATTAGTCATCCATATATTGTGTCATCTCCGCTATCGGTCCAGTCACGTGAGATGTCGACGAGGCTGAGCCCACACTGGGAGCCTCCATCCTGGATTGATATACAATTCAAGGCATTGGGTGTAAACAGGAAAGCTCGCCTGACCTTCCTTGGGTATTAGAGTTACTCGGTTTGACGGCAATGAATCGTCTCACTGCTCTTGATGCAGGAAGGCCCCTAAGCCTGCCGTTGGGCAAAAGACTGATGGCATACTGATGGCTCAAGGGCTCATTCCGGCCCGAGATGTATATCAAGAAGAAGCACAAGTACTTGAGAGCGGAAAAACCTAGTGCGTCCCGCTCAGACCGACACCGATACGAATCAGCCCCGTGGATGGGAGCGGATGCACAACGCCTGGGTCGATTCAACCGAGGCTTTTGTCCTCAGCCTCGTCGCTTCCCCGCACTGTACGGGAGCAGAGACAATGTAGGAGAAGCCGATTCTCCGTACCCTGGATGTTCTGGTAGCCGAGACCGCCGGGCAGCCTGTGGCGCACAGAGATGTTCTTCATGAAGTCGTTGTATCCTCTGTCTGGGACCTTGATTTTCGCAGCCAGTTTGGACCTCACCTTCAAGCCTTCAGATGTCAGCAGGTCTTCGGCACGAATCCTGATATCGGCCACATAGCCCCCCTTTGGACATTGGACTAAGGCCCGCCTCGGACTGGTCTGCCGAAACTGGCCTCGTCTGCCAACCACACCAGACTCTCAGGTCTTCGAGCACTATGCCCCAAACAAAGCTCCACGTTGGAATATGCGGAGGGGGTCTTGGGGGCCTCGCAGCGGCGATCGCAATAGCCCGGGCGGGAGCAAAAGTCACGCTGCTAGAAGCTGCGCGAGAACTAGGGGAGATAGGTGCAGGGATCCAGGTATTTCCCAATGTCTCTCGACTTCTTGTGAGATGGGGGGTCGACGAACTTATTGGGAGAAACCTCATCCTGGTGGATGAAATCAATACATGGAGTGCCGACAACCATTTGATCGCACGCTTTGACCCAAAACTCGGCGCAAAGCAGGCGGGATTTCCACACTGGTAGGTCTGGTTACTCTGTCAGCTGGGTGTGGTCTGCAAATGATGGTGTTCAGTGGGCAGTAACCTGGAGAGAGATCCTCCGGTTAACACACTACAGGCTTGTCCGGAGAGACCACCTGCACGCAGGGCTTACCGAAAGTGCACGTCGACATGGCGTTGAGCTGATCGTTGGATCCCGGGTTGACACCCTTGAGTACTCCAAAGATTCCGTCAAAGTCACCACAACCTTGGGCGTCGAGCATTCTTTCGACCTTTTGATTGGATCCGATGGCATCAAATCCACCATCCGACAAAACTTGTTCCCAGGCGTTGTTCCTCAAGCTGCTTCAACAGTGGCTGCGTTCCGCGACATTCTTTCTTACGAAGAGGTCTTTGCCAAAGTACCAGGGGCAAGACAGCTTCTAAGGAATACGATGGACGGCTGGATTGGCCCTAACGGATATATCTTGCTGTATCCACTGTCAGCGGGCACCGAGTTGAATGTTGTCACACTCTTCCAGATGGACCACGTTGTCAAGGTTCCAGAAGTCATGGAAATCAACGAGTTCCGCCAACTGTACAAAGATTGGAATCCCACTGCCCGTAAGATCCTCGAGCTGGTCAACTATACGCAAAAGTGGCCTTTGCTTGTGCTCCCTCCGATGAAGTCGTGGTCGAATGAGCACAAGAATGTTGTGCTTCTCGGAGACGCGGCTCACTGTATGCAAAACCACATGGTAAGATTGCCCCAGCCGTAAGCTTTAGATGTCATTGACACTCTGTCATAGGCGCAAGGAGCAGCGACGGCCATGGAAGACGGCGCTTTCCTAGGCACCGTCATCAGTGAAGTCGTCCGTGGTACAATCAGCCTCTCTGAAGCAATCGACTTGTATGAGAAGAAGAGAATGCCTCGTGCCTGGGTCAAGCAACAAGCCTCTTTTGTGTCCGGCACCATCAACATGGCCGTAGGCGAGGCCGCGGAGAGGAGAAACAAGGCATCTGCCCCCGAAGTCAAGAGTTGGGATCACAACATCATTCACCCGAGCGATCTGTTGCCTCCAACTTACCGGTCGTGGCAGATGTATTGTACCCCAGCAAGCATCCCTGGCATATTGTACTATGACCCGGAGGGCGATGCTGACAGTGCTGTTTGTGAGTACTTGCAAAGCAAGACGGAGATGGACCCAACCACTTTGGTTACCAAAGGCCTCTGGGGTAAGTGGTGGGGAGCCATTGACAACAATGGCATCGATGGTCATTGAGCACGAAGCCAATAATAGCGGTGGTGGGTGAGATTTGCTGCTGCACATCTCCCCAGGCAACGCTGCAGAGATTCCCTGCTCCCTGCTCTTGGCTGATCCTATGTTCTGTAGTATGCTGTCTCACCTCGGACGCCTCGCATTGTCAGTGATCAATACTATACAGTCCTGTCACATCTTGACGACGAAGTACAAATGTGTAGGCTGCGCCACGGATCAGGGAACCTGGATGCCTGCACTGGACTGGAGGTTGCGAGCCCCTCCAGAACACTCGAGAAGCGACTCTTAACTTGTTCCCAGGAGCTTACTGTCGGCTTTGTCACAGCCTCTCTTGAACCCGGAGCAGCTCTCAAGGATGAGATACGCGACAGTGTCAAGCCTTGCCTCCGAGATCCCGCTCTTGTCTGACCTACTGCCACCCGACGGTCGCGACGGAAGTGTGATTGTTGTGTAGGATCCGAGGATAGCCGCGTTGCACGGAGGATGAGCCCAAGTGCGGGTGAAGAAGGAGGAAGATTCCGACCGTGTCAAGCTCCGGGTTCATCGCTTTCGGGTGCTGGGCAAGCCGGCACACCAAGACGATAGATATGTAATAGGATCAAATCTGCAAGCATTAATTAGTAACGATAACGATGAACTGACCGGAGCCAATAAGCAGTCGTGCATAGACGTGATGGTTTAGGTGTTGAGGTTGCCATTTGCCGGGAGCTGATTAGGACGCCTTAGGCTCCTTAGGCTCGTTGAGCCCAGGGGGGAGCTTAGCAGGCCAAGGCTAACGAGGCCCCCGAAAAAGAAAAGTCGGCCCTGCCCAGTGCCCACCAAGTGACGTCTCTGCCCCTGCGAGCCTAAATTTCCCATCCTTTTGGCACCCGCCCACGCCTAAACTGGTTGCTTCTTACCCACCACCCCACCGGCCTGCGCCCGAATCTATGAAACTGCGCTCTCTCCAATCCGATCTTGCATCACCCAAACCCCATGCCATGCCGGACCAAAAAGTTGTTGAGGTGGTAAGAAAGTCCCATCTTGCGGCCTGAGCCCTCTTACAAAGACCGGCCTTGGTCCTTTCTTCTGTCCTCGAGCGACATATGTAAGGTAGACACGTCATGCCACGGTTGTTACACACGCGCTGTCCATCCTCCTTGCTGCGACATCTAAGCCTCAGCCCATCAAACCTCAACTCTCCGAAGCCAACTCTCCTTCAAAGCCAATTCTCACTGCCACGACCCCGACCCACGCAGCAGCCCGGACTCCGAATCGGCCGTCTGCACCATAGCTCGTCCCCTTTGTCGTCGTTCATCTCACCGTCTGTCGCCTTCTCCCGTCGATTTTACTGCTCCAAGCACACCTCACCCTCTGGCGAAGACCTCTCTACGAGTCCCATCGACACCGACATAGACAATAGAGAATCAGAGGTAGACATGGCGCCTTCAGGTTCGTCGCATCTTCCAACTTGCCCACCCTCGTTTCCACGTGACAGGCGCCAGATTTGAAGATAAGATCCTGGCCCGGGTTGAGATCAGATCCCACCCGCTGTTTTTCGTTGACCGCCTAGACGGACCCGCTAACCAACGAATCTGCAAACCAGCAAACTCTTCTCCCGACGACGCATATGCAAGAGCATTCAACAACAACAGTTTATGGCGCCGCTCGCTGGCCGAGACAGAGCCGCAACTGTTCGAGTCCATGAGTCAGGGTCAGTGGTGCTCCTTGTCAACACCGCACCACTCGGTGGATTTACATGATGCGGACAAATGTCACTGACTCCGGGCACATTAGGCCAGTCTCCACAGATCCTGTGGATCGGGTGTGCTGATTCGCGCTGCCCGGAGACCACCATCCTCGGCCTGAAGCCCGGTGAGATCTTCTGCCACCGAAACATCGCCAACATCCTCGTCAACACCGACGTCAACTCGCTGTCTGTCATCCAGTATGCCGTCCAATACCTTAAGGTTAAGCACATTATCATCTGCGGACATACCATGTGCGGTGGCATTGCTGCCGCTCTCGACAACAAGAGGCTGGGCTTGATCGACACCTGGCTGATGCCACTGCGGGCTCTTCGTCAGGAGAATCTTCCGCTGCTGAGCAGTCTCGATGAATTCGAGAGGGGACTGAAGATGGTCGAGTTGAACGTCCGCCAGGGGGTCAAGCAGCTGCTTGCCAACCCCGTAGTCATCGATGGCATGCATGAGCGAGGCCTGCAGGTTCACGGGCTGATTTACGATGTCCGCACTGGTGAGCTGAGGGAGTTGGATATCGAAGAAGAAGAAGAAGTTGTCAAGAGTCGTGTTGTTGCTTTCAAGACTGTCTAGATCGTTCGTTTGCTGGAACAGGTTTAGGCTTAGGCTTAGCAGCTGAAGGGAATCAATCACCAGAGCGACGTCTTGGGCTGTTGAACCGGTCGAGCGCGAGTTGGCTTGTGTCGCGTATGGCTAGCGTTAGGAGTTTTGTAGGGGGACGAATGCTGTAAGCCCTCTGAGAGTTATGGGCTTGGACAGAATAGAGGAGGTATTCATACGTATTGTTAGGGAAATGAGGATGCCAATGTGTCGTGGACGACTAGCTTTGGTTCTAATGTACAAGATTGAGGGCGCAGTGTCACTGGCGGTGAAGTTTTGTTTGACCCGATTTTGGGGGTTGAGTACTCCTATAATTTGAGGCGACAGCCCTTCAGTCCTGAAACTCAACACAGTTGGCGAGTTTTCGCTTCCATCCCATCGACTAATCCAACAATACCTTCCCTGGCTCTTCAGCCCTCAGCACGAAGCATGCCATCAGCCGTGCATTGCGCCGACTCCGACAGAAAGAAAGTTTCCGTTCCACCGCCTAACAGTCCCTCTGAGATGAAAAGACAAGACAAGACAGGAGCGAGCCTGTTCCCTCGTTCATAGGGCATGGTGTCCGAAGGCCAACTCTTGAACGAGTGAGTGCGGTTCACTCGGACATTAGATCATCGCGGCGCTTCTTGCTCTCCTCCTCCACTTCCCTGCGTCGCTTCGAGATCGCGTTTGCGTCTTCCTTCTTCCGCCAGCATGAACCGGGATCGTCGACGTTCTTCCTCTTGTTGCTCCACTTCTTCTTGGACCGACATGATATTCCCGGCTCCGTGCTGCTGGTTATTGAGACGAACCTGCGCCAGAACCTCGGACAGCGGCATATTGCGCCGATCAGGTGACTTGGGGAGGGTGTCTCTCGATTGGGTCATGAGTGCGCACAACTCGTCGCACTCGGTCGGAGTCAGAGTGCTGTTTTGGTTGTCGGCGATCGAGGCATACTGCAATCCACGCAGCTTGGAGATTTTGCCCTGCAGCTTGCGGCGCCAGTGCAAGATTTCCGCTTTCTCTTCCGTCTCTAGTTCCGCTGGGCTGGTAGACGGGTTTCGCTTGACTCGGATAACATGGATGTTGAGCCAGCCACACAGCTCGATGTGGATTGCATCTAGCTGGTGTCGATCCTTCAACCAGCAGAAGAAGCCGAACCACTCTTCTTCGAACGTCAGATCAATGGCACTGCGTATATCAAGGTACACTGGCGGGAAGCCGGAATCAATGCGCACTGTGAGCGAACGTATGTTCGAGAAGTTCATTGTTCCAATGTGTGTGGTCCACCAGCTGCAGAGGATTGGGTCGTCGAAGACGAATGTGCGACCTCCGTAGAAGACCTGGCTGCCAGTGGCTCGGAAGAGTTTGTTGACCCGCAATAGCTGTAGATTGACGTTGTCGTTCACAGCCTCGTCACCCTTCCCGACTCGTATGTACCCGGCAAGCATGCCCTGGCGATAGAAGGGCCACATGAATTGTTCACCAAGCCCCTCGAGAACAAAGACATGGCCTATGATTTTTCGCAAGATATCGACCCCAAGATCCTGGAAGAGGAAAGGTGAGTTGGTGGAAGCAGACGGTTTGACGATCTTGGTCACCGATTCCGCCTCGGTCATACTGCCAGTGGCGCCCAGAGATGAAGACAGAGAAGACTTCAGGGCTGTATTGTCTTTCTGCATGCCCCTTGAGACAGAGGTAACTGCCTGCGCATTATCGGAAGCTCCCACTTCTGGCCTGGACAAGACGGGTGATGGTAATGGTTCACGGCCATGACCTGCCATCCTCGACTGTTCTGCACCCATTCTTTCAGGATAAGTCAGCACGAATGTCTGTGAGATTGAACTTGTGTAAGTGTCTAGTGTGTCGAATGACAGGGCCCAATTGGGGTTGATGGCAGGAGAGGTAGAAGTGAGAATACCACCGATCTAGAAGTCACCTTACCTTTAGGTTCCAGTCTGTGGTGGTCCAAGGCTGGACAGTGATACCTAGACTTTGTCGTGAGTGACCTCCTTCTGTCGGAGGGATGTTACTCGTAGCTGCGACACGCAGCCTTGTCAGCGCGACTGGAGTGACGGAGACTGTGTATTTGGTATTTATGCTACTGGGATCAAACCATAATAGCGTAAAAGGACAGACGAGAGTGTGTAATCCGAGATATGGAAGGAGACGTAGGGGTGGTGATAGAGAAAACAGGATTGCTCTTCATGTAGCAAGTCGCGCGATAATGGGCGCAGCGAGGTTTTCACTTCTCAAATTCACTGACAATAGTTGTGCGGGTGCGGCAGAAATGAAGGCGCGGACTGGTCAACTTCTGAAAGCCTTGAATGCCTCTGCCACAGTCATTCCCTGTGCCACTGCTTCTTTGATCTTGTCGTCGGCCGAGACAAGCTTCGGCATCAATGACAAAGTCTCGTCAAGTAAGTCTTGCGGGATGACCACCACGCCTTCGAGAGGATCACAGAACACAATGTCGCCCTAGGAATCATCAGTGACTGTCGTATCGACTTTTCACCTCAGAGACGAAAACTCAAGCACAATCGCAAGCATAACCACAACGTACCGGAAGCACGCTCACGCCGGTTATGGATACCGGGACATTGCGAGCATATACTGTCGACTCGGCATTTGTTCCGACAGTGGACTTGCCCAAAGCAAATATCTGACTGGTCAGCTTGCCATTTAATCATGGTAGCCCGAGAGAATAAAGCAATGATAGGAGGTCCAAGATCTTGCTGGGTATGGGGCGACGTACGGGCAATCGAGAGTGTCTGAGCTCAGCCATGTCTCTCACCCGTCCTCCGACTACACAGCCTGCAACTCCTCGGGCCTTCATACGTTGGGCCATGATGCCCCCAACGGCTGCACACTTCTGGCCTTCAGGTTGATCGATCACGACCACAGTTCCGGCCTCGGTCAGATCTACCCAGTGACTCCCCTTAGGCACCGTATTTTCGGCCGGTGGCGCTACCTCAGGGGGGGACTGCTTTGGCACAAGTTTCAAGGTAGATGCCGGAGCAGCGATCCTTTGCCCTGTCTCGGTGTGTGTCTGTGGTGGTGGGATGGGCCCTTTTCCGAGTCCAATCAGCTATGCTGAGAGCAGCAAAATAAAGAGCTTACCAATATCTGCGAGGAATCCAGCTCGCGCAACCTCGCCAGGCTTGATCTTCTGCAATTTGAGCAGAGCGTCTGAGACCTGATCATGTAAGACGCGTGTACATGGCTGCAAAGGAGAAAGATCCTTACATCGCAAGCAGAATAGTCCTGCAGCTGCCGGAGTTTCCCTTGGAGGCTCTCTGGGCGGAGAGAGTCGGTTGCCATCGCGGAGAACAATCGACTCCAAGATGGCCGGATTGGAAGGACAGAGTCACTTCGATAACAAAAGGTTAGATGACCAGAAAAGCCTGTTAGAAATGTGCGATACAGCCTCTTGGACATGTCGGAGCACTTGTTGAGATGAAAGGAGGGTCACTGTAGCGCAGTGAGATGCGAGCAGGTCCGGCTTGGCCTTGTCTCCGACTCCGGAGATGCCCAAAGGCTGGCTGAAATTGAATCTCATAGGTACGTGACGACGTGAAGACCGCGGGAGAATCTCTCTAAAGACAGTGGATGGGAGATGTCTACTTCTTATAACAAGTGAAAAGGTACATGTCCGCCTTGGAATATGTGCGAGGAATGCTCGGCTGCGCTTTGTCTGCCCTTGGATGCAGACCCGTCAACAGCCACGGATGCCACACAACGACCCTATCTCCCCAGACCTCTGCAGAGGTTTGTCTATTGGTAAACACTGCAGGGCTCGTGGATTGGAAAGGTATTGTAGAAAGCCGGATGCGCATGTTCCAGTTGGAGGACGAAGAAGAAGGTTGGATTTGGTCATTGTTGTCGTGGTTTGCATCTGGGACTGCCTATTGCTTCTACCTGAATATGATAACTCCAACCTGATGATGAAAATCCTGCTCCTAGTATGTGATTCCATTCCTCGTTTCACATATGTACAAGGTGGTCCTTTGAGGGAGGTGGCCCAAGGCAAATGAGCTAATTCAAGTAATTCGTGGTTCGGCCTGCAGTAGTCGTTAAGACAGTGAAATATTTGCCGGATCGTAGAGGAACAAACCTTCCATCTGCTGTTCACTGGCGAATGTTAGCATTTCAGCAAAGAACACCAGAGTCGCTAGCCTACCTTCGAAACCAGCGGGCGCCTCAACCGCATCGGACTGGCCTCTCATGCTCCCAGTCAACCGATAGTCTCTGTCCATCACTAACATCATAAGTAAATTGCAGGCTAGCCTGAAGGTTCAAACTGACATTGCCTGTCCCAAACATCTAATTGTCTTCTCGGTCGCTTGTAGTCATTGGTGTAGTATCGAAGTGATGCGAGGCCAGCGCCCTGTCGAGACTTCTTAGCTTGGAAGACACAGAAGAAACTGGTGTGCTTACTGTGACTCCAAAAAACCCGGTCATAATCACATAGGGAAGCAATGCCTCGAAAGGGACCCCCATGGTGAGAAGTTATGCGTCGATGTAGTAATGTCGGAGACTCAACGGCTGATAGAAAGATGCAGGGTTGAAGACGACCTTGGCTGGGTGCTAGCCGGCTGTTTACCCTCCACGGCAATCGACTCTGTAGTATGCTCACTGTCACGGAAAGAAGGGACGACAATCGGCGCAGTCGAGCTTCACCCGGAACCTTGAAGCTCAATGCCCTTCCGCCAAGAGCAGATACAGCAGGCTCTATTACACTTTGGGAAACAAGATGACGCCGCCTTAGGCTCGAGAGATCTCACGTGATGCTACCTAGTATGCCCTCTCTTCACGGCGACTACAGCGGAAGTTTCTGTTCTCCTAGATGATTACCTGATGTATAGTCAAGTCTGCGCTCTCATCAGCTACGAGAGGGTCATGTATCCACCCTGTTAGGGATATATCCCAAATGGCATGAGGGTGATTGTCCATACATGTAGACTCCATCACCGAGGTTCTCATTCCTGACCACACAGGGAAGGTGCGGCGAGTAGATGCATCACATGACTTGGTATCACGTGGAAGCAACTTCGGCTGCCTTGTGTGGTGGTCGGCTTGGGACCTGGGGTGCGACTGTAGACATGCAGCAGAGACGTCTCGACCGTTTCAACACGACTATAGATGCTTTGTTAACGCGTAATAGTGTTACCAAGCCGCAATCAACTGTCTTGAATACTGTTGCGAGAGGTGCCGAGCCGGTCTTCACGCGTCGAACCTATCCAGACCCTAGCGAACATATTGCCTTGCGCCGCGAGAGACGCACTTCTTTTAGACGACGAGATGTCGAGCCATATTGAGACGACCGTCGGTTGAATATGAGAATCTCATATCGTATATTCCGTACAAACAAATGTGCCCAAACACTTCTACAACGGTGATCACGCCTCCGCAGCCGAGTCACGCAAGTCCCGCTTTAAAGGTTGCGATTTGATCCAACGATCATGCCGCCTCTTGCCCTAGAGGACGAGGACGAGCTGTCCAGTATCGATGGAGTGGGAGCAGAGGTTACTGTAGCCTCCACCGAACGAAACACAGACGGTGACGGAGACGGAGACGGATCCGCAGACACAGACACTGCGGTGAAAAAAGACCCGAAGATGGCGGCCACAGAGGAATTTGTCACACACGCAACGAATCCAGAAGATAACGCTTTGGGCGAACAATTACAGAGATCGGCTGAAGAAAGCCTGAGCGACGCTGACGGCGGAACTGTTTCCGTTGCTCAAACGGATGTGATCGAAGATGTTTCCATGGTTGATGTTGACGCTGAAGGCGAGAAGCAAGAGACCACTTCGGGCGATGGGGCCGAGGAAGAGACGGGAGAAGAGGGCGATGGCGAGAGCGACGCCTCGGATAGCTCTGGAGATGCAGACGCAGACGCAGACGACGATGAAGATGATGCTGAGGCGAGATCCGAATCTCCAGCATCGGGAGCGAGTGACGCAGATCAAGAAGACCTAGAAACGAAAGGACGATGCATATTTTGCAAGCGAGAAGAAAGTGCACCCGTTGGAGGAGCTGAGTCCGATTTGAGCTGCTCTGAGTGCGGCAACCGAGCGCATTTGCATTGTGCCCGGGAAAGGGATGCGGTGAAGGAAGAAGGCAACGTGCAATGGCAGTGCCCCGAATGCCCGAAGAAAGGCACACTGTCACAATCTCCGAAGGAACAGACTACTCGATCCAAAAATTCCGCGCCTCGACTTGTCAGAGACCTGTTACCGGTGACGCGTGGTGTGCAAAAGCCGAACTCGCACTCGATCTTTGCGCAACCGCTTATATCAGAAACCGAAGACGGAGGACGTGCACTTAGGAAGAGAAAGTCGCCGACGCAGGAGCCACCGACAACTGAGAAGAGACGTCGAAGGGTTACGCCTCGAGCGTTGGGAGGTGCAACAAGCACCATAGAAGTGGACAATAAGTCGGAAGCTGAAAGAGCCATTGCGCATTCGACCAGAAGATCCAGCCAGAAAATAGCACGGCCTGTGGCGCGGATACTGCAGCATCGCCCCTTTGAGAAACCGCCTCCTCATAAATTCATTCTCGCATTTCGGCTAGACCAAGTGAAAGTCGCGGAGATTCTGAGCAAACCCCCTCGGCCTGGTAGGCGAAAAGAGAAGAAGGACAGGAGGAAGCCCCCGAAAATACCTCCACCAATCTTCCAAACCCCGGTTCCTAAGTTCCCGGCACTACCGACGCAACATCTCATATTCCCCTCGGCATTTACAGACCGGGAGGCTGAAGTCAATGCCAAACCGTACGGTGGTATTCTCTCGGAAGCTGATGCAGACACGAGTCGGTCGCTACCGCAGCTGAAGGACCGAGAGGTCTTCGAGATTGCCAGAAAAGAGGCAGAAGAGGAACGCCGGAAAACATCTGCGGCGGCTGAGGCAGAGATCCACGGAGATGTGGCAGCGACAAAACCCAACCGGACCGTGTCAGGACCACCCAGCAAAATCAAGTGCATCCAATTTGGAAAGCATGTCATTGACACGTTCTATGCGGCTCCGTATCCAGAGGAATACTCCCATGAATCGAGATTGTTTATCTGTGAGTTTTGCTTGAAGTACCTGCCTTCGGAATTCGTCGCATACCGGCACAAACTGAAGTGTCCGGCCAAACATCCTCCCGGAGACGAGATCTATCGAGATGGCACCATCTCAGTCTGGGAGGTCGACGGGCGCAAGAAGACCGAGTACTGCCAGTGTCTCTGTCTGATGGCCAAGATGTTCCTTGGGTCCAAAACCCTCTATTACGATGTCGAGCCCTTCCTCTTCTACATCTTGACCGAATATGACGAACTCGGGTATCATTTTGTGGGATACTTCAGCAAGGAAAAGAGACCGACAAGCCAGAACAATGTCAGCTGCATTCTGGTCATGCCTATCCACCAGCGGAAGGGCTACGCGACTTTCTTAATCGACTTCTCGTACCTGTTGACAAGGATCGAAGGCAAAGAGGGATCGCCAGAAAAGCCTCTGTCAGACATGGGGCTGACGGCATACCGTTCGTATTGGGATCTGACGATATCCAGACACCTTCTAGACTTGGGCCTGAAGCCGTTCAGCACCAAGACCCTGATGGCAAGGACTGGGATGACCGCTGATGATGTGATCCACTCACTCGAACGACTCTACGCCTTCACTCGAGACCCCGTGACTAAAACATACGCTGTCCGGTACGACAAGAAGCTGTACGAGGCGACCGTGACTGAATACGAGTCCAAAAAGCATCGAGAACTGAAACCGGAAAACCTGATCTGGACCCCCTATGTCATGGGAAGAAGCGATCAAGCTACACTCGATGGCCAACCGCTCCACTCTCTTGCACCACGGGATGATGAGGTCGACAAGGAGGAGGAGGAGGAGGAGGAGGTCGACAGTCAAACCGCATTGTCAAAAGTAGCAAACTCCCTCAATGATGCCGCGGACGTTGAAGCCGACCAACTGTCACTGCGACCAAGGTCTCAATCGACAAGGGAACGGTCGCAACAAGAATCCACGGCGCAGGAAGATGTTAAGGACCCGTCTTTGGTGAATGAGCAAGGCCACGTTGCCCCTGGGCCACCACCGACCGACGCTCTCAATCATGCAGTCACTAGTCATGTCGCTCACCCGGAGATTGTCATTAACGACCTCGTCAATGGCGAGCCGACAGCTGAAGAAGAAGCTGCAATCAACAAACAGGATGGGCCTGCGGAAGAGCCACTGGGTGGTTATGCACTGGCGTATCGCACGCATGCAATCCCTCCCACGCGCTTCCAGATCGACCCTCCCATTCCGTCGGCCATGCTCCGCAGACAGAACACGAAGAGACGAAACCATACCAGCGCGTACGGTGCTCAGAAAACGAACGGGCTCGCGGACACGCCGTCGGCTCCGGTCGCCGTGCGTAGCTCCCCGCGGAACGCTGTCACCATCAATGGCGGCGCGGCAAACGGTCGCCCAAGTCCCCTCGCCTCACCGGACAAACTCCCTGACACGCCAGTAAGGCGCAGTGGGAGGGGAAAGAGAAGTGCTCTTGCTACCGTGGAGAGTGCTGTCCCTGGTCTGGATGGGATGGTCGATGACGAGGAGGCCGGAGGTGATGAGGCCTCTCGTCAAGTGGACGAAGTGAAAGCCGAAGCAGACGCCGAGGATGGTGATGGCGAGGAGGCAGATGAGCTGGAAGGCTCAGCCTCATCTTCAAGCGAAGAGGATGACGACGCTTCCGTGGCTGAGCAGGACGAGGACGAGGACGAGGACGAGGATGAGGACGATGATAATGACGATGACGGGGACGGGGATGTCGAACTCCCAGACGACGAAGAGAGCGAAAGTGCGAGTGCGGAGGGGGATGAAGATGGCGACGACGACGACGACGACGATGATGCCGAAGTCGATCTTGATGACGCCGACGAAGACGACGACGAAGAAGTCGGCGAAGATCAGGACGAAGGCGATGACGGCTGATGCTCTCCATCATTACCCTCCTTCCATAGTGTCTGCGGGTTTATTTTTGGGGGGTCCCGCCTATCCCACAGCCTTGGGCCATTGGAAACCGATGCGTCGGTGTTTGGTGCATCCATACAATCCCCGCCGTTCCGTTCATTCAGATAGGATAGACCTTCTGCCTACGGATAGATGGATACATAGTATGTATGTAGAGGATAGATCCTTCACGCCTCAGGCTTATCCATCCCGCCGAGGATCAAGTTGACATCCAGCCATGGTTTCTTTTCGCCGACGTGTCATGACATGTTCAGTGTCAGTGTCAGAATCAGTGTCAGTATCAGTATCAGTGTCAGTATCAGTATCAGTGTCAGTATCAGTATCAGTGTCAGTATCAGTGTCGGTATCAGAGTGAACAGTGCAGTGCAGTGCAGTTAGGGATTTCATGTCCATGCTTCCACCGGCGTGATACCGCCGGCATACAACACCCTCACTCACTACTACTACCCAGCTAGCTACTACTACTATGTGGCCCCTTGTCTGCTCGTCAACTACGAGTACGTATCTGGAGCTTTGGATTTATCCCACAAGCAAACACGAACGAACATTTCACACGGGGACGACTGGAAAAGCCAAAAGCATTCAATTGCAGTCCAAGCCTCTGTAATCATCAACTAGGAACAGCCTTGTCGCATCAGCGCTTCACGCATGCCCGTCTTGTCTCCTGCGCTGCGCTGACTAGTCAAATGTTGTGCCAGATGATTCACCATGGCACCGAAGAACCTTGACGCAAGGATTGTGCTTGTCTAGCTTCCTCGCCTCTTGCGTCAATCGCCTCTCAATGTTTGCCTCCCCTGCTCAATCTTACAATACCAACACTGGCATCTATCCATCACCTGCCTTAGGATATACCACTGCCACCACCCCTTCACAATATGAGCATATGCTGATAGTTGGGTCCCCTTCTATCTTCACCCCTGGTCGTTTAGCCTCCCTGTTCGAGAGCGTGGCCGGTAGAAGCCTGTCGTCTCCATCCTCTCCGCGCGGCGCATATCAATCTTGAATTGCCACATATGCTTCTGCCACTGTTTGGCGTTTGACCCCTGCCGAGTTGAGTCAAAAGCCCGTTGGCGCGCGCCCCTTTGATATCTCGGATGACTACCAACCTCTACTGAGGTTTCTTTTGAGCATTTGCGCCTCCGACATACTTGCGCAGGTCCGTGGCTTCCACAAGCTGACGGCCGAGTCCCTTTGTGGTCTCCCAACCTTGCCTGACAACCGGGGGAACATTGGGGTTCTGAACCCGCTGGTCGAGGTGTGCAGATCCCTGACTGAAAGCATTTTGCACAAACTGGCTTTGGTGGAAACGAGCTCTCAAGAAGACGGAATAGATACCAAGAAGGACCCAGGAGCCTTTGCTGAATGTCAAGGCGGACAGCAGGAGGCGGAACCACAAGGTAATCTCCAGTCCAGCCACCAGGAACATTGAAGTGTCATAGTACTCCTTCACGAACTTGCCAATCGAGTTGGCCAGGGGAGACTGCGACTTGGCGGCGCCTGGGGAGGTGGGAGTGCTCCCCGGGACAGCTTTGGGGGGCGTGATGGTGGGAATGATGTTGGTACGTGTGTACGTAGCAACATGGAAGACCGAGTAAACGGTAAATGGCAACAGAGCCAAAGGCACCTGTCTTGAGTACAACCAGACCAGGGAGATCACTGCTCCAGGGTCAGAACTGAGGACTCGGTGGTATCCGAAAGTACTCACGAAGATATTGGACATTTTCATCTGATAGCAGGGTGTAGGCGGTCTGGCCGATGGGAGCACCTGGCCTCACCCGAGCACGATAAGCCTTGAATACGACGATACCGTAAGTCGCAACTGCGGAGAGGAAGGCCAATCGGTAGGTGAAGGCGGCCCATTTCGAGTAGTAGTTAAGTGTAAAGTAGGAGAGGGCATAGCGGAAGACGGCGAGCAGGAGGGTGAAGTGACCCGCGAACCACGCACTGCTCTCGAGTTAGCCAGAATCGTTAGGCACACGTAGAGCCGAAGCCTTACAATTGCAGAGTAGTGACGAGCTTTGTGACGCGTTCGCCCAACGGCGCAGTGCCTGGAGGCGGGGGTGCCATTGCTTAAAGCTGGTCGACAAAGTTGGGAGGAGGGGGCGGTCAAGGACTCGAGCTTGAGTAGCTCTGCTCTGGTGCAATTGCGGGCTGTGAACCAAGTTGGTCGAGGGGGAAAAGATAGCGGAAGAGGTGGAATGAAAGACGGCGAGTAGCAGAGGAGTCAAGAAAGATCCGGGGGGAGGAAAGCTACGCAGCGTGTGCAGCTAAATAAGTAGCAGTGGTGGTGGTAGTGGTGGTGGTAGGAGGAGGAGACGAGCAGTTGGCCAGTTTGCAGTTTGGCAGCAGGAGGAGCAGAAGCCTGAAAGTGGCTTTAACTGCAGCGTAGTGCGGTGCGGCACCGCATGACGACGAATTATTGATGTGGCTGCGATGATGTCAATTGACCTCCAGAGTGATGGTGACATGACAGCCAGTTGCCAGCTGAACCCTCTTCCCTCCCGTCTGCCACCTGCGCTTGTTACTACCAGGTACCTACTCCGTACTGCTACAGCGCACTCCATACGGATATCCCTTAGTAGTGTGGCTTTGATCCAGGGCGCACCCGCGCGTGTGACGAGTCTGGCGTGATCTCTGCCCTCTGCTGGATTTACCACAAGATCCCTCAGCCTCACCCACCCCCCCGACCGTGCCTCTCTCAGTGACCGACTGAACTGTCACCCGTCGGTACGAGTACGCTACCGGGATTTCCGCTGTCCACATTCGTCTAGGTCTTAATCTGCCCCGATACCAATCGCAAACGGGAAACTGGTCAAGTGACGGTTTTGCTGGTGGTCATTCCATTCAAATCACGCTTTTGGAGGATAGCTAAGTAGGTACACAAGGCAGCCGACGTACACTCAAGAGTGCCAGTGCCTGCTGAGAAGTCCGTTCAAAAGGATTCAAGAGAAGACCTGTGGGAGAAGGCACCCTCTTCCACCCTCCCACTACACCATACCACTCGCACTACTCGCCACTTCACCGCTAGAACAGACACAGGCATAAAGAAATGATTTGTAGCTGGCTGAAGGTCCTTCGTCCCATCCACCAAAGGTAGGATCGCGATTGGAATTGCTGAAACCCGGATCCTTTCCGGGTCATGCACAATCCAAAGGTTGTTTCCTCTCGAAGCCCTCCCCCAGCCTGGGAAAATCGTGTATGTGATGTGATTAGGTAGCGACTGCGCAACAGTACCAGTCTGTCGCTTGCTCAGTCAATAGCAACAACAAGGTCAGGAAATGAAAGGAGGGTGGGTGAAGCAGAATTCGCCTTCATCGTCTCGTCGCTGAGTGAAACTGGAAACAGCAGATAGGGAAGAACGGGCCAACGAGGAAGAATGGGTCGCCGTCGATGCCTATCGGAGCGAGAATCCCTTTCTCTTACCCTCCTTCTCGATCGGTCGACCCTGTTCGATGCGTATCTTCTTCTCCTCGAGCTCTGTTCGCTGTCGTTCCAACTGCTCTTTCATCTCGCGATGACGGGCGAAGAGTTCCTCCTCACTTTGTTGTAGTTTGCTCTCCTTCTCCTGAACCTTCTGCTGGAACACCATCTTCATTTCTGCTTCCATCTTGGCAAGCTTCTGCTCGTGGAGTGTGCGTTCTTCCTCCTGCTTCACAGCAGGGTTGACCTCTTTGAACACGCTGGGGTCTTGTGAAACGCCCATCTGGATGAGCTTGTCGGAACGGTAGTTCTCGTACAGGATATTGTTCGTGTTCTCTTTGAGCTCCTCCATGTGTGTTCGGATCAGCATCTGTCGTAACTTGACAAAATCGCAGTGATCCTCGTTGTCAACTTCGATGATACCCCATGGGTAGCGGCGACCGCGAACCTTGCGGCCTTCTGGGTTGGTCACTTCATAGTTGGCACCGACCACGGCAAATGGAACTTTAGACATGATCTCTTGATTCTCAGCGATGGTCTCTTCATCATCCAGCTCGTATCGAGGGCCTTCGAAGATTTGGATCGAGTGGTGCTGAATGTCAGCAAGGATCTGCAGATATTAGCACAGGCTGCGTCCAGAATTGTGGAAGATGGTTTCACCCTCTGTTTAAATGAGGCCACTTCCTCATCTGTCAGCGTATCGGCCTTTGCGATGACAGGGATCAGGTTGACCTTGGTGTGAAGGCGGCGCATGACTTCAATGTCTAGTGGTTTCAAAGAGTGGCCAGTGGGTTGAATGAAATAGACGCAGGCGTGCACTCGGTTATCGACAATGTTCATGCGGTTAACCTTGTTTTCGGCCTCAAGGTACGCATCAAATCGTTGTTCAATGTTCTCCACGATCGGGCGCCATGAGTCGTCATTGTTGACAAAATCTCCGAATCCCGGGGTGTCGACCACTGTCAGACGCAGGCGCACGCCGTTCTCCTCAATGTCGGCGCTGATTGACTGGATGGCAACTGTCTTTGGAATGATGTCCAAACTTGGACCTTTGCGTTCACGTGGTGGATAGAGCGACGTGTTGAACAAGGTGTTGACCAAAGTAGATTTGCCTAGCCCAGACTCTCCTACATGGTGTGAGCGAGGGGAAAATGTGACTAGACACGCATGCACACGTACCGACAATCATGACATTGAAGTTGAAGCCTTTTCTGACACTCTTTCGGTGCCATTGGTTCGGCAGGTTGGCAAAACCAACATAGCCCGTCAATTTTCTTCTGACCACATTTCGCATGTCATTTGCAGCTGCAGCGGCGGCCTTGGGGTCTTTTGAGCTGACAGTCTGTGCAGGGGTGGGATGTGCAGGGGAGGGACTTGTTCCGACGGGTGTGGCTTCTTTGAGATAAGGAGATGCAGGTTTCCCGTTTGCGATGTTGGGAGAAGGAGAGGACCGTATGCCGTTAGCAACAGCAGCTGCATTTTCATCCAAGTTAGTCACATCTGAACAATTTGAGGATTCAGCCGCAGGCAAGCCAGGGTGATTAGACTGTTTATCATGACGGCCAGGACCAGTATCCAGAGGATTTGGATCTGCGCTCATATCCATGTCGCATCTTGAAGACATCTTCCACTTTCTTTGAACAGGATGTCGGCCTCAAACCAGTTACAGGCCTCAATGAAAGGGCACATTTGTGACAGAGGAAAGGAAGGTGGAGAGAATCGATGTGTGTTGAAACAGCAGGGACAGCAGTCAGGAACTGAAGGCTCACCCATTTTGTCAGGAGATACCGATTGTGCAGGAAGCACTGAGGATGGTGAAAAAGAGGCAACTAGAACGAAGTCTGTCGGTACCGAGTTGTCAGTCCATGCGCAGTGAGAGAAAGGGCAGCATCAACAGCAAGGGACGGGGAAAGGAACAGCCTGCGACATCCGATGGACGTTGGCCAAACCTGTCTCGTTGGGCGGAAGGGACCGCGTGGGTGAGGGATGGGAAGTACGTACCAAGGGAAAAGGCTGGACCCTTGCGCGACGTCCAGAGGCTGATTTTTCAAGCGAGCGTACGAAGCAAGTAGAGGCGCTCTCTCGACACGACAAGAACAAAGACTCGAGGCTGGCGAAGAAAGATACGGAGTACACGGTCGTGAACTTCAAGGTGGACGTCTCACGTCTGAGCAGTTGGCTGCCAACAAGCATGCAGGTGGAAAAAAGGAGACACGCCAAGTCCGTTTGGGCCGACGAGGGCAGGCATCGTGATTGATTGGGGATCAGCGGCGACTACGGAGAATTGGCCAGGGCTTTTTAGGCCGTTGGACCCTAAGACCGTTGGTTGCAGGCTGCTCCACGCTCTTATCCACCCAGAAAGCCTCCCACCCTTGCAGCGTCTACAGTAGCATCTACCCCTGATCCTTTCCCCGGCCGGCCTCTGCCTAAGATTATTTTAGACCTATCCGTTCACATCTGTACGGATAATGTGCTGGCTGACATGTCGTTGTTATCCAGTCGTGCGGGTTTCACGTGCCCTCAGGACCGGCCCTGCCTAAGAGTACTCTGTACCGTGATAGATACCAGGTAAATCTTGTGCGCGCTGGAGCTGGAGCGATCGGACGGAACTGCCTGGTATGAAAGAGCTGGAAGTCTTCGTCACCACTATAGTACAGTCTATGGTTCTTCGCGCCTGTCACTCATGCTGATGCTGCATCTATCCCAGGGTATCCTGACCAGGGCTGCGCCCATCATGATCATGCAAGTCAACGCCAAAAATGCCAAACCGGCCGCTAGCGTCACCAACTAGATGGCATCTGTACAAGGAATTTCTTCAGATCGCTGTTGATCCTTCATCTGCTTGGGCCTTTTCCATCTGCTTCAGCAGGTACTGGTACAGAACAAGCATCGTCCCGCTTTGAACGCTTGTCCATACAAACCGGGGGCCCACTCCGCGAAACAAGCCGGCAACTCCCTCGGTTCTGTAGATGAGCCTTAACGCCGTCAACACTGATGATGTATCGAGGGTTGGAGCCGAATGCAGTACATTTCGAGGCCCTGAGTGTATTAATCGCGACTGTGTCTGCGCCGCCGGCTTGTGGCTTCCTGTAGCCTTCTCCAAATGTGAGGCTTGGCTACCCTTTGCGTTGGTATTGGGGGTGATCTGAGTCTGCGTCCTCGTCTTCACGACATCCAGCGGACAAGTGATGACTCCAGCCAGGCCACCAGCGGAGACTGCAGTGAGTACTTCGAATCCCAAGCCAAGCTCTTGAGTTCCACTCCAACTCTGTGCGAATTTCCTCTCTTGTTCATAAAAGGCGAATTGTAGTGCGGAGAATGGCAGATCTCTGACAATCGTCGCCTTGTAACCAGAGTATAGCGCACCGAAACCTTCGGTGCGGACTATTGTTCTGGCTGCATCCCACGTAGACTTATAGTTGTAACCCGAGTGGAAGAAAGGATTGTTGTATCGACCCTGCAACTGCAAGCGAGTCTTGAGGACCTCGGACGGCACGTACACGATCGACGCTGCGAAGTCGGCAATGAAACCTTCCAGAGCAATTAGCCACAGTTCGAACCGACAGCTGAAGGCTGAACCATCGTACCGCTTGTAAGGAATGCGACAGATGGGTTGATTCCTCGATCCAGGAGGTGTCGCTTGCAATACTCATATGACCCGAAGAACACGACAGTCCCAGGGAATGATCCCAACATGGCGGCAGTAAAACCTCCATAAAGTCCTCGTCTAACACCCTCTTGTCGAAAAATCTTGACATAGGAATCCGTTAAGCTGGCATACTTGGGCGGAAAATGAGGATCGCCTTGTTGCCGTGTCTTGACTGTGTCTAGGGAATGCATGAGGATGTCGCCGGTTGTACCGCCAATCCCCCCGGCAAGCATTGACTGCATCTAGTCAGCAAAACTGCACCATGTAGGACAACAGGCGGGACTCTGTGCACGCACATGGGTGTAGGGCGGCCTCTTCAGTTCAAAGTCTATTTCCTCCTCCGCCAGTCCCTCCATTGTAAGCGATCGCTGATTCTGCCGTGAGCTCTCGACCTCGACACCAGGCTCCGAACGTCCATTGCGCTGTGCCTCGGAAGCGTCTCTGCCCGAGCTGTCCTGGGAAAATAAACCGGCCAGGCGTGATGTTAGGCTCATGGCAGGGCCTCTAGCCCTTGACAGCGAAGGTGGTAAGCAGACAGGTCTGGGAAAGTGAGACGGACGCTGAGAAAGAAAGGGTCAACTGTTCCTGACGCCTCATGCTGCGCCGCAGGCGGAACAACCATAGAAAAGTTCATGGTCTCGGGCCCGGGGGCGGCGGACTCGGGTCTTGGCGGCTTATGGGAGGGAAAACTGCTCGGAGTTCGGGGATCCCCCGGTCATGCCGCTTTTACCACTACTCGGTACCAGAGGTACAGATGCCTACCACCTGCACTTAGGTATCTACTATTAAAGTACCTACCTTGCTGGTGCTGATTACTCACGACTCACCTCCTATTCTCTCGACTCCTTCATATCGCCCTCACAGTCCTTCCATTACCTCCGCTGCTACTCCTACTCCCCCTGCTCGTCGGCGGACGAAAGAGCGGTTCCCAACGAATCATACGCTCGGGTCTTTATATGAAGTATCTATTAGCGTGGTAGCACGGTCTATTTAAAACAGGGCACTCTGCGAAGATGCAACTCGAAATATGGAAGTTGTAAGGCTCAGCTTTGAAGAGGTCCCCAGCATAGCCGCAAGGCACGACAGGCAAGGCCCCCAGTTTCCTACAGCTATCATCTCAACGACGTGTCCTGAGCCATTCTCCATTTGCCCCGGGGCAGGTGGGGCAAAATACCTCCCAGGGCCCCGAAGCCTAACAAGCCCAACCGGTCGAGATACAGGCGCCTCAATGCAAAGGATAGTCCAATCCAGGCCTCCAGGATGAGCCCCGGTCCTGCAAGATGCCTGGGTTGTATGGTGACTTAGGGGTTCGGCTGAAACAACCATACAAGCCACAAAGATGACGAAAGGACCAAAAACGTATGTTCGTGAGAGCAACGGCTAGTGCATATACTTCGAGAATCCACCACCCTCTTTCTTGCCGGCGCCCAAGACGAAGTGGTCATGCGCAGCGTCCTGGAACGCTCTCCAACCGCCTGTTGATTGCCGACGCCAACATGTCGCCCACCAACACATCGATCACCTTCAGCGGGGATACCTTTGCTAACAACCTGTTCTCCGACTTGGGTTTTATCCTGGGGCTTTTCGGAGAACTACCGACCAAGCAGTTCTTCTCCCTCTCGCTCGGATGGTACGACAGCGTTATCCTGGCGGCGGGACCCATTGGCATCCTGACCATTATCGTCAGTGCCATTCGAGTCTCGGGAAGTCGAGCACTGAAGACCATCATTGGGAGGTGAGTGCCCGCGGCGATTCTAAGGGCCCAACTCGGGCCATTAATAGATTGATGTTTCCCAACAGAGCTCGAGAAAGCCGGGCGACCGCCGAGGCCGAGATCCTGTCGTCGACTTCCACAGAAGTCTGTGAGCTTTGGATGGCAGTGCGATTGTCCGAACCACAGGCGAGGCACCGATCAAGGAGTTCATCTACAGAGAACCTATGCACGAATATCTGGAGAAAGAGGAGTTGTTCGGCGTGGGGATGACTGTCGACATGGTGATGGCTGGGTCTACTAACGATTACTGTGCTGTGTACTTGGGCGGCACGACAAAACTCATCGATCCAAGCCCGCCAGCCTTTGACCCGCTGATATCCTTTGGCCAAGCGGCTCCCAATCTAACCCTATGCTTCGACCAAGCGATCGTATCCCTAGGGGAACGGCGAATGTGTGCCGCGGCTGCCTTGCTATTGCAAGTGGCGCTCTTCATCAGTTGGGCTGTGGTCAACTATCATTGGCACCTGGGTCGGGCAGGCCAGCCAGCTCCAGGATATGGCTATCCATGCGCAATAGCTGGGGCCAGCAGCCTTTTTGCCGGGGTGCTGTTGTGCGGCTATGTTATCGAAGATGTGACAACAGAGGCCCGATTCGAGCCACGTAAATGTCCAGAGCACTACCAAGTGTTCCGCCTTCAAAGGGGTTGCACCGTCGGCTCGCAGAAGTTCAACTCTTACATGATCCACAGCAGGAGCAACAACCCCAACGTGTTTATGTCTCGCTGGATAAACGAGGAGGAAAATCCGAATTCAAGCAAACACCCACTGTTGACCTGGTGCGGCGTCATTTTCAGCCTTGCGGGATTCCTGGTTCAGTTCATTGGCCTTCGCACGCTACACTGGTCTGCAACGGTGAGCCAGCTCATCATCACGGTTCTTATGACTGCCATGCGCGCCGCCCTCCGCCGCGGCCTGCTCCTGACTCCCGCATGCGACAAGTTGGATCCAGACCACGAGCTCGCAGAGGTGACCTTCAAGTTACGCAATGCCGTGGGCTGGGGGCTGGCCACGTCGGCGCCGATGGCCGGGCTCGCACTGCAGACCGTCTCGACTGAGCCCTCATATCCGACTGAGACCTCATGTCAGATTTCTCCTCGCTATATTTATCGTAATCGTGTCATGGACAATGGCCTATTCAAGCAGCAGAGCCAGTCTCTGCTTCAACTACGAAACAAGCTCGGGGAAATCACCGACTGGGAGGACGAATGCTCCGCCTGGGGGGACAAAGTGTCCCAGAGCATCGAAGCAGTCTTTCATCGGTTCAAAGACATGTCCACCGGGAAACGTCCTCTGTTGAAATTCAAGGAAAAGGACCTCTCTCGAGACTGGACACTGACGACGTACCTGGCGACGTCCCCTAATAAGATCGGCATGTCCTCCGTCCACATGGACCGGATTAAGAACCCCTGCTCTTCGGCTCTGAGTCTGTGGTATTACCATCTCTCAGGGATTGCTACTAGATTTCATGGCAAACCGTATGCAAGAGTCGTCGGGCTCAAGTTCAGGAACAGGCAGAAGGCGTGCGAAGACTTGTCATGCGATGTCCGGATGTGGCTATCCGTGCCGCTGTATCAGGTTCAGTGGGAGTATTACCCAGTGAGAGGAGATAGACGCTTTTCTCCTCCGTTGAGCTTTGGAGGGCAATTTTGTCTCTGGGATTCTGCCTCGCATGGGTGCGTGGTTCCATCTTCCCAGCCCTCCGAAACATCACCCCGTCTTGCTGATTCCAAGAACAGAGACAGGCCTCCTCTCCGCGCTGACCCAGATCCAGTTTGGTCTCTCGCAGTCGATGGGGGCGAATCGCTACTTGAGAACTGCGCCCTTGAGCTGTTCTCCATGTACATATTCGAGGTGGCGTCCAGGATCGCGAGAGTCACGTCACCGACCTCGCTGACTCCGACGGGACGAGACAGGAAAGCTCGCGCCCGGCGCTTGACCAACGATGTAATTGAAGAACTCGCCAGAACGGTGAAGAAAAGCGGGCTGGTCAAGACCAAGGAGGACGCCCGCACACTGTTGGTTCCGTCGTTTCTCTATTGGAAGTTGTTCCCGCCGCCAGAGGGACAGCAAGTTGATGTTGCTTCTGGTGATGATAGTGATGATGGTGATGGTGATGGTGATGGTGATGAGTTCATGTGAGAAGTGTTTTAGTAGATGAAATCTCGCCGGCTGTCTACGGAGTACACGTGTATACACACATATATACACATACAGCGTACAAGAGAAGAGGAGAGTACCTGGTAGTCAGGATAAGGGAATTAATTAATTACCTAGGTACTGGTGGTACTTAGGTGCAATACTTACATGTATCTGCGGCTTCTAATGAATGTCTCTATGCGTTCAATATCGGTACTGTTCCACCCTCTCTAACTAGTATCTATAACCCGTCGGGGCTGGGAGGCCAGCCTTGTGCTGAGGCGTAACACTCGTACTTGTACTCGTACCCCAATGGAACTTTGCGGGTTTGCTCTCTGGTTACTCCCTACTTCCCGGACTTCTGAGGACCTAATAGGTAGGTAGGTATAATGCGAAGGAGACACATGCTCCGCAGGCGCCGTTGTTCAACCGATCTTCCAGACACTCAAATCTAGGACAGAACTGACAAAGCCAGAATGTGCAAACACCCCAATTGCTAGAGCTGGAAGGCAAGACAATGCAGGCAAAAACTTTTTGCCTCAGAAGCAAGTTCTTTTATACATGACCCCTTGCAACCGCCTCGCTAAACCCAGCCAGACCCAATTAGAACCTACAGCATCATCTCCAGCGGATTCTCAATCACTTTCTTCAGCTCCCGGATCCATTCACCACCCACCGCACCATCCACAACCTTGTGGTCGAAGCTGCCGGTGACGACAATCTGATCATCCCATTCGGTGGCGGTGCCATCCTCCGTCTCGACTGGCACGGCGACCTTGCGCGTAGTACCAACCGCCAGAATGGCTGCCTGGGGCGGATTAATGACAGCCGTGAATCTCTCCACGGCTGGGTTCATGCCCATATTGCTGATAGTGAAAGTACCGCCCTGGTATTCTTCAGGCTTGAGCTTGCCGTCCCGTGCCCGCTTGCCAAGGTCCTTCACTGCTGATGAAATCGAAGAGAGCCCGATGCTGTCCGCATTCTTAACAATGGGGGTCATTAGACCGATAGGAGTGGCAACTGCAACACTGACGTCCACAGTATTGTGTTGCCGGATGACGACCTGACCGTCTTGCTCTCTCCAGCTTGAGTTGACAGTGGGAACCTTCTTGCAGGCAACTGCACAGGCCTTGATCAGAAAGTCGTTGACCGAGAGTTTGTACTTGCCGTCAGACGCAGCATTGAGAGCTTCTCTGAGCTTGAGCAATTTCGTCACCGAGACTGTGGCCGAGACGAAGTAGTGCGGATTCTGATTCACCGATTCCTTGAGTCGAGCGGCGATTGTCTTCCGCATCGAGCTCGCTGGGATGTCCTCATAGGTTGGAGCTGCTGACCCGGCAGGGGCTGCACCAGATGCAGGCTGGAATTTCTCGACATCAGAGACTGTGATGCGCCCACCTGGGCCAGTTCCCTTGATCGCCTTGATCGGAGCACCCTTCTCCAGAGCGAGCCTCCTGGCGGCGAAGCTGATGTTAGGTTCCCTGTCGAGTACAGGTTCCAGCCGTCCGCCAGTTGAGTCCGACTCGACAGCTTGCGGGGTTGCTTCTTTTGGTTCGCTTGGAGGAGCAGTAGGAGAGCCTGAGTCTGGCTTCTCTGAGGCTTCAGACGCCTCCTCTTTCGGCTGCTCCTTGGGAGGCTCCTTGGCACCACCAGCGTCCTCGAGCGTAAACTCTTCAAAAGCCGCGATATCTGTACCCTCTTCGACCATCACGGCAATTGGCTGATGATCTGTCAGCGTGTTGATTTATTTGCATGAGACAATCTTACGTTTCCAACTGGCACATCCTTCTCTCCCGATTCTTTGAGAATCTTTGCTAGCACGCCCTCTTCCTGGAACTCAAAGTCCATCTGAGCTTTGTCCGTTTCGATCTCGACCAACACATCACCAGGTGCCAATGTATCCCCGACCTTCTTCTGCCATGCCCCAATGTTGCCAGCAGTCATCGTAGGTGATAGAGCGGGCATGCTGATCACGGTATGCGGAGGAAATGCTACCAGTCATTGTCAGCCGTGCCAGGTTCAATCAAGAGCGGGCTGTACTGGAGCGCACATTTGGAGGCATAGTAGCGACTGAGGACTGAAAGGCAGGGGAAAGGTTGAGCCCTGCACAGTGCGATTAGCATCTGCTGATTTTGCCGATTCCCAAGAATACTGTCAACATACCCTGCTACATTTTGCAGTCTTTGGAGGGTACTCCGACTGATCCTGGAGCTGGGTGCGGTTTGTAGCAGCAGGCGGGATCCGGAACGGCAGAGCAGCGTTGAAGTCGCCATGGTGAGGACCAGGGGCGGCCGAGAGCAGACTGGGAGCCGCAGTCAAGACCTGATACAGGGCAAAGGAGCGACAGAGAAGAATGATATCGGCCCTGATGGCGAGGGTTCGTGCAGCAAAGCTGTATTGGGTTTGTTGGACGGATGGCTATAGCTAAGAAAATGGGTTGAGAGCAAAGGCTGGACGTCGACCTCAACTCCACTCCGGCATCCGAAATCGAGCAAGTGGCCTGCCTGTATCAAAATAATGGGGCGAGCTCGGTGAGCAGCAATCACCGAGCGCACAGTAGTCCGTAGAGCAGGCCTAATTCGTAGCGAGGGACTGCATGCTCTACCGTACTCTGACTCAGCAGCGTCGCTGGTCCGCGCACTTCGCCCGACTGACTTATGCCTCCGCAGTGCCTGCGCACAGGGAGCCTAAGGAGCCTTATGGAGATCTGTACTATTTATCAGGGTGTCAAGACCTCCCTGAACCCTGAACGACGCCGACTGCGACTGCGACTGCGACTGAGTGCGATGTGTCCGCCTGTATTCCGCCTATTCCAGATGATGCACGTCCCTTGAATCTCCTGCAGATATTTCCCTCATTCGCTAGCCAAATGTCTGGCGTCGAGAGCGAGTCGCCGGAGACTGAGTCGAGTGCGCACCCCGAGTTGCATCGGCGGAGCGCCTCAGTGGAAGCGGACCGGGATGACGAGCAGCAAGACCACTCTGCCGAGCCCTCAAGTCACGGAGTGACAATTACGATCGAAGATGCAGACGCCGAGACCGATGCCGATGCCCAAAGCGAGGAGACACAGGCGGAGGATGGCTCTAATGATGCTGCCTCTCAAGATGGCACTTCAGTGGTGACGGAGTCACATCCAGACTCTGGTGACACTCCTATACCCCACGAAGGAACAGGAGACACTTCTTGGAACACAACTCTCGAGCATGGTTCGGCAGACGCTTCACAAGATGGATCAGCGGGCGAGCAGATCCCGCCGATTCAGCAGCACGAGGAGGGCAATCCTACTGCACCGCCGAGTGAAGTTGCGCCTGAGACGCGTCCAACACGATCCGATTCACGGTCCACCACGTTATCGCGTCCTTCGCCTGTAAGCTCCTCGGTCTTCGTCGTGAGTGCCTTGGAAACAATTGCGGCGGCAAAGGAGGTCCGAAAGAACAAAGACTTCGCCGACGCTGTTCAAGCAGCTTTGTCAAATATCAAGAACACGGAGCAAGCAGTCAACCCTGAAATAATATTTCGGCCATTGCAGATGGCTACCAAGTCATTCAACGTTCCCCTGCAGGTGACGGCCTTGGATTGCATTGGAAAGCTCATAAGTTATTCATACTTTGCTTTCCCAGTTGTTGCTACCAACCAAGCCGGGTCGGTAGACACGCCCCCTCTTATCGAGCGGGCAATCGAAGCGATCTGCGATTGCTTCGAAAACGAGGCTACCCCGGTCGAGATTCAACAACAAATAATCAAGTCGTTACTGGCAGCTGTCCTAGATGATAAAATCGTGGTGCATGGTGCCGGCCTCCTCAAGGCAGTCCGCCAGATCTACAATATTTTCATCTATTCCAAGTCAAGTCAGAATCAGCAAGTCGCACAAGGTTCCCTTCTCCAGATGGTTGCTACGGTGTTTGAACGGGTCAGAGTTCGGTTGGACTTGAAAGAGGCTCGCCTGAGGGAGCATGCCGAGGTGAAGTCTGATGAAGCTCTGTCAAGCGAGACTTCCATGCTCGACCATGGCGACCTGAACGGTCTGAACGGACAGGCAGAGACCCCAGACCAGGAAACTCCTCCCCAGATCCTGGAGGGTGTGCATAGGACGCAAGAAAAGTTGACTCTGCAAAGCTTCGAGAACAACAAGCATCTGGACGACGCAGTTGTGGCGGACAGTGCACCGACGACCGTTACGCGGGCAAGAAGAAATCGCAAGAATACTCGCTCCTCTTCGGGGCCGGTATCTCAAAATAGTCTGCATGAGGATCATGACGAGGCCGACCTGTCTGCTGAAGATGAGGATGATATCTACATCAAAGACGCCTTCCTAGTGTTTCGCTCCTTATGCAAGCTCAGTCAGAAAGTTCTGGCCCACGACCAGCAGGACCTCAGGAGCCAAAACATGCGCTCAAAGCTACTTTCTCTCCACCTCATTTACCATGTCCTCAACAATTATACGACGGTATTTACCTCTTCATTCTCGGTGATCAAGGGCGGCAACCATGACGAAGGCACACCCTTTCTGCAGGTCGCAAAGCCACATCTGTGTTTGAGCCTTTCACGCAACGCCGCCAGCTCAGTGCCACGTGTCTATGAAGTGTGCTGCGAGATTTTCTGGCTTTGTCTCAAACACTTGCGTGTACTATTAAAGAAGGAACTGGAGGTCTTCTTGAAAGAGATCTATCTCGCCGTCTTGGAACGTCGGCGCGCTCCTCCTTTCCAGAAACAGATGTTTCTGGATGTGCTGGAGCGCCTGGCAGGGGATCCTCGAGCTCTAGTTGAGGTCTATCTCAACTATGACTGCGATCGGACTGCCCTGGACAATATGTATCAAGAAATCATCGAGCATCTTTCCCGGATATGCAGCACACCAGTCGTCGTCACCCCACAGCAGCAGCACCAGTATCAAGAGCAACAGGCGAAGCAAGCGACGCAAACAGCAGAATGGCATTCGAAAGGTTCACTACTACCTGCACTATCCACAACGAGTCTAAGCCACCCCAGTCCACCGCCACCTTCAATCCCCCTTGAATATACTCTGAAGCAGCAGGCGCTGCGTTGTCTAGTAGAGATCTTAAGCTCCCTGGACACCTGGTCAAGTCATGAAGTGCCCAACCGGGTTAATGGCTCTCGCTACCCTGCCTCAGGCGGCTCATTTGAGGAATCTCGAGAATCGCTTGACGACAACGAAAAGCCTCCTCCGTCACCTCGAGTTCCTGGGCTTGGTAGTGAATCAAGCTTCTCGACACCAGTGGCCGAAGACGATCCCAACGAGATCGAGAAGATAAGAAAACGCAAGTCTGCTTTGAACGAGGCCATCAGGTTATTCAACTTCAAGCCTAAACGAGGCATCAAGGCTCTCCTGGCTGAAGGCTTCATTCGCAGCAATAATCCGCAGGACATCGCTCGGTTCCTCTACGGGAACGATCGACTTGATAAGACGGCGCTGGGGGAGTACCTTGGCGAAGGTGATGAGCAAAATATTGCCATCATGCATGGGTTCGTCGACATGATGGATTTCGGCAAACGACGGTTTGTTGACGCTTTACGGCAATTTCTCCAGAGTTTTCGACTACCCGGTGAAGCGCAAAAAATTGACCGCTTCATGCTCAAATTCGCGGAGCGTTACCTGACTGGCAATCCGAATGCTTTTGCCAACGCCGATACTGCATACATACTCGCATACTCTGTTATCCTGCTGAACACCGATCAGCACAGCACGAAGATGAAAGGACCAAGAATGACCGTCGAGGATTTCATCAAGAACAATCAAGGAATCAATGATGGCCAAGATCTGCCGGCAGAATACCTGACCAGCATTTACGAGGACATTGCATCCAACGAGATCGTCTTGACATCGGAACGGGAGCACGCCGCCGAGTTGGGTATAATGGCAGCGACCCATCCCGCCGGGTTGGCGTCCAGAGCTGGGCAGGTTTTCGCCAACGTTGGCAGAGACCTACAAAAGGAGAAGTACGCGCAGGTGTCCGAGGAAATGGCGACTAAGACCGAGCAATTGTACCGGAGTCTTATCAGAGCTCAGAAACGTTCCGCAGTCCGCGAGGCTCTGTCGCGATTTATTCCCGCCACTTCCGTCAAGCATGTCGGACCCATGTTCAATGTCACCTGGATGTCTTTCCTATCGGCCTTTTCCAGCCAAATGCAAGATGCCCAAAATCTAGAACTCATCAGCCAGTGCTTGGACGGATTCAGGTTGGCAATTAGAATTTCCTGCCGATTTGACCTGGAGACCCCTCGCGTTGCGTTTGTGACGGCTTTGGCGAAATTCACCAACCTGGGCAATCTCAAGGAGATGATGGCCAAAAACCTAGAAGCGCTGAAAGTGCTCATCGAGGTGGCCCTGACTGAAGGCGATGGTCTAAAGGGTTCGTGGCGAGAGGTGCTGATGTGCATCAGCCAACTCGACCGATTGCAGCTGCTATCGACTGGGATCGATGAAGGGGCAATTCCCGACGTCACCAGGGCGAATATACCTACGCCTTCCAATCTCAAAGAGGGCAGTCGAAGTCGACGGTCGATGCAGGCGGTCAAGCGTCCTAGACCCCGGTCTGCACACAGCTTTCGACCAGAAGTTGCGGACGAGACAAAATCTACGGACATGATACGCGGAGTCGACCGCATCTTCACCAACACTTCCAAACTATCCTCCGAAGCAATCGTCGACTTTGTGCGGGCCTTGAGCGAGGTGAGCTGGCAAGAGATCCAATCGTCGGGCAGCAGTGATTCTCCACGGACTTACAGCCTTCAAAAACTCGTGGAAATCAGCTACTACAACATGACCAGGGTGAGAATAGAGTGGACGCGCATCTGGGAAGTACTCGGCGAGCATTTCAATCAAGTTGGCTGTCACAACAACACGGCAGTAGTTTTCTTTGCTCTCGACTCACTGCGTCAGCTATCAATGCGCTTTCTGGCAATCGAGGAGCTGCCGGGTTTCAAATTCCAGAAAGACTTTCTGAAGCCCTTCGAGCATGTCATGGCCAACAGCAACGTCGTGGCCGTGAAGGACATGGTCTTGCGATGTTTGATTCAGATGATCCAAGCCCGCGGAGACAATATCAGATCTGGGTGGAAGACGATGTTTGGCGTCTTCTCTGTGGCCGCCAGGGAACAATACGAGTCTATTGTCAATATTGCTTTTGATTACACCACCCAGATCTACAACACTCGATTCGGCGTCGTGATCTCCCAGGGCTCCTTCCCAGACCTGGTCATTTGCCTCACCGAGTTCTCCAAGAACCTCAAATTCCAGAAGAAATCACTGCAGGCGATTGAGCTGCTCAAGTCCACAGTACCCAAGATGCTGAAGACCCCCGAATGTCCTCTTTCAAGACGGCATGGCAAAACTGTGGCGTCCGAAGATTCCGGCATCGTTGCGGGAATCAAACAACCGACCTCTCAGACCGAAGAAGAACAGTTCTGGTACCCCGTCCTGATAGCTTACCAGGATGTCCTGATGACGGGGGAAGACTTAGAAGTGCGTTCCAGAGCTCTCAACTACCTGTTCGAGACCTTGATCAAATACGGCGGCGACTTTCCCATTGATTTCTGGGATGTCCTCTGGCGCCAGCTCCTCTACCCGATCTTTGTTGTCCTCCAATCCAAGTCGGAAATGTCCAAGGCTCCCAACCACGAGGAATTGTCCGTCTGGCTGTCAACGACAATGATCCAGGCCCTTCGAAACATGATCACCCTGTTCACGCATTACTTCGAGTCATTGGAGCACATGCTCGACCGTTTCTTGGATCTGCTCACATTGTGCATTTGTCAAGAAAACGACACGATAGCTCGCATAGGAAGCAACTGTCTCCAGCAACTCATCCTCCAAAATGTCACCAAGTTCACGCCCGAGCACTGGTCTAGGATCGTGACCGCATTTGTCGAACTTTTCAACCGGACGACTGCATACGAGCTATTCTCTGCTGCCGCAACCATGTCCGATGCTCGCCCAACGCCGGCCCACGACGGATCTGACAGCCTCTCAATCTCTGGGACCACGATTGCGGAAACCCCAGCAACTAATGGCGGCCCAGGTGATGCATACGGTGCTACTTCTCCTCCAGAGTCTCACACGGACCCGATCGCTGCCACTCCTGAAGTTTCTCAATCCCAAAAAACGGAAGAGCTCGAAGACTACCGTCCTCATTCGGAGATGCAGACGACTGCCCCCGTAGTGACGGCGGCGCGGCGTCGATTCTTCAACAAGATCATCACCAACTGCGTCCTGCAACTCCTGATGATCGAGACTGTGGCCGAGCTCTTCTCTAACGACTCGGTCTATGCGCAGATCCCTTCGGCTGAGCTTCTCCGTCTGATGGCGCTCTTGAAGAAATCCTACCAATTTGCCAAGAAGTTCAATGGTGACAAGGATCTCAGGATGGCCTTGTGGAGGCAAGGATTCATGCGGCAGCCGCCGAACCTGCTGAAGCAAGAGTCCGGGTCGGCCAATACATATGTCAGCATTCTACTGCGCATGTATCACGATGAAGGGGAAGAGCGAAGATCAAGCAGAGACCAGACTGAGGGAGCTCTGATTCCGTAAGTTCCCCGGCGCATGCCTCCACGATGATTTTAGATTTGGTGAATGCTGACACGATTCCTCTCCCAGACTATGCGCCGACATAATCGGGTCCTTCATCCTCCTGGACGAGGAGACGCAACAACGCAACATTGTGGCCTGGCGACCCGTCGTCATCGACGTCCTCGAGGGCTACACCAACTTTCCTAAGGACGGCTTCGACAAGCACATTGACATCTTCTACCCTCTGGCCGTGGGCCTGCTGGAGAAGGAAGTCAACACCGACCTACGCTCTGCCCTGTGGGGATTGTTCCGCCGTGTGGGCGAGGTCAAATTCAACATGCCCGAGTTTGTTCTTTTGCGTGGCCGAGAGGACAGCGTGAGTTCGACAAGGAACGGCAGCGTCGGCGGTGCTACGCCCACAAGCCCTGGCCTGTCGAGTCGCGGGTATGAGCGGGCAGCCAGCAGCAGGAGGAGCAGCCGAGTGAGCAGGACCGGCGCGGTGTAGGAATATGGCGCGATCCCTGATCTCTTCTCTGTCTGTACATCTGATCCCGCTTGCCGTTCGCGCCTTTAGCATCGGGTCCGGGCAACCTTACTGTACCCCCGGCAGCCACCGATCCGAGTCGAAGCCCCGCCGTTCTGCTGCTTCTGTTCGTCGAGACTTGGGGCTGGTGCGGCTCGCACCCGAGTCCAGGTTACCTTACGTTCCTGTATTAACAGTGCACAATGGTTGTCAAAAAGGGGATGGGTCACCGTCCACGAGAGGAGAGGAGAGGAGAGGAGACGAGACGAGACGTCCAAAAAAGAAAGTGCACAGACTTGATGTTCTCGCCCCTGTGACGTTATTACTGCAGAGATGATGCCTAGCATACTTTAAGACTATTACATGGTGTATTTGAAGAATGTCATTGAAGCTACGACATTGACTATTTCTTTTGGTCCTCCTTGTTCGAGCGGGAGCTTACAGCGTCGTGCGAGAAGACCGGAGCGAAGCGACCGGAGCGACGGTGTCAAAACCATCATACATGCCAACAAATCCACTTGGGCCCTGAAATGCAAAGAACGTGATGACTTCACAGACCAGATTCCGCATTCGCGCCTCCACTGTCGTGCACGTTCTATGTCGAGGAGGCCATGATTGCGGTTCCAAAAACCTCCTTCTGGATTCTGCCCTGGCTTCAGACAGCAATGGGGCATAATGCCCCAGTATTGCACAGCCCAGGACAGAGGATCATGTGTATATACTCTGAAGAACGGTTAGTTAGCAATGTGAATATAACCTGAATGCAAACATGGAGATTACAGGTCCGCGGAGCAAACTTACCTCGGTATAAGCATTGATCTGAAGTCCTTTCTCCGCCATCTCTTCCTCACATAAGAAGTCCAGTGGCATCCAGACCAAGTGGCCCCTGATCTTGTCAAGCTCCTTCCGCACTGTCTCGGCAGGCATGTGCGGATCGTGGAGGTGGCCTTGCTTGATGGTTTGACGAGGGGCAAAATTGTCGTAGTCCTTCCAGGTCTTGATGTGGTTGTCCGGGTCCGCTCGAAAAAGGTATCGGTAGATGTCGGTATTGACCGTCGCCTGGCTCTTCCATTTCTCCCATAACTCGTCACCCAGCGGGTCCGCGACGAACTCCCATTCCTCGCCACTATACTCTTCATTCATGCAGACAGTCGGTGGCTGCGCGTTAGGATCCTTCGATGCGTCTACGGTCTGAGCCTCAATGATGCCAAGGTGCTCGCGCCACAGATGCCGGCGGAGAGACGCGGCGTGGTAACCCGCTTGGTAGGGCTTGCCGTCCATGGTGGACTCGATTGTTCGGGTGTCAGTCATGACAATGGACAGTTCAGAGTCGTGCGAGCCTAACTGCGAGCGGTCGTTGAGGTTGCTGGAACCACAAACGACGGTCTTGTCGTCGACGATGAGCACCTTGGCGTGAATGTAGAGCTCCTCTTGCACGAAGTTCTCCTTCTCGGCTTCTGGATCGCCTTCCCAATGCTCTTCGCTGACAAGGCCGCCGCGGGCCATAGCATCTTCTGCAATAGATTCGGCTGAGGTGACCGGGTCTTGGACATCGAGTTCCTTCCGGGCTGCTTCGAATTTGCGCTTGCGGTCTATGATGCGGTGTTGTTCGTCTTCGTCTACCGAGTGGCCTGGGCCGTGAGATTCCTTCTCGGTTTTCTCGCCTTTGTAGCCGTGGATGCCTGATCCCATAATTTCTTCGGCCTCGGCGCGTTGCAGTTGCTGGTACGAAACACCGGATTCTTTCTCTTGCTGGATCAATGCTTCGGTTTTGCTGATGCGATCATAGGCGCGAAGGTTGAAGGCAAAGATGTACTCGTTTGGGTCGAGGCCGGCCGCCTTAAGCTGGCCCATGATGGAATGCTCACCCCGGTTGATGCTCTTGTACTGGTAATCCATGATCGCCCTGGTGCCGATGGCGGCGTCCTGGCGCAAGTCGCCTGCGAAGCCAGGAATCGCAGGGATCACAAGGATGACTCTGAACTTTCGACCTTCCTTTGCAGCCCGAACACAGGCATTGACAATGGCGCGACCAATGGTGTTTTGGATGGGTTTCTGTTGGTCGCCGGTGGCAGTAATGAAGAATTGGTTCTCAATGTACACATAATGCTGAGCATTTTCAATGAGCTCGATGTAAGCATTTTGAATGCTATGATCGAGCAGAATACCGCTACTCCAGTCGTCACTGCTTCGGACGAGCTGGGCGTGGACGGAGCCTGCGTTCTGTAGTCCCTTACCCTCTAGCGGACTGATAGGATGTTCGATATACTTGCCGACGGGATGTTTGGGCCGCTGGATCGAGATCAGATCCTCGTCCGGATTCGATCCATCTGCCTTAGACCTGGTAGTCATGCATAGGTAGTCGATCTTTTCGTCGCGTTTATATTTGTCTCGTTTGATAAAGTTCCACCTCAGCACGAAGTGTTCGGCTATGTCAATCACGCACTCTCCGGTCAATGCCATGGCTACGTCGTGCCATGGCATCCTGCCGTAGTCAGTCTTATTGAGTTCATTGTTCGACCAATCTTCGACGGTCTGAAAGTCCATGATTCTGGATGAATAGTCAGCCCTGGACAAGTCCGATGACGAAGCAGACCGTCTTACCTGTTGTTGTTGAAGTCTTGGCCAGGGAAGACTTCATTGACGACGCCAGAAGGATGAACGTCGGCAAGCAGATGTTGACGGACATCCCACCGTCCGTAACACAGGTCTATGCCTCCAATGTATGCAAGTTGATAGTCAACGACGATGAATTTCTCGTGGTGGGCCCAGTAGAACGTCATGTCCCCGAAGTTCTCGAAAACATTGTGGTCTGGATGGCGCATTACGTGGACATTGCCGTGGCCGGGGGTCCCGGGGGGGCATAATGCCCTTAAAGCATGCTTGGTATGAGCGGAATTGCAGGTCAGTGCTTGTTGCACCTCCTTGTAGACGATCACGTAGACTTGGACTCCACGTTCAGCGGCCCGTTTGATGACTTGGTCCAGACGCCATTCCTGGTTGAAGAAAGGTGGGCGGCGCAAAAACAATTCGGGGGAGAGCCACCAGTCGGCGATGTAAATGGTCTCTTTGGCACTCTCAAGGCCGACTGAGACAGCCCACATGTAGTCGCGGCCGTCGACATACCACTTGATCTTGTTGTTGTCGCGCTCCGGGAAAAAGGAGCCAAAACGATGGGATTCACAAATCGCGGTCCGTTTCCGATCAGTCTCTTGCTCGTGCTCCTCGTCATGGCGATGGTTTCGGTTGACCAGGTTTTTGAGCTTGCCTAACTTGCTTTTCAAGTGGATGGCTCCCACCTTGGCGTCATGGAGGTTGGTATCTGTAGGATATCATTACCCGCCCAGATGGAGTGGGCGGCAAGCAGACCTTTGAGCTTCTCACGAAGGGAATGCATTCTGTTCTGATCTATCTCATTGACCCGACCTGATCTGGCTTCTGACTTGGGTTTGATTGAATCTCGACAGCCTCGGTGCCCAGGCCCACCCAGACCAGCAGCGTTAGTGGAAGGGAAGGGGACGGTATCGGGGCGAGGCTAGGCGCGCAAGAGGGACCAAGTCGAGGCAGTCGGAAGACGCTCTTGGACAAACAATATTGGGCGAAGGTTCAGACTTCCTCAGGGATCTCAGGGAGGAGGAAGAGGAGGGAAGAGTGGAAAAATGCCAGAAAAGCTGGAAGCCAGCTGAGCCGTGTATGTGAGCCTTGGTTTGCTGGTGGAACTGGGGAATCATGGATCATGGTCGGTGGTTGGGTGAATGGCATCGGGAACGTTACAACTACTCACCTGAAGGTGGGTAGCCAGCGCAGTTGCCCGCGTACGTCATCGCAGCTGAAAAGACAAGAACACCAAGACACCAAGACACCAAGAATCCAAGGCACCAAGGATCCCGCGGGTCCCCAGTGCCATCTTCAAGCTTGGCTGCATGTCATGCTGGCTTCACTACTAGGTACTCCGTACTTCTTCAGGCAGCAGGGCCACAGCAGGGCCGCAGCAAGGCCACAGCAAGGCCAGAAATAGAAAGTACAGTATCCTCGTGCCTCAGACCGGCAGTGAGGCACCAGAAGGCCAGGACGCAACTGCGGCTTCGGCTTCGCTGGCACAGATATCAGATATCTTGGGTCTTGGGTCTACGGTCTAAGCCGACCATCATCCCTGTCCCATGCGCCTTGCCCGCCATTTCACAGTACGCCGATTGTTGCAGAAAACCCGATCCGATCCCATTCTCACCCGGCGTGATAGTGCTACAACCTACATCCATCCAAATGACCCGTCGAACTCCCATACAACATCTCCCCTGTGTCCAAGCCGAATCTGCTCAAAACTGGGCACCCTGCCCGACTCGTAGTAATGTACCAATGCCTCCATGTCTGCGTCGTCCATGGCATTGAAATCTCCTGTGCTCCATTTGTCACACACGGCACTCATCCACGCCATCCTCTTGCTAATGTCCCGCGTGCTCTTCCCTGGGGCCGCTCTCCGAAGCCGTCGCCGGAGTTGACCTACTTTCTCGATGCTGTCGCCGGTCCCTTTGGGGAGCATCTCACCTATCTGTCGCCGGATCGCCGCGGCCATCCGGGGCCCATTGCCGTTCGTAGACACCATGATCTGAAGAGGTCCGTCGCGGTGTACACTTCCAAAATAGAAGTCGCATTCGGAGGGCACATCGGCAATGTTGACGGGGGTCTTCAGTTGCTTGCAATACTTCCATATCCGAGTGGATGCATCGGGGTCGTCTATGGCGGTCAATACCATGGCAATCTTTTTTTCCGGTTCGAGGTCCAGCGGGAGGAAGATTCGATCGACGTGTTTGACCTGTCCGTGGTCCACTCGATACGCCACCTCTTCGTTCAGGCCCTCTCGCGGGCAAACGACAGTGACCTTGGCGTCGGCATTGAGGAGATTGACAATGCGGCCGGCGGCGACCTGGCATCCTTGCTGTCAACCACAAACCACAATAAGGGCGTGGTGGCCAGAAAACTCACCTCACCTCCGCCGACTACCAGGACCTCTTTGTTCTTGATCTGCCAGGCGAGAATCAAGGAGCCTCCACCCTGAATCTCGGGGAATGTGGAAGACATGATAGGCGCATAACGCCAGGAACAGCCATGAGGCAACCTCTGAAGGAGGTAAGATGGCCGCGGGATAAATGATGTCGAGAATTGAAGGGTGAAGGGCGAGCGGACGCGTGCAATCGAAATCAACGAATCGATAAGATTCCGAAACCGAAACTGCGCCGTCACGTGATCCCGCCCGCAATTAAATCAACCCAAGCCTCGTTCTTCCAAAAAAAAAAGTCATTTCCATACGAGATAGAGCCTTGCTAGATCGCTTCATTCCTCATAGACCAGCGCATCCCCTTTTACTTCTTTCGATCGTCTCCCTCGTTCTAACCTCAATTTTTCCTACGGCGAGAATGAGGGGCGTCAAAGTCTTCTCCGGCCGGTCTCATCCGAGCCTCGTCGAATCCATCTGTCAACGGCTGGGCTCCTCGCCGGCCAAATGCGATTTGGGCAATTTTGCCAACGGCGAGATCAGTGTTCAGATCGGGACGTCGGTCAGGAATGAAGATGTCTTCATCGTGCAGAGTGGTAGCCCCCACATCAACGACAGTGTTATGGAAATGCTCATCATGATTGCGGCATGCAAGGGCGGTTCAGCAAAGTCTATCACCGCGGTCATGCCTTACTTCCCCTATTCACGCCAGTCTAAGAAGAAGAGCCATCGAGGCGCAATCACCGCCAAAATGCTCGCCAACCTCATGCTGGTTGCGGGCGTAGACCATGTCATCACCGTCGATCTTCACGCCTCACAGATGCAAGGGTTTTTTGGCAAGCCGGTGGACAACCTGTTCGCCGAGCCGATAATTGCCCGTTGGATCAAAAACAATGTCCCCAACTGGAAAGAGGCAGTCGTGGTGAGCAAGAATGTTGGCGGCACTAAACGAGTCACCTCACTTGCCGATTCTCTCAAGTTGAGCTTTGCCCTCGTATCCACCGACAAGGATCGTTCCCGAACATCCCACCCTGCGAACAACATGATGGACAGCGTCATCTTCTTTGACGCCATTGAGCCACAGTCGCTGCGCATCCGGGAGCGCCTCAGTGATGGCGACGACGGTCATGAGGCCGATACTGAGTCTGAGAGACCGCAGGATTCGGAGCGCCGAAGTGATCTCCCTCACCGCGGCCGAGGTCCGGCAGCGAACAATCTCACCCGCCCTGGCAGGCCCAAGGCAGTGACCATTGTATCAAGCCCCCTTATTCAAACCACCAGAGTCGAGTCATCCTCTCCTCCTGCGTCCCCAACGCGACTCAGTCGCGTTGAGACTGCTCCAAGCGCACGTCGTCTCTCCGAATACGAAGCCAACGAAGCTCATAATGACGAGCGGGCTCGTGAAGTCATTGTAGGTCGACTGGTTCAAGGCCACCTGGTGAACGACGATCATCCATCCCCGATATTATCCAGTACATCGGCGTCCAACTTGGGTCCTCCGAACGATCGAATTGCACCAGATGACAACCATTCCTACGATCCAATGACATCTTCCTTCGTCTCCAATGCATCATCATTCCAGCCCGAGCATGCTCTTGGCGGAACTTTCGATGCCGTCGCAACTTCCGATGAGGAAGAGGAGGGAATTAGAAACCCCGACCTCGAACACACTATCACCCTAGTCGGCAACGTGCGGGGACGGACCGTTCTTTTGATGGATGACATCTTAGATAGAGCTGGCTCCTGGATTGCAGCTGCGGAAACCTGCGTCAAGATCGGAAGGGCCAAAAAGGTGTATTGCATTGCCATCCATGCATTGTTCGGCGATGATTCTCTCGAAGAGCTGGAAGCATGTGATTGCATCGATCACATTGTCGTGACGAATACTTTTCCTATAGCCCCTGAGCGACTAAGGGTGTCCAGGAAGCTGATTGTCATCGACCTCTCGAACCTGCTAGCCGAGGCTATCCGCCGCAATCATCACGGAGGTAAGTACAGGCAGGCCATTTACCGCTTGGTACAATCCCATCTAACTTCTTCGTCTTGCAGAGGATATGTCGCCCTTATTCCATCTGAACGATTAGGAACTCCAGACGGTATCTTGAGCTGAATCACCAGCAATACTCGCTCCGCCACCTGCCTGCCTGTTTTTGGTTGTACGATACCCTTGGCGTTCAGTGCTGCTGCGATCATCTACTCCAGTCTTGGTGTATCGAACGCCCCGATACGAATATATTGCTGCGTCTTCTTTCCTTGCTGTGAGCGGAACCGCAATGCTCGTCCGAGGGCTTGCAATTTGAGTTGCAAGGGTAAGTCCAACGAATTACTGGCATGTTCATCGACCTTGCCACCTTGCTATCCCAGTAGATGCGCAATGCATATGCAGCCTTGTCACGGGGAAACAAACATCCGGCCTGGGGCTCTCCTGCAACAACGGGATACACGATGGCGTCGTTGAGGGATCATCGGACAATATGAGACCTGAGGTGTCCGTGATCGCGAAGAGCCGCAGGCTGCGTACATGATCGACCCCTTGGACTCGATTACCTTGCATGCACCATGGCCATTTGACCCCACGAGAAGGCGTCGGCGATAGAGCAACAAGTGGCATCTTCTTCTCTGTGCCCAAGCAGCAGCTATGTACTTCAACCGGGGGGGAAAGCCCTCCGGTCGCAACGGCGTCCTGCTAGAGAGGACTGGCCATACGGAAATGCAGATGTGGTTGCGCGATGCATACAGAGTACTCTGTACCTAGCTCCGTACACCCTACACCCTACGATCGCCTACCCCTGCACGGTATGCATAGGCCAGCGCAACATTTCAAGCTCTTAGGGCTGTTAGGTTTGAGCTAGAGCTGTTGCGGCGCAATCGGCTGCGATGCTTTCGGAAGCCTGGGGGGAGGTTTCCGGTTCTGGGTCAGCCCCCTGCAACCTCCTCGCTAAGATGCCTGCATCTCGACTATTTTCGGACTTGACAAAAGCCTCCTCGGCTTCCAGTAGGCTCGATCCACGACCCCAGCACGCCTTGTCCGACGATCGACCGAATCCCTGGCCTGCATCGGCACCCAAGTCCTGTTTCGCCTTATAATCGCGTAGCTCAGCATTGACACAGCACTGTCGAAAGACAATGAGACGTCCTCAGGCGTATCCAGGGCACTAGGGCAAATCTTGACCCCACCCTTACTCTGTATATCCATCCTATCTGTCCATGTCCCACCGCGTTTCAGCTCCCCACGGCATTCGGCACCGCCTGGACTTTTGCCTCGCGCATTCATCGCGTTGAGAGTCCAGACTCGATCCCTTGCTAGAGGCTCCCTTCATTGGCCACCAAGCTCGAACTCCCCAGCACTGGGTCAATCACGACAGCACGGTCGGGACAAGAACAAACTTCGACAAGTTTTAGAGCCCGGGTGGAACGGGCTTCCGCACCGGCTACGGATCTCTAAACCTTTTCTGTAGAAGGGGTTGGACCTGCCATTGGACTGGTCCCTCTGTAGTCTATCGATCCGTCAAGGCTTATCCGGGACCACTTGCCTCTCAGCAAAGCTGAGCACGACACCCTGAAACCCTCGAGGATCCCGGCGCAAGATGTTACTACTGGGGGTCATCCTCGCCAGGGAACTTTTCTGTTTTCAGCCATGTCAACACGCTGGGCGTGCAAGGATGACAGCCTCTCCTCGACAGTCACAGCAGTGTTCACGGATTCCTGGCTTGACGACAAGAGGCTATGGGGAGCGGTGACAGTTGCGGTCTCTCCATCTGCGACTCTATCATCTATAAATTCCCCCGGGCGATCGACACGGCTTCGAAACCCCCTCGATATTGCACATTGAAGACAGCATTTGATATCCTAGAGTTCAGCGTACATGATCGCCCTGAGCTCAGAATAGTACACATCACGACTCGGACAACCGAACACAGTAGCCATCATGACTGGGGTAAGTCACTTGACTTCAGTCTCGCCTCGACTTTGAGAAGAGATACTTACCTATTACCAAGCCCGCCAATACAGGCATCAGTTACCGATACACCTACCAGAACTGCCCCGGGCACGAATATCAAGGAAAATACAACGAGGGCCACTGCTCGCTGATCTGGAAATGCGGCAAATGCGGCGACAACACCACCAAGATCTGGCAGTGCAAACATTGCGGCTTCCTGATGTGCAACATGTGCAAGCGGTACAGTCGCAGCGCCACCGGGACCCTCGCAAAGGACCAGCCTCGCTATTACGGCCGCTGATGTCGTCGTCGTCGTCGTCGTCGTCGGCTGGAACGGATCCCGATCCCAAGCATGTCTAGACCTGCGCCACTATCCCCGGGCCGTGGTGTTTTCGGGCTCGAGGCACGCCCCGTCTAGCGGCAGACCACTTGCTACTACTCTTTCAGTGCTGCACGTCAGGTCTGGCCATCGTCGAATGGGTTTCCGGGAAGACGACGCCACGGTTTCCCTTTCTTTCTACAAGAGTCCTACCCCTGTCTGTCGGCGTGGGCTTCTTGCAACCAATTCCAAGATACCCTTTTTTCCTTCGGGACCGAGTGTACAACGGGGTGGGCAGGGGCAGGGGCATAGGCATACATTCGGGGTCTGGCTGGTGGCGGCTAAGCTGAGATTTTTTCTTGAATCTTCTCCGTTTGTGCGACCTAGACTAGATACTAGATAGATCCTTTCGGCGCGATCGGCTGCTTTCGGGTGGGGTTGCTACCTATTACCCCTTTGGGCGAATGAATCAATGAGAGACCATGAGAGTGTTAGAGCACGTTAAGCGACCCTTTAGAAAAGCGCTGGTAGTCATAGATGGGGACAGCCAATAAAGAACAAAAATCCTTGATTCGTGCCTTGACACTCAATAGCGAGTATCGAATAGTTGTTATAAAACGTTCCTCGGATCCTACCTGACCGGGGCCTTCTCTCAGGAGAACTCCCGGCCTTCGAGTACGACGGGCGCCACAAGACTCCAACTGTAGATTGCATAGCACACCCATGCGCTGACAATCTTGATCCAGCTTGCCCAATATGTCCGTCCCACAGGCGTGAAGTCGCTCGAGTTCTCAGGATCCATCTTCTGTGTAAGAAGCGTAGCCACCCAGCAAGTCGCCATCAAGAAGATTACGTGGAACAGGCTGTAGTTATACTGGGTCCCCTGGCGTTCGTCGTCTTTGGAGCTAACAGCAGTATCATCCTCGTCATCTGAGTCCTCATCCAATGCAGATGCAGGCAGCGCACCACTCTCAACGGCGGCCCTCATGATCTCACGCCGAGACGCGGGTTGCTGAGTGACTAAACCATGCTCGTACTCCTCCTGCGTGACTTGAGCATATTTGTTCTTGCCGGTATTCGACCCCAGTGCGAACCCTTGTGTGGCTGCTCGAGTGGTAGTGTATGCGATTGTAAGCATGGTGACAACAGCACCAAGGACGACCGTGGTTGTTCGTGCACCTCGAGCTCGAATGAGAGGGTTGCAGTTTTTGTCGTCCGGCTCCATGCAGACCGCCGAAAGCGTAAGGTACGTGCAATAAGCCGCGACTATGGCCGACTGCGCCAATCCTGCTTTGGGGTTTGCATCTTGAATGGTGGGGTTGACACTGAGCAAGGTGATGACAAAGATGAGCACCAGGTTGATCGTAATGGCAGAAATGTTCATGCTGCATCCGCTGCTGGCGAAGAAGATGTACATGACTATCGTCATGGCAAAGGCAGCCAGATACATGCCCAAGCTTGACCCCATAAGCAGAGCTTGCCAAAGTCTGTAGTTGGGACCATCTCCTTCATCGATCTTATCCTGACATAGTTCCGCCCAGCTATGCGCAAGGTCGACGAGGAGGATGAGTCCGAGGAGAACAAAAAGCATCGCCCCAAGGTAGGCGACATAATTTCCCCAGAAGAGGAAGAACCCTTCAGGGATAAAGAACGACAACAGGATAAAGGCGATCCAAGCCAGGATTTTCGGACCCCAGAACCCATTTTGCAGGCCTGCTCGTGTATCTCTTGTGCTCCTGACACCGATGAGGAGGACGGCGAGGAGGAGGTGGAAAAGACCGAGGGCGAAATTGATTCGCTGGACTGCGAAATAACCGTAACACCGGGACGAACCGCACTGGAATGTCATGTAGTCGAGCGTGAGGTGTTCAAGCTTCCGGATGGCCCACGGTGTGAGCATGATCCAGGCCAGAATACTGTTCACCAGCAGAATCATCGCATACGCGATCCTCGTGGCAATCGAGGATCTGAACTTGGACATGCCGCATGGTCCACACAACATGGAACACGATGCCGCTCCGCAACATGATGCGCCAATTGACCAGAGAGTCGTCACGGAGGGTATGAGGAGCGACGGGATTGCTAGAACAGCTCCCATCGTAGAGGGCTGGGCCTGCCGCCGGAGAACAATGGAGATGTTGGAGGAGTTTGAAGGCTAGAGCGATGGCGAATTGATGCTGATCCGGATGTGTAATGTATGACTGGGGAGGTTGCTGATCAGTCTTTGATACAATGTTGAACACTGGAAGGCTGTTGCTGTTGTCGACGGAAGAGATGGAAGCGCAGGCATCGAACGCAGCCGCGGAAGTCGCAGTCTTAGGGTCCTGACATGACGAGGCAATAGCAGTTAGTAGCAGGCTAAGCTGCTAACTGTGTCCGCCTACTATCTAGCGCGGGCTGGAGGGAAGCTTCTCCGAGCGGCGAGCAGAATGGGCGGCTTCCTAATTGGCTGACACGACCACCGGCCTGCTCCGTCCACCTCCCTCCAACCCACCTCAGAGGCCGGAGGAGCAAGACTCTCGGATACGATGCCGGTTGACGGCTCTGACTGCTTCATACGCCATCTTTCACTTTCCTCACCTCCCTGACTGCTTGACTGCCTCTTAGGGCGTCCCTTTCGAATTTGACGATGATTTAGCGAACACCGATCTGCTCTGGAGCGCAAAGACATGGCGGTCTTCACCATTGACCCGCGGAGGGCGAGGATTCTTTCGGTGATCGCTTGTACCGCTACAGCATTGGCATGTGGCACGAATGTACGCACGTTTACCCGATCACAGAGTCAACCACTGACCGAGGCTTGATAGTACGGATACTCAGCATGGGGTCCTAGTTTCGCCTCGCGTCTCAGACTGTCCGCAACGGACAGTAACCTCATCGTATGAGGCCCTCAGCGAACCCCGCGGCGACGACAAAAGACTGTGGACTGATACATGAAACTCCTAGGGGACTATGGGCAATCTGGGAATGTACGCTTTTGGAATACCCTCGGGTATGATGGTGGATGCCAAAGGTCCAAGATGGGGGGTTGCTTTAGGGATCATACTCTTTGCAGCGGGCTACTATCCAATTGCTAGAGGTATCGACGACGCGTCCTCCAACTACAGACGGCGTTACTAATAAGGCTATAGCATACGAGGCGGGTCCTGGAGCCTACAGTGTAGCACTTATATGCGTATTCTCGTTCTTTAGCGGTGCTGGAAGCTGTTCAGCATTCACTGCATCTATCAAAGTTGGTGAGCAACCCGCGTCCCATTCTGAGACATGTTGAGTGACTCCAGCAGCCGCCCTCAACTTTCCCGAGTCGCGAGGAACTGCCACAGCCTTTCCATTGGCAGCCTTCGGTCTGAGCGCCATGTTATTCGCTGCCATAGCATTGCTATTGCCCCCCGGGACATACAACTTTCTCATCCTCTTAGCCACTGGGACCGTCGTACTACCGTTGATCTCTTTTCCTTTCCTACGCACCTTACCGCCGCACAGCTACCAGCATCTTCCCCAACACGAACAACAAGTCCTCCACAGAACCAGATCTCCTGAGAGCACAAGTCACCATCGTCCGGAAGAGCCAGGTACGCCAGATCATACCCACAAGCTCCTCCCCTCAAGCAGCATTGAATCTCACGACTCCGAAGCCATTCCTGAACCCGGAGACGAAAACTCCTCTCTACTCTCTAAATCCTCTACTGAAGACATCCGAGGCCCGGAGAGTTCGAAGTATCAGCAGTCTGACAGAAATCATGAGTCGTCGCATTTAGATATTAGGGGGTTTGCTCTCCTACCACATCCTGAGTTTTGGCAATTGTTTTGCATGCTTGGACTGTTGACAGGGATTGGCTTGATGACCATTAAGTACGATTTGTCTTTTGAACCTACAGAGTACCCTACTAATATTAGCAGTAACATTGGCAACGATGCCCAAGCCCTTTGGAGATCCTACGATCCATCAGTCCCGCCTTCATTCATCGAAACCCGCCAAGCGATGCATGTGTCGATACTCTCTTTTTGCAGTTTCACGGGCCGCCTTCTTTCTGGCATTGGCTCCGACCTTCTCGTATCGAAATTCGACCGATCCCGCTTCTGGTGCCTATTTGCTTCCGCCTTGATGTTCTGCGTTGCACAGGTCCTGGCGACCACCATCTCCAACCCGAATTTTCTGGTCCTCTTAACCGGCTCGACTGGTCTCGCCTATGGTGTGCTGTTCGGAGTCTATCCCACTCTTGTGGCGCACTGCTTCGGTGTCCACGGACTGAGTCAGAACTGGGGTACCATGACGCTTGCCCCGGTCATCTCAGGCAATGTCTTTAATCTCTTGTACGGCCGCATTTACGATGCCCACTCGGTGAGAAACGATGAAGGCCACATGGAATGCTTGGCTGGCAAGAGCTGTTACCGTTCGGCCTACTGGATTACCTTTGGTGCCGCGGTGCTTGGGGTCGGGTGTTGCCTCTGGAGCATTTGGCACGAGTACAAGGTGCACCAGGTGAAGAAGAGCAAGGAGGATCAGAGAAGTGATCATGAGAGGATTGCATAGGGGGGGTGTGTGTACCAATTCTGACGGGCAATCTCGCGAGAATTGCAACTTCATGCTTGAAATTCTTCACGCTAAGTATTCAGGATCTGGCATGAGCATATTGAGATGAATTGAGACGCCGGGTTTTAGGATCTTACAAGGCATGGAATAGAAATATAGAGCAATTAGATCAGTGTCTGGCGCAGAATGATCAACTTGATATAGCAACAGGGCAGACAACATACTTCGCGCCAGGGTGAGCGATAGTTCATTTATTAAGCCGTTGGCGGCATTGCCTGTGCAGATTATCATGTGCAGATGCCAAACGCGCCTCTTTGCTCTTTTGGCAGCAGAGGTACTGTTCTGTTCCATCTTCGACACCACTTGAAAAGTGTGCTTTCAGCTTCACCCTGGCAAATAGGACACTGTAACATAGTCTGTACCCCCGGAAAACGATGTTCTCGACTCGCGGCGCGCATCTTGTGTGAACGAGGTAAGAACCATAAAGACCACCTAACGCCAGTCCATATTCGCGGTGCCATTTTTCCCGTTCCGGATCCTGATGAAAACCCTGCCGCTCAATTTCTTTCTGCCTACGTAGGTTGTCGGCCTGGCTCATACCTACAGTCTTGATTCCCGAGAATGGTCCAGGTCAAACAACAGTACCGAACGCCGTCGCAATGCTTTCCCGTCCATCGTAGTTGTACAAACCCCATCCTCAGCGCAGCATAGCATCAAATCTTCTCGGACTCCGTGGTGATCCTCGCGATATCGGCCGCAGCAGATGCCTCTTCTTGGGCTTCTACAGGTGGGCTCGACACCAAGTTGCTCGGGATGGAAGGAGTGTTGGCTGGGGCCGCACTCAGCTCACTCAGTTGCTTCTCCAGTTCTCGGATTCTCATTCGGAGCATTTGGTTCTCACGCGTGAGATTGGCGGTCTCGGCTTGATAAAAGGCGTTTTCGTCACGAAAACTGTTCCGTCTTGCGGCGCTTTCAACGGGAGAAGGAGGCCAATCACCACTGGTTCCGAGGCTGGATTCATGACCTGCACTCTGCAAAGGTCGTAGAGCCGGGGAACGACTTGCACTGGACGGGCCACGGGAGAAGCGTCTCGGTTGTGGAACCAGCGGAACAGCGGGATGTATTGAAGGGAAGGAAATTGAGCGTTCCGAAGCAGGTGTTTCGTCGTCGACGACTGCGGTACTGTTGCCGGCGACAGCTGAGGTGGGTTGTGATGAGCGGGCCGATTGCTGGTCTACCTGACTGGTCCTCAAAGCCTCCAGTTGAAGCTGTTGCTCTCGTATCATTTGCAGCATTCTATTCACTTGTGCCTCCTGCTCTTGTTCCAACTCGTTGTGAATATCGCCGAGGCTGGGCTGACGCTGATGATGAGGGTCGCCCGTGGCGATTGCCGGCCGCCCACCGATGGTTGGAGGACTTGCGGACACGAAACTGTGGCTCAAGTTGACTCGAGGGTCGCTGCTGGAAAGTTCGCCGGGGCTTGGAAGAGTAGGGTCGTTCAGGTTGAGGCCCATAGCGACTTGTGAACGACGACGGTCGGAAGGCATTCTCCCCAGTCTCGGGGAACCTCGATTGCTGAGAGAGGATCTCCTGGATTCATTTGCCGCATTGGCCATTGCAGCAGTCGCCAGAGATATTGAAGAGGTGCGCGGCGAGGGAGTCTGAGTGTCTTGTCGAACGGGCGGAGACGCTGCGCTTTGCACGGACCGAGGTTGCAATGGCGAGGAAGACATTGACCTTGAGGGAGGAAGCGAGTTGAGGTCTGGGGGAGCCATCAATGAGGAAACACACAGAGCAAAAGACGTGATTATTAACGTAGCTACGGTATGAAGATGTGAGGCAAGAATTACGGGCCGGTCAGGCTGCAGTGGGAAAATGTGACGCGGGGAGGCCAGCGGCGAAGTTTGACGTGGCCAGTGGGACACGTATTGCACCACAAACCACTGTCACCACAATCACCCTTACCCTCACCGTCACGATGGCTACCGAAATCGCTCTTGGTCCGCAGGCCGACTTCAACATCATTGCTACCGAGATACTAGCCGAGCTTCGTGCAATGAGGGAGCAGTCAACGAGAGACACGAGGGCAATCCGACAAGACATTGCCAATGTTCGTCAAGAGCTTGTGACTATAATTACTGCATCGTATGTATACTTCGACCTATTTTAATATTGCTATACATGCTTGGCATAGAACAGTAATGCAGGTTGATTGAGACGGGGACCACTTTGAAGGAAGTGAAGGAAGTGAAGGAAGCAAAGGAAGTACTCCGTAAGGCTGAATTAGTATGGAAGACATCAGAGGGGCCGGCGGGTGATCTACAGGACGTCTTCACGAGGCAGAGATAGGGACGTCTGTGTAACGAGTATGGAGTAGCTCAAGTACCTGCAAGTACCTAGCACCTCCTAGGTACCTATATCCGTACATACACTATGGCTTAGGGTGGGTGCCAGAATTAAAGGCGGTTTACATACATAACTGCTACTTCGATAGGATTAGGGAAACCTCTAGCTCTACCGGATGATTATCTTTCTAAGATACTAGATATACTCCACGGCCTCCCTAGAGTAATTCTCCTATTTCTAGTATTAAAATTCTATATCTAGAGACAGCAGCTATCTACTGAGCCCGCTGTATAATTCGCCATGTATTTTGGCACCCAGCCTTAGGCCTTGCCTAAGTACCTAAGGTAAGGTAATACCTTGAGGCTTGTACTCCGTACAGAGCAGCCACACCACCAACGCCCAACTGGGTTCCAAACGACGTCATCGGAGAATCAACCCACGGTGCTCACTTTTGCTCAGGCTGACCAAGTTACAAAAGCAAGCAGCCTCGGCCACCAGTTCGTCCACTCTCTCTCCCTTAGGCTGAACAGACGGAAGAGCACAGTTTGACAGCCGTGGCGTGGTGGTTGTTGTCGTGATCATTCTCTGCGTTCCTGAACACGCGTTGGTCGTCATCCAATCAACCTGTCAATCTGCTCAATAATCGACACTGCGGCCCTCATCGCGGCACTGGAAAGCAATTATTAGTACTAAGTAGCTGTGGTGACGCCCTGGAGCTGCTTGTTTACGTGCCGGGTGCTAGGTGAGGCTCGAGCTCCGACTCCCGACTCCAAGCTACTACCGGCGCCTAACCAGGAGCGAGAGTCTGGAGGCTGCTAAGGCTCCCAAGGCCTCCCTATAGGTGCCTACTATTATTACTACCTACAACCTAGAGCCATCGGCTCCCCAGCCACTGCTTTTCAGCTCGAGCATCCCAGCCCATCCCCCGTCATCGCTCTAATTATCGTTGTTGTTGTTGCCGTTGCCTCTCCATCCACACCACTCCGCCGTCGCATTCCTCCATTCTCCATTCTCCATCTTCCCCTCCGCCAACGCCAACATCACGGTGAAGGCAGTCGCCGATTGCGCAACACACAAACACCTTCTGAACATTTGTCGCCGCGACCATGTCTGGCCTGCCGTACCTCCAGAAATTGCGTAAGAGCGATCTTACCGAGTTCGCCGAAGCCACCAAATTGCCAGAGTGAGTCTCATCCTTCGGCTGCGACTGCGGCGCCTCAGACGCGTCGCCTCCGAGCCACATTTACCACCGCATCGTCACTGACGTCTGTGCGACCACAGTTATGCTGGTTTGAAGAAAGCCGAACTTGAGGTCGTGCTGGACGAGCATCTGCGCGCCAACTCGACCCGGTACGCCAAAGAGCCGGTTCTGAGCGAATACTACAAGCGCGTGGGCAGCAGCACGCGGTCGCCGGTCAAGAAACTGGCAGACAAGGTCACGGACATTGTGAAATTCGATGAAGATGCTGCGCCCGCGAAAAAGAGCAAGCGCAAGACAACCTCGCCGGGGCAAGACACGTACGCTTACCCATACTCCTCCAATGCAGTCGCGAGCCCGCTAACATTCGTCGCGCAGGACCGACACCGAATCACCAACTGTTTCCTCCTTGATCAAGGCGCCAGCGAAAGAAATCGCGCGTCGGTCCTCCATCTTGACCTCTCAAATACCTATCCCGCCCTCTCCGGCGGTGGTGACCGATGCCATTGATCAACAAACGCGTCGTCTTCGCCTTTCAATCTCTCATGCCTACGACCGAACTCAGATCCATGAATTCGCCGACGCCACACGCGATCTTCTGTCGTCACCTCTGACGGTCACCGCGCTAGCCATCCTCCTCGAGGCATATGGTCTTCGAGCGCAAATCCTACCCAACAAGCTATTGACGGAGGTGCCCCCGATCCCGTACATCAAGTCGACCAAGACCGCAATCAGTGTCCCGGATTTGTTCTTGTTCCTCGACTCCAAGTTCTGGGCTCCTTTCTCTCTATGGACACTGACATCGTTCATTCTTCCGGCCTTTGTCTCCTACTTTATCAATCTGCCCCTCAAAGCTCATCCCGTCCATTCTCATGCGACGCGTCGAGCCACCGCGGAAGCCAGCGCTCAGGCGCAATTTGACCCCTTGATCTTCAATCTTGCCAAGGGATTGATTGCCTACCTGGTCTACGCCGAGCATCTCAACTTGGGTGGGTTGTATCAACACTTCACCATTGCCCTCGTCAACGAGAGCATCTTGGGTGGGTGGTTCGCCATCCTCATCAGCTCAGGACTCGGGGCGATCGTAAGCTTGTATGAAGCTGTGCTCAAGAAGTAGACGCCTGCTTTGGGAGAGGCAGAAGAGGGAGGGCCCCAAAGGGATTTGGACTTGAGGATATTGCGTTCTGTGTTGTTGTGCACACATGTACAGTGCTTAGGAAGGGAGGCATACGGGGAAGCGGAATGATACGAGTTACGAGTATTTCCCGTTGACAACGAGGCGTTGGAGATGGTCATGTTCTTGTTATTCGCAATCACGTCCATAGGTTCAGTTGGGTTGACTTATACCCGTGGTGCGAGCTGCTGGGTAGCTGCGTGCCGCGTCTGGCGCATGCACAGGATTGATGTGATGGATGGATGGTTCAGCGGATGGCCGAGCAGATGGGTCATGTGCTTGTCCAGGTACAAACGACGTTAGTGTTCCAGCTTTTTCTCACAATTCTCGTCTCAGGCTTGTCTATGCCCCAGCTGTATCCGTATGTTGTTCCTCCCTTCCACTCGATTCGACTTGACTCGACATGGTGACGATGCATTGAAGCTCGCCGCCGGTCGACCAACACTCGGAGTTCGCAATCGCCCTGGCTGACACGTCACCACCGCCGCTTGACGATGCTGACAAGAACCTGCGGCACCCTTGCTCACGAAACTCATCAGGCCGCCCAAGCGCTGCTTTACAGAAGGCTTATTAACGAAGAGCAGGGTGTTGCATTGGCGAAGAGAACCCCAGCAATGAACTAGCGTTGGCGCAGTCATGCTCAGTTCTCTGCGTTTCGAACAATACAACCCATCACATTCGCGCTGCTAGGGCAATATCCTATCATTGTATTTTGTGGACACCTCAATCGGCGGGATTCATGTTGTCGTTCTCAGCCCGTCCGACATCAACACCACCTCTTCGTGTGCCTATGTGCCACGTAACAAGAGTCGCTGCTTTTGCTGCTGCCAGTCACCCTTGCTCGCATCAGCAACCCATGCCGCATGCTCGTCTTGGAGGAGGAAGTCGAAGGCAAAATGGAGAAGCATAAATATACCCTTCCAGTCCCCCCTCCGTGGACAAGCCAATATCATACAATCTGACGGTCAAAGACACCCCAAACAAGCCGTTATTTCAATTCCAAAGAAGACCACACACAGTATATCCTATCATGTCAACCATGAAGGCCATTGTCATTGAAAAGTTTGGCGAACCAGACGTGCTCACCGTCAAAGATGTGCCCAAACCGGAACCCAAGCCTGGCTTCGTTCTGATTCAAGTCAAAGCTTTTGGAGTCAACCATGCCGAAATGCACATGCGGAAGGGTGAATGGGCCGAATCGATGCCCATCAGTGGCATTGAATGCGTTGGGGTTGTCGAAGCTTGTCTCGGCAACGAGTTTACACCAGGAACAAAGGTGGCTGCCTTGATGGGCGGATTGGGTCGAGCCATCAACGGGAGTTATGCTCAGTATACTCTAGCACCGGTCAACAATGTCACCAAGATTGATGTCGACTTGCCGTGGGAGACCCTCGCAGCAATCCCCGAGTCTTTTGCGACCGCCTGGACCTGTCTGTTCCGCAACTTGGAGTTGAAACTGGGTCAGACGCTGCTCATCCGAGGTGCTACGTCGGCACTGGGCCAGGCAGCGCTGAAATTGGCCGTCAATGCTGGCGCCAAAGTTTCCGCAACCAGTCGCAACGAGAGTCGATTTCCAATGCTCAAAGCCATGGGAGCCGCCGAAGTCATCTTGGAACAACAAGACCTTGCCCAGCGCCTACACCAGGCTAACCATCCCAAATTTGACACCGTCCTCAACCTCGTCGGGAACAGCGTGCTCCTTGAGACTTTGACCGTCATCAGACGTGGCGGAAGGATGTGTCTTGCAGGCTTTCTAGGAGGATTGGCACCAGTCGCCGACTTCAATCCACTGGCCCAGATGGCGAGCGGAGTCCATTTCAGCTTCTTCGGTAGTTTTGTGTTCGGGACACCGGAGTTCCCGGTCTCTGACGTTCCACTGGAAGATGTCGTCAGAGATGTCGCGGAAGGGAGGCTCAGTGTCAAGCCAGCCAGGGTGTTTGCATTTGAGGAGATCAGAGAGGCTCATCACTTGATGGAGAAGAGTCAGGCAGGCGGGAAGATGGTGGTGGTTGTTTGAGATGTAATAGTCGGCCAAGCATGCCATCTCTCTCCGTACAGGATAACCGACCTATGGGGCTTGATCTACCGCTTGACCTGGCGGCTGGATAGCAAGCTCGAAATCAATGTCCCTAGAGGGGATTCGCATCTAAAGCAGCATGTATGCATCCTAATGAGGCATAGCGGGTTAAGCGTGTTTCGTCTCATTGGTCGCTTGAGAACATCGTCCTTTGTTGTCACCGTTCTCAGCCTTTACCACAACACAGCTGTAGATATTCGCTTGAGTCTCCAGGATTGACGGATGATCAGCCAGCTCACTTCAGCACACCATCCTTCAGGTCGTCTTCTTAAATGCCCGTTCCAGCCAATATCTACGAGAATGACATCGACTTTACCACCCTGGCACTACAGTATCCCCAATTTGCCAAAAGGTTTGTACCCTCTACCCTCTCGTCCCTGCTTCGGTTTCACACAAGCATGAAATGACACAGACGCCTTAAAGACCACCTTAGCATCACAGAGAGACCTTGATTGTGACTGAAACTCGATACTGCAACGTACATATCTGGTACTAGAATATGCTCGATCGGGGAATCTCACTGGCAAGCCTAGCAAAGGACCCGATGACATGAAGCTGACGGAGCAATCCGTGTGTGAGCAGGTTAAAACCGAATGGCCAACTCGACTTCTCTGACCCGGAGAGCGTCAGGTACGTGAATTCAAATACCACACCTCTCACCCGTTCCTGCATCGGTCGAGACTCTGATGGAGTCTTGTCATTGGCCCCCCTATCCACTGGTTTCCCGGTATCAGGCATCACTAATGGTCCGGCGTCGGGTTGAACAGACAGTTGACGAAATCCATCTTACACCGAGACTTCAACTTGACCCTTGAATTGCCCGAGGATAGGCTTTGTCCGCCCGTACGTGTTGAGTCCTTGCGTGCTTTCCGTTCCCTTGACTCCCCTCAACCTATCCGCCTCGCCAATCCCTCGCCAGTCTGCCAGGATGGTAAGGCAATAGAACAAGGAGGAGACCATCCTGTTAAGCTTACCAAGTTTGACCTTTCTCATTGATAGGTTCCGAACAGGTAAGTCCTTCCAATCTAAATCACTGCACCCCCGGGCAGACCCGGTAGAAGATCACCACAAGCCTGGTCGCCTGCGCTATAAGGGAGATGTTGATAGCTGACTGTCTTTGAAAACCATGCAGACTCAACTACGTCCTCTTCATCCAGCGGCTCCTGGACGACACCTCCCCCGACTGGAACCAAAGCTACGACCCTGACCGTCAAGTGATCGGCCTCGATATGTATGTGATCTTTCGCCCGTTGTTGTGTTGCCACGCCTCATCCCTAAGTCCTTGGTCCTGAATGATCTCTACGGTTCACTGCCCTCCCTCGAAGAATATTCTCCCCTTTCCCTTTCCATACTGATCACTGACGAGTGCTCACACCCACTTTGCAATCAGCGGCACAGGCTCATCGGCGATCTACCCCCTCCTGGCGTGCCAACAACGGCCGCAATGGCGTTTCCTTGCGACCGAGATAGATGAAAAGAACAGCACGTATGCAATCAAAAACATTGCCACGAACAATCTGCGATCGCGGATAAGGGTGGTTGACACAGATGTGACGGGCGAAACCCTGATTCCAATACGAGAGATTGAAAGCATCGGCATTGAGAGGTAGGTTTGCATACATTCTAGTAGCGCTACACAACACTTCTTCGCTTCACGTCTGTCAGAGCAAGCTCGAGCCTTAATGGAGTCTTTCCAGAGCATCCTCAAACTCTACATCAACCCCGATGGATCAGGATGAGCATCGATCTGATCATATCACAGGATCGATATTATCATGACCAACCCGCCATTCTACCCCTCCGCCTCGTCCCTGCTGGAATCGGCGCGTCAGAAATCGCGCCCGCCCAACTCGTCCTGCACCGGCGCGCCCGTCGAGATGATCACCCCAGGTGGAGAAGTCTCGTTCGTGTCCCGGCTGATTAACGAGTCTTTGGATCCGAAGACCAACCGACGAGTGCAGTGGTTCAGCTCCATGCTCGGAAAACTATCCAGTGTCGGCGCCATCGTGGACAAACTCAAAGCCCACGGATGCACGAATTTCGCGGTGGCCGAGTTCATCCAAGGCCAGAAGGCTAAGACGCGAAGGTGGTGCGTCGCGTGGAGTTGGATGGGGTATAGACCCGGCGTGCTCGTGGCAAGGGGCGTATCCAGTGCCAGTGGCGTCGAGAAAAGACTGCTCCCTGCGCCATCGGAGTTTGATTTTGAGGTCGAGGTCGAAGTCAACCCGGAAGATGATACACAGGCTGGCAGTGCCGAGGCCGAAGTCGAAGTCGAAGTCGGGAAGAAGTTGAACCAGGAGATGGCGCGATTAGATGTCCTCTGGAGATACATCCCGCAGCAACGCGTGGGCATGGTCATTAGCCCGCATGGCGACGTGTGGAGTCGTAAGGCTAGACGGAAGAAGCTGTATCAGAGCGAGCAGCAGCAGCAAAAGACTCAGACACAGGGCAAGAGACAAGAGCAACACGGCCAAGGCCAACGTGGGAGAACAAACCGGCCCATGGTGAAAGGAGATGACGACCAAGATGAAGAAATGCACGACAGCGACCCGCCTGCTTGCATGCGTGCAAATGACGCCAGTTCCTCGGAGGAAGACAATGAAGACCAAGACCAGGACTATGAGCCAGCCCTTGTTGCTCGCATCAGCCTGATACCGATATCGATGGCGTCCTCGTCCGATCCCCAGTCTCCCATTCAGTCTCGGTCGCAATCCTCAAACCCAAGTACCGCTGCGGAATCGACGACGAAATTGAAATTGAGATCGAAAGCCAAAGTTCACATCCGCCATCTCCGAGGCCAGGATCCCGTCTTGTTCGAGAGTTTCTGCGGATGGCTCAAGAGGAGGATGTCGGCGACGACCGCGACGGGGACCGCGGTGAAATGAAAACAGTGACTTGAAACTTCAGTCTACACAATAGACAAGATTGTCATTTCAATAGTCAGTCAGTGAGGCCTTGCTCGGTCCATGTCCATGTTGGTGCGTCTGTCCATGTTGGTGCGTCTGTCCATGTTGGTGCGTCTGTCCATGTTGGTGCGTCTGTC